ACTCCTAAATCCCATACGCCGATACTCGGTGGTCTCAACACCGGTGCCGCAGCTTCGCGCAGGGTCACCCAGCACAGAAATTTGATCTATCAGTCGCCAGCGGTAAGTTGCCGCTAGCTTGTTCTGACGAAAGGATATGTCCCGACAGCTAGTAAACTAGCCATCGAATGGTGTCAACCGAATGATCAATATTAATGATTATTTATGCTAAAGACTGAATGAGGGTGCTATTGAAATACCCTCAGACTCAGTGTCCCGTTACTCGGCGATTACAACGCCAAGATATCAGCTGAGCTTAGAATTGCATATAATTTGTATGGGAACGTGGATTCCAATGCGACCAATCGATTAATAATGGTAAGTTACCACTGCATATCTCAACAGGATCCTATCAAAAGCTTTATCAAGATATTCAAACACTAAAGAGCCTCTGCGGAACTGAGCATTATTCCATACAGTCCAAGTAATCGCAGGGGGCTAGGCGTTAACCTATGCGCAAGGATGACTTGTACGACACGGACACCACATCAGAAGGGGATATGTTTGTACGTCTTTACGGTCCCATCGGACCCACCGGATGAACGGATGACTTTCTACGAAATAACATCGTGAAGAGATTTTGATATAGTCCGGAAAGCGGGATGTGAGCCGGATCCTGCTTCTCGAAAGTTTTTGGGGTGTGTACCTTCCTAAAATATTGTAACTACGCACGAACGCAGCGCTAACGCCCCAACAACAAATTTATTCGCTACCACATACAAACCGATAACAGAAGGCAAGCTAATCGTCGATGATAACCCCAAATTCTGAACAGCGTTCCAACAAAATCGTGTCTCATTCGAATCATCGTTCAAGGAGTTAAACACGAGGTGCCGACGCCTCCACCCGTATGCGCGAACCTCAGATCAGTCAACTTATATGGCATACTGCATTGCACTTTACTGCTGAATAGGGGAAATAATTTTGAAAAAAAAGAAAAGAAAAATCTGGCATTCTACTTTTTTTTTGTTGCCTGTAGGAGTTCCCAAATCTCCTGGATTTCAATCCCCGTCCTAGTAAACATACCTTAAAACGATTGACCAATGACGTCAGGAAACTTACTTCCAAGATTCCCTGATAGTATCTATCTATTGAGACCAGCTAAGAGCATACAGACGGGTGCATTGAGAGCGAATTAGAACAAAGGGAATCAGTTCAGGATAAAAAGACTGATTATTTGAAGAGAACGCCATGCAATCGAAATGATGCACATGTTGTCATACATTGGTCAAATTCATGTTTTACATGGAACTGATACAAGTTCTTATCATGACCCAAGCGTGTCTAGTTGGCTCGATATTAGGATTAAGGATTGGACAAATGTGGTTAGTGTGAAGAGCACGATACTACCAGTATCTATGACCCGTCTATACTGCCATGTCCATGCGTTTTAGTGATCGGACAAAGGTTTCAAGTCCTATCACGAACCAATGTAAACACCTTCGAATCTCTGGCCTCTTCTTAACTTTCCTTTAGCCTGTTCTATTACCAACCCCGGCCTTTTACTTACCTTCAAAAGTTCAGGGATTGTACTTCATGGAGTTTTTTTCATATAACCCCATATTTAGATATTCTTTAGTCGCTTCCACTCAAAGCTGCCACTGTTAAGATAGGATGTGTGCAGGAAAAATGAATACACCAATTATAGGCGTCTTAAAATGAGTGAATTGCTGGCGTTTAAGAGTTAGGATAACCCCTGATTGGAAGAGCACTCTATGTTCTCTATCATGACAGATAGTTGTAATAACAGTAGGACATAATCCTCCCTAAGAATACACGAGTATGCTTGGGCAGTGCAGGGGGTTTCGGGAGCTCTCAGCGTAGAACAGGGATGAGTCCTCAGCACTGAGGGTGGGGGGTATATGTACGAGCCCCATACATAACCTACACTTGTAATAATTATAGTCCTTCCTCTGGTCCATTTTGAAATAGTGTCTCCGCAGGACTTTAGCTCGATTGAGACAATTAAAAAGCCCAGAAATACACCCAGATAAATCTCGATAATTATTTTCCTGTAAAAGTCCTGGAGTAAATGTTCCCGCAATCGCTACATTAGGAAGCTTTATCCTGGACCGGTGACTATTTAAGAACACGAAGTTGCGCACGTTACTATATTAATATCAATGTCCCTTACAACCTTCCTGAATTGCTCAAACTATCCACCCAGCCTAATTCCAACATGAGACTCTCACAATTTATTCCCCTCGCTTTCCTGTTGTCATTTGCAGTGGGACAAGACCCCAATAACCCCCACAACATGACCACTTGCCTGGTGAGAGACTCTAATACATTAAGACTCACCGGAAAAGGCTTGCTTACCAAATACATTATAATTAGCAAATGTGCAATGAGCAGGCCGCTGCCGCTGCAGGATGTACCTCCTATCTCCAGACCGAATGCACTTGTCCGAGTGTCCCATTCCTGAAGGCCCTCAACAAGTGTCTGGGAGCTTCCTGCTCAGCTTCTGATGTGCTATGTATGACTCAATATTCTTTATGTGCCATTTCTGAAGATCATTCTTTGAGCTGAAATCCTGACTGACTATTAAAAGTGTCCCTAAAGTTACATGTCAAGGAGTGCGGAGGGCCAATTGTGTGGCCCGAATAACGGAGCTGTATATCTGCTCTTGACAGAGACTAAGTGACGAAGGCATATGTCAGGCAGTGGAATGTCCGTAAAGATTAGTACTAATGGGCCACTTGATTATACAGAAATGCATGAAGATGTATCGATTCATTGAGAGGTCTCTGGTTAATGGTATCCTACTCCCCCGTACTTTCGAGATTTCCCTGGTTACAATATATCACATAAAGAGGAATGGACGGATGTTTAATGACTCTGTCTCTAGGAAGCCTAGTAGTAATATCCTGGGTCCTCAGCAGATTTCCAGGACTAATTCGCAATGATCGGAGGATGGGCCAACAAAGTGACCTCATTCTCGAAAGATACGACCGTAATAGCCATTTCTATTCCTCTGTAATGGATTTTCCTGCAAATGAGATAAAGATAGATTATGTATTTTTATTTTTTATTTTTTTGTCAGGATAAGGAATTGATGTACTGGCTAGTACTGAACATGTCCAATAGAAACATATGATTGATTGATTAAAGATCAGAGTGGTTGAACACTCGTGAGAGTCTGTATCATCTATAGACCTGGCTACGACCCTCCGCATGGGTCCCTACCCCAGAACCTCGAACCTCCCCTCTTGAGGGGAGGTTCCAACCTTCCGACCCTCAACCTACCCTGAGGATCGTTGAGGTTCAGTATGCGGACCCTCGGCGACCCTCAACGACCCGCATTTGCATAAATTTTCGACGCCTTACCTCTTTCGGTTGGATAAAATTGATGATTCATCTATGTTTTTTATAGCTGTTCCGTCAATTTGTAGATATTTTACTGAATACTCCATCAATATAGCGAATTATAAATAAATATTCATGTAAAAGTAAACCGTAGACATGGTCACCCACAGATTACAAGTAATATTTGATGATATCGATATAGGGGGTGGTCAGTGGCGGTTGTCGACAAAAATGCATGTAAAGTTGTAAATATATATATTGCAGATAGTGTAACCTATGTGTATCTTCATTTGTAGAACCACTGTTTTTTAAGAAAGCTATAAAAACGTGGTTCAAATAACCTCATTTTTACATCATTTGAGCTGTTATATCTTCTTCTATTACTTTTTCTTCAAGAATTCAGGACAAATAATCTAAATATGTTGTAAATCCGGTTCAAAGATTGCAATTATTGGACTTGGTCGTTCTGATCAAGACTTTTTCTCAACTTGAGGGTCTCTTTTGAGGGTCGATGCGGGTAGTGAGGGTCCCCTTGAGGGTCGCTGCGGGTAAGCGAGGGTCTATTTGAGGGTCGCTGCGGGTAAGCGAGGGTCTATTTGAGGTTCATTGAGGTTCGTTTATTATGCTAGCCAATCAGATCTAGCTATGTGGAAACAAAAGATGATAGATCAATTCTAGCATATAGAACAGGGATGAACGGATGCCCCAAGAATCTTGCGTATCTTTTTCTACAAATTAAACAGTAAGTTCCTCACTCTCTTCTTCCTCAGTCATAGTACTATCTTCTAGTTACTAAATCTGTCATGTCGCAGCTCTCCGATGTCTACGCATTATCTAGCTTCGATGGGGTGCAATTAGACATGCTACAATACCTTGTTCCTAACGATTCCCTATCCCAACGCGAAAGCCAGAGTCAACTACTATCCGAAAGTCAGTTTGGATCAGTTCCAGACCTTCTAGACCTTCCAACCCATCGATCGCGCGTGGCACCTTAGGCCCCAGACACTCTTATACGAATCAAACCAGACCGTATTAATGAGTACGTTGTCTTTACAACTACAATGACCGCAGAATTTATTCAGTGGTGGCTTGAAACCGACTTTGGTAAGAAGAAGCGGATCAACTGGGATGTGAACTGTCGTGCAGAGTGCTGGAAAGGGTTTCAACAAGTTGCAAATACCAAAGATGGGAAGCCAGGCGTTATATGCAAACGGTGCCGTACAATTCTTGAGCACCCAACTACCAACCATACTGGAACCTCATTGATGCAGAAACATCTCGATGGGCTAAGGTGCCGACAGCGAATACCGAAGAAGGGTAATATCCAGCAACTACTTAGTGACGCAGTATATTTGAACCAGCCTATATTTAATATTAATACTAATACTATTTTCACTATTATTTAGGCTGAGAGAAGACTAGTGCCTACCTTTACCCAGTAAATATGGGAGCAGAAGATCCTAAACCTGATCACTGTATTGTATTTACCCTTCCTATTTGTCGAATATCAAGAATTCCACGACCTCCTTTCCTACGCACGGCTAGCACCCACACTACTAAGTGTTCCATCAAGAAAGGTGATTCGTGAGCGCCTTCAGGATTTTGTTATAGAATATCAACAGGAGACACTACAACGGCTTCCATCTAGTGTAAGAATGTCGATTGCGCTTGACTGTTGGACTTCTCCATTCCAGCAAGCATTTATAGCTATCACAGGATACTTCCTAGACCAGGAATGGGAGTATCGCGAGGTTCTCCTTGGGTTTAAGTTAATATCTGGATCTCATACTGGAGTGAACCTCGGTAGGGTTGTTCTCCAGATCCTAGAGAAGCACCAGATCGCTGACCGTATACTGGCGGTGATAACTGATAATGCGTCTAATAATAAGACACTTATTGCAGCGGTGAATGATTCGACTAAGACGCTACAGCAAGAGATAGATTCTACAATTATCCAAGTGCCCTGCCTTATGTATGTTATTCAATTGAGTCTAACTGATTTACTTGGTAAAATTAAGGCCGCCCTGAAGAATAACAACACCGAGATGGAATGGTCTGAAGATCGTGTACATTCACTTTGTGTACGCTAGCAGAAACATGAGATCGCCGATACTCTAAATAAGGTAAGCTTAAAGCTTCTATTTACGAATTATAATCCAATACCGATAATAATCCTTATAGGTTCGCGGCCTTGCAGTTTATATCAACGGAAGCCCTCAACGTAAAGAAGCCTTCTTGAATCTTCAATCTAATAATGCTGGGATAAGGCTTCTTCTAATCTAGGATGTCCGTACACGATGGAATTCGATATTTCTGATGCTTCGGCGGGCGAAAAGACTTTATGACATATTCGATAAGTACTGTAAGGACTATACCCAAACCCATTTTGTATTGAGTATTGAGGGGTGGCGGCAGATTGACTATCTACTTTGTATTCTCTAGCCCTTTTTTACGCTTACTACGCTAGTTTGTCGTACTAAAGACTTGAGTATCCACCTTATCTTTAGGATTTATAACAAGCTTTTTGATCATCTTGAAAGATTAATTCGTTAGCTTCGTTGAAAGAAAGTTCACTGGAAATAGCTGATGCTTTCCTCTCTTGAGGCTGCGAAGGAGAAACTGAAGAAATACTATGGCGAGACAGATGATATCGAAGGTAATCTTTATGCAATTGGGACGATCTTAGCGCCATCAAGTAAGATGGAGTTCTTTTCAACAGGTGATTGGGACCTAGATCCTGAGATAGGAAAGGACTATAGAAAAGAATACCGCAAGAGTCTTCAGTCTCTTTTCGAGAGATATAGCCAACGTATACCATTAGATATGATACAGCCTAATAGCCAGTTATTAATAACTGAATCGGAGCTAGAGAGGGCCCTTGACGGTGATTCTTCACTACGATCAATTGCTCCACAGTACGACGAGCTCACCAAATATCTCCAGAGTGGTAAGTAAATAAGCCTATGTGATGAATTATATAACTAACCTTACCTGATTAGATACTATTAAAGGATCTGTTCGGATCTTCTGGAAAGATCATCAGAGAGAGTTCTCTGTTCTTACAAGTATTGCCCGTGATATCATGTCAATTCCAGCAACTGGTGCCGGAGTTGAGCGTCTGTTTAACTCTGCTTGGGATGTATGCCACTACCGCCGGGGTCGTTGAATCCAGAGACTATTCGTGATATTATGTTGTATATGTGTATAACAAAATTTGATATTGAGGAGGAGCAGCGGCTGATTCTCCAAGAGTATCTCTTAGACTATGAGATAGCAGCTTCGGCAGAAGTACTTGATGTCCAGATATATACCTTCGAGGCTATCAGTGATGACGAGGAGGAGGATATTGAGTTGTGTCTTGATACACCGGCTGCTGTATCAATTATGCAAACAACCCCAAACGTACCGCCACTCTCAGCGGTTGCCGCTGGAAAGCGGCCTGCGGTCACTTCTGGTGATAAGGAAGATTCTGATGCCGATGGATTTGTGAACCCGGAGGAGAATCTATTATTATCCTTCCCTAATACGCAGCATCGTGTATCAGGTAGGATACGGAAGAAGTCGAGACTACTGGATGGGTATATAGTTTGACTCTTGGCTTGTTAGAACTATGACTAGACACTATGCTATAGATGTAATGTAAACCATTCAAAAATTAAACCCCTATTCGAGGATGAACCTATGGATGCAATAAGGAGTGTATCCTCCTGTAAGGCTATACAATGATGAAGTTTTTAGTTTACAATTACAATGAAATACAGCTTGTTTCTACATAATTTATGCAATTGACGCCCAGTCACGTCTTTTACCTGTTTGTTATGTTTGACGACCCTCAGGGTCCCCGCGGGTAACCCTCATGAGGGTCGGCCTGGGTACGACCCTCCCCGCGGGTCCAGGTCTCGGACCCTGACCCTCCGCATGGGGAGGTGAGGGTCAGGGTCGTGGAGGGTACCCGCGGGTTCTAGCCAGGTCTATCTAGACCATTTTAATTAGATCTCAAGACTACAGTATTATAGCCTCAGTGGCTCGGATAAGTCGCTATAGACAGCTCGGTAAGGTAAAAATAGTGTAGGTCAAGTTTTGGTTTTGACTTACCTTCGGGGGTGGTCCCGGCCTCCTTTTTAAACTACATTCTGTCTATTCTTATTATACTGTCGTACGAACCTGTCTAACCTAGCTCCTAATACGTATCTGCCAGATCTATACCCTAACAATATATAAAGATAATAATTTTGATAGCCTAAAAATATTCTTCTATTCAATTTCAATCCAATTCAAGATTATATAACCTAATTCAGCCACACTTTCGAACGTAATAGCATAGGTGTTCCCTCCATCAGGAACCAGAATTATCCTAACAGTTATACCAAATATACAAGAGATATAGGGAACGCAGTAAAAGTACCTATATACCACCAGAGTAGATACATCACCTTACCTACCTGCCTCATACACATACAGGCATCCCCTAAAAACGAGGAGCTGGATCCTCTTAGGAGGACCAGCGATTAGTCTGAATGTCGTCATACCAATATTAAGCACATATTACATTCTTCACTTATATCCTTATCATATCAGGACGCCCTCAGTAGATTATCCTAGCAGGCATCCTAAGTTGGTTACACCATCACACAGCCCCTAGCTAAAAAATGAGTTGTTTCAGAAATAAGACTACATACACAGGGTATTGAATAAACTACAATTCTCTATACTACCAGATTAAAGCTAATAGACTGCATCATTTCGCACTATACATCAAATTTTGAATTAATAAGGGAACAAATATCTCCACTATAACAATAATAGTGGCTACCGGTAGCAGCTATTTCACCGCTAGACAAACAAACCGCACTATACATCAGCATATAGACTCACTGACCAGGCCCCATCATCACCGATCCTCACCCTCAACTCTCACTCACCATTGATACACCATCAACAGATTATCAACACACTATCAACCACCATCAAACCTCACCTTCAACCCTCACCTTCAACCCTCACCCTCAACATATATCATCCCTCCTCACCGTTAACAATACTTATATCTCACTACATCCAGACAACTTCCACTGCTACTAATAGCCTACAGAGACAAGTATTCACACCAATAATCACCACTTGAGATTTCAGTGGCCACCCAGATTGGCCACCATACTATCAGACACTAGGATACTGACCACTCCTATAACTCACAACTCTATATAATATATAGAGAGGAGAAGTTTATCTCAAAGCTCAGAATATAATTAAATATTATACGCAAATTACGCAAACCAAGGACATGAATAGCGGCACCTACAAACAAAGCTAAACAGCATAATTCACAAAGTCTCTGAGAGGATTCTTGATTTCTATTATCCTTTGGAGCAGTTTTAGCTTCTTCAAGTAACTCCCTCGAATATTAGTCTTTGACACCACAAAGAGAAACCTACATATCACCAGAGGATCAGGAGGAGCACCGCAGCACCACGGGCTGCCTAAACAAGCACAACTTTGATAACATAGGGCTTAAGGATACATAGAAGCTCAAAATTATACAATCACAGGGCTCAAGGCTGTGAGGGAGAAACTGGTATCACAGCGGTCTCCTACAGAGCGCACTCTTACAACACAGGGATCATCGATACAAGGGAGAACTTATTAACGCAGCACTCTCCTACGGATATTTTTTCATCACAGATCCCAACTACAGAGTTTACTTCATAATACAGCACTCCCCTACAAATAACACTTAATAACGCATAGCCTACTCTACGGACAACACCCCAAGTGGCCTCAGAGTATATAAGAAGGAAAGTCATACTTTCTTTTTAACAGAAAAGGTACGTCTTTTATGCTGTTTCGAGTACGCTTTCCGACAGCAACCATCTGCGTGGAATTATACCAGAGCCAGAGATTTCTATTCGCGATTCGTGCCAAGCAGCCACAATTTTGCTAGGCGTTAAGGCGGTTTATTAAACGTTGAAATGATAATTTTTAAGCGCTCAGGGTAGAGGACAGGTAGAGTGGCTGGATCCACCTAGAGCTACGGTTGCCGTCGGGCTAGGCCAGGAGAATTATTCGCCTCACTAACATTATTAATCTAGGTAAAACAGTTTTCAATTTAGCTATCAAGTCGATCTCCCACAGCATCGAAGTTACGTTTGTAGGCTTTTCCATCCTAGCTAGCTTAGTACGTCCTTTCAAATCTGGACATACATCTACTCTATCCTTACTAAGTCTATCTGATATAGTGCTGAGTGAGCAAATCTCCAGTTATGTTAGAGCTCAAGTGACTCCCTACTAGACTAGCCCAAGCTTAATAAGCCTGCTGTGCATGCAGGGGGCTCTTCTCCCAGCAGGATACACAAAAAGCAATAGCTAGGTTGCACCTATCACTAGATGCAGACTTGTGAGTTTAACTGTGAAGCCAAGTTTCTGCGAGCTGTAGATTGGAACAATTTGTCGATTGAAGTAGAGAAATATAATCTATCAGACACTAGTTTGTTCTGATAGAGGATTATGTCCCGACATTCAGAAAGCTAAGAGCTTCAGTTACTGCTTGACCAGGCTAATCACAAAGATCGTTCTCAACCATGAAGCTCTTCTGCAGTTATCTGTTTCTACTACCCACGTTCTGATCCTTCTTCGCCATGCACAGAAGTTCCTGCAGAACGAAGACGTGTGTATTTTTACCCATCACGAGCGCCACCTATTGGAGTTACTCGGCTACGCTGTCTGGCGGGATCAGGCACCAGTTATCGATACTCGATAGGATAGATAGACTGATTACATTTCAAATTTCCACTTCCCAGGCTGCTGTTCGCCTACCTTGCATTATATGGCGCTTGTTTTCATAGATACTAGCTAGTTTCATACATTACAATGTATATATTGATAAGCGGTGTTATTTTCTAGCCAGTCTGATGTTTTCCCGAGATATGGGTGCAATACAGCAAAATACGCGACTAGGCCAAAAAGCGTACACACACTAAAGAGCGCTTTTATATAGTATTTTCTGTTCTGATATACATTAGGAAAGAAAGAATACAGCAATGATCCGTTGATCAAATATTACCGTTCTATTTGATATTTCATCGTATCTCGTGGCGAGTATGCATAGATATCATATCGGTCTTCACAATACAGTGCAGCAATACAGAAATCTAGCTATCCAAACCAGGGCAGTTCTCGCTCACCTTGGCGGTAATAGAAGAATAAGGTGAAGGATCAGTCCAGATAATATTGAAGCTATACATCAAGTTAGCAGATTGGCTCCAACTCAAGGCTTTCACAGCTGGCACACATACCTATCATCAGGATAATTCGGCGCGTCTTTATCACCAAGTTTCTTAACAATATCCGTCAAAGCATTATGCTGCCAGCAAATTAGAATATTGCCAGTTCCACTATACCCATCGACCACATCCTTCACGCAGTCCGGATCATCCCGCTCGCACGATGTATCGACAGTCAGACCCAGGTCAGTAGCCAGGGGCTGGACAGTGTCGAGAGGTCGTTGGCGTTTACCATCTATGTTAAATCAGCACTGTTTCATGCTTTGCTCTAGAATAAAGAGGGAACACACCGCTCTTAGGCATCTGGGCCATGATATATCCGATGTCATACTCGGAGCTCGATCCAAAGACATTTCGCAGACATTGTGCACGCTGCACGCCCGCGACACTGAGTCCATTTCCGTCTTCAGGCTTTTCGCCGTGGCGGATTAAATAAACCGTTGGTGAGCTTGTTACGAGCGTTGCGGCTGCGAAGAGGGAGATGAGGGATAGGTTGACCATTTTGCTTGTTTGCCTCACTTTGCGACCAGAGAAAGAATGATTGAATCTGAATTTTCTGATCGAGCCTGGAGTAACTCAAGTGTGATGAATGATAGATATTTATATTTTTCCGCTAGGTTCCTGCGTTAATATCCGATCCAACCAAGGTTGGCCCGATGCACAACTTCCGCGTGAACCGTCTTGGCCGGTCACCCGAAACGTGAACCTTGTTGGCCGGTCAAATCCCATGGGGCCCCCGGGGGCTGGGTTGGGCCTTTTGAAAAAACCCATAAACCGTCAAAACCCATCGATGGGTTCTGCCGAAGTCTAACGACCACCTACACCATCAAACAACCGGCCAAATAGCAGATCTAGCCAGTTTACGCCAACAACACCTAAAATTACAGTTCAGCTACAGAAGCAAGCCTTAGTACTTCAAGATCTATTAAAATAGCGGTCAAATAGCCCTCTGAGCCCATCAAAAACTATGCTAGACCAGATCATCAAAGATCACTACATAGCACTACACAACACCACTCTACTAGCACAAGAAAACGCTACTCCACATATAGCGAATGAGAAAGTAGTAAAAAACGTAATCAGTCAAATACGCAAATACCCTGCGAAGCGGGCTTAACTGTCGAAGAAGGTCTACAGCTAGTTACGCAGCTAGACTTGCTAGCAGAAGTACCTAGTTTAGATTCCCATATACAGGGTGAATTGCCTACTCAGGCAGATCAACCAGTGAAGAGAGCTCCGCCTAGGTGTAGTGGGTATAGGAAAATTGGTCACAGGAAAATTCCACGTAAAAATCGCTATGTCTAGTTGAATGAAATGGTGTTTGTTGTGATAATCGATTTTGAAATTCAATGAGAGGCAGGGTGATCGGGACGGCCGGGTAATCGGGACGGCCGGGTAATCGGGACGGCCGGGTACTACGTTACAAATATAAAGCATGATGATAGGCGCTCCACCGCTTTCAACAGGCACCATCTGTGCGAGTTGGGAAGCTGTTCCTATTGGGAGACTGAATCAATCTTTTGGGTTGGCCGAGTATTGGACTGGGCCAGTAAAGTCGCAGCCCGTGCAATTTCAGGTCACGTGTGGGATGCAGGCCTCTGCAATGGACATGTCACACTATGGTACTGTCTCTTATCGATTTTCTGGTCATGCGGGTCATCGATGTCCAAGCCAGGTTCTATCGGTATGGATACAGGATGGCATTCCGACATTCCTGCATCCTCCAAGAGCTTGTCAATGAAGACGGGTTGTGGCAATTGATGCCTGCTTCTGTTTGTTCAACCCGGAGCCCAAGGTAGTGCTTCATCTTGCCGAGGTCCTTAATAGGGGTTTTTTGCCCATTTCGGCGAGGACCCATTGTATTTCGGCGCAGTTAACCCTGATAGTTCGGGGGTTTATGGGCAGTGACGTACAGTTTCAGCTTTGTCCTTTGAATGAATAGTCTAGTGTCATAAGAGATAAAACTCAGAATCCAATTGCCTCCAGCTTCTCCTGAAAGGTGTCGTAGAGGGCCTGACCAAGCTTGCAGACAAGAGCTCCTCTCCCGCTTTTCTCAAAGCCATGCGGCTGGCGCATGTATACTGAATTTGTCAGTTTCACATTCAGGAATGCTCTGATTGCACCAGCCTGGGCGACGACGGCCGCTGCTGTGTCTACCCAGAGGGTTTGATACCCGTTGGAAATATTTCCACAAATTACCCACCGCGTTTTATATCGCGTGTTGCCATCAACCGCCTGCTTCTTCGTGAATACCCACTTGCCAGGATAGGGTGAAGTCCAATTAGAAACAGTTCTTCCTAACTCTCACAGGTTATGGCCTTACATTGAAAAGTCCCCTACGCTACATTGCTATATCTTGAGGAATAACTCGGTCAAATCGGTACACCAGGTTCACCCTATCTTGAACCTTTGTTTGACGGCGATATTTGGAGGTTATCTCTGCAGCACACCAATCATGCCGCGAGGAAGACAGCCCCTGAATCTTAAACCTGAATACGCTCAGACAAACCCCTGGAATGATGGTACTGACCTTGGGGATGGAAGAATCCACCCACATCTCTGAGGCGTGAAATGCCTGATGCAGACATCAGGGCAATATTGAGCCAGCTCACTACGAGTGCTTCAACACTTATGCGGAACCAGACTAATTTCATGCACAGCCAGGCAGAACAGCATCGCAGGCTTGACGCATTGTCCCAATCGACATCTCGAGAAGCTCTCAAACCACCATATTCTTCGCCAATCATAGAGAACAGACTGGGCTTAGTGGCTTGCCTATATGTGCACTCGACAACCTTGATGTCATAATCCATGATTTGTATAACTTGATTTCGGAAACCGGCTATCACGGTTCATCAAAACGAGGCTGGACTATTTCTTTAGCGTCCGAGGAGATGGAGAACCATTTGTCAATTGAGGCATTAAACAATTGACGTGAGTCCTTCAATATCGTTCCATCACGCAAATATCAAAGAAGGAACACCGGACATTACCTCCATTTCACCGCATTTCGAAGGACCAATCGAACCAGCAATTCCTCGCCGTTCGAAACTCAATTGATGTTTACACACTCACCACCAATGTACCATTTAAGCCTTCACTCAGGACTCCACTACAATGGCGACTCCGATAGTCGCTGATTCATACTTAACCTCCGACAAGCCCATTCCGACTGGCTCGGCACAATCCGCATTAGGCACGTAAATTCTGTTGAATGACGGCCCGGAGGCTTTCAGGTGGTCTTTTCAACGCCATTCGAGTTCACCATCTTACGTGAGGTAAGAGACGATATGAATTCAAAAGCAGCAGCCTGATAGGGATACTTTATTGTACAACAGGTCGCGTGCCGAGCTCCCGGTCTAAGGTGCCGGACCAAGTGTGTTCAGATGTAGCTGAGGCCGAATATATATACCTTCGGTGAACGGATCTATTGTCATTATACTTGCTACAGATATATCCTCACAACAGCTCCTCTCCCTTTAGCATATAAAATTCCTTGTTCTATTAAATCTTCCCAGTCAACTTAACAGACTGACCACTGACCGCAATGAACATCTCCGTTCGCTCAAACTGTATCCATCTCGGCGGTGGAGATGCCATTCTCAGCAGCAACTCTGTCCGCTATGACCAAGTAATGTATGCTTTGCTTGCAGTTGTCATTACTTTTGTCAGTCTCAAAAGATTCACGGCTGGCTGCGATTTGTTCTGGCGCCTTGTTTGGTCTATTGAGGGCATATTGGGCGGTGCTCCTCATACCCTAACCCTTCCTGGTCCGCCCGGTCTTCCGTTTGTCGGCAATCTTCTTCAAGTGAGCTGTTTCGATCGTGACGTTTTTCGCTTGACTGACTTTTGCTTCAGCTGGAGAAGGGCCATGTCCAGAAGATCAGCGAATGGACCAAGTTGTATGGTGATGTGATCCGAGTGTCCTTGGGGAATCGTGAGGCAGTGTTCATCAACAGCCATAAGGCACTGGCGCAGACTGTTGTCCAGCAAGGGCCTGCTTATCAGTCGCGTCCCACCTTTAAGCTATTTCATAGCGACTACGCCTCCTCGGGTATCTGGACCGTTGGTAGTGAGTGTTCTTCAACCCTTTGCTAGTAGGCCGATGCTCACTCGTCATTCTCCCATAGCTTCACCGTTTAGCGAGCGCCTAGTCCGTACACGCAAGGCATTAACTTCTCAGATTGCTCCTCGAATTCTGCCAATCTACACCCCAGTCATCCATCCCAAGCTCAAAAGGCTGCTCGGAGAAGTTCTCGAGATCAGCCAAGGTCCTGCACTCGACATGGCTGAGAAGCTGCATCGTTTTGGTACGGGCCAGGTCTCGGAGCAGTTGATGGGACAACCACTTGACGAAGAAACCGTGGCATTGCTGGCTGAGAATGAGACCAATATCTGTGAGTTCCCCTACAACGAAATCGACTTTCGTGTACTGAACCTATCTACAACCCCAGTTCGTCAGCGCACCATTGGCTCACCACTTCGAGACTATGTGCCCGCCCTCAGTGCTGCCCTCCGGGTTCGCTATGCAATTGGCAGGATTCTCGGTATCCAAACATGGGCACATGATGAAAAGACCGAAAAGGCCCGCGAGTTCCGAAGATTGCAGCAAAGCTACATTAGCAAGATGATAGGGGACCTCAAAGCGCGCGTAGCAGCCGGAGACCAGACCCCCTCGATCCTAGGTAACATCTTCCGTGAAGGAACTTTGAAAGAAGAAGAGATTCTCTTGGCCGCCTACACGGGCAGTATGTCTTGTTCTCCTACCCCCTATTCACAGTTGAAAGCCCCCTCCTCTAATGATATCACTCGTCGCAGTCGCTGCCGGTGTCAACCTGGGTTACTCGCTGACTTGGATTATCGGGTACCTCGCCAACCGGCCAGACCTTCAGCAGAACGGGTTCGAGGCTATCCAGCAGGTGTATAACGGCGAGCCACCGCAACCGCACGAATTCGACCGGGTCGCCTATATCAAGGCTCTACATACTGTGCGTAAACCCGACTCCCCTTTAATCCTGACAGTAACCAACTCCAAAAAACTACACAGGAAGGCTCCCGGATCTTTACACCCGTTCGTCTCGGCTTCCCCCGCGAGACCCTGGATGGTGCCAGCTACGGGGGCCACAAGATTCCGAAAGACACGGTAAGCCACATGATCCTGTAGGATATATATGCTCCCCAGAACTCCATCATTGACAATCCCAGCTCGTCATCATGAACCTCCATGCAGGAAACTGCGACCCCAACTCCTTCGACCGCCCCGATGAGTTCCTCCCCGAACGATGGTTAGACGGGCGCAAAGGCCGGACCGACCTTCCGGGCGAAGGAGGCGACAAGCTCGGTGTGCCACACTTAACCTACGGTGCAGGGCGTCGTGTCTGCCCTGGAATAGACAGTAGGGCCTTTTCCTTCCTCCACCATTCCATCCATCACCATACTGGCCCTGGCTTACCTTGACCTTCCTATAGTGGCAAACCGCGGCCTCTATTCAACACTCGTCCTCCTCCTGTATTTCTTTTCCTGGGAGCGCCAACCCCTAGGCGAAGAGGCTAAAAAACACGTTTTCCCGCCGTTTCGCGCTGAGCGCGAGTGTTCGCTTGAGATGGACGCTATTGCTGATACAGCGACGCCGACGGAGGCCCAGGCTATTCCGTGGTCGGCTGGGATTAAGTTCCATTGTCGGGATGCGGAGGGGCTGAGGGAGTGGCTTGCCTCTCCAGAGCACTAAGCTGGGGTGGCGTCTCTTAATCTTGCGAGAGCGTAAAGTTGTGAGTGGTTATATTCCAGTTGCATTATAGCCTAAGTAAGACGTAGTTATGATGCGAATAAATGGAAAGTGACTTTATCAGTGCAAATTTGGACTATGAATTCAAAGATGACGGAGGACAACCGGAGTTGATTCATTATCGTGATAGATCTCGGGACGTTACATAAATCGGAAGCAGCAATTCAGCGAAGTCGGATTTAGAGTAGGACCAACAAACTATCCAATATTGACGCATTCTGCGGAACCATAGAGGGATGTGCCAACCTCCTAGAAGAGCTTAGCTCACCGTATATCCCGCCTGAGTAATAGCTATGCACTATATCTTGTGCTCCCGTGGTGCTTAATTCAGTCTAAGAACTCACAAAACTTTCCCGTCTAGTCATGCACACCAGAGCCTCGTCGAGACACTTAGCTTTGAGGTCCCAGCTTCACACGGTACTATACGTTTCTGAGTGTGACCGCTTATACATGATTGAATGACTCAGAGCCTGTTATAGGTGGCCCTAACCCAAGGGAGCTGGTGCAGTCTAGTAGACTACATAGCAGTGAGTAGCTCTTGAGTATAGGTAGTATTCACCCTACCAAGTAGACTACAAGCAATTTCTTTCATATAATAAATCTCAGATTTTCAGAAGTTCTAAGTTTGTACAAGATCTATACCTAGTTTCACTTTTAGATATTAGTATATACTATAGTAGTCGTATAATTTAACCCTAAATTACCTGAAGCCCCAGAAATCTTTTAACAGAGTATAACTGGGAGGGCTTACTTTTCTATTTTTAACCTAGATGAAAGTTTTTATAATACAGTTAATAGTTTTATATAATCTCTGAATATATATTACTACTTTATAAACTACTTTCCTAGTACTTTATAGACTTCATTAATTTAACTACTATTATAGAAACTAATATTCTCTCCCTTATCTGAAAAATTTTTACTTCTCTTTCTACCTTACGTATTCTTATCTATTATAACCATTAATCTATTATATAACCATAAGACCTGAGGTCTTACAAGCAACAAGGAAGGTCTGAATAGCTTCAAGAAATACCTATTAGGTAATAGGTACAGAAGATTGGTGATCAAATAAGTAATCAATAAGAATAGTGTTCAGAATAATTAAAGATAATGATTTTTTTTTCAAGATTGATAGGGGGAAGGAGGCCCTAAACATATTAAGTAATATTTTTATAATAGCACTTTATTTCTTTGCTATTAAAACCTCTCTTATTTAGATTTAAGGGGTTCAAATACATCTAAATCACTTGGTATGCCACCGCGGAGACGTGAAGATATCCGTAGTAAAGCTTTATCTTGGACTTTATGCCGAAGAGCCATTACCTCTTCAGTTCGAGCAGCGATCCAAGCATCGTCGTCAAGAGGTGTCGTCTGTATCAAATCAGATTTGAGTTAAATTTTTGAGTATTCAGAGACTCACTTTGCAGAGATGATCTGGAGAACAAAATTGTCTGCCCAATAATGGCGTTGACAGCGCTCGCAAGATCCGATATCGATTGCCGAAGCTGCCTGGCATTTTGAAACGGAGCAGCCCCAAAACTTGAATCTGAAGGCATAGGTAGTCATTGGCAGGGATATATTATCCTCTAGGTTCTCTTGGCACCTGGGCAGATAAATCACTCGATGATGATTACAAGGTCTGGTCACTAATTTCCCTCCTAGGAAGCGAGAGCGAAGTGACTGCACTGGAGCTGAATGTGAAAGTGCGAATATTTCAGGATGGTAAATATGATGATCACTGCTAGTTATTACGGCCCGTTGTGCTCTTTTGGTTTCAAAATTCACTTTGCGGTGAGGTAAGATCCAGGAAAAATTGACGCTGGGTGCGGGATTACTCTGTTGGGCCATCCGAATTATCTGTGCAGCTTATTGCAGGTTCCGAGAAAGCCTTGCCGTGTGCAGAAGCACCTGGTCAGAAAGTTCGAGGATAGTGGTGGATTTGAAGGTCAGGAGAGGCTGAGGCAGTGCCTGCAATGCCCGTCAAAACTAGGTATTTATCTTGTATCGTTTGGCTGCATACTAGTTTAAGACCCCCTACTGATTTATACACAGTGTTTAACTAAATGTTGTGTTCTCAGTAGCCCCGCAATTCAAAAGTAAGGGTGACTGGAAACAGTCTTGTTCACTATCTCTTCCATACAATCCCAATGTTCCACAATGCAAGAGCCAATGGTTCTATAAACATCATAAACATTGTAGGGTGCCTGACCATCCGTCAACGCCTTGATGTGAATTGTTGTGTACTCCGGGCCAACCATCACCCTCGTGACCTGTGCTGAGTATTAGTACATCGCTCCCATAAGTTTCAGAGAAGAACCAATTACCTCGAATATGTTCCCTTTTTGGCCGAATAATGGCTTCAGGGCTTCAATAGCTTCGTTCCTCCCATCAAGGATGTTTGGGTTATGCTGGATATAATTTGCTGCAACATATTGGTCAAAAGCCCCCTTGACATCTTTTTCGATGTAGAAAATATGTGCAAACCGATCCATTGCCGCCTGTAGGTCATGCTGATCTAGGAAAACGTTTGTAGTTGTCGGACAAATGAATTTATTAATGGAATTCATTTTGGCCCCTTCTGAACGAGGAAAGTAGAAGGCAGATGTGAGCCCGATACATATAGAACTTAAATATAGAACGAAGAATGTTAGGGATAGCATGATTTCCAACCTTGGAAGGCGATATGCCCAGTGTGAGCTAAATATTTCGTGAAAACAAACTCTTGATTTTTCTTTACTAGTGTATCTATTCTCCTTGATTCGCTATCTAAATACTCTTGACCAGATTGCCGAGGTGGACCAAGGACGGAGGTGAGGTGGGCACTAACCAGTTAACTAGTAGTTAGTCCTTCCGATGTGGACGCGACCGATGTGGGCGGGACTTGACTACTACTAGTTAACTGTCAGTACGTATTCAGTGCGCTACCTAGGCAGGGCTTCGCAAAGCCTACAAGTGATCCCTGATCAGTGATATTTCAATATACAATAGATTGTCCTCGGTCCCCGAAGTCCAGAATAAACTAAGAATCGTAGAAAAATTTCCAAAGTTATCTAGTACTGCCAGGTAAACAACATCCGTGGGCGTACGCTATTACCAGCCCTGTAACTTTCTAGTTCTACCGGCAAACAATCGAAGTATTAGTATAGCATTTGACCTAGTCCATAGGTAAAGGTACCAGTAGCAGGTCAGTTGAGGCGTCTAAATATTCATAGTACGATTACTAGTACACTGACCGCGGAGTGGTGGTGTGAAATTCCCGCGGTCTGGGGATTCCCCACAGTTTTCTCGGGCCAAATTCCGCAGTTGTACCCATTTGCATCCAGTTACATCATAGCAAAGCTTTGATTCACCGAGGCCCGCACTTGTTTCCATTCCTAGCGCGGGTCGACCAATGTCAAGTGGAGGCGGGATCAGCATTCCGCACTCCGCGCCCATTCGTCGGCCAATGTTAATTGGTTTGAATGCAATAATGAACCGCGTTAAATAGGGTAACTCTGGCGGTTGTCAGGTTCCCCGCGATTTCTGATTTAAATAGTTGGGAGGCTCCCCTTCTTCTCGATTCTCACACCCTTCGCCGCCATGACCGTTCAAACGCTTGCAATTGCTGTGGTCACGGTCGTTTACCTTATCATCAAATATCTTAATCGCACCGATGTCCCCAAGATCAAGGGTCTACCGGAGATCCCCGGTGTTCCCCTCTTCGGTAACCTGCTTCAACTTGGAGACCAACATGCAACCGTCACTGGGAAATGGGCAAAGAAGTTTGGCCCGGTCTTTCAAGTGCGCATGGGAAATAAGGTATGGAAGTGATTTTGAATAAAAATCGCCGAGGGGTAACACGCTAACTATAACCTAGCGAATTGTCTTCGCTAACAGCTTCGAATCCGTGCGCCAACTCTGGATCAAAGACTCATCCGCTCTAATCTCACGCCCGACATTCCACACTTTTCACAGCGTTGTGTCTAGCTCCCAGGGCTTCACGATCGGAACCTCCCCGTGGGATGAATCTTGCAAGCGTCGTCGGAAGGCCGCCGCGACAGCCTTGAATCGCCCTGCAGTGCAGTCATACATGCCAATCATTGATCTTGAAGCCAACTCAAGCATCAAAGAATTGTACCGCGATAGCAAGAATGGCACCGTCGACATCAATCCCACCGCCTACTTCCAGCGATTTGCTCTCAATACCAGTCTGACTCTGAACTATGGCTTCCGCATTGAAGGAAATGTGGATGATCAGTTGTTGAAAGAAATTGTCGATGTCGAGCGTGGAGTGTCCAACTTCCGTAGTACTTCCAACAACTGGCAGGACTACATTCCGCTATTGCGCATATTCCCCAAGATGAATAACGAGGCTCAAGAATTCCGGGCCCGCCGTGACACGTACCTGACCTACCTTCTCAACATTCTGAAAGATCAAATTGAAAAGGGCACAGACAAACCTTGTATTACCGGAAACATTCTCAAAGACCCCGAGGCAAAGCTAAATGATGGTGAGTATTTATAACACATGCATACCTTTGTTCCCTCAAAGTCAAAAAGTGATTAACCAATATTTTTAGCGGAGGTGAAATCGATCTGTTTGACTATGGTCTCCGCAGGCTTGGACACAGTCCCCGGAAACCTGATCATGGGCATTGCATACCTCGCATCCGAAGATGGCCAACGAATTCAGAAGAAGGCCTATGACGAGATTATGAAAGTTTATCCGGACGGAGATGCCTGGGAGAAGTGCCTGGTTGAGGAGAAGGTCCCTTATATCACGGCCTTGGTCAAGGAAATTCTGCGATTCTGGACTGTCATTCCAATCTGTCTACCCCGAGAAAGCACCAAAGACATCGTGTGGGATGGCGCGACCATCCCAGCTGGCACCACCTTTTTCATGGTAAGATCCTCATAATTTGGCATCTGATTGTCTTATGACACTCTACTGACACCTGTGAAGAATGCTTGGGCGGCAGATTACGATGAAGATCATTTCAAGGATGCAACAAAATTCATTCCTGAGCGCTATCTCGATCTTGGTGAAGCCCCTGGCACTCCCCATTATGGTTATGGTGCTGGATCTCGCATGTGTGCCGGCTCACATCTCGCGAATCGCGAGCTGTTTACAGCCTTTGTGCGTCTGATCACTGCTTTCCACATGCAACCAGCAAAGCAGACAAGTGATCGGCCTATACTCAATGCAATCGACTGCAATTCCATTGCGACAGCCCTAACCACAGAGCCAAAGCCGTTCAAGGTGGGCTTCACAGCACGCGATCCGAAGAAATTGGAGCAATGGATAGATGAGAGTGACGAACGGACGAAGGATCTGTGATCTTTCCTGCTTTAGTTTTAGTTTCGTCATTATTCTATTTGCTATTTTTTTTTTATCTCAGCGAAGGGCATTTATTATACCTTGAGGATTTCATTAGACGGCATGTGTGTTGTATATTGTACTAGTTAGTTAGTGATTTGGTCAAAGTGGTACAAGTGGTACAAGTGGCCCACAGTAGAAAGTCAAAATGCGGTGTGAAAAAAGGGGGAATCAACAAGGAAATAAATGGAAATAAATCATATTAACATTATCTGAATAATCCTTTCAATATAAGTGGCTAGGGTAATAGTAGCATAGATTCCCAGATTCTGCCAATAAAATGCGTCATATACCCATATATCCATTAATTCATCAATCCATACTTAACTACTAGTAAAATTGAACCACGCCAAGTCCGGGGAAAAGCGCCACCGCGCGGAATTCCCCGCACTTTCCTCTTCGCCCTTTTTCCAACCTTCCAAGGTTGTCGCTATTGCTCATTCTCATTACCACACTAGTGCCACACTTGTGCATCACCTCTCACCTATCCCCTGTTTCAAGATTGCACAGAATGAATCTTCTGCAGACTTCTGCAGACCCTGAGTGGGACAAGGTCACCGCAATTGATGATGCGCAGGACGAGAATGAGCCCGAGCGCCCGCGCAAGAAACGTCGCAAGTACATTGCAAGAGCCTGGTATGCTGCCCCTGTGGCCATGTGGTTCCGCAAGTCTGAAATCGCAACCCTCTAACCGGTAAACCAGCAACGAATGCAAGCGCCGAAAGATCAAATGCAATGGACAAGCTCCATGCCAGCGTTGTGGCCGACAGCGCCTCGAATGTGTTTACGTCGAGAATGCTCAGCGCGATAGTCTCAGTGAGCACGAGTATGTCACTTTTCACTACTAAAAGCATGGCAAAGAATATCGGGAAAGCTAATCATGCCGACCGCAGAAATTTCGAGCGACTCTTTGATCACATGAGATCAATGCAAGACCAGATTGCCAATCTGTCTGCGGCTGTCCGGTCCATCGCCCACAGCTACAGTTCGCCCATGGGCGCGAGGCGTCCGAGCATTCTTGGACCGGGGGGAATGGCATCCGACAGGCTATTGTATTCACAGCGAGGACTTCGGCGGATGTCAACCGCTAGAGAAGCTTCTTTCCAGGGTCCGACAACGTCTGCCTTTGGCTTCGATCTCGCGAAATCGAGTTTGCAGCGTCGAGGTATTGTGGAGCATCAAGAAGAGGTAGCCGAAGAGGGAGATTTCGCGCAAGAACCATCTCCACTGGCGTCACCATCTGCTCCACACCGTGACATGGAGCTCCGTCAGGCAGTAGACCCCCTGTGGGCTTTACCCAAGGCTGAAGCACTCCGACTCTGCCGAGTTTATGAAGAGGAGATGGGGATCATGTACCCAGTCTTAGAACTGTCGGAGCTCTTGGACCAGGTCGATATCCTCTACGGTGTCATGGACCAGACACTGGGTTCTAGCATTCAATTAAATGAAGCTCATGCCCTCGACCAGGAGGATATCTACATTCTTCGCCTCGTGTTTGCATGTGCGCTGACCGCCGAGGCTAGTGGACGCAGTGAGCAGGCCATTTCGCTTTTTGACAGTGTGAGGGAGGTGCAGGATAACTGTGTCTGGGGCCCGCCGGAGATTAAAAGCATTATTTTCCTTACGCTTGTGGTTTGTAGAGTCCCGAAACTATATTGGTCCATTCTACTTACATTTTTGCAGTCAATATTCTATTTTCAGATGGACGAGGAGACTCTAGCGTGGCGGACTATTGGAATTGTGGAACGCATGTCTCTGGAAAAGGGCCTGCACCGCCGGGAGACACTGAATCAACCCGCAATCCTAGCTGCTGGAAAGAATCGCATACTCCGGCTCTTTTGGTCTATCTACATCCTCGATATGCGTTGGAGTTTTGGAACTGGCATGCCTTTCTCTCTGGAGGATAGTGATATTGACCCCTGGCTTCCTGAGCCCGAAGAGAAGACCCCATATCTTCGCGTTATGATTCGATATAGCCGTATGGCTGCCAAGGTGTGGAAGTTTATCTCTGCTTTCAACAATACAAATGAGATCAAAAAGGATGAGATGAACTACCTGGACTGGCAAGTATTGAACTGGGCACGCACGATCCCGGACTCATTACGACTTGATCACCCCGGCACTCCGGAGTCCAATACTGCTCTGAAAGGTCCACGAAGCTTCCAACGACTTCGTGCCCTACTTTATTTGCGTGCAAATCAGCTACGAATGCTGATACATCGACCAGTCCTGCATACCGCTGGTCACATCACCCGATATCCTGGCGAGGCCGAGACAGTGGTTGACATTGCAAAAGACACTATCAGATTCATCACCCGCCTCAATGAGACTTCTAATATTTATCAGCTTCAACAAGTGGCTTTCAACTGGTTCCTGGTATCTGCATTGGCCGTTCTGTTCCTCGCCGTTGCGCAAGCTCCGGCCCAGTTCAGCAGCTCATGTAAAGAAGAATTCTATTGGGCATTGGAGCTCGTCAAAGGATTTTCCACCAAGTCGTACATCTCCCGGCGACTCTGGAGGTCCATCCGAAGTCTTCGTCAGCTCGGGCCTGAGCTGGGACTCGGGGTACAGAAACTTCACCCAGCAAGTCGAACGGGTGCCGAAGATGGCACTGGTAGAACATTAAATCCGCATGGAACATCTGTCCCAGACACTGCGTCTAGCAACTATAGCCAAACTCCCCTGGATGGTGCACAGATGACCCAAGAGCTGATGGAGTGGTTCGAAGCGGTGGGAAATTTGGAAGATCAAATCATGGGAGTCGGAACCGGCCCGGCGGTGGATGACGGTTCCTGGCAGCAGATGCCGAACGGTGGCTTCATGTTTGATTACGGAGCAGGGCTGTCAAGTGTTATGAAGGATTGCTTTTAGTGAGATCGTTCAGTGAATTTCTCATAGCACTAGAGGACCTTCAGATCCCCGAAGAGCGCTTTATTTCCCAGCTTTATCTCAATTTAACGAGGCCAACCTGAATGGTTCAAGTTGATGAGTATCCGAGTCCCTCAAAAGATATTTTCTGGGAGAACGGAGTTAATTTCGTGAAATGCTCTTAAATTTAATATATTATGTACCTAGGTAGCTGATTAAAAATTGTGATAATATGTAAATTCCTTAACTTCTCAGGTTTTAGGAAATTCTCAATCCATCCTCCATGCGATCTCACGGCTAAATGATACCGGGCCGCAGTCTCTGTAAATCATTAACGGTCCAGTCGGTAATCAGCATATGTCCTGGCTCATGCGCAAACACTAAACCATCTACTTTTGCTCCAGCAGACTCAACCGCGATTTGTGGTGTCACCCCACACGCCTTTGAGAGATAGTTAGCAGTTGAATTGGATAGGCGTGTACTTGTATTAGCAGAACTTACCCAGAAAACAGGTATTTCTCCCTCTTCAAAGACCTGTGGCTGGCCAAAGTCTGGTTGATCAATATCGGTGATACCCAGCTCCTTTGCTCCATCCCATCCCCAGGCCACCGGCTCGCCGTGGGTTGAAAGGAATGGTCGAGTGACCTCCCGGACGTGGGCAATTTGTTCTAGGCGATAGGGCCGCATCGACACGATACAGCGACCACCTGTAAAAACCCCTGCTGGAAGGAGTGGGATCGTTGACCGGTACATGGCAACAATGGATTTGGATCTTTGATGTCGTGGCTGTAAACCAGCAGCCGTCAACGCGTCCTCGAAGGAAAATGAGCAGCCAATCAAAAACCCTACGTGGTCGGAAGCCCATAGGTCACAAATATCTCGACGACTTTCTATATATTGACCGTTTAGATACACACGATACTTGGGAAAATCGGTGCGAATGTCGAAATCGGAGGCGTGGATACATCCGTCAGGCTGAACGGCGTGGGGATCCCCAGGAAGCGAAGTTCTCCCTAGCAAGGGACATGAGACTGGGTTACGCAGACAAAGGTCGTGGAAATCAGCAGCATATTTTGCTGGCAAGACGAGAAGATTAGCCTGCAGATATCCGGGCGCGACTCCGGCCGTGTTGGTGAGACGATTCTCGCGACATAAAAGTCGAGCCTCTTGCGATGTGACGATACTGCCCATTATGATGATGGTTGATAACTTGAAGTGTATAGTTCTGCAGACCTGCCGGTGATACACTCTAAATCAACTACCTCGGTTATCAATATTTCCTCCCATCTTCATCCCATTCCATCGTATCTCCTCCGTCGGGTTCCACTTGCCGATGGCCTGGGGAAGGTCGGGGGTTCTCCGCAATCCGGTACCTCAATCAGTCATTATTGGCCAATAAGAATATGTGCAAAGGGCGGGGACCTTATCCTGCCCCAAGTAGAAGGGATCCGCATGTCAAAGCGGGGTCAAAGAAGGGAAGCAGTGGCAAATCAGGCCATTGTTGGTGGTTGGGGTCTCTTATCATCGCTTGCCGTCGGGCCGATCCAAAGGGCATCGGCGGAGGAAATCCGGACTTATCACAACCCCAACCTAAGGATTGTATTATCTTGATTGTATCTCTGCAGAGATATGATAAGATTCTCCAGCTAGTCATTTTCAAGTAATTTATTATACTTGAAACCTCAATTTACCGTTGTGGCTATCTAGTCGCTCCACGCCGTTGCACGACCCGATTTCAAGGTTGCGTTACGAGGAGTATCTGACTTCCATCCCTTTCTTTGAAGCTGATTGTTTCATCGACGAAGAGGATTCACAGATGCATCATACTAATACACAAGATGAGGTGGCCCTTGAGGGGAGGCTCTCCGTTCAAAAAGAGATCGACCGTGAAATGACGGACGAGACCTGCGCTGGTGAGGCCCTGGACGTGGTGCTTGACCCGCAAAAAGAGCAAAAGCTCTTAGTCAAGTTGGATATGGCCTTTGTGCCCATCATCATGCTTACTTACCTATCCTGCTTTTTGGATCGTTCGAATATTGGTACGACCTACACTCAATATTTTCTTGTCCATGAATCCAGAGCACAAAACTGATCGAATGACAGGAAATGTCAAGGTGGCCCACATGCCGGAGGATATCAACGCTTCGGATAGCGAATTTTCTATCGCAGTCTCGATCTTTTACGTTACATATGTAATTTTCGAAGCTCCCTGGGCTGTCTTGATGAAAAAGTTGACCCCGCGGAATATTCTCACCGGTCTCTGTATCGTATGGTCTTTGACAACAATTTTCACGGGCTTCATTGAATCAGTGGGCTCGCTTTATGCGACTCGTCTGATTCTGGGTGCCTGCGAGGCAGGGTTATTCCCATGCCTCAATCTATACCTGACAATGGTATACCGACGTGAAGAGCAAGCCAAACGTGTATCCTATCTGATGAGCTGTGCGGCTATATCAGGTGCTGTTGGCGGCCTTCTTGCTTATGGACTGTTGCATATGGACGGAATTGGAGGGAAAGCAGGATGGAGGTAAGTTTAGAGATTAACTGAAGACTGGGAAACGAAAAAGAAGATCTTGAAGCTAACAGTGACTGAAGATGGGTTTACATTATTGAAGGCCTCTTCAGTGCGGCATGTGCGATTCTGATCTGGTTCGGTCTGCCGAACAACCCAGCAGAGGCTTATTTCCTCAACGAAGAGGAGCGATGGATGATGCGTGTGCGGAATGAACAGCGCCGCAAATACATGGGGAGTGATAAGTTCAGTTGGGAGGAGATGCGAATTGCTCTGCGTGATCCCAAACTCCTTTTTTCCGGAGTCATTCAATTCTGTCAAGATATCCTATTGTACGGCTTCAGCACTTTCCTACCCACAATTTTGCAGGGTATGGGGTACGATTCACTCATGAGCAACGTGTTGACTGTGCCGGTGTATATCTGGTCCGCACTCATCTTTATTGCGATTGCGTTTTGTTCCGACCGGTATTCCAAGTTTGCTTCTTATATCTTCACGACAAATATCTTCGGCATTGTCGGGTATATCCTACTACTCACAGTCGAGAATACGGCAGTACAATACTTCGCAACCTTCTTGATCGGCATCACAACCTACACCGCAGTCGGTCTGAATGTTGCTTGGTTGAACGTCAACATCGCACCGCAATATCGAAGAGCACTGGAGATCGGACTTCAGCAGACAATTGGAAACTGTGCCGGAATTGTGGCAGGCCAGGTATATCGACAGGCCCCATATGTGCTTGGGAACGGTTTCTCGTTAGGCTCGCTGGCCGTGGCGCAGATCACCGTGACCGGCTTCGGTTTCTACTTGCGGCGCGAGAATATGATGAAGGAGAAAATTATCAACGGGGAGAAAGAAGATACTCGTCGCGTTCAAACCGGTGACGGTGCTGTGGATTTCAAGTACATTTACTGATCGCTGGTCCTTGAGGATATTTAAGTTGGTGACGCGGCGGTCATGGCAGTCTCACTCGCTCATTCCAACAGCAACGAAAACATTGGAAACTAGGTATACTACTAGTACAAATACATGCTCATTATTTGTCCGCGATTGGAATACGCACGTGGCTGTAGAGAGTGACTTTTTCCAGCCATGGTCCAGCTGGATAATACTTGCAAACTCGAGGCAAATGACGTACACGACCCTAGTATAAAAAAAGACCGCCATAGCCACTCGACGCTTGACTGAAATAAACCCATCCACACTATTTATTGCTATATATCAAGATCCTCCTTTCTGCCCGAACAGAACCAACGCAGCCCGACAGAACTACGAAATGGGTCTTTGCATGTCATTCCCACGTCGCCGACACCCCATGGGCATGGGCATGGGTATGGGCGGATTCGGCCCACCTCCGCGCAGACATCACTATGGAGGTGGAATGGGAATGGGAGGAATGGGAGGCTACAGGCCCCCCTCCACGTCGACACTACGGTGGCGGGATGGGCATGGGTGGCGGGGGGTTTGGACAAGGAGGTTGGGGTGGACCCCCAGGCGGTGGTTATGGTGGTTATGGTGGCGGTAGAGGACCCGGAGGAGGATATGGGGGAGGCAGAGGACGACGATGTTAAACCTTAAGAAGTGAAGGCCGATGATACAGGTCGCAATCCTTGAAGATGAGCCATTGTCATCTTCCGCCAGGGTTTGCACGATCGGGTCTCATTTGTGGGAAGGCTCATTCTTCGAGGGCCGTCACTTGGAATGCGGATGTGTCGGGAGAGTATAAGTTGTTACACGAAATGTCACACAGCTGGTTTGACAGAGTTAGTGACCATGACTGGGACTGAAAGATACCTAGGCATCATGATACCTAAGAGGCTGAGTTCTGGAGGAAGAGAAACAGAGAAAGTTCATACATAGAACACAATTTGGGGGCATTTCTTCAATTTTGGATGTATAAACTTGCCAGTCCTCATCTTCTTTCACTCGCAGTCTGCATCGAAGACTTCAACTCCCTTGTACCATGTCTGGAGGACACTGCCATCCAGCGGCCTAACTGCATTCCAATTCATACCCAGAACTACAAAGTCCGCTTGCAGGTCAGTTCGTAAACTACCTGTCCAATATTGAGCAAAGGCAGCGAAAGCAGCTCCAGATGTGGCTGCGGATACAGCCACCGCAAGTCTCAGCGCGAATTCGGAGTTGACGGATTCTACCATAAATGGTTCGAGTGCTGAACGCCGAGTGGTAGCATTGTAGAGGTTGAGTCTAGGCCGACATGCAGGGTTCGCTCTCCCGAGATGACCATCGATGATACAAAGTCATCCTGAGAGGCGCCCGGGGGAAAGATGCGCCCGTTTATAAACGCGGTAATGGCGATGGGGCTAGAAAGAAAGATAGTAGAGAGGAGGGATAGTATGATTATGATGTTGGTGATCAACATTTGGAAAAGGCCTCGTCAGGCGGGGCGATAAGCCCTCACCACAAGCAAAGCCAACAACCGGGGTCAACTGACACGGCGATAGATACCAATACTGAGACTGGTCAATATTGATTCAAGGCGTAGGAAAGAAAGGAAATAGGAGATAGGAGATACCTGAATCATGAATTGTATGGAGCCGGGCCAAGATGATCAGAGTTTCCCCGAGGCATGGCGAGCACGTAGATGGATTGAATAGTATTTTATGCTGATATTTGGCGGGTCAATTCACAGAAATCAGAAAGAAATCAAGTTATAGATTAAGTGGGTAAGGGTGAGTGTAGAACTAGAAGTAGAAGTAGAAAGAGAAGAGGAGTGGAAGTGGTTGAAGAGAGGAAGTCACCTGCTCTCCACCACATCTTCCTCCAGGGACATCCCAAGTTCTCTCTCTTCCTCCACTCCACTCCACTCCACTACTCCACCTCCATGTATTCCATGTATTCCATGGGTATATAGTAGGCAGACATGCCTGACAATGCCACTCACCAGAAGTTCGCCACCTCCTCCAATCATCGCCGCCCTCGACGCCGGCCAGCCCATTTGCGAACCAAGACGGGCTGTTTGACGTGTTAGTCGCTTACTGCTTGTCGTTTTTTTTTGTTATTTGAAGATCCGCTGCTGACCTTACAATCACAGGTCGCAAGAGAAAAAAGAAATGTGATGAGACTCTCGCCCAGTGCCTCAATTGTGCAAAGCAGAAATTACCCTGCGTCTGGCCATTCTCTACGGGTACAACTGGGCAATCGCAACATCAGGATCAACCTCAACCGATTTCTCCGTCCAGGCAAATCGCTATTTCTCGATGGAGATGGAGCAACTCTTCGTTCCCTTCTTCCGTGCCCCATTTGCCCTGGACCTATTCACCTGCAATCACCCCCGACAGCGGCCCCTTGTTTGATTTCCTCAGGTCAACATTTCTTCCCCAGCTCATCCGCCCCGCCACCGATGGTACGGTGACCCATGGCCTGAATCGAGAAACTATGATACTCGCCCTAGGTCATCCCTTCTGTATGCATGCCCTCCTCGCATGTTGTGGCGCGGAGATGCCCACTAGTGCGGATAGCTTCCGTCAGCTCGCTCGTTTCCACTACACCAGTGCAGTGGCGGGTTTACGCGACATACTCAATGATGCCCATCTGGTACGCCGGTGGGTCGTCGCCATGCTAACTATCATGATGCTGTGTATCTACGAGGTAAGTCGGACCGACTACCTGCACCCCCTGAATGGATCCCCTGCGCGTATTCACGTGTGATTTGATTTTTCTAATTTTCGGTCGCTCAGCGTGCGAAACCGAAAGGTTCACCAGGGGTCGAAGTTCATCTAATAGGAGCAGCGAAGCTAATCGCATTCTATTCTGTTGATTCCAATTCGGGGGCCAATCCCAACCGCGATTACGACAACGATAGCGACGAAGATGGCGACTCACCTTCCAAACAAGAAGGCGCAATGCATCGCCTTGTCCGAGAATCCTTCATCTTTCATGTTGCGACGAGTTTACCCTTTCAGGAGAGCGATGCCCAACCCGCGGAGATCGAGACCGCTTTGTCGTTGGCGGAGCAGGCCATCAGCCAGCATTTTCGCCCCAACACCCTGTCCCATTCCGATTCCCCCGTTCTTGGATTCCCGCCACAGCTCTTCCGATGCATATATAAAGTGTATGGTCTTTACCGCTCCTCGGCCAGTCAGGGAGTTAGCATGGAAACACGCGGGGAGCTCGATCGAGATTTATGGCAGTGGGATCAACGTATCAAGACGTACGCCCGAGGGCTAGTCGAAGAGAACGCATCCACAAAGATGAATCGGGATAGAGATGGTCTCCAAACGACTGCAGCACCTCTTCCGCCGGCAGAAAAGTTGAATGGCCCCTGTCTGGGTCCGATGCTGTATATCCTTGGATCTCGGCTGTTACTCCGACATATGCGAGGGCTGGAGCAGGTCCAATTAACCCCGACGATCGACCAATTACTTCCAGAAGGCATGGATATGGTGCGTCAGCTACAGCCTGATGAGGACTACTACGCCGACTACTACTGCTGGCCCCTTCTCGCAATTGGAATGCATTTGAAATCCGCGCCCGACCGGGAGTTGTTGCTTCGCCAAGTGTGGGCATTCTGGACCGCGACCAACAATGGAACAATGCGGCGACTCGCCGACATGCTGGACTTTTTGTGGCGATGATTCTGGGGAAATCGATCACAAATCAGACTTGAATCGAATCGAATCCGATCATCCTTCATCACCTCATCACCTCATCGGCGTCAACTCCGCTTCTGCGATTTTCGGCAAAAGGTGGATTTGTCAGCCCGCTTTTTCTATAACAATCCGAGCACATCGCCGGGTTTGAGTAGGCCAAGATTCTTCTCCTGTATCCATCGAACATCTTGCACATATTCCGAAAAAAAAAAGACAAGAAAATGGGCTCGACTTTCCGCTCCCCTCGTCTTGTCAAGGCCGAGGGCATCCTTACTTTACCCCCGCCAACAATGGTGGTGCCGCCTTGAAACCAGACGATCCAAATACGCCAACACTGTTTCGTCCATTACAGATTCGTGATGTGACCTTGAAGAATCGCGTTATGGTGGCGCCCATGTGCACCTACTCCACGGAGTCAGACCCGAGCTCCCCTGCGGTCGGTGCGCTAACCGACTTCCACATTGCCCATCTAGGCCATTTCGCTGCCAAGGGCGTGGGCCTGGTCATTATCGAAGCATCCGCAGTCCAGCCCAATGGTCGAATCTCTCCCAATGACTCCGGTCTATGGCAAGAAGGAACGGAATCCGAACAATTCAAGGGCCTTCGTCGGGTAGCTGACTTCATACATAGTCAAGGCGCCAAGGTCGGCATTCAACTCGCCCACGCCGGTCGGAAAGCGAGTACAGTCGCTCCCTGGCTATCTTCCGAGGGAAAGAGGAGTAGCATCAAAGCTGACGAAAGCGTTGGGGGCTGGCCGTCAAACGTGGTCGGGCCGTCCGGGGGTGAAGAGCACATCTGGGCGCCGGGCGATGTGAAGTATTGGCCACCTCGGGAGCTCAGCACCGCTGAAGTCGAGGAGGTCGTGCAAGCTTTTGGCAGAAGTGCCAAGCTAGCCGTTCAATCTGGGGTGGATCTGATCGAGATTCATGCTGCCCACGGCTACCTGCTTCATGAATTCTTGAGCCCAGTCACCAATCGTCGTAGTGACAGATACGGTGGCAGCTTCGAGAACCGAATCCGCATCGTTCAAGAAGTCGCAGCTGCGATTCGAGCTGCTGTCCCAGTCGGTACCCCATTGTTCCTCCGGATCAGCGCAACAGAATGGCTAGAGGAAGAGCCGGTCGCCGCGCAGACTGGCAGCTGGGATATGCCATCCTCGGTCGAACTAGCAAAGCTCCTCCCGGAGCTGGAGGTGGATCTTTTGGACGTCAGTTCAGGCGGGAATCACAAAGACCAGAGGCTTCAACCCCATACGAACTACCAAATTGACCTCGCGGGGGGAGCTGCGCAAGGCGATCCGCGCAGCCGGTCAGACGACCCTCGTGGGAGCCGTCGGTTTTATCACGGAGGCCGACGCCGCCCGACACATTGTGGAGGGCGCGGATGAAGCCCTGGCCACCGAGTCCGTTCTTTCGGGCTATGAGCCTAAAGCGGACGCAGTCTTGATGGCGCGTCAATTTCTCCGCGAACCCGAATGGGTGTATAACGCGGCCAAGCAGCTCAAGGTTCCCATTTCGGTTGCATGGCAGTTCGCTCGCGGCGTGCTTTGAGATTGAGTTTACGAATACGATGTATATATGGAGTAGCTCGTATGGAACGGTTGGGGTACACATAAACAGGACCGCCTAGATATATACATATACGGCACTTCAACTTGAATGAATTGGAAAATGCAGGGACTCTCCTATCTTCTCGCCCCGGGCCGTCGTAACTAAATCTATCCAACCACAACAAAGGAGTCGCGCAGGTGAACGCCATACGGATCTAGGGACTGCCGATCTCTTTTATGGATACGAGTTCATTGGATCGAGGCATATCAACAGAATTGCAGCTGGTCCACTGAAACCACCACACGCCCTCATCGTGCAGCGCCAAGCTCCGAGGCCAAGCCCCGAGGTTACAACGCAATCAAAAACTCCAAATACGAAACAATCGCAGGGGGAGGAGCAGTTGAGGACGTTTAATGGGTTAAAAGGATCTTAAGTTCATCGAGAGCTCAAAGAGAAAGAAAAAAAGAAAAGGCTGGGCACTCTTCATTCTTCATCGGGGCTTGCGACATTCCACTTGCCTCCCAATTCTTTCTTGTTTCATCTCAAACGGTAGTGTACTGTTCAACGATTGAACATCCAATATGGTGATGGCATCCATAACAGTGAAGGCTCTTGTCGCCCTCGCTTTGATCCAGTCGCCTCTGGTTATTGGCATACCAACTGCCCCAGGGATTCCATCGGCGTCGACAGCCAAAACTGAGCTGGGAGACCTGACAGTCGCTGCTCAGGGGTCCCAAGACGGCTACTCCCGAGCCAAATTTCCACACTGGATTTCCCAAGGGAGGTAAGTAGCGAGACTCTGGCATCGAATATTTTAAAAATTCTCACCTCGACCTCCAGTGGCTGCGACACGCGCGATGTTGTGCTGAAGAGAGACGGCACCGGCGTGGTTCAAGATAGTAGCAGCTGCTCTACCAGCAGTGGGAAATGGATCTCGCCATACGACGGAGCCACCTGGACTGCTGCCAGTGATCTGGACATTGATCATGTTGTCCCCTTGTCCAATGCCTGGAAGGTAGGCATCGGTCTTCAAATTCTGGATATTGTTGGGTGGAAATAACTTGCGTCCAAGTGTTAACCAACTTCTGATAGTCCGGAGCCTCTGAATGGACGACTGCTGATAGACAAGCATTTGCAAACGATCTCACTCACCCGCAGCTGCTGGCAGTCACGGACAACGTGAACTCGGCCAAGGGAGACAAGGGCCCTGAAGAGTGGAAGCCTCCACTTGGTATGGAATTCACGTTCAGTCCCAGTTCATGTATATGGAACATGTTCTAACATTCGAATAGCATCTTATTACTGCACGTACGCGGAGATGTGGGTTAAGGTAAAGTCGACGTATAACTTGACGGTGACCTCTGATGAGAAGTCGGCGCTGAGCGAGATGCTCGGTACGTGCTAGACTACTACTAGTAGTATACTACATTTTTCAAGTTACACCTTCTGTATCCAGGGATTCCATTTATAACCTTAAGGTAGTAAATGGAATAGTATATGCTCTGGTGCTAGTAGATACTATATACTAGCTCTAATATTAGATACTAGTTACCACTAATAGTAGTACCTGTACCTGTACCTCAAGGGCTGTTGAGATTCTATGGACTATGGGATCTATGGAAGAGTGAAAGTGTGGAACTGAGAGCTTGTCAGATTGTGCAAAAGCAAAAGACAGCAAACATAGCACATGGTGAGGCTATCTGACCCGATTGGATAACCCTAAACTGTGAACTAAGGTACAAGGGTAGCTACCAAAAGGGTCTATCAGGCTCTATAAGGCCCCAGAGCCAAACGTATTGAGCAGCTATGGTTTGTATAGAGTGAACCAGGGTTACCAGGATTACCAGGGCTAACCAGGGCTAACCTAAAAGGGTTAGCCCTGGGGAATTAGAGTAGAGGAAGGTGCGGAAATGAAGTGAGGAAGGTGGGACCATTCACTATACTACACACTTGACAGTATACTCGGTAGGAGAATGTCCCACGGGGTATTGTGAGTGCCCCGTGTTCGGTCTCTCCGCTCCCATTGGCCAGAGCTATCACGGTTATGTAAGCCATACTCACTATACGGGTATACCTTGAGCTTATAGTATAGCTAAGCAGCAGCATGCAAGTATACTCTATCTACTGTTTACTACGTTGCATCAACATGATCTCTCTTCATCTCTCCCTCTTCCTCTCCCATCACCATGGAAAACTCTCCCAGCGACTCCATCATGAAAATGGATGATTCCAAGAATCATCAACATCAGGAAGATTGGGATCTTGAACAAGCCCCCCAGCGCAAATCCTCCGGTATCTTCAACGTCTTCATCGCCGGTCTCGCCCTTGCCAGTGATGGCTACAATGCCCATTCCAGTATGCCTTATCCCCTTGGCTACCATACCATCTCTTGCTCCAAGCTAATCTTAACGCTCCAAGTTGGCTACATGATGCCTCTCTTCACCAATCTGTGTGTTCTCTCCATTCATTCATTCCTCCAATATCTATATGAAATCCCACTGACTTTCCCAGCTACAAATATGGCATGTCCTCCACCATCAAGGCCCGTCTCACCAACTCCTACTTGATCGGCGAGATCTTCGGCATGATCTTCTTCGGCATCCTGATAGATCGCGTCGGCCGTCGAACCGGTATTCTGGCCACCACTCTCTTCTTGGTTCTGGGCCTGGTCCTGTCCACCGCCTCTCACGGAACCTCCGAGCTGGGAATGTTCTGGATGATGATCGTCGCGAGAGGCATTGCTGGCTTCGGAGCTGGCGGCGAGTATCCCGTCTGTGGAACCAGTGCCACCGAGGCCGCCGATGAGTCCCATGGCCTGCGTCGCCGTCGGGGATTTCTTGTCGCCATCACCACTGATACAGCCTTGGATTTGGTACCTCTACCCATCCTTGCAAGTTTCATCTAGTGGACCTCTCGGCTAACATCAATCCAGGGTGCCATTGTTGCCGGAATCGTCGCTGTCATCGTTCTGGCCGCCTACAATCACCATAACTCGGAGGGCATCTGGCGCATTTGTTTCGGTTTGGGCTTCATCGTATGTCACACCACCCAATCCTTCTTTCAGAAATCTTGTTTCTCGCTAATTCTTATAATTCCAGCTCCCAATCGCGGTTTGCTTCTTCCGAATCCGCATGCTCAACTCCACTCAATATCGGAAACATGCCATTAAGTCTAACTACCCCTACATGCTGGTCCTCCACCGCTACTGGAAGCCCATGCTTGGAACAGGTGAAAAAAATTTATATACTTGGTTGTTGAAGAGTTGCTGACACTTACATTCCTCTCTTAGCCCTCGCTTGGTTCTGCTATGACTTCGTCACCTACCCATTCTCCCTTTTTTCCTCGACCATCGTGCAGCAATTCAACCCCAAGAACACCGCTATCCAGAATGTTGGCTATGGGGTAAGTTGAGAAAGGATTCTCTCCTTGTCGTTGATTTCTTTTTTGCTCATCTTAGTATCTGCAGACCGTCATCAATTGCTTCCAGCTTCCTGGTTGTTTCCTCGGCGGATACTTGATGGATCGCATTGGTCGCAAGCAGACTATGGCCCTGGGATTTTTCCTCTGGGCTATCTGGGGATTCATCATTGGAGGCGCCCTGCATCCCATTCAATCTATCTTCCCACTCTTCGTGGTGATGTACGGTATTTTCCAGGCCCTGGGTGAGATGGGACCCGGAGTTGCAACATTCCTATGTGGCTCGGAATCGTTCCCGACTCCCCTTCGTGGTCACTTTCTGGGATGTGCGGCCGCGGTAGGAAAGGCTGGGGCCTCGATTGGTATTGAAGTGTTCGCGCCCATTCAACACCGCTTCCACACGACGCAGAAAGGTCAACAGGCTGTTTTTCTCATCGGCTCTGCCTTTTGTATCGTCGGTGCCTTGATCACTTGGTTTCTCGTCCCGGATATGTCTCGAGAACTTGAAACCGAGGACGCCCGCTTCAAGGCATATCTGGAGGAGAATGGATACGACATCACTTCGTACGGAGAGGAACAGTTGATCGTCCAGCACAAGTAGCGATGGAATTCTCCTCTTCCGGGGGTATCCCAAACTGGGACCCCGCACCGTACCAAATGGGCGGCGGGAATGGAAAAGGAAAGGGAAAAAAAAGATAATGATGATGGCTATCCGAAGATCAAAAGTTTTCACAGTGCGCTGAAGGTTCGGAGGAAATATCTTTTAATAGCTTAGTGTTATGTTTCGCAGAACCTCGAATTGACGACCTTCTTCTACTTTCAAGTTGACACTTCAAGGATGTGCAATGAAATATCAATTAACGGAGAGACTCCGACATCGACGCACGTAATTCCCAAGCTAAACCATCTCAGGATAGTTCGGACTGAATCTGAAACTTGAATTTCTCGATATCTCGGCCGAGATGCTTATTCTTGTCAGACAAGCTACCCACACCCCAAGCCACCGCACGATCTATCGCGAATAAAATCTAACCAAGTCGTCATTCAAAAATGGAGAGATATTCAGAGCCCTGGAGTTGATTAGAACGAGCTAAGGCTTAGACTCTGCAATGACAACTTGAATTTATTATCGCTGCCCACTTTCACGATGGGCCATATAAAGGGAGTATTGCGTGCTCCTTGGTATTGTCACCTATCAGATACTTTCAACTTCAATTTGGTGGTTCAACTTGACTGATTCTTAATTATCTCGAACAAATCTGAGGTGGTTTCTTTTCGATTTACCCCGGTATCAATGAAATCTTGATCGGAAAATAAACAATGTCCCGATGCAAGTTGAAGAGTTATTGGACTGATATGGATTTGATAGGCCAGGCCAAAAAGCCAAGACATCGCGATAACAACTAACCCTGACGTGCTTTTGCTTCCAAGTGCTCGGTTCACGCAAAATAAAAAATCTCTTATATAGTCGAGACCTTGCCACCTTTGAATTGAATTGAAAAGATACACTATAGATCAATCTATATCATGGGTCGCTTATCCCATCATTACAGGTCTTGCCTGTTTCAGATTATCATCGTAGGGTTGGTTGCTTTCTGTGAACCTGGAATCTGGACAGCCCTCAACAACCTCGGAGCTGGAGGAAATGCCAGTGTAGGTCTTTCTTTTTTCGATATTCTGATTTTGAAATTACATGGATCCCATTAACACCCTGTATAGCCCTTTTTAAATAATGCTGCCAATGCCCTCACATACGGACTCATGTCAGTGGGTTGTTTTCTCGCTGGTGGTGTTACCAACAAGATTACCGCAAAATGGACATTGTTTATTGGTGCTGCATTTTATACCCCTTATGCAGCCGGTCTATATTGCAACAATCGTTACGGCAACCAGTGGTTTCTTCTGCTTGGAGCTGCTCTTTGCGGTATCGGAGCATCTTTACTCTGGGCGAGTGAGGCCGCTATCGCGGTCGGGTATCCGGAGGAAGAGAAGAGAGGAAGGTAAGATTGCATATCGCTTCAATCCACTGGCAGGCTCTCAACTGATGATTGCTTTTAGATATGTCGGAATCTGGATGGGGATTCGCCAAATGGGTCCCTTGGTTGGTGGTGCCATCTCCCTCGCCATCAATGTCAATACTGCGCATACTGGCAAGGTCAGCTACAATACTTACCTTGGGCTTGTCGCAATTTCCTCTCTCGGAGCTCCATTTGCTCTACTTCTGTCCCAGCCACAAGATGTGGTCCGGAGTAATGGCACCAAAATTCCTTACATGAAGAAGACGAGCCTAGCCATCGAAGCCCGTGCTATTTGGAAACAGCTCAAGAACAAATATCTATTGCTGCTCATTCCTGTATTTTTGGCCGGTCAATTTGGCACAACTTACCAAGGAAACTACTTGACAAGTATGATTTATCCAATACCCATTCGAGATCAACTTTTCTAACAAGATATCAGCATACTTCACCGTTCGTTCTAGAGCACTCGCTTCGTTCCTAACAGCCGTTGTTGGCGCGTTAGCCAACATAACTACAGGCCTTGTTCTTGATCTCAATCACTTCTCAAGAGGGACTCGATCCAAAGCTGTTTACCTCATCGTCCTGGTATTCGTCACTGCAGCTTGGGTATGGAACGCTATCACCGAAACGAAGCTTTCCCGTATGGCCGAGCCACCCGCCTTCGACTTAGGCGATGGTCCATTCTTCAACTCCGCTTTCACCGTCTACATGTTTTTCAAATTCTTCTACGAGGTCCTCCAGACATACATATATTGGCTTATGGCTGAGGTAAAAGGCGCACAGGGTGACGGGGATATTGCACGAACCACGGGCATTCTGCGATCGTGGGAATCAATTGGCAGCACCATCGCGTACGCAGTGGGTGCAACACACTGGTCAAACTTGAACCAAATGATCCTCGGCTTTTCTTTATGGGGTCTCACCATTCCTTTCACTCTCCTCGCGGTGTTTGGAAACTGGAATGTAGGTGGGGAAGTTCAAGTTGATGTGGGGAGCGTGGCGGGCTCGGAAGATGTGGAGGGACAAGCGGACACTAGCAGCGTTGAGACAGAGAGGGTTTTTGTCGGTCATGATAGTAAATAATATCATAGAAATATCTAGGTACTAGTAGACAGGGTCGAAATATAAATTTGACTTTTTTAAGTATTGGTCATTACTACTAGTGGCATGAGGATACGATAAATAGGGATTACCGGCACTGGCAGGAGGGTAGAAGGTTCCTCCGCCATCTCCCTTCAAATGAAATAGACTCAATTCTGAGTAGATTTAAATATTAAGTTGTAATCATTTACCTAATGATCTCAGAATATTGCGATTCTGTGTATTGGGCACGCATCGTACCACTTTGGCGACCCCGCGTCATTTCCCCCCCCCATCGGCTTTTTGCTAAACTAAACGTAGATCTATACCACATAGATCATAGCATCAGCATGAGGGGACATTAAACAAAACGAACGAGAGCTGTTTACACGTTTTGGATGCTACGGTTACTTTCACAAAGTAGTAGCAGTGCTTTAGTCAACTATCTTCTAGAGGTACTCTTGGGCCATAAAGCTTCCATTTAGGCTATTGTCTTTGGTTCTAGCTATTATATCCAAGCAAAAACTCCCTGTTTCCCTCTCATAGAAATTAATCATTCTTTTTGCACTTGGAAAGGAATTTGGGTCCTACTAATATAAAGTGACCAATAATGAGGTTATCCGGAAAGATCGCCCCGTCAATTGTATCTCTATGGATCTGCAATGTCATCTCTCTTTGCCATGCAAAGATAACTCCTTATGCAACGGCTTCTGAGGCTTGGACCCGCGACTTTGAAGTCTCCAGCAATAGCTCGTCAATGAGAGCCACCTTTCTGGAGAACCTAGTTTCAAATTTGACGATTCCTGAGCTTGGTCTGTTTTTGCATTACATTTCAGTTACCTGCGACGAGCACTAATCCATGCACTAGTCCTTCAATTACATCTCATGTTTGCAGACAATATCATTGGCCCATATTCAGACAATGGCCTATATGGTATTTTTTTAATCTACTATTTTCAAGAGGCTTTTTTCTTATTTACCCAATTTCACAGATAAGGCACTAGAGGCAGCACCAGGAGCACCCGTCGGTATCATCCATGACTGGTATCCAACCAACAAGTCTCAATACAATGATCTACAAAGGCTCAATTCTGAGAAATCCCGAATCAACATTCCATTCATGCAAACCGGAGAATGTCTCCATGGAGTAGGATCTTTTAAACAATCCATGTTTCCCCAGGCCATCGGAATGGCGGCGACTTTTGACACGGATCTGGTTTATAAAGTAGGCCGAGCTATTGCGACCGAAGCGCGGTCAATTGGTATTCATGCTTGCTTCGCCCCCGTGCTCGATTTAGCTAAGGATCCTCGTTGGGGTCGTGTGCAAGGTAAGCCAGCCATTCTCACAGAAATCCTTCACTTCTTTTCATTATTTTCTGTTTATCAATTTCAATTTTAACTTTCTTTATCTACCAGAGGATTGGGGGGAAGATTTTGTTCTTACTTCTCACATGGGTGTCGCCTTTTCAAGCGGGTTATCCAAAAACAGCACTTGGTCAGATCCCGATGCCGTGATACCGGTGATGAAGGTAAATCACATTGTCGCAAAAACTGATTGGAATTTGCTGATTGTCTCTTTAAACATCTAGCATTTTGCAGCTCATGGAAGTCCGCAGGGGGGGTCATAACGCTGCTCCATTCATGGGATACGGCACGCGTCAGGTTTTGCAAGAAATGCTAGTTCCATTCAAGGCAGCGGTGCAGCTTGGAGGTGTCAAGGGCGTGATGATGTGAGTTTTCTTCCTCGCTACATCATAAAACCAAGCTAAATACATACAAAAGGGCTTACAATGAGTTTGATGACGTTCCTTCCTCCGTGAATCCTATTCTATACGAAGCATTGGCGGATTGGGGATATGACGGTTCGCTGGTTGGCCTATCATATATGCTTCTCGAGTTCAGCTAATTTCATCTATTAGGCTACATTACTGCGGATGACACAGGTATGTTTGCCGACGAAGAATCCATTCCAGGCCCAGGTGTCAGAGGACAGTAAATTTAGGGCTCACATCTTTATTCAGGGCTTTCTGAATTATTGAATACACATCTTGTTACTAGCTCCGTTGCAGATACGATTGCCCAGTGGCACAACGCCGGTGGAATGGTTCAATTCTACGATTTTTCTCTTGAAGAATACATAAATGTGTGTCTCATCATTACCATTATCTATTACATCGCTTGTTCTCATTTCTATCAACAGGCAACAACTGGTTTGGTCGCGAATGGAACTCTGTCTATAGAAACACTGCGATCTTTGGCCAGTCGGGTTCTCGGTGTCAAGTATGACCTGGGGCTCTTTGAAAGTCCTTACATCCCACAAGATATTGACTCAGAGAACATAACTATATCTCACGCGCCTCTGACTCTCGAAGCTGCCCATAAAAGCATTGTGCTGCTTGAAAACAAGAACTCCACGCTTCCATTGAGACCCAAAAATCAGAAAATCAGAAGGATCGCCCTGGTTGGGCCTTTCGCAGATACATTCAATTACGGTGACTATTCTGGCCAATGGGGAGGATATCCAGTGCGAAATGCCAGTACAATCCGGCAGGGCTTGTCCGAGCACCTTGCAGCCCACTTTCCGGAGACCGAGCTAGTCTCTAGCTGGGGGGCGAATTCATGGACTTTCAATGGACAGTACAATATTCCGCCATACCTTCTATCTGCGAATGATACACCGGGTGGCCTCTTGGCGACATATTATGCAGATACCAATTTTTCCGACGCAAAATTTCAAAGATTGGAGACCCCAAGTCTCGACTGGGGTCTTTACCCGCCAACCGGGCTACCATCGAATAATTTCAGCGTAACATGGGAAGGAATGATCAATATACCTGTTGAATATGACACACAAGGTTGGCTCGGTGTGGCTCTTTATGCTAATACATCAGCAAAGCTCTACATTGACGGAAAACTTCATGCTGATGTGAAGCCAATATCGGCTGGAAATATTCTTTCTAATATACCTGGACTATCATACACTTCCGCCAACGCAACAATAGCTCCTCCAGGTTCTTCGCCTTTCTTGTTCAAAAAATCCGCGACCCATAGAATTAGACTCGAATACCAGGCATGGAACTACAATCAGAAAATCGAGAATCAAAATTCTTTGAATGCCCAGGTGCTTCTATTCTGGAATCTTGTTGACAAGATTGATCCAGTAAAGCAAGTAAGTTTTCTTGAAGAGATATACCATCTTCTAAGAAGGCTTTGGATACTAAGTGAAAAAGGCCGTTCAAGTTGCCTCCGACTCAGACCTCATCATATTGGCAGTTGGAGCCAACTGGAATAGCGATGGGGAGTCTGGAGATCGGGCAACTTTAGAGCTTTCACCAAATCAAAGTTTGTATCAATTCTTCATATTTCAAGTCTGAAATTGAGACTGGGCTAACAACTCAATCGTTTTATTAGCCGAGCTCGCAGATGCAATGTTTGGTTTGGGTAAACCAATTGTTCTTGTCTTACAAGGTGGTCGCCCATTCGCAATTCCAGAGTACTACAATAAGTCAGCAGCCGTGTTGAATACTGTTAGTTATTTAATGCCTTCAAATTACACACGTCGATAAGTGCCTAATTGGATCCAGTTTTTTCCTGGTCAAGCAGGTGGCCAAGCGATCTCAGATGCATTATTTGGTCTGGTTTCGCCTGGCGGTCGGGTCCCAATCAGTGTTCCATATAGTGTTGGCACATTGCCAGCCTTTTACAAGTATGTTTCTTCGCCCAGTTGACTCTGATCCGTGCTGACCAATGAAGCTACAAACCATCTGTTCCTCGAGACTACGTGGACATTCCTTATAATTCAATTGTAAGTCATGTGTGATCAAAAACGGAAATCAGGACCGCAGAAAAGCTACATATCTCTCATTTCGCATCATTAGTACCCTTTTGGTTATGGACTGTCATACACCAATTTTTCTACGTCCGAATTTCATGTTTCGGCAATCGGCGGAGATCCAGAAATAGTTGAGTTCAACGCTCACTCTATTCTGACGTTTTCTGTCGACGTCAAGAACATTGGCCCGGTAGCAGGTGATTATGTTGCCCAGGTCTACTTGCTTGGTCGCGTCGCATCAATTGTGCGACCAGTCAAACAACTCGTCGCGTTTCATCGTGTCCATCTGCTTCCAGGTGAATTGACCACCGTTGAAATGAGCCTTGATGTTTCCCGGTATCTGGTAGTCCTTGATCGAAAATACAATTGGGTTGTGGAGCCCGGGGAGTATACCTTTGCGTTGCTCGAAAATGGAGGCAGCTCTGTGGATACATCGACAAACGTCACTCTCAACTGCGTCCACTAATCTAGATCGGACTAAATCACATTTTTGTGGTGTTCTGGCTGATGATATGTACATAATCTCCTTGCAGATATCAGGAAATTCTGGCTCATTTATCCAGGTACTGAAAATATCGGACTCTATTATCTGTAGCTTCACAGCACGGTAGTCGGTTTCGCATCGCACTACTCAAAAACTAGTAAGTAATCCTCGAGGTGAACGACCCAAGACCGAAATATTCTGTACCATACCTACAAGTTGTATACTTGAATATCTCCAGAGTTCTCTAAACAACTTAGCAGTATTGTTGGCTAGCAATTGTAGCGTTTAAGATAATTTCTCTTTATCTAACAAAAGAACTTAAAGAAAAGGGTTCTGCCGAGCTGAGAGCTGATAGAAATTGAGATACGAAACGGTCAGCAAAAAATCACCAGATACCATAAGGCAACAACCGGCAATTCGAAGTGGGAATTAGCCGATATCCCCAAAGTCTGTGCATGAATCCCCACGGCACAATGTTGGAGCAAAAATGGAGCAAAAATGGAGAGAAGCCACAAGTGGAGCTCGAGGTGCGAATTGGGACCGCGAATCTTCATTTCGCACGGAATTGATAAGCTCGGGCACTATTCTGTACAGAGGATCAATGGCACTGGTACTGCGATCTCCAAGGATTCAAACTTCAATAAGCTATTTGAACATCGAAAAATTCAACCTTGAGCTTGAGGTGTCCCCTTCGTCTACTCGAGTGCTTCTTATCCTAGCATAAGCCTACCTGCTCGTTCTACCTGTCTGAGATAAACAGAAGCGGAGCCCATTACACATAGAAACCGGCTAAACGTGTTGGCTAAACGTATGCAAACTGTGCCGCAAATAATTAGTAATCGCATTCGTCCAAGATGGGGATGTGATTGTCAAAGTGGAGCCTGATACAACCAAGCATTGCGCCTTATTGCTTGGTACCGGCACACCGACCCCGCCGAACATTTTGGTCCGGTGGCAACCCCGGTGAACCTCGGGGTTCAATAATTATGGAGAAGAGGTTTCCGATCGGCTAGGGCCCGGTTCTGCCTTTAAATCCCACGCGACCCCTGCTTTGCCGCAGAGAAACTAGAAGAAAGACACGCAGCAAGAGAAAAAGTAAAAATCTCTGGTTGTGGGTGCTTTTTCTTCCAACACTCACTTTCCTACCTCGCCGGAGTCATGGCGTCACACGAGATCGAGCCTGCGATCGACCGAATAAAGGATACAGAGAAAAATTCAGAGTCCTTCCGTGAAACTTCCTCGTTGGTGTTGTCTGAAGAACAGGCCCTGGCAAAGGCGAGGAGCAACCCGGACGATGCCCTCCCCATCATCGTAACTTATGCCTTGGACGATCCCGATAACCCTCGTCACTGGCCAAAGATGAAGAAATGGTATATCACTTGCCTAGTCAGCATGCTTAATGTGTTCACGTATGTCCCACCAATTTCCCCCCATTGAAAGTGTCGGATCACTTACTGACCACTGGAATCCTAGAACTTGGTGTGCTGGAGGAATCTCATCGGGTGCCACGGGCATCCAAGAAGAATTCGGGGTGTCGTCCGAGATCACTACGCTTTGTCTATCGTTGTACGTGCTGGGATATGCCATTGGTCCAGTTTTACTTGCGCCACTCTCAGAATACTTCGGCCGACAGCCTGTCTACAACGTGTCATGGTTTCTTCTGTTTATTTTCCAGCTCCCACTCGCTCTGGCACCGAATATTGGGACTATCCTGGTCTGCCGATTCATCGCTGGGTGCGCTGGAGGCGCTCCGTTGACCAACACCGGTGGAAGTATTAGTGACCTCTGGGAACGCAATGAGAGTGGTGGTCCTATGGCCGTCTATGGCCTAAGCAGCACCTTCGGACCTCCAATGGCACTAGTCATTACTGGATATATCGGGTTGAATTGTGGGTGGAGAATGATCTTCTGGGTTCTAATGGCCATGACGGGTGGAGTTTGGATTTTGCTGGTTCTCACGGTTCCTGAAACACGACACACCACCATCCTTCAGAAGAAGACCAAACGAGTGTGCAAGCAGATGCGCAAGGAGAACCTGCGCTCTGCTGAATCCACTACGGACCTCAATGCGAGCGACCGCAAGGGTCTTCATGAGCTCTTTGCGATCACCCTTACCCGCCCTTTCCGGTTCCTCTTCTCCGAGCCCATTACTGCATTCTCGGCCATATACAATGGTTTTCTGTACGGTCTGGTCTACCTTTTCAACGAGGCCATTCCATTGGTTTTCGGTGCCCCCAAAGGTCATCCATTTAACACTGGCCAGCAAGGGCTTGCATTCTTGGGTATGGCAATTGGGCCTATCATTGCATTCTGCCTATACCCCTTGCAGGAAAGATACTATCTTCGACGTGTCGCCGAGAACCAGGGCAAAGGTGTTCCAGAAGCTCGAATGTGGATGGCTCGTGGTGGTGCTATTCTGATCCCCATCAGTCTTTTCTGGTTTGGATGGACGAGCTATCGCTCCGTGCATTGGATCGTGCCCATTATCGCATCTTCGTTTTTCGGCGCGGGTATTTATATTGTCATCTTGAGTATCCTCAACTATGTCGTGGATAGTTATCAGACATACTCGGCGTCGGCCCTCGCTGGCGTGATTTTAATTCGCAATGTGGTTGGTGCTGGATTCCCTTTGTTTGCCACCCAGATGTATGAGAAACTGGACTACGAATGGGCCTCCAGTTTGTTAGGATTCCTTTCCATCTTGCTGGTTCCGATCCCCTTTATATTTTTCTACAAGGGTGAAGCCATTCGGCTGCGAAGCCCATGGGCCCGGGAACACTTTGATCAGAATGAGGACAGCCCTCACTGATTGACCTGATGGAGAAAGTTTTACATACTGTACACATATTATCCGAGTCCAACTTCAAAAGTGTTAGATTCGAAACTCAATAATTTGAACTTGGAATAAATCACCATTCGAAACAAATGAACTCTAAATACTATTGTTCAGATATGTTGCGTTCAATCTTAATTGGAGGTGTTCACTGGCTGTCATTCGAGGCTGGTCGGAATCTAGACTGTTAGCCCCGCCTCCGTAACCAACGACAAAACTTTTATTGGAGTTCTTGTTTCCTTTTTCTCGATGATTTTCCACAAGCCTGCTGGGAACTGGAACTAGCTCTGTGCTGCCAACAGGTTGACAGAAAAAGGCTATGCTGTAACGATCCCGAGGTTTTGATTCTGAAATTTCCGGCATCTCGTGAGGGAAGACAACGCGGTGAACAGTTGATCTGAGCAACCCATTGGTCCAGTAACTCAACATATCGCCGATATTGACCAATATTGGTGGAAATGGGTATTCAATCAAGTCGCCTGGGTACACGGGGACAGGAGCCCATTTTTGGTCCGGCGTTAAGATCTCTAGACCCGGTTGGCCAGGATACTGAAATAGTAGCGTAATACTGCCGTAGTCAGAATGTGCACCAGCACGGATGTCCTTCTCCGGTCGGAATGACGAAACATCAGACGGGTAGAAGAGAAGCCGAAGCGAATTTCCTGTTGGGCCTTTAGATGGATCATGGCGACTCGTGAAGAAGTTCTCTGGCATCTTTTTGAGAGTTAAAGGGGTGAGCAGAATAGTCGTATCATTCCAGGATCTCAATATTTACCTCTAGCCCTTGACTCAAAAGCTTTAGTATTTGAGCGCATGTTTCATTGCATAATCGTGTAAAATGAGCAATCTCTTTCTCCTGGGAAAGAAGAGTTGGAGGCAAGGCCTGTTGAAATTTTCCGTCGTTCAATTCACCAATATTCAAGGCTCTGGGGAGATTTAGACTTTTAACGAATCAAAACGTCAAAAGGAATCTTACTCTTTAAAGTCCCCGCGCTAAGGAAACCTTAGTTAACCAATATGGTAAGCATAGGTGCTGGGACCGAATACCCACCTTGTGATTCTCCGGGTCTAGCGTTTCAACATGCATGCCAACCCATCCCTTGTTCTAATATGTCAATGACAATCATCAGCATGGATTCGTAGTAGAACGCATAGCGATTCGGAATATGAGAGCCAATTTTTCTAGACAATCTCAAAATTCACAACGTGGTTTAATCGCTTCGGGAGACTAACATCAGATCCCCGACGATATGGCTCTTTTTCCGCTGAGGGTAACTTGAAAAAGTCATTTGACTACGCATATTCATCATCAGCACCAAACTATTCGATCAAGGATCAAAATGGGTGAAAACTTCGGAATGAAATCTCCCAGTTTGAGTGTTTAAATTGTTGGGTATTGACAAAGGCACTCCGGATCAACAAACCATTTTGAACACTCGTTCCACGTCGCACTTGGTAAAATTCGACGTCCTACTATCAATATAGAGGAATCCATGCTCGATAGCAGCATTTAACAACGATTTTCCCGCGGCGGCAGTGTCGGGATCCGATAGATCAATCATAGGCAGTCTAATCGGACTTGTCATGTTGGTCGCCATTGTTTTGATTTCCTCTGGGTTTGTTCATTCCCACCCGCAAGTTGTTAAGCCAAACTTCAAAATAAGATACCGGACCCTATATAGACTTTTCGGCTCCTGTTGCTTGAGCAGAAAACGGACGACGCCGTTGACCGAGAAGCTCGGCTTGAGATTATCCAGGAGACTATGGGAAGTGATGAGAAATAAAAAGAGAAAGTTGGTCGACTAGCGACGGTACCACATAATGAATGTGATTGATCATGTGCAAATCTTGTATCACCTCAACTGCCAATGACACTAGCTCCATTCATAATATGAGCGATTTACCCCACGATGGCCCCAGACCATGATTTACAGACACCCCTGCAACCATCACATCTCATCTTTGTGGAACCTGTTGGACCTTCTAAGTCTGTAGCTTAAATTCCTACCCTTATCAATGGGTCTCGGTGGGCTCCGTACCAATAAAAACGTAAATTCGCCCCAGCCACCGACCCCCGCTCGGCCGCGCGCCCGAAATAGCGGAGACGCCGGCTGGACCAGGCCAAATCGGTATGGCTAGAAAGTTAGAGACATGCAGATGACAAGCAAACACCGCTGTGTTCTGAAACAACCGAGGCGATGTAGTGAGATTGATGTGTCCCAGGCGTGGTCGATACCGATAGGCGATCACTTATTGAGTTATAAGCTTGTCTATTCGAGATGCAGTTCATGCATGGTCGGTAACTTGAGCCTTAGGTCAATATCAGCACCTCAACGCCACCACCTGGGGAAATTGCTTGACGGGCGCATTCAATTCCCACGTCAAAATGTGGATCGGCGACCCCCGTGGGTCTATCCACTTTGCACAGTGGAGAGATTACTGATAAAAGGTGTTGTTCCTTGGTCTCGACTTTTGATAGTTTCGTCCGTTGCTGATGCTTCAAACTATGGACAGTACACTGAATCGCGACGTGGAAAAGCGTGCTGGCACAGCAGAGCCATCGCTCTTCGATCATGAGTCAGGGGCTGTCCCTGCATCGAGTTTTGAGTATGGCAACTCTTTATATGCGAAGCTTCAAAGACTGGGAGGCAAAATAAAGGTTGAACAGAGAGGCATTGAGAGAGTACCGGAAGATGAACGGACTGATAACTCATACTGGAATATTGGATCAATGGTATTTCTATCCCTACCAACGTGCGAGGTGTCTCTAATCCGTGCAAATCAACCTAGTGGCTCGCTGCAAACATGGTCGTCCCTTCATTCACCATTGGAGTGTTGGGTCAACCGCTGTTCAACCTAGGATTCATTGATTCAGCTCTTATCATTATCTTCTTTAACTTTATTTCGGTACTTACGGTCTGTTTCTTTTCCATTTTCGGTGCCACTTTCGGATTGCGACAAATGGTTTTGTCTCGGTTTTGGTTCGGATGGTGGGGTGTCAAGCTCAGTATGTCATTTGATCCTATGATTTCGGTGAGATAAATAGGAGCTGATGCATCGATCTAGTTGCCCTGTTCAACGTCCTAGCATGCCTTGGATGGGCCGCGGCAAATATCATTGTAGGCGCACAGCTCATCAATGCCGTGAACCCGGACGTTCCAGGATATGCTGGGATTCTGATCATCGCATTCTGCACCCTCGCGGTTGTCTTTTTCGGTTACAAGGTCGTTCATGCCTATGAATACTGGAGCTGGATCCCGACATTCATCGTTTTTCTTGTCGTACTGGGTGTCTTTGCCCACTCTGGAGACTTTGTCAATATTCCAATGAGAACTGGCAAAATAGAGCTAGGTGCTGTACTATCCTATGGATCTACAGTATTCGGGTTTGGAACCGGCTATACCAGCTTTGCGGCCGATTATACAGTCTATCAGCCGAGCGATCGATCTCGAAGAAAGGTCTTCCTCGCCACCTGGCTAGGTATTTTCCCAACGCTGCTTTTCACGGAGCTTTTAGGTGCCGCCCTTGTGACGGCCATCACCTTGAATGGAGGTGACAACCCTTATAATGCAGGCTACCAAGACAACGGGGTAGGCGGCTTGTTAGGCGCCCTCTTGTTCCCTCGGGTTGGGGGATTTGGCAAATTTTGTGTCATAATTTTGGCCCTGTCCATTGTCGCCAACAATTGTCCAAACATTTATTCGGTTTCTCTGACTCTTATGGTCATGGGCCGCTGGACACGCCATGTCCCTCGCTTCGTCTGGACCATAATAGCAACGGCAATCTACATTGCGATTGCCATCCCCGGATACAGCCACTTCGAAGCTGTTCTGGAGAACTTCATGCATTTCATTGGATATTGGCTCGCAATCTATGAGGGTATCGCACTAACAGAGCATTTTGTATTCCGACGCGGATTTTCTGGCTACCAGCCCGAGGACTACGACAATCGTGATAAACTGCCACCAGGAATTGCCGCACTTCTTGCATTCTGTTGCGGAGTCGTGGGAATGGTGATAGGGATGAGTCAATCATGGTATGTTGGGCCGGTCGCAAAATTAGCCGGGCTAGCCCCAGCTGGAGGAGATGTCGGGTTTGAGCTTGGATTTGCTTTTGCTGCAATCTCGTATGCAATCCTAAGATTTATCGAGAAGAGATTTTTCAAGCGATAGGTGACTACATAGGCATGACTGGTCTAGCAAAATACCATTCTAATTTCATTCAAGTATCTCCGTACTTGGAAAGGCATTCATTTACTGTCTTGAATCCTAACACAGATCATTTTCTCCGTTGAGTAAACTTCAATCGGGGCCTTGGGCAGCATTCTTGAGTACAATCAGGGGAAATTCCACAAGTAAAAGTTCACCCCATCCTTAGAAATGGCCTTCTTGATTTTCATTCCATTATTTTGTTAGATTAACTCTATACTTCGAAAGGCTTTTCATCTATATCATACATCGGTGAGCAAGCCAGCTTGCTCTTCCCCCGTAACCATGGGCCATAAACCTTGAATATCACTGGAATCGGTATCATAATAACAGCAATGCACCCTAGTAATGTGCCGGCCCATTGAACACCAAGATTCTCCATCATTTGGCGAGAGAATAATGGAAATGTGCATCCGATAGCAGAGCGCATAATGGTGTTCGCCGCAATCGTAGATGCAGCCCTAAAATACAATTAGTAAGTTTTCCAGTTATTTAATAACTCAGAAGAACGTACAAAGCGGGATAGCAATCAACAATATAATTGAAGCATTGTAAGAATATTAGGAAAATTCCTGCGCCCGTGAAAACTCCGGATGCCACAGGCGCCATCCAATGAATGGAGGACGTATATCCGGTCCAACCAAACCTAAAATTGTTAGCTGCGAATTCCAGTCCCAGAAATATCGGATAGAAACTTCACTCACCAAAACATTCCAATCGCAAATACGACCGCTCCGAGGATTGCCGGTGGAAGGCGCCATTCAGGGACAGGCTTGTCGCCGTTTGAAGAAAGCTTGGATGCATAAGATCGTTGGAGAAAGAGCATGAGGATACCTCCAAGGAGTTCGCCGATAATGAGTCCTATAAATGCCAGTCCACCTACCCCCATGCTCATGTGATAAACTCCTTGGAATACCACTGGATAGGCCCCGAGCAGAGCATATATCAGACCGTAGATGAAAGAGATATATAAGGATATCAAAAAAAGAATGGGTTCTGTGACCAACATGACAATTGGTCGCGTAAAGTTTGTGCAGATGAGCGCGATAAAATCCACCTCGACTTCATCTTGCTTGGCGTGAATGCCCCAATTGCGAGTTTGCCGGCGCAGGGTAGCTGCTTTCTGGATCAAGATCACCGGGGGGTAAGTTTCTTCAAGGCAGAGGAGAGCTAGGATAAATCCTACAAACACCATCATAGCCGAGATGTACATGATCCAGCGCCATCCCAAGGCGCTCATTTCAATAAATCCACCGACGAACGGCGCCGCAAAGGGTCCAATAAACACAGCCATGCAGAAGACTGACATTACCATTCCTCGCTGGGCATTATTGAACAAGTCTGCAAAGACAGCCGGAACCACTGAAATGGGACTTGCGGCAAATAGTCCTGCGAAGAACCGACATATCATGATAGTCTGTAGATCCTTCGCAGTAGCACATGCCACTGTGAAGATGCCACATCCAAGGATGCCCACTGAAAGTGGCCCACGTCTCCCAATAAGCTCTGATCCTGGTGCCCAGATGGTTGGACCAGCTGCAAATCCGAGAACATAAAGTGCGACGCCTAATGATCCCACTTCCTTACTTGTTTGAAATTCTTGGACAACTCCGGGGATGGCGGCCGAGAAGACGGCACTGGTAAATGAGCAAGCGAATGTACTATAACAGAGGATGGCAACGAGACCAATTCTATGGATCTATTAGAAATGCGTAACGGAAAGTGAAACTGCAGTATTCAAGCGTACCTTTTGAGCGAGGGCCAGTTATAAGGATGCAATGGATCATCCGCACCATCAAATTCCACCACGTATGCTTCAGAGTCCGGAAGAAGAGGTGGATGTTCCTTTCCGGCTCCCATAGCGAGCCATTGTTCTCGCGGGGTTAGACCCCTCACAGAGCCAACGGTTGTCTTTTGCTGCAATCGATATGTGTTGATACGGGTAAGTTCGAGCTCGTCCAGGTGTCCAATCGTGTCGTTCGAGATATCGCTTTCGGAGTCATTGTCGTAAATCGTATTCGTTTCAAATTGATTATCATTATGCTTTGTCTCTCGGTCCGACATTTTGATCTCAAATGACCATAATCAAAATTCAAGTTTGAGAGACCGCGACAAGACGAAGATGTGAATGTTAGACTGAAACAAGTCGGGAGTACAGCCATATCATATGTTTCCCTGAAAGGCTCATGTGGAGCGAATTTTCTTCATTCTTGCACTGGCGAGGTCTGGTAAACCCGCAATTGCCATCACAAATGGATCCTGATTCTATCAAATCAAGCCCATTCTAGACAAAAAAGACCATGAGAAGATCCATACTTTTCCGCTGTGGCTGATATAGTGCGATGGGATCCACTTTCTGGATCCACATTCATCAACATCTGCCAATCCAGGTCTCCCCAGCCACTGGAAGCTCGTCGGTTATGGTCGGAAATGTGGCTAAAGTCTTGTCACCGCAGACAGCCGAATGTAGCCGTTATCTCTCGGGTTTCAGGCAAAATACGTGATAAGATCCAGTATAACAAGTTGGAAAGGAAAAATCTGATCGCTAGGGGTGCCATGAAATCCACATATCGTCATTCACCTCCCCAATTGGCCCGGCTCATCCCGCTCGGTTACAAGAAACCGAAGACATGCTTTTGGCGTCGGCACGGGAGTTTGTCATATCAAGTCGGGCCGTGAAATATGTGGGCAGTCCCGGCATTGAGTTAAGTGACCTATTTTATGAGAGTCACTACTTAGGACCTTGGAATAGACGATAGTTTTTGAAGTAGGTCGCATGACCTCACTTATGAAGTGGAATACAGTCCTCGCAGACACGGATAGAAAGATGTCGAGCGGTATTTTTCTATGTACCAAGGTATTATTTTCTATGTAGCACCTGGGCGGAAATTCATCAAAATAAACAGAACGGAAGCGATTGAGACTAGTACGCAAGCAAAAATGATTCTCAAAACGCCAACCTTGGAAGGTTTTTTATCTGTATCAACCACACTTGATAGCTATGAGACATAATTCCCACTACACTGACTATCATTTTCTCTCTAGAACTTGTTGTGCATGTAATCTAAGAGCGATAAATATCTAGTGGTGAGAGGAAAAGGTTTTGCGCCATGAGAATATTTTCCATGTATTGGTACCTAGGTAACTTATAGCTGGACAGCCCTTGGAGCCTGGTCTTTACAGTTAAATTGCGCTTTGTTTCTCTAATCTTTCGCACAATTCTCTCAGTCTCCAGCCAGCCCATTCAAAATCGGTTGTTTCAAGATAGACCTGTCCACTGAGACGGACCCACCAAGATCCCTGGAATGGAAAAACAGGCATAAATGTGCTGTACTCTTTGATCATGGTTTTCTGCATCCAATCCGTCACGGTAGCGCCGGGAAAATCACCACCTTTGACGAGGCTACCTTTGCCGGAAGTAGGCCAATTCAGAGGAAGCAAAATGTTTACCATGAAGCATTCTGTCAATGTGTGTGCATCATTATCGAGAATCCTAGTTTCCAGGATGTTTGCCACTCTTAATCCGCCCTCCCGGGCTAGTTGAGTGCAGTAGCCTCTGATCTTGCTTTCTCCCCCGCAGATAGTTTGTCGCCAACGAATTGCTTCAGCGACGGTCAAAAAAGAGATATTATCAGTCGTTCCCACGAACTCAAAGTTTGAGACAAACTCCGGCCCACCAGAAGCACAACTGTTGTTGGTCGACAGTAAATGGGGAACAAAGCCATGACTTGTTGGTAAGGTGCTTCGCATCATAGCTTGATGGCGCTCTGGGACATAAAAAACAGCACATGCACGAGGGGTGAAAAGCCATTTATGGCAGTTGCTGATAAAGAAGTCCGGATCCAAGGAAGAAAGATTAAGCCCAATCTGACCAATACCATGGGCTCCGTCGATCAAGCTCAGCACTCCTTCTGTGCGACAAAGAGCAGTAAGCTCCTCGAAGGGAAGCCTGAGCCCAGGGTTGGAGGATATTGTATCAAATATCGCGATCCGAGGCCGACGGCCTTGTTGGCGGGACGCTTCAATTGCTCGTTGAAACCCGGAAACAATCTCGGCATCATCAACAGGATAGTTGAAGTTGATTTCCCTTGTGTGCACTTTCCCTTGGTTGGCCTCGCAGAGATAATTGGTGGTTTTACCACATGCGCCATAGATAACGTCCAGCTGAAGAATTTCATCTCGTCCATCGTCATTCCAAACTATATTGCGCAAAACGGTGTTGACTCCGGTCGTAGCGTTGGCGACAAAGACAATAGTGGATAATGGAGCATTGAGAAGCTCACTAACCGCTACCCGTGATTCATTCAATAATTCAGGAAAGCGGTACTTGATAAATGGGCATGGAGTAGCTTCACATTCATCGCGCAGTCGATCTGCCATATCACGAATTGCCTTGGGGGATGCGCCAAATGACCCTAGAAACGAATGAGTAGGGGGAAATTCCAAGGCGATAACCGGTGAGCAAATGAAGGATCTCACCATGATTCATATTTCTGTAGCCTGTCTTGAAGGAGAAATGTCTTCGCATTTCGTGCCCAAAGGGCGTTGGGGAGTCTTCTTGCCTGTCCGACATAATCTCGAGATCCTGAGTGACTCTGGCCACCTGGGGCAGTTTGTTGGTGGTATCAAGTTGCGGTCGGGACGTCGAGATATTCAACATAGGAGCTCAAATTCCGGAGGAATAACACTTCCTATCGGCTATTCGGGTTCCACTAAGACGAGCTGCGATAAAAAATACTACCGTAAGATGCTACGTTTCGAAAAGTTTGAGAGGCTTGGACCCTGCATGTGGAGGCCGGACATCATTGCGACGACCGCCATAAGCGCCGATCACTTGGAACGGTCGGGAATCACTCGAATGGCAGACTTGAAAAGGACGCATAGGCCGCTCTGCACGAGCTCTTTGTGGAAGCACTAATCTGGGGTCGGCAAGTCAAGCGACTCGTTCGTTGGGTGCTCCCCACGTTGTACCCCACATTATCAAGGAGTCCGTGCAGAAGTACTTAAGACAAGCAAATGCGAAGCTCAATTTTGCCCCGAGTCATCTGCATTGCAGTTTGCTGTGAAAGCCTTTTTTGAAGGTGCTTCTATTCTGAAATGGCAACTCAAGGCAGTCCCAACCACGCAGAGGATGTAGAGGTGGGTAGCACGAAGGAATCGAATTCACAGCATGCCAGGGATGTCGATGTTGATAAAGGCGTGACGGAATCTGCAAACGTGGGAACTCTTCAGCGGCGACTGAAATCACGACATGTTCAATTCCTCGCTCTTTCGGGCGCCATTGGCACTGGTTTGTTTGTGGGAACTGGTCAGGTTCTCTCGCTAGCCGGACCACTTTCAGCAACACTCGCCTATCTCATCACAGGTTTCAATCTATACGCAGTCATAAACAGCATGGGTGAAATGGCAACATGGCTACCTCTTCCTGGTGCTGTCCCAGTTTACGCCTCCAGATTTGTTGATGAAGCGCTCGGGTTCACTTTAGGCTGGAACTATTGGTATCAGTTTGCCATCGGAGTTCCAATTGAGATCAGCGCAGCTGCTCTCGTGATCGATTATTGGCCAAATGGAGTTGCTCCAGCTGTCTGGATTACGATTCTCTATGTGGCTATCTTCGCAACCAACTGCCTTCCAGTACGCGTGTATGGTGAACTAGAGTTCATTCTGGGGTCTATCAAACTGACGACTATCATCGGATTGATGCTTTTGATGTTGATTATTACACTTGGCGGAGCTCCCTCTCATGATCGCATTGGATTTCGCTATTGGGATAACCCGGGGCCAATGAATGAATATCTCGAGGATGGATCGCTGGGTCGCTTTTTGGCATTCTGGAAGGTCTTCATCCAAGCCACGTTTAGTTATGGCGGTAGTGAGATGGTGGTAGTCGCAGCTGGAGAGACTGAGAATCCTCGACGGAATATTCCCAAGGCAGTCCGCAGGGTTTTCTGGAGAATTGCTATCTTCTACGTGGGAAGTGTCTTCCTCGTAGGGATGTGTGTTTCATCCCGAGATCCTCGATTGCTGAATGCTATTGAGTCTGGGGCAAACACTGCGGGTGCCAGTCCCTTTGTGATTGCAATTGAGAATGGAGGAATTCCAGCCCTTCCTTCGATCATCAATGCAGTTGTTTTGACATCGGCTTTGTCTGCTGGGAACTCATTTTTCTACGCATCCACTCGAATTTTATACGCCACAGCATTGGATGGCAAGGCACCCCGAATCATGAGATACGAGAAATTTGGTGTTCCATACGTTTGCGTCGCAGTGACGGCAGCTCTGAGTCTGTTGGTCTATCTCAATGTCTCAGCCAGCTCGGCCGATGTCTTTTTCTGGATCAGTAACCTGAGTTCGGTCAGCACCTTGATTGTGTGGACTTCAATTGCGATCACGTATATCCGATTCCATCGAGGCCTGAAACATCATGGGATTTCGCGATCTTCGCTGCCATTTAAGTCACCATTCCAACCTTTTATGGCATACTTTGCGATCATTTTCTCCTCTACGGTGGCCTTCTTCAATGGATTTGACGCCTTTTTCCCGGGACGGTTCAGCGCCAAAACCTTTGTACCTCCATACGTCGATATTCCTATCTTTTTGTGTCTATTTTTGGGGTACAAGATTATCAAAAAGACCAAATTTGTCAAGATTGAAGACATGGATTTATGGTCGGGCAAAGAGGAGGCGGACGAGCTGGAATCGACATGGGAGGAGCCCAAGCCTCGAAATTTTCTAGGTGAGTTCACATTAATACCCGGGTATTGGAGGATGGATGTTATACTAGTATCATATACTGACAAATGACAGAGAGGATCTGGTTCTGGATTGCATGATATGGATATACTATGTACTACTAGTATGAGTATCCAATGTATACTTACTCTATAGGCTACTGACTAGTTACCATTATTATAACATAACCCGCATACCTAAGCTGTAAATCTATTTAACTACTTAATCATATCATTAAGATAATAGTATATTATACAATCTACTGATCCCTTCCGGTGATTGTATTGGCCATGTTTCACGTAGTCCCCTTGCGCCCCACCGCAGCTTCCAAGGTTTATGCGCCATCGGAGAGTTTACTGCGTACCGCATCCTTTGAGAATCACCTTCACCTTCAACCCTTTCCACCTATATTGGTAGATTCAACTCTATAGGTCCCCACCACCATGTCTCATCCCTTTTTACCATTATCGTCCCCTCCAGATTCGCCAGATTCGCCAGGATTGCGACCGCGACGACCCAGTTTGGATCCAGAACGCGAGATTCTCTCCACGCGTGGCCAACGCTTCCTCAATTTCCTGCCCAGTCGCAACTCCAGCAGCGCCTTGCAGGAATTACATCAGGAGTCGACTTTCCTGCGTCGAGGATCCCAACTCATTGGACGAAGCAACCCCCGTTATGAATGGTATGTGATGGGCGCATTCCTCCGCATGAACACAACCTCCGAGATAATCGCGACTAATTTCTTCTTATTCTCTCTCTTCTCTCCAGGCAACGCTATTATCGAGCCCCAGATACTCTAAAAGATCTCCCCGCTAAAATGTATGCATTCTCCCTTGCATTTCCCGGCCCCTCTTCTACAATGACTAACTGGTGAATAGCCGGAAATACTACGAACGAAACAATGCCATCATCTCCCATTACCTTTATATCGACCGACTCCTCGACTCCTCTCTCCCTCACAATCTGATCAACGATTATGATAATTGCGGTCACTCCCACCCATTTAACCATATTGACTCAACTATCGAGGAATCGGAATTGGAATCGAACACCCCTTCAACTCGCGAGGCCGCCGCCCGCGTCAAGCGCACCCCACACAATCTCTATCGAATCCCCGATGAGACTGCCCCTTTGCTCAGCTCAAGTGCTACGCCGGATCAGGAATCATGCGCCTACCATACAATGCCAGAGATGGAGTCTCACGAGGGATTATCTCCTGAGAAAGAGGAGCGTCTGATCAACCTGGCCATCCGTATCAATTTCGTCGCCAATGTCTTGCTCCTAGCTTCCAAAGTGGCCATCATGTATCTCACAAGCTCCATGTCCATGCTTGCTGGCCTTGTGGATGGAGTCCTGGACTTTTTGAGTACGGTCATCGTTTGGGTCACCACAGTCATGATCCGTCGGCAAGATCGGAACCGTTTCCCAATCACTCGACGACGCCTCGAACCTCTCAGTGTGCTGATCTTCTCCGTCATCATGGTCACTTCCTTCTTCCAGGTGGGTCTAACCTCCATCAACCGGTTGATGGGGGAGGACCACACTCTGGTGGAACTGTCCCTCCCGTCCATCATCCTCATGGCCGCAACCGTCATCGTCAAACTTCTGTGCTGGCTTTGGTGTCGCCTCATCCCTAGTCCTGGTGTTCAGGTCCTAGCCCAGGATGCTATGACGGATGTGATATTCAACACTTTCAGCATCATCTTCCCTTTAAGTATGTACCCTCCACTCCCCTCTCTTCTCTCGTCGGAACTAACCCATCACAGTTGGCTCCTTCGCGCGCCTTTGGTACCTCGATCCCCTGGGTGGTCTGCTCCTCTCTGTATACATCATGTGGAACTGGGGATCAACGGCGAGTGAGTACATTAGCCGACTGACCGGAGCCGCTGCCTCGCCCGATGATCATAGTATCTTACTCTACATGACGATGCGCTTTTCACGGGTTATCCAAAAGGTTCAGGATCTCAAGGCCTACTATGCCGGCGACAAACTCAATGTGGAAGTCGACTTGGTCGTGGATGAAAAGACGAGTCTGCGCGATGCTCACGATGTTGGGGAGAGTCTGCAATACATGATTGAGAGTGTGCCTACCGTTGACCGGGCCTTTGTTCATTTGGATTATTATACTTGGAATCTCCCTAGTCATATGAACCAGTTGGATCGATAGCATGTTGTTCAATTTCCTCTCGAGATCCCAGGGCAGGGACAAACAGCAAGTATCACTACCTAGCTACCTATATAAGAGAATACCCATTTTGTATTTCAGCATTACTTTCCTCCTCGGGGTTGATAGTCAAATCATCCATCGCAAGATTCAACTCATCATCCACACCTATCCCCCATATCGAAGCAAGATACAATCGATACCAATGCGGATCGCATCGATCTATACCGTCCCAGTGCTCCTCCTCGTTTTCCTTTTTCCTCTCCCTCCCAAGCAAAGGAGAAAGTATTCGTATACCACTCCTTTAGATCAGAAACAACTTCGAATCCCCGATCCTCTGAACAGCATCCACAATTCAAAGTGCAATGTCGAGCACCAAGTCGACCCGCCGAGCTCTTCTCTCGCTGGACGACTAGCACAACATCCACAATCCCTGCCACAACACCCTCCCCGTCCTGCACAATCATCAACCAGAACCTGATGCATATACCACCTTGAATCGGATCTCCACTGCTCAAATCCTCTTTTCAGAACACCGAGGCTACCCGAGAAATAACTACTCCAAAACCACCAATTCCTTGCCTAAACCCAATTATCATTTCTCACTTCTGCTATTCCTTGCAGCGCATCCTTGCCACCCTTCCGGTATGGAGCAATCTCCTTCTGACAATTTTCCCGCAGTTGTTACTCAACCTGTATGGATTCCACTAAGCCGTCGGAAATAGGTGTTTGTATCGATATCTTTGGAAGAATTTTGAGACATCCTGTCGTCTCTAGCTTAGCCTCCTCGGGCCTTTTTTTGCCTGGTAGACGCAGCTTCGAGATCACCGAGCTGGGGATCTCAGGGCTGGAGGGCTGGTCATCAGATAAACGAGAATTGTTGGTTGATAGCTGAGGAGTAATGAGGTTCGAAGTGGTTCGATACTTGCTAACAAACTCGTGCTAATTTTTACTAGATGGTAGGTGAATGCTTTCACACTTACTCGTGAAAATAGGGCCCATGATGACGTTGTATCAAGGAAAAGTCTTACTTTATTTACTATCTACATCATATTCAGAGCACAGGGAATTGATTTAGAACGTCATACATCAATCAAGTCATTCATTTAATAGTACATATAGGGACAAAACGACAGTCCGAATCGGCAAAACTGCCATGGTCATAGACAAGAGGCAATGGAGAAAAATGTTAGGAAGAGAATAGCTTTTCTCTTAGTATACATGAAGCAAAACGTGCTTTCCAGTAGAGAGAGAGAGGCTAGTCTGTTCTTTTCATCAACTAATACGCACCCTAGCGGGGCGGTTGCGATGATGGGTGCAGAGGCCCTGGCAGTCCACCCTGTGCCGAGCTTTGGCTATAGACACGGTGGTGTGTCGGTGTAGAGACAGATTCGCCCAGCGAACCTGACCCCGGTGGCCGTTGGTGGAGAGGTGGCATGGCCCCTGCCGACGAGGATTGGGGCGGAGGTGCGTAGCCCATGCCATTACCACTCACTGAGTGGTGTAGAGCAGACGACGGAGAGTAAGGACGTCCTATTGTAGCCAGGGACGACATCGATCTACCCCCTTGAGCTTGTGGTGGTGGAGTGTTGTGTCCATATTGAGGAGGTCCAACGGGCATGTTGACCGGAGTGGAGCGATGAGAGCCATTGACTAGAGTCTGAACATGTTGTTGGTAGCTCTGGCTATGAGGTTGGGTCGCAGACGGGGTAGAAGATCCACCTGGGCCGTACGAGGGCTGCGAGCCGGGTTGGCGAGGAGGTATTCCAAAAAGACCCGGGGAAGGTTGAGACGCTGTCGGAGCCTCCCGCGAACCGAAGGCGGCACTACTCGCTCGTGGCGGGGGTGAGCCGGTCCGATATGTTGAAGGTTGAGGTGGCATCTCACGAGAGCCAGACGCTGCTGGCTGGCCAGCAGGAGCCTGTCCAAAGACGTTCGGATAAGCGGACCTCTGAGAAGCAGCAGGTGGCGGTGTCGGTGCAGGAGACGGGACAGGGAGACTGTTCAAAGAACCGGGTGCCTGGCCGGATGCCGAACCGAAGTGCCCAAAAGAACCTTGAGCAGCTAGGCGACCGCTCGGCTGCGGTGTTGGCTGAGTCGGCGCAGGAGGGCCACCTTGCTGTGCCCTAGGATCGAATCGCGCCATCCAGTCGTTGTTTGCCGGCGTCGCCGGTCCACCAGAGGGAGGCCCGTAGCTGGAGTATTCAGCATAGCCGCGCGATGGAGGTGGATATTGGCCATGCTGCCCAAAGCCAGCCGGCTTGGTAACTTCTTCGGGGCGAGCAGAACCCGCCTGTGGATAGGCAGATCTTGATGCAGGGATGGAGCTCGAGACAGGAGCAGAGGGCGCTTCACTGGCAAATCGCTTTCGAGGCTGAGGCTCTTCGGGCTCGTCGTTGAGAATGCTCATGATATTGGACCGCTTCGCTGGCACATGACGAGTGGCCTCGGGAGCGGGCGTCAGACTCGCTCGCGAGATATCTTTGACAGGAGACAAAACAGGTCGGGGCGAGTGGGACATGCCCATCGATTGACTTGATAGGGGATAGAACTGTCTTGGGCCGAAAGGGTCGCGATGTGTTGAAGGGATCTCGAGATCCGATCGGGGCAGCTGACTAGGAGATCCAGGCTGGGTCAGGCTGGGGTGGCGAGAATGGGTTGGGGGGGAGGAGAGTAGGGGTTTGCGCGGACATATAGGCAGACTGAGCCATAGGGTCCATCCGAGCCAAGTCTGCAGGTAAGGGTGCACCGGAGCCATGATGAGAGATATCTTGGGCCCGTGCAGATGAATGCGGCAATAGTGCTGAGTCCCTCCGGTCCTCGGTGAAATATCCAAGTCGTGGGCCCGGTATGCGAGATGACGGTCCTGCCTGAGCTCGCATAGCGCGAGCAGCGTCGTCGCCAAGGGTGGCGGCCACCGGTGGCACAGCAGTCGCAGCAGATGCCTGTGCGAGTGTCGGATAGCGACCCACACTGCGCTCATTCTCCGATAGTGGGCGACCAAGGTGTGATACTGGCTGTGGAGACATCGCGAGAGGTTTACCCTTGGGGAACCGTGTGTCATCTCCCTCGGCCATGAGCTCACCGTGGGGTGCCAGTGGACGAGGAACGATGGCAGACGGAGTCGCCTCGTAGCGCCGCTTCGGTGCTACACTGGGCACGGGAAGTGGACCGGTATCCTCGCCGCGAGCTTTTTTATCTTCTGCGGCCACTATCAAATCCTCAAAATCCTTTTGACCCGAATCCAGACGGCGCTGGTAATAGTTTTTCACCTGCGTTGCGATTTATGTTAGATGAAGAAGAACAATATTGGATGAAACAAATAAAAGGCTTACTTACCATTACGGTTGTCTTAGTCTTCATGAAATTCGAGATGCCTTCAAAATCACGACCGAAATGTGCCAGCAGTCGTGGAAAATCACGCTGCTCAGGCACCGACCAGTAACTCGTCGGTTGCAGAGATCCATAACCAGTCTCCGATGGCTTGGGCGCCATGATCGGCTCGGCTTCGGTGGTTTCGAAAACGTACATGCCTTCTTTGGCTCTTCCGCGGCCTGGTCTCGGGCGAGAGTTGGGAGGTATATTGTCTTTGTCGACGATTTCTCGCTCTTGAGAAATCCCAGGGACAGTCTCCATCATCACCTCCGGGCCAGATTCTGTACTTGGGAGAGCTGCAAGAGGAACGATTCCTGGCGGCGCACCTTGGGCTTTGGGGTCTTGCGGTCCAGTCTTCACGCGTCTTTGCGTGCGGGCTCCTCCACGTCCACCACGTCGACTAGTGGTAGTCTTCTCGATGGGCTCGCCATCTTTACCAGTTTGGCCTCGGCGAGCAGGGGCAGCACCTTCGGGGTCATTAGAATCACCAAATGTAGGTGCGGCAGCGCGCCGTGGCCGTCCTGTCTCTGTAATCTGAGGGGTCTCATCTTCGCCATCGAGATCTGGCTTAACAACCCCAAGATCGGCAATAAGAGCGTTAGATTTGGGTCGGGTAGATCGAGTCTTTCCTCGACCCCGACGACTCCATCGTTTGTTGAGCTTCGCCTTATACTTGATCTCTTCTTTGGTGAGATAATAGTGCACGATGCACTGACGATAATCTCTACCTGGGAGGGACTCGGCAATCTTGCCCCATCTTTTGGGATGCGCCATGAAGGCATCGGTGAAAGTGAGATGCTCCTCCTTCGTGAAGTCATTGGGTGGCGGAAGGAAGCCGAAGACATCCATGGCATGGTTGACATCGATTGTGTTGTTGAAATCTTTATAGACACTGGCCTGTTCTTCAAATGGCTCAAACATATCCGGAATGATAGCTTCACGAGCCAAATCTGGACGCGCCGTCGCCTCCTTGGTGCGTCGACGCTCCAGTTCTTCTTGTGCGGATATTTCCGATGCCTTGAGAGCGTTGAGGAAATCTAGCTCGCTGTTGCCCTTATAACGGCGTCCCTCACGACCTTCCGGGATGGCCGCAGGAGTGGGAGGAAGAGTCGGTGCTGGCGGAGTTGCAGGAGCAGGCGTCATCGGCTTCTTGTCCTTTTTGCGATCCATCTCCCATATATCCATTCGCCAAGGTTTATAATAAGACATATATTCCTCTCGCAACACTGCATTCTTCTTTGCGATTTGCTTCTGCCGTTGGGAAAGCTCATCGCGGAAAATATCTTTGAAGAGGTCGAGGTGGGTAACATTCTCATGGGTGACTTCCATATCGGAGATGGGAGTAGGTGGCCCTGAATTCAAAAAGGGAAGGCTATCAAGGGTGATCTCATCGCGAGAAACGACAGGAGGAACGAAGGTTTGGGGTACTGGTGACGGCTCTTTCGCGGGGGCGAATGATACAACTCGCTCGTTGTTTTGCGTGGGAGACATTGCAGTGGGTTCTTGTTCTTCGTCTTCCACTGAAGGGAGCGATTCAGAGGGCTGTTCCGATACTTCTTCCTGTGCAATCCTTCCAAGAATCTGGATGCGGCGCAAGAGAGCCAGAATGGTCGGGTCTTCTAAAGGCGAAGGAGGCATTTCCGCTCTAAGAGCTTGCATGTCCTTCTCGAATATTCGCTTCCGTTCCTCTAGATATTCCTGGGTGAAGAGCGCGTTTTCTTCCTCTTCCTCGTCGGTTGATTGCCCAAAGTCGTCGGGGATGACAGCGGGATTTTCCTTCTCTGGTTGATCGGGCTCTCTCCCAGGTCCTTCTTCGACTGTCGGTACAGGCGGTGGACTGCTACGAATTGGCAGTCTCATTGAGGGCGAAGCTGGAGATATCGCTTTCATCGTCTCCGTGGCGGTCGCGGCGGTCGTGGCGGGGGGGCTTACCGCTATCGTGTTGGGTTGCTACAGGTTCCGGCGATTCAGTTCGTCTTTCTGGGCGGGGCTTTTCCTCCTCGACTGGAATAATACTCTCACGCTCCTCACTCTCCTTCTTCGGAGGCACGTTCGGAACAGATGGACCACGACTGAAGCTGCGACGAACCCATGGCTTGTTGCTCTTGTTCGGTCCCCGCGGCGAAGGAGCTTGTCGTTGGTGGTATGCTCGAGGGGCGGTTGGGATGTTTGATGTTGACATTCGCGGGGAGACGGATGGCTCTTTCGATGGAGCCCGAGGACCTGGCGGAGGCAGTCGCGCAAGAGTTGGGGAGGACGTTATTGAACTTGGCTTAACGGGGACATGTGGTTCGGTTGGTCCTGACATTGAATCCCGCTTGGCCATTGCAGCCGGGGCAGTTGGGGGAGACCTATCAGATAGATGCGTAGATGATCGTACCGCACGAGCTGGCTCTTCCTGGGGTCGAATTGGGTCTGCTTGCTGGAATGACTCTCTCCGTTCCGCCTTCGGACCAGTTGGGGGTTGTACCGGGAGAGCAGGTGGTCCGTCTGGGCGGTCTTTCTCTGCCTGTATCGATGCATCGCTACCTGTACGCCCTTCGGAGGCTCCTTTGGCCGTCGGTAAAGTTGGGATGGGAGCTGACACGGATCCGAACGCAGGAACTTGGGGAGCTGATGGGGGAGGTGAATGCTGAGGAACAGATGCCGGCTCCTTTGGCGGTTCCGGGCGAGAAGGGGGTTCTGAACGTTCGCTCTCACGTCGAGACTCAGGGCCAGGTGGGCCCGACAAGATCGATCCTTTGCGGCCCTGGTCCAACGGTGACTGGTCTGACAGGCGATCAGGGGCAGCAGGAGATGCTGCAGGGGGTACCGGATGCGCAATCGATGACGCCGAGCCGACAGAGCCACGATTGTCTGCTCGGGAGGGGGGGTGGTCTCCCCTTTTCCAGGGCTCTACTGGTCGGTCCCGATCATCACGTTCAGGGCGGCGATTGTCCCACTCTTCTCGCCGATCAAATCTATCTCGTCGCTCGGTATGTTCGCGGTCTCTGTCCCGGTCTCGGTCGCGTATATCTCGCTCGCGATCTCGATCTAGTAAACGGTCGGCAACGACAGGTGGGCGGTCTCGGTCCCCATCTCGATCTCGCTCACGATCAGGCACCCGGTCAGGTATGCGGTCAGGCAAGCGATCAGGTAGTCGTTCAGGTAATCGTTCAGGCAATCGATCAGGTAAGCGATCGGGTAGTCGGTCAGGTAGTCGGTCAGGTAAACGATCGGGTAAACGGTCAGGTATCCTGTCTCGCGCACGATCTCGCCATGCATCGCGAGATCGGCTTCGTCGTCGAAACAAGTCACGATCATCATGGAAAAGAGGACGTCCTCGGCCTCGACCACCTTCCCAATCACCTCGTCCACGTCCGCGAATCGAGCCTCCACCACGGTGATTGACGATAGGAGGTGGGCCATCGGGACCCCCGGATGAAGCTGAAAGGATACTGTCGCGGGAATTGCGGCGCATGCGCACCAGATCGAAATCGCGACCCGGGGGCTCTCTCATGTCGCGGAAGTCGCGCGTGGGGGATCGTGAGCGACCTCGACCGAAGCCACCACGATTATCTCTGGGGTCAAAATCTCGGTCTCTGCGATTCCAGTCGCGATCCATATCCCGTCGAAATGGGGGACCATCACGGTTGTCTCGAAAGTCGCGGTCTCGATCTCGATCTCGAAGGTCACGATCCCGGTCTCGAAAGTCGCCTCGACCATATCCACGGCCACGGCCGCCACCACCATACGGACCACCTCGAGGGGAGTCCACTAAAGCACGGGGGCCACGCGGAGGTTCTCTGCCGAATGAAGGACTGGCATCGTCGAGGCCACGGGCGCCTTGGGGACGACGATCCCCAAAGCGCTGAGGGGATCGGTCACGGGAGTTGAACCCGGAAGATGGAGGAAATCGCGATGCCATTACCAGGTCATGCTATGAGATGACCTGGAACTAGCATTTAGTGAAGGGAACGGGGGGGGGTGGAGAATTGCGCATTGGAGGAATCGAGATGGATATGGAACGAACGGGGACAGCTGCACGTGATGGTTCGCACGGGCCACAGCCCGGGGCGGACGTGTCAGTGCAGAGAGGAAGTTGGAAAGATGGTTGGCGGGCAGAAGATGAGGAAGACGTTGTTCAGCTGTCGTAGTATAGCAGAAGTTATATGTATAAGGCAGGGGGGGTGAAGAAAAGAGGGAAGCCTTGGAAAGGGGAGGAATGGAATTGGAGAAAGTGAAGATGTGAAGGTTCAAGTGGAATTGGCTAAGCGGGCCCGTGCATGAGTGGTCTGGACTGGTACCCCGTACAGTACGGAGTATAGAGTATAGAGTATACTAGTAGAGTATACCTGGTATATTTAGTTCATATAGATATTCATATTGGTCTACTGGGTAAAGGTAAGGTAGATACAATACACTACTTCTTCTATTCTGTATCCAATGCATATCATCAGGAATATACAAAAAACTAAAACTAAAATGCAATCCCCCGAGCCGGAATCGAGCCGGCGACCTTTCGGTTATATGTTTCCATTACAGCCGAACGCCATATCCAACTAGACCATCGGGGGTTTATTTGCAATTGTTGCGCCGATATTTAGAATTATATCATGAGGTGTCGAGAGCGCGGGAGTAACCTCGGAATATTGCCGAGTGTTGCTGAAAGTGCTTGGCAGCCCTTGGATCACCAGCACCATTCAATACATTATACTCATGAATTGTATAACAAAACAACAGAAATTTGGATAGTACTAGTATAAAATAATATTTTGAGCAAAACCCTTGGTCAGCGGCCAAGATTATGAGAGCCTTGGAGTGTGATAGGTGAGAACCTTGGAAACACCATGACTCAATATATAAATATGCCTACCTAGGTACCTGTATAGGTACCCCGGGGTACCAGGGTCGTGGGCAATCCATAACTTGGACTTCCTGAAGCAACCTTGGAACTTCAAGTTTCAATACTATTAAAATCCGAACTTAAACCCCATTCTCAAATATTAATTAGCCAAACCTCAAGTCCATAACTTGAAAGTACAACCTTGGAAGTTATCACGAAGCCGAGAAAAACCCCGATTAGGACCTCAGGACTTAATAGGCAGGCGACCCAGTCTACTAGTATTCGACTTTACCTACTTCAAGTTCCCTCAGGCTTGAACCTCCATGATCTACTACTAGTTAACACACTAACTTGGAATCTTCTAAAGCCTCGAAAGTTTAAGCCATACCGTGACCTTCCACGCCCTAGATAGAACGAGCCCTCCGAATCATGAACATACTACTATATACAGCCGAAGAATACAGGCTTACACTCAACATTGCAAAATCGGATTGTATAGGTAAATGATCCATTTTGCCTGCGAACCTAAGTTGATTCCTCCGAGTCTGGGTTGCAAGGGCTTCTTCAAGTCCATGATACAACTTGAAGAATGAAAACTTGAAACTCTGAGGCTGACCAGAGCCATCATGATAGAGTCAAGTCACGGTTGAATATTAGTAAGGTCAATGGATATATTATCCCCCTTTTTACTATAGATTCTCCGTGAGCTCCGTGATTTGAAGATGGTGGAATGTACTTCAGGGCTGGCGAAATGGATTAAGATAGCAAAACTTGACATTAGTTGAGTCTGAACTATTGTGCTCATTGAAAGGGCTCACTGCGCAGGTGTATTACATCTGATATGTGATCAGAAAGGCCGTTCCCGGCTCAGAAGTGGTGATATCAGAGTTGCCCGTCATACCTGGGATGCACCGGGGGAGGTATATGTGTTTTCTGGGTCATGTAGTCAAAATTCACAACAGCCATCGCAAGTAAACCCCCGATGGTCTAGTTGGATATGGCGTTCGGCTGTAATGGAAACATATAACCGAAAGGTCGCCGGCTCGATTCCGGCTCGGGGGATTGCATTTTTGTTTTTGCATTTTTTGTTTCCAATCATATTTTTGACAAATCTATATTTTCTCCAGTTCTCCAGTATTTCCACCAGTGGGAACCGAGATCATCAGCTACCTTAAGGTATGGGGGAGCCCCTGGAGGATTACTAACCTTGGAAGTATCCATCTGATATTTCAGGTAAGCGGGATCGTGACCATCACCACCACCACCACCACCAGACTTTCCTGCCATTGTCATTGCCCTTTCCAATTGTTCTCCCTCTGTTACCGTACTAGGATATTTTGATCGTCACCTCTTCTCTCTCTAATTCCCCTCTTTCATATCTCTTGTTTTATATTTCAACTTATTCCATCACCTGAACCGCCTAATCCAGCAGGCGGTCAGCCACCACCTCCAGGTTTCCCCCCCCAAAAAGCCACCCAATCTCGTCCATAACAAACGAGCGCACGCTCTCGAATCTCGTTGCAGGACAGTCATTGGCCTTTCTTTCTCCGATTCATTCCAGCTTCTCCTCCCTTCATCGGCTGACACGGTGTGGAACGGGGTTCCCCAGCCGTTGTCGCCCCAGGGGGCTTTGAACTTTCTTTGCTGACTAGCTGCGGAATCCGGCCATCAGGAGAACCAGGAGCTCCAGTGCTCTGCTCCTCCGACTGACTGCTTCGCATTCAACGGCCCTTTCCACTCCCTCACCTGTAACGACACCTCGTCCCGTCATCCCGATCCCCCTCTCCGCTGTGCCTATGGCCTGGCAATCTCCGGCCATGTCTGGTATGGGCATGCCGGGGCCGATGGGTGATGGTTCCAATGGCGGACATCCGCAGGGGACTGAGTATACGCTACAGGGTGAGTATCTCCCGCCATCTTCTTTCCGGCTTACCGGAAACCAACTGATTACCATCTCCAGGCGTGATGCGTTTCCTCCAAACCGAATGGCACCGACACGAACGCGACCGCAATGCCTGGGAGATTGAACGCGCCGAGATGAAGTCTCGCATCGGCCGACTGGAGGGAGAGCTACGAACAAGCAAGCGACTGCATGAATCTCTGGGAAAACATGTTCGGTTAATGGAAGGGGCTTTGAAAAAGGAACGAGAGAAGGTGAAGAAACTCGCCAACAACGAGAAGCTCGACGATATCCAAGACCCAAAGGATATTGCGCGGCAGAGTGTCAGCTTCTTAAAAGGTATAGTGGCCTTCTTAATGCGATCATGACAAATGGACCACTCCATCTGACTTCGATTCTTCTAGCACAACGATCTTCACCGTCTGCGGACACGAATGCCAATCTCGATGACCCCGAGAACGCCGTTTCTAATGAATTCCGCCAAGAAGACGAGCGAGACAAATCGCGCGTGTACTTGTCAAGATGTGCGCAGGAGGTTGCGTACCATGTCATCCCTACATCCCACCCAGCTCCCGATCTCAGCGACCCAGATCTTCTGTACGGGAACCAGCAGCTCTCACAGCAGAACCTCGAGGAGGCGTACATTCAACAGCAGCTACAGAAGACAAATCAGCGGCTAGTGCGCGAGGCAGGGCTTCCGAATCACCAACCCTCCCCCGGTCAGTACGCCGAGAACGCTCGGATGCCAGCTCAGTTTGGACCGGGATCTGGATCGGTTCCTCGCGAGGCCCTGGAACGCCGGCAGATTGAGTTGCAGCAGGTCCCTGTTACTGCAGTTGACAATCGAAACCAAGTCTACGAACAGGGCCTCGTGGACGAGCGCCCCATGAACCAGCAGCCACCCATTGAGACACAAGGCCCACAAGTGGTAGTCAAGGAGGACCTGCAGCCCCAAAACGCTACAGACGAAGGAGGCGAAGATATGGATGGATGGAATTTTGACGAACCTAATGAAAAGGAAACAATCAATGAGTCCGTACCGCCTCACCGTCCAGACACCGACGCATTCCCCAACGCCAATTTTGTTCATTCCAAGTCACCCTCTCGTGGAGGTTCTCTCTCCCACCGCCGAAAGAGCTCCGGTTCACGGCGCAAGAGCGATGGTGCGATTGAATCGCGGGATTTCGCTGCTGGTGCCAACCAGCAAGACTCCTCCTTCAAGGTTCGCTTTGCTCTTCGTGGCCACCTCGATGTCATCCGCTCGGTCATATTCACTGGCGGTGGCAGTCCGTCAGAGCCGGAAATCTGCACATGTAGCGATGATGGAACGATCAAACGTTGGATCATCCCAGCAACATATGGCACGTTCGGAGCCCAGGGTCCCAGCTCAAGCAACGACCTGGATATCGTCAGCTACTTCACCCATCGGGGTCATGTTGGTGCAGTCACATCCCTAGCCGCCTGCTCGCCATCTCAAAGCATTTCCAATGGTGGCCGAGCTTCTGGTGATGGTTGGGTGTTCTCTGGTGGACAGGACGCTAGCGTACGGGTCTGGGAACGTGGAAGAGTCGACCCTAAAGCCACTTTGGATGGACATACGGACGCTGTATGGGCTCTTTGTGTGCTTCCGGGCACGACAGGCTCAGTTTATGGAGACTCTAGCAGTCACTATGGTGGACAGGACAGAATCATGTTGGCCTCTGGAGCTGCGGATGGCCGTATTCTCATCTGGGCAGTCACTCCCCCACCCCTCGTTTCTTCTCCCCAAGCTGGATCGCGCCGTCAAGGTGGCAGCCGTCGTGCGAACTCGATTTCATCCGGATCCAACTTCCCATCCTCCCCCCAGCCTAGTGTCGCCACCAGCACCCCGTTCAACTATACCCTCATCCATCACATTATGCGAACCGACGCTCCATCTCCGACATGCATTAGCCCTCTCTCCCTTGCTGGCGTGAACTTTGTGGTTTCCTACACCGATGCATCAATTCTTGTCTATGACACCCGAACTGGCGAAGAGATCGTGGGTATGGCTAGCCTTGAAACATACGACGGTACACCATCAACTGGGGTCAACTCCGTGGTTGCTACAACTATTGGATTCGATGGGTCAGCCAATTTGGATCCCAATCGCACCATGGCCGAAGAAGACGAGGTTGTGCATGGGGCTACTGGATCCAGTGGCGTGGAAGGTGTGGTTATCAGTGGCTACGAAGACCGATACATACGATTTTTCGATGCCAACAGTGGTATGTGATCCCTAGCTTTTCAAGCTTTTGCCAATTTCTAAACCTACTAACGTATGAATTGCAGGTCAATGCACGTACACGATGCTGGCCCACCCAGCCGCTATTGCCGCTTTGTCTCTGTCTCCCGATGGCCGTGAGCTTGTTTCTGCAGGCCATGATGCCAGTCTCCGTTTCTGGAACCTGGAGAAGCGAAGCTGTACTCAGGAACTGACTAGCCATCGTTTAATGCGCGGCGAAGGTGTCTGCGCCGTAGTCTGGAGCCGTGACGGACGCTGGGTCGTCAGTGGCGGTGGAGACGGTGTGGTCAAGGTCTTCTCCCGATGACCGGACGACGAGACGAAAGCCCTTGTATGATTTTTCTTCCTTCTTTCTCATCTTTTCCTTACCCTCTTCTTCTGTCCATTCTGTCACATCCACATCCCTGTCTAAACCCGCGCTTGTGTATTTTCTCAGTCTTCTAGGCGTGATATGATCCCATGAACCGGATGAGCGATTGGCCGGACCAGTTTCTTTCGAGCATTTGCAATGGTGTCCCATCCAGTTGTCTGGCATATGGTATCCTCTTCTACGTCATTCATCCATACCTCTTCTACCTACATGTGTACTTTTGATCCTGACGCCGATAATATGCCGTCTTAGCAATGATTCCCTGCTGGCGCACATTTCTGATCTGATCCTTGTTTCTCTCTCGCATCTTGCGATATTCTGTTGACCTCTTTGCTTCGTTGAATACCCGGTGTCCTTGTGATATGGTCTTGTTCGTTCGGATATAAACAAGCTCTCCTTGCTTTGATCTATTGATATCTGGGATTGTGTCTCCCAGCTTGGTATCCGGAACCGAGTGGCCTTCTGGATTCCTTCTAGATTCGGTAGGGTTATAAAATATGGTGGTGGTGGTGGTGGTGTGTATGTGTGTGCTCGTGTAAAACATTTGAAATCCATATCCATATTTACAGTGTTTCAAGATTCTTAAAGATGTACCTAGTATACACAAGGTAGGTTTATATTGTATGTCCAAAATAGCCAAATGGGTATTGAGTCTGGCTCTCAAGAATACTAGCTCATTAAAGATGTAATGAAATGGATGTAACTATTTGCTTCAATATCTTACTTAGATACCTTGCAAGCATCCTTAAACAGAACCCGTAAGCGAATCGCCTCTTGTTCATCCTTCAACCGCTGCTGCAAATAACCCTGAAGATCATCCCAGAAAGCCTCCGTCTCCAACAGTTCCGCACCACTCGGCCCAACTGCGGCCTTGGGCGGCGAAACATCCCTCGTCTCTTCACCAGGCTGAGACTCGGCAACATCGAGCGTCTTCGCACCACCGATAATCATCACACCGAACTCAACCTCCTTACCCCCGGACAACATATCCGGCTCATCAACCAGTATCTCTGCAACAGTTTTCCCCGTCCCACTAACCGGCTTGCGGTGATATAGGACCTTAATCTTATCCAGAGCAACAGGGTTCCCTTGCGCATCCGCGACACGGGCGCGCACGGCGTCCCGGAGATCTTGCACTGTGGTGGTGGAAATGGGAGCGTTGGGAATGGTGAACTCTAGCACGGGATTGCGAGCAGATTTGACGCGGACATTGATGGACTTCGAGGAACCTGGAGCTTGGCTCTTCTTTACTTTCTTGGGCATCTCGGGGTGCGGGGCCTGGAGGCGGGGGAGTGTGTACTATGATGGCGGAGATAATCGGTCAGAAAGAACGAGCTTGTATATAGTTGGGATAAAAAAATAACTTAGTTGACACAAAATACTCACCGGCACACGCAGGCCAATCTGCTCTGGGTCAAAGACATGGTCTGCGCGGAGCTTGATAGGATGGGAGTCGAGCGTCGCGAGGAAGGATTTGGCAAATGTGGTTTCAGACATGATGCTTGTCTGAGGGAGCTAAGATCTCGAAGTATGCAGCTTTAAAAATTCAAAGATTCTCCGATTTGTAGTTCGCAATTGCACTCAGAAGGTGAAAGTGGAGGTTGAAGTTGAAGCTGAAGTTGTCCGTGGTTGCTGATGGAGACAAAGTTTCCGCCTGACTTTTCAGGCAGAAGAAACACACCGAACTCACCGCCAACGATGACAAATAATGCCGTCCTCCACCGCCGACCGAGAAAAAAAAAGCTAAGAAAAAAAGTCGGCGGAGACGAAATCAACCCCAAGTGATACCCCAAACATAACACATTCGCCATGGGTGTCGGACGTCGCATGATCAAGCAGGGCCCTCCGCCCCCGCTCGATGAATCCAAAATTACCATGCTGAAGAAGCGCAAGGCCGGTGAGCCCGAAATTGCGCCCAAGGCTAAGGCCGCTCCTGCGAAGAAGCGCCGCAGATCCGATGCCGATGAACAGACCACATCAAAAAAGGCCGCCCCCAAGAAGTCCAAGGCCAATGGTGCCCCCAATGGATCTGCCAAGGCAGACAAGAAGAAGGTCGTCGAGAAGAAGGTCGCCGAAAAGAAGAAGCCTGTTCCCATGACAGACTCCGAAGATGAGGACGAGGAAATGGAAGAGATGGATGATGAGTTTGACGACTTGGATGGGATCAGTGATGGATCTCTGGACAGCGACGAGGGTGTTGAACGGTTGTCGGATTTGGAGGATGATGATTCAGTGATTGTTTCCGACGGAGAAGACCACCCCCGCGCGACCATGTTCTCTGACGACGAGGACCTCTCCGACGCCGAGGAGCAGTTGACTGCTGCTAACATCGAGGGTTTGTCTCGTAAGCTCGACGCTGAGCAGCAGGCCGAAGCGGAGGAGGCCGAACAGGAATTGCAGGATGCTGCCATGCAAACCAACATCGCCGGTGATCGCCCTGATGTCTTTGGTCAAGATGGACAACCTGGTCTTGCTCCGGATTTGCAGCTGCTCCGTCAACGCATCACTGATACCATTCGCATTCTTGGTGATCTGAAGACTCTGGGCCAGGCCGACAAGTCGCGTGCCGACTACGTCGACCTTGTTCTCAACGATATCTGCACATACTACGGCTACACCCGCTACTTGGCCGAGAAGCTGTGGAACCTGTTCACCCCCATGGAAGCATTCGCCTTTTTCGAAGCCAACGAGACCCCTCGCCCTGTCGTCATCCGTACCAACACCCTGCGAACCAACCGTCGATCTCTTGCCCAGGCCCTTATCAACCGTGGGGTCGTCCTCGAGCCCGTGGGTAAATGGTCCAAGGTCGGACTGCAAGTTTTCGAGTCCGCCGTTCCTCTGGGTGCCACCCCCGAGTATCTGGCCGGTCACTACATTCTCCAAGCCGCTTCTTCCTTCCTCCCCGTCATGGCCCTGGCCCCCCCAGCCCAACGAACGTGTTCTGGATATGGCCGCCGCCCCCGGTGGTAAGACTACCTATATGTCCGCCCTGATGCGCAACACCGGTACCGTCATCGCCAACGATGCCAGCAAGCCCCGTGCTAAGGGTTTGATCGGTAACATCCACCGTCTGGGCTGCAAGAACACCATCGTCACCAACATGGATGCCCGTACTGCTTTCCCCAAGGCCATCGGTGGATTCGACCGCGTTCTGCTTGATGCCCCCTGCACCGGTACCGGCGTTATCTCCAAGGATGCCGGTGTCAAGACCTCCAAGGATGAGCGCGATTTCCTCGCCATCCCCCACATGCAGCGCCAATTGCTCCTCGCCGCCATTGACTCAGTTGACCACTCTTCCAAGACCGGTGGATACATCGTCTACTCCACTTGCAGTGTCACCGTGGAAGAGAACGAGGCTGTTGTGCAGTACGTGCTGCGCAAGCGCCCCAACATCAAGATTGTCGACACCGGACTCGGCGACTTCGGCAGCCCCGGTTTCACCAGCTACATGGGCAAGAAGTTCGACGCAAAGATGGCCATGACCCGCCGCTACTTCCCCCACCGCGAGAACGTCGACGGTTTCTACGTCTGCAAGCTGAAGAAGACTGGTCCCACCCCCGCTAGCCAGTCCACCACCGAGACCTCCACCAAGTCCGGCCGCGCTCGTTCCAGCTCAAAGACCGAATCCACCGATGACGAAGTGTATGACAAGACCCCTATCCTTGATGAAGATGGAACTACCCAAGACAACGAGGGTGGATCTTTCGGTCCTTTCGCCGAGGATGAGGATCAAGACCGTATTGACCGTGCTGAGCGCAATCGTCTCCGTCGCAAGGGTCTTAACCCCAAGGGTGTTCTGAACAAGCCGAAGAAGAGCAAGGATGCCTCCACATCGAAGGATATCGAGAAGCCCGAGGAGAAGTCTGAGGAGAAGAAGCCTGAAGCCAAGAAGGCTGAGGCCAAGAAGTCCGAGGCCAAGAAGCCCGAAGCCGCAAAGAAGTCTTCCAACGAGGGCAAGGGCGAGAAGAAGACCGTGACAAAGGGAGAGGAGAAGAAGGAGAAGAAGGAAAAGAAAGAGAAGAAGTCGGCCAAGAAGGTGGCCAAATGATTGATCCATCCCTGACACCTTGAGCGTCTCTTGTGTATCTATTAGCTCTGATCTGATCTGACAAGTCGATAAATCGGATAAAAGCATCTTCTTTGGTGGGCGGCGCATTGGACATATACCTTGTTATGTTATGTTATGTTATGTTTTATCAATATTTTATTCAATTCAATATGAAACGATTCATTCAGCGTGAAATCAAATGACTCAGATCTATCGATGATATATTCTATGTCCACCGATGGTCCGGTGGCATGCATCAAAAACGAGAAAAAAAAAAAGCCCAATACTGGCAACAAGAGGTAATAATCGAAAATCTAAAATGTCAACGCATTGTCGCCAGGTCCAACCCCCAGCCACCTTCGCTTGAAAAGTCAAATGAGAACTAGATTGGATCCAATCCAACCTAGTTGCAAAAAAAAAAACAAAAAAACAAAAAAAACAAATCAAACTCCAATGCCCATTTATACCCACAACGCTTTCGTATATAGAACAATCTTATGTCCTGTAAATCTTAATGACACTCTTGATAGTCTTGCGGCAAATCGGGCATAGATCCACCTGTTTGGCGCAGGTCACGCAAGAGCAGACATGTCCACAGTCGCAGAAGACAGCATTCTGTTCTTCTGAGTAGCAGATCTGACAAAGATCTGCCTCCTCATCTGCAACCTCCCAATAACTGATACCCTTGCCATGCCGCTTGCCATCCTTGTAACCGCCAACGTACTTATTGCCGGTATTCTTTTCAATATAAGTACCCTGTCCATGGCGCACATCTTCGACCCAGTCGCCGTCGTAGGTGTCACCGGTCGGATACTCCATCTTGCCTTGGCCGTGGCGTCGTCCAAAGACGAAATCACCCTCGTAAGCAGTGCCGGTGCCAGAGAAGTGTTTTCCCCTGCCATGGTAGTGTCCATTCAGGAAGTCGCCGCTATAGTAGTCGCTGGTGAAAGTAGCCTCAACAGTCTTGGTGCCAGTGAACCCTTGGACGGGGTGGTTTCGAGACTCGGCCCAGAGGTACTGGACTAGGCGATCAGGACTAGAGAACAGACCGGAGATGCCAAGCTCCATTCGCTTGTCATTTCTCAGCTTGTCTCCGACGATGATGCATGATCCATGCGGAACAACCACATCCATGAAGTTTTCAGCGGGCGAGATGGTGGTCACGGTGGTACCGTCAACTCGCTTCCACATCATAAAGTCTCGACGAATGGGCCATTGCATGTGTTTGCGAATAGATGCCTTGACGTTGGTTTCCAGCTTGGAGAAGAAAGAGCCAATTGTCTGAAGAACCTGCTTGTCGGCATCGAATATCTGAATGAAGAAGTAGGTGTGCCCGACAGGCAGCTTTAGTTCAGGCTCCTCCGGATTAGCAGGGGCAGACTCGGGTGTCGATGACTCTGGCTGAGAAGCAGATGCGATGGTCTCTGATGCATGTGAGCTGGTTTCTGTTGAGCCAACAGCAGTGTTATCAATGGCCTGGCTTCCCGGGAGAGTATCCATTAATGGGACAATATTCGAATTGTCTTGTAAGACGGCGTCACTCTCCGGTGCCAGGGTTGCTAGAGGTGGCTCGCTAGCCGTAACGTTGTCATCAATGCGGCTAGTAGTCATGTCCCGCACAACACTCGCCGATGAACTGGCAATGGCATCTCCATCGACTACTGAAGGGCGGTCGGAGATTCCTGAAGTAGCCCGCTCAACAATAGAGTCTTCCGGTTTGTCTTCTTTGGTGGCCACGGACGGCGGGTCGGGAATAGCGAAGAATTTGGCGTCTTCCTCAGAAATGGTTTCCATCCAAAAGCGCATGACACCACCCGACGAATCCAATGGAACATCAAGCTCAGTAATAAGATCGAAGGCGAGTGTAGAGCCACACTGAGCACGGGTATGTCCAATGTGCCAGAGACGGACACGCTCGGCGCCAATGGGCTCATCGGCAGTCGACTTCCCTGAAGCAATCCTCTTGCGAAGTTCGGCAATACTGGAAGAACGGGGCAATGTCATATACATGACACTATTCGCTGCCTTGGAGTGCGACATAAGGTCATAGGTATCAAACAGGCTGTTCAGTCGATCATACCCAGACAACGAAAAGACCTCGACTTGCACACTTGTCTTGCTCAATGTATCGCCAGCGACGGGTGCTGGATTATATACCCCAGTCTCGTAGTAGTTCTTTAAGTCTTCCGAGACCTCCCATGGACCCTGAGGCCCGGGCAGAATCTCCGGCACCATGTCGTTCCGCACATACATGACAACCACCGGAACATCGTGACCCTTCTTGTGATCAACCGTTTGCGATGGATCAATACCGAGATGTGGACCCATTGCGGTTTTCTGAGTCAAGCATTCAACTCGGTTATCGCTGCCATCATCAAATGCCAGCCATTTGGTACCTGGACCGGCTGGCCGGAGGATGCTGAAGAACTTGCCCGAGGTGCGACGACCACGATGGACCACGTAGCCGTACAAGATATATTTGCTTCCTGAGTCATCAGTTACAAAAGGAGCTAAGTCTAGCTCCTCGTCGAGTTCCATTTTGTTGAACAGCAACTGCCATCGCATCGCTTTGTCGAGGGTGTGACGGCCAAGTTCAACGTGGAGGATGGGCGGAAGTGACCAGCTTCCAGGCTTTGAGCCCAAATAACCCTTCACAGCCTCACCCGTCGATGTAAATTCATCGGCTCGAACGCAAATGCGAGAGTTGAAATCTGCTGGCAAAGTGTTGATATCCATTAAAGGTGCTGGCGTCGGGCTATCAAACAATTTGGCAAATTCTTTGCCTGCTTCGGTACCCGCGAGTTCTAGCTCGAGTGTTCGTCGAAGGCGTTCCCAGAACTCGGAGACATCGCCTGAGAATTCACGCATGTTGCGCAGAATGGAGGTGATGCCATCTGTGTCCACATATTGAAGGGATTGGGTTCGACGCCGCAGATGCCACAGGAGCTTCTGCAGGGCATCACAGAGGGGCTTTGGCTTGATGTCGCAGTTGGTCAGATGTTCAAGAACATCAACACTCTGGATAATCTTGCAGAAGGGGGCGATGTGCAGCCAAGAAGCCAGCCCAGCCACCTCAGCACTATGATTGATCACCGAATCACCCAGCGGGCGGTATCCAGTCAGAGCCAGGCTGTCCCAGGTTGGTTCAGCATCGCTCGGGTGCCACCAGAGAGACCTGGTTGGATCATCGATCACCCGGATATACGCATCAAAAGAAAGCGTGTCATTGTTCAACAGAGCGCGATGTTGACCTCGGCGGCGAGTGTGGATCTGGTCCCAGGGACCATGGAAGTATGTCCACCCCCAATCGAGGTTGTGAGGGTTGAATTGATGACAAGAAGACTGCATCCATCCTGTTCGAGGCTCTTCTGGGTTATACACAATGACACCGATTTGTGCGGGGACTCGCCACGTTTTGGCAGCCTGGTGGGGGGTCGCGGAAGATGTGGCGGCGGAGTATTGTGCCTTGTAAGAGTCCATCCAGGCTCGAGTGTCATTGGTAGCCGGGGTATGATGTTCAACATCGGGGGTGCTATTGTTCAGGGCGGCGTTCGAAGTAGCTCGACGCACGGAGAATTCCGTCTCTGGGAGGTTCTCGTCGGGATCAGGCATTGTCTCGGAACATTCAATGTAGATACTCAAAGAGCCGACATTGTTTCCGCGCGGGTAAAACTTGATTCGCCACCAATATCCACCAATGTAGGCGGCTGGAGAACGCATCACCTTGTTCCGGTTGGGTGCCTCGGGGGTGCCCCGGACACCCTTGATCTTCCAGGTGAGGCGAGCCTTCTCTCGAGGGGCATATTCAGGGTCTTCCAGATCTCGGAAGAAGTTGTTCTCCCAGTAAGAGTCTTTTGGATAGAAGTATGATTATCAGTCATCAATGGCCATTTGGGTCACAGATTTGCCACTCGGGGAGGACAGGGGGAAAACCTACAGTCACAGGCACTGTAATCGGCCTCGGCGCCGTCGATTTCCTTCAATTCCTCTTCACCTGGAGTTGTTGTGTCTTCCTCAATATCGGCCCAATAGGCATGTTCAATTTCTTCTGCGGGCTGCGCGGTGGGGGGTGGCGTTGGTGCCCGAGGATGTGAATTGGGTGCAGGGTCAGGTGCAGATCCGGGTTGCTCGACCGAGGGTGAAATCTGCGGTGTAGCAATCTCGTTATTTGGGGGATTCGAGGGCGAATCGGTTGTTCTCTCGGCCCCTGACTCAGGGACCGGGTTGTTCCCTGTCACATTGGCGGTGTCCATGATGGAAAGGATGGAATGGGATCCAATGCCGACGGGTATATAAATGACAGTTGTCTGGGAACCACCCAATTGATGCTCGAGAAGGGATCTGTCAGGGCAAATTGGTTTTGTGGGGGGTGCTGTCTTTGTCTCGGAAAGTGGGAAATGGAAAATAGATGTATAGAGCGAGAGATAAGGCCGATTGGGGGAGGAGGGAGACCAGTGAGTATAGAGAGGGTATATACGAGGATGGAGAGGGGGGATAAAAGGAGGGAGAAAGAGAGAGAGAGAGAGGGTGAGTGAGTGAGTGATAGATGAAGAAGTAAAGAGTGTGAGAGAGAAAAAGAAAAGAAAAAGAAAAAAGTGCAGAGGGGATATCGCGATAAGGAAGGAACCACATTCGGCCACGCGGGCCCGCTCTTTCCCCCGGACTCCAAAGTCACCTGTTCTCCCCTTATCATTTCTACTTCTACTTCTACTCACATCATCTCCTCTTAAATCTGACCATCTTGCGATCTCCCCACCTGACCTCTTCCTAATTGTTGAATCCCATTTCTCATGATATACTATTTGCTATGTACAAGCCCTTCCTCCCCTCAAACTCGCGGTGAAGGCCCCCTCTGATCGGCAGTGGAGCCGCGATCCACCGCCGACAGCCAACCTTAAAATCCGATACCCCTTGGTCGATTTTTTTTCTCTCTTCTTCTCGCCACTCTCGGTCCGCTCCCCGTTTTCGCCACTCATCTTACGTGCTTACATGTACGGAGTACGGCACTTCCCCTGCCGACCATCCAATGGGATGGCACCCATCCGATCCAGCATGTTGGTCTGGCAAATCTGCACGGTAGACTGTAGACTGCCCCTTGCAAAACGATGTGGGGTCACGGGCCTTGGGCTTAATGGTTGGGGCTTGGGATTCAAAGAAATGGACTTTACTCCATCTCGATGCTGAAGCGGGGAAGACATATGTAGAACCCAATCAACCAAGAAGCAGTCAAAATGAAATCCCCCACACTCTTGATTGGTGACTCTCTCGTCGTGTGACAGCGGATCCCTGCATCCCATGCCATCGTCTTCGTCTTAAGACGAGGTTTCGGTCTCGGTCTCAGCCTGTGCCTGCGTCTGCACCTGCGCCTGATCCTGTGCCCGCGCAAACGAGGCCGCCACAATCAGAGGGAAGACCACAGTGGCCTCGGCATACACCTTGACCGATTTGGCATCAATCTTGATCTTGCCCCAACTCACCGCCTCGTCAGGCCGGGCACCTGCATCGCTGCCGTCAAACTCCTGTGCCGTATTAATATAAACCGCGTGTTCAGCCCCGTTGCGCATCAAGCACGCGTTGGCAATGTGGTGCTTGACCACACCACCCCCCAGAATGATCATTCCGGCACGTGCCGCCCGCACGGCCATAGTATTGATCCGTCGCACATCGTCCACAATATCCACGCGCAGTCGTTGCGGCGAGGACTTGAAAGTGTGGAAGTAGAGCATATCTCCTAAAGACCCATCCGTCAGAGCCGGACAGAAGACGGGAATATTATTGCGAGCCGCCCAGTAGAGTACGGAATCTTCGTTGTTGATCTCCCGCCCCAGACGCTCGGTGATCCGGCTCGGCGTCCAGTGGAGCTCGTCTTCCTCGTCACCAGTCTCCAGAGCCTTGCGCTTGGCAGCCTCTTGTTCCTCCAGCATGGTATCCAGAATCGGCACCACCCAGTCCTCGAAAGCACAATAGTTGTTGTTAGGCACCAGCAAGTTGCCAATCCGGTTCAGTCCCTTCGCACGGAGACCTGCACCTGGTGTGCTGAATGAACCCAGGTAGGTCGGGGCGAGGCACTTGATCAAGTCTTCTTCCACACCACCTGCGGTAGTCACGATCGCTGATACATGGTTGTGCTTCACAAGGTAGCGTAGGGTATCTCGAAGTCCGGAGGAAATCAAGTTCGATGTATAGCCGAGGAAGATGGTTGTTTTCGCTCCGGTCTCGGGGTTACGATAGGCGCGCTATAGGAAAGAACGGGTGTCAGATTCGTCTCTTCCAATCTTGCAGATCATTCGCATTGCACTTCTCAAATACCTGAGCTCATTCCTCTCGCAAACTTACCATCTCGTTGATGATGTGGGCAGCTTCGGCAACCGCACTACCCTGGAAGCCAGTGGTGGTCAGGTTCTCGACCAACTCAGCTACGGTGATATCTCGGCCTTGGAATTTGTCAAAGTCGACACCCCGGACTTCTTGGGTTCCCTCTGGCATGGGTTCGGAGGCGAGGAGGACCGAGTCCATCGCGGAAGTGGGGGGTGCGGAGTTGCTCATGGTGAAGGGGGAGGGAGAAAAGGAAAGCAGGAAGAGAGCAGAATAGAAGGAGTAAGGAATTAGGGGGAACTTGTGGAGAATTCCAGGATTGTCAATCGCACAAGTTACAGACTGGGATTTCTGTTGTCTTGAATTGAAGGGAATGGAGGGGTCCCACTGGTTTTTTTTTTAAGCGGGGGAGGCTTATCGTGGTTATCTACTTCAACGGCAGAGGGTACCTTACCTTACCGCCGCCAGGCCACCTTACTCATGCGCATACATAGCGGATACATAGGTAATTATCAGCCATTAACTATAGCCACTGAGGTCAAAGGAAACAAAAGAGAGACAGAAAAATCATGAGAGGCAAAAAGTTATCCTCAGATGAGGATTTGAAGAATGCAAGTCCCACAAACCGGAATCGAGCCGGTGACCTTTCGGTTATATGTATATATTACAGCCGAACGTGATATCCAACTACACCATCGCGGGTTTGATTGCGAAGATACATTCAGGGTTTCGACACAGATAATCATAAGAGATTCAAAAGAGGAAAATACAAAAGTATCAAAAATGCAATCCCCCGAGCCGGAATCGAGCCGGCGACCTTTCGGTTATATGTTTCCATTACAGCCGAACGCCATATCCAACTAGACCATTGGGGGTTTATTTGCGATGGCTGCTGCCAACTTTGGCTACATGACCCCCTACTGACTCATACTTTATCTAAGACTTGGACTTGCCTACACATGATAGCGTAGATCAAGATATAGTATCTTCCGACTCAGAGTCTTCAAGTTCTCGAAGCCAATAGAGTCCCGTCGGGAGATGACACTGCTACTAGACTGCCACTGACAGTGGTAATTACTAGTATAAGTACCTAGGTAGTAGTACCCGTACTGAGGTCTCGAGTGCGTAGCAGCCTGGAGGACTGGTATTCGTGTCTTCGTAAAATTACTATTTATCACAATTCTATGCATCCTACATCTAAAATTCCAATTCCTCCACCTCCATACCGCAGTCCACGCATGTCTTGACTCCGATACCTGTCTCTGGATTCTCCACCAATCGCCCCCACTGGTGCACATGCTTCCGATTGCTGGCCAGATCATCGCCGAACTGACCTCCAGAAGCTCCCTGGCGATTCCGCCGATAAGCCTCCACACGGGTCCGTTTCTTGAGATCTTGCAGCTTGGTCTTGAACTTGGCTTCTCGTCGTTTCTTCTTGTCCTCCTCTCGCCGCTCGAACTCTGCATCTAGAGCCTCAGTCGAGCCCCATTTCTTGGAGGAAAAGGCATATTCTTCAACCTGGTAGCGGAGGTATAACATCATGTTGTTCCATGTCGATTTATGTGGATTTGGCTTCTCCAGTCGGGGTAGTAGTTCTTCGTCTCGTAGCTCAGCTTCAGAATAATTGTTAGAGGTGCTTGCTTAATACATGGATCTTGAAGAGACTCACGATCTGTCAAAAGATAATCTTCCTTTGCCTCCGTTTTTGTAAGAAGACTGTACTTCTCGGGAAATTTATCCTTACAAGCATGGCAGATGCAGCAATGAAGCATTTCCTCCCACTTCCAGTCAATTTCTAGACTGCCACATTCCCGACAGGTCTTCTGCTGACTCTTGTCATCCAACACGCTCAACCCCGGCTCGAACGGTCCCTCTCGATTTCGTCGTAGCGTCTGCAGTAATTGGTGACGTTCCCATTCCTTCTGCGTCATATTGGCTGGCTTGTTGTCCTTTTCCTCCAATGCATGAAGTTGCTTATTGAAGGGATCATCTTCTTGCGTCAAGAAACCACCCTTCGTGTCCGTCATCTTGCTGAAGTCATATTCGACATATCGCGTGAAATTCCGAGCAGGCTTGATTGAATCGAGAGGGCGATCTGACGAGGATACATTGGAGCGTGCATCGCGTAAAGTGGCGGGGGCATTGGCGGCTGTCATGGAATTGTAGGAACGTTTGACTCCTTGGGTGGGGGCTGCAGCGGAACTTTTAGCCAAATCGGCCTCGCGCTCTTCTCGGAGAGCTTTGGCTTTCATGCGGTTGACCTCCTGTTACAAAGAAATGAGAGTAAGTAGGAGCCTCCCAAGTGATGTTTGATGCTACATGTGCAGACTTACAATCTGCCGCTTTTGCTCTGGAGTGAGAGGACCGCGTGGAAGTTGGCCTGGCCCGCTCGCATTTTGCCGCGGGGGCGTAGAAGGTCGTTCCCCCGACATGTTCACGGGTTGCCGATTGTCGAATAGAAATCTTGGGGGATATGAAGAGGTGCTTATCGAGAGACTGGGGGATGACGATGAAGCCTGGAACTCTTCCCGATCTGCCAGAAGTCGCCGCCTCGGATTATCACCTCGTGACTGTCTTATCAAGAACACCGCCTTCCGTATTCGGAAATTAAGAAAACGATTGAGAAGCTGCGATGCCTTTCCATGGGTTATTGTGTAATGTGGTTGGGGAAGCTTGCTATTTCAATGTTGTCAAGTAAAGCAGCGGAAAATTCCTCACAGGCTCCGGGTTATAAATCCAAATTGAGGGAGCCGACTGCTGGTATGCCATCTTCAACCCGTTCTTGGCCATAGAGCACCTCGCAGACACCGCCGACGGGGATATCCATGACTGCATCGGTGCCCTCACTCCAGATCTCGCACCAATTGACCTTGCGATTCTGTGGGCCCATTATTTGGTATGATGTCGCACCGGGTTTCATCTTGGTAGCCCCGCCCGGTCGCCGCCGTGCCTTGCCATCAATGACAGCAACATTTGCAACCTCGTCCACTATATTCTCGATACTGTTCATTGGGAGTGTTAGGTAGCCGGTGTTGTATGAGGCGAGAGCAATGTATATGTACACGATGGACATCACCAGCCATGATGGAATGGCCAGTGACCACCAGCGGTTCGGGTAGTAGTAGATTCCAAGCTGGTGAAGGAACGGGGAGGGGAGATAGGACCAAAGGAGATAGATCACTAGAAAATATATGCGATTAGGGCGGGATCCTTCAATCACATGGGGGAAGAGGGACGTACAGAATGCGAGCGAGGATGCCAGGTATAGCACAAATCCATAGTACTCATAGGTTGGAACTTTGGGGCTAGCGCGTGGAACGGTGGTCGCGCGCCGGGCCGACTTGGCTACAGCGGCCTCGGTGTCGTTGGGAGTTTCGACGTCCGAGCTGTCGGGTGTTGTGGGACGCGAGGTAGTCGTGGAGAAGGGAGGCCGTAGCAGAGATGTCAGCGAGGGCGAAGGGGGCAGCGGTGTCGGTGGGCGGTTGTAGAACGGAGGCGCAAAAGCATTAGGGCCATGGAGGGAGCTAGATGACTGGTGGAAAGGATGGTGTTGTCCAATACCGTCGTCCGAGTCACCCGAATCCGAATCTGAGAAGGATTGAGGGTCAAGTGAATAGTGCGACTGGAAATCCGCGTCGTCTTCTACTTCGATCTCATCGTAGCCGGGCGAGGTGACGCTTTCGTCTTCGGCATAGCTCTCCTGAGCCTCTTCTGGCGACGCAAGCTCGTCCAATAGCGGAGGAAATGGCTGCTTAGGCTCGAAGGAATCCGAATAGTCGGTATTTTTCGCCGTCCCCTCCATCATGATGTACAACAACGGGGAGCGACCGCAGGATTGTCGAAGTTGTTCGAAGTTGGACTTTGACTGTGATGGTGTTGATAGTCCAGAACCGCCGCGGCCCTCTTCTTTTCTGCCGCCACCTTCCGTCTTTTATACATCTCCTTCATCTATTTACGGAGTAGGCAAGACTGGAAAAGAAAAGTTAAGATTGGTATCTGCTTGTTTATTCTGTTGCTACCGGCAAGTACACGACGTGACAGGATTATGATGTAGCTCGGAATCTACCGCAGCCTTCCTAGGTTGGAATCAAAGGCACTCGGAATGTGTTGACCTCATCTTCAAGTTAACAACCATACTATAATACTACTAGCTACCTACCTAAGTATCTATGCTAGACTGCAATAAAGAGAAAATTGTACTTGATATATTACTCAAGTAATTAGTCGATTGATTAAGCACTAAGCTTGAGAAAGGGGTGATTCGTCATTTCGCGAGCTGTCTTCCTCTCCTCTGGAAGCCAGGTGAGCATATCACGAATAAAAGATAGAAATCCTGTCCGATCAATATCTTCGAGAAACGGAGTTGTATCCTCTAAATTTCTGGACGGGATCAAGCCATTGCAGCGGAATTCATCTTGAACAAAGTCAGCATATCGAATATTGGCAAGTTGCGAGATAGTTTTCAACTCACCATCTGCGCCAAAGAAAGGGCCAGCGAAAAATTCTTGAGCGTTATCGCAGAATTCTCCAGTGTCGTTTAAAACAGGCTGTGGCCAGTTGTGATCCGACATGGCTTTTGATTTCGCGAGCAATACCCCCAGGGAAGGGCCGAGTAAGGTGATCATTTCCACGAGATGTGACTTTGCTTTGTATCGGCCATTTTTATCATGTACTTGCTAGAACAACTCCTGATTTCAAAGAATATTCCATAACTTGAGGATCAGGAATATTAGCAAACGGCTGATTTTGTTGCAGATTGACATTCTGAAAACAGGTATATAGTCTTACCAGCACACCAAAGTTCCAGATATCTGCCTTGAAATCCCAACCGCAGCCAAGGATCTCTTCAGGAGCACGATAATGATCTGGTTCGATCGGATAAATGCCCAGTTGCTCTCCTGCCGATCCATTTCGGGTAGCTGGCCTGTCCAGTCTTGTTGCGAGACCGAAATCGGCTATTTTTGGAATCATATTCTTGATTTCTCTCCAATCAAGAGCTCCGAAGTCATTATGGCAGCGGTAGATAGTTTGGCCACTCTTGTTATCAACCTTGCATTGCATCAGTTGTGATCGTTTAATGAAGTCGGTAAAAATGTGTTCAATTTCAAAGCTCATAAGGATATTACCCAGCTTCAGATCTGCAAGGTTAATTAGTCCATCAAATTCTAGAATGAAAAGAAGAACGGCGTCTGGTACTGACTTGTGTGGATGACTTTGCAATCTGAGTGAAGATAATCAAGACCGATAAGTAGGAAGTAGATATAGGCCTTCGCAATAGGCAAAGGAATCTTGTACTCAACGAAACACCTCTGTAAAATCCAGAGAGGCCCCTCATCGGCTCATAAACAAAACACATGTGCGTTCCTTCCGGGCCAGTTACTTCGAAATGATCCAGGCAAGTCCGTAGAATGACGCGGCCCCGCTGCTCTGAATCTTGCTGTGTAATATGACTTTCAATCTCCTTTTCATGACGAGCATCGTCAGTATCGTCACTGTTGATTATTTTCAGGGCCACTGTTTTCCCAGATTGCCATTTGAGTCTTAGTCATGAGGGCAAGGGTCAGTTTCTCGGTAGTCAACATGAAGTAGCGCGCGTGGTAAAAGTGTAGGAAGTGTAGGTAGATACCTTGAAATGTCTCGGGCGAGCCAGACGGTTGATTGTGATCCCCATCCAATTTTGACAAGTAGTTGGAATTTCTTGGTGAGTACGTCCCCCGGCTTCGCTGGGTAGGAATTCGCCGAGCTGTAGTCAGGGCAAACCTCTTCGTCAACAAGATCCTGTTGAGGCATTGGCGTTCCCAAGTTAGGCGGTAGTTTCCAGAGTGTCTTTTGGGCCAAGGAGAACATAGTCCGCCTCGATGTCAAGGTTAACGGCTGAAAAGGCAACATTAGGCCAAGCGATATTGTATGCTCTGGGAACAATCTAGTGCCAAGTTGGAGACTGACCTTAACTTGAACATTGACATGTGAATTCCGTGGGGCTGGCAGGAGCTGGCGTGAAAGTGCTAACTACTTTGTACTTGCCTTTAATTCACAATCCTTAGGCCCCCGGGCATTTCCAAGGTAGAGATAATTAAGCAAGATTATATGAGATTATGTGAATAATTAGAGGTTATTAAGGGCATAACAGGGCTTTACTAAGGATAGCTACTAGGTCTGCTGATTAATGAAAGTAGTCCCAAATGTTTGACCTCCGTTTAACTGTAACCCGGATGGACTTGCTTTGCGTGCGTACCATGCGGGTATACCTGTAGGCCTCAGGCACCGACATCGGCATCGGTATCGACATCGGCATTCTTAGCTTTCTCCGCTGCCGACCCCACGCAATCTCCCCGCATCTTTGTCTTTGCACTAAATGACTCGCGAATCTATCTCCATCTGGAACTCAGAAGGGATATATTATCTCCGAGTGCATAATGGAAGCCGATGAATTACCTGCATTAGTCTGTCCCTTATGTTTCGGAACGTTTCGCAGAGCTGAGCATTTGCAAAGGCATACCTTGACCCGTTAGTGAAATTGCCATTGTCGGCCATGGGCAAGGTTGTTGCTGGTGTTGTTAAGAGATTGACAGATGTGCGTTAGATGTGGATGATAAGCAACATGCTTGTGAATTTTGCAATGCACGATATAAGAGGAGGTGAGAGTCGAGATCCAGATATTCCCTCGACATCTTGCTTTGATGGCTCACTGGCTGACCATATTTCAGTGATGCATTGCGCAGACATTGGAAAACCTGTGCAGGGAGGCTGGCCTCAGGAGAGAAAATCCCGAAGCGGAGTTTATCTGGCAAGAGGAAGAGAGCATGTGTACTGTGCACCTCCCGGAAACGAGCCTGTTCTACTGGACAGCCATGTTCGGAATGCCAATCGCAAGGTACAGAGTGCACTTATACTGGCACCAAGAAGTCTGTCAAATTGCCGAAAACAGATATCACTCATAATTCCGAACCATCAGAATCGTCTCAGAGTGCGGACATAAATTCTGGGAGTCGTGACCGGCTTCACCACCGGCCATTAGAAAATTTGCCTTGGAATACCATACAACCACGAAGTTTGCAACCTTCACAAGACCGGTTTGATTTTCTACTCAATTTTACAAGAGCCAATGGACTAAATGAGGCGTACAATCTCAGCCCTGCATCGGGAGAGTTGATTCCAGAGGATGCTCCGTTTGGGAACGCATTATGTGAAGCTTTCCCATTCAACGGGACTATGGTTTCAAATCCATTTGATTGCTATCTGGGTGACATTGAAGCAAGTCTATGGGGAGATTTCGAAGATGTAAATCTCCTCTCTGAAAATACAACAGGATACACAGTATTGAGTGAAAAGGCCAATCAAATATCACAGATCCTGCAGCCTATATCAGATAAAGTATCTCAGTCTCTTGAGATGCCTGTTAACCTGTTGGAATTCTTTTCTCCAGAGAACATCGAGCGGTTTTTGGATTTGTTTTGGAACCGCTGGTACCAGCATTGTCCTATTGTCCACAAAGCATCCTTTGACCTGGGAAACTGCTCGATTATCCTTTTAACAACCATGTCACTTGCTGGTGCATGCATGTCAGCCCGAAAAAGTGATCATCTGGAGGCAAAAAAAAATACTGAACTCGACAGAGGAGCTTTTGTTTGCGGATCCTCTCTTTTCTGAAACAGTCGTCTCTGTGCCGGAGAGATCTACTTATCTTGGCGCAAACCAAAATGTTCAAATATTGCAGGCAGCTTGTTTTATGTGCCTTTTACAGAAATGGGAAGGCGACAAAGCAGCAAAATTACGAATGCAGCGTCATAGATTTACTGCAATTGTTGCGGTAAGATAACTTTGCCGGAAATGATTGAGCGTTTCAGATGATCTGACGAACATAGGCAACGAGGGCAATGGGGCTATCGCACTCAATACACCATCGGCCAAGTTTCAACTCAAAAGTCACACTGGGAGAGTTTAGAGAATATATGGTCAAAGAGCAATTGATTCGGTAAGTATTTTACTACATCTAGATTGATGAGCACCATTGACTTACCTGATAGATAGCACATTCAATCATGTGTTCCTTCTAGACTCTGCATTTGTCATATTTCACAATTCTGTGCCACGAATGGTGTTGCAAGAAATGACCATTGATCTCACTTGCCCAGAAGAAGTTTTTCAAGCACCTAATCAAGAGGAATTCGTGATTGCCACAAATTTACATCTTGTTGGTTCTGGGTCTCCCCTGCTTACGGACTGTGTTCGCAGCCTATGTGCAGAAAACCCAGACCCTGCCATTATTGAAAAACTCCATGGTGAATCCGCTTTAAACCTTTTCACAATAGTGACCGGTAAGAACCTATCTCCAATTTCCTCATTGGGAGAAGGCTAACTTCATTCTGATGTTTCTGCAGCGATTCATGGCCTTATCTTTCATCAACTCAGAGCATTCTCTCCTTTCCCTCTCGCAACGACCCCTTTGAAAAAAGCACTCGAACGTTGGGAGCTTGCATGGGCAACACGCAACAGAAATATTTCTGAATCGAATGGAGAGAGAAAAGCTGGCCAAGGATGTCCTGCTTTTTTCGAGAGAGCTGGAGAATTCGCTCTCCTGGCGCGCATTCACGTTGAGAAATCATACATATCCGTTACAGAATGGGATGATATGATCACAAATCTATCTGAAGAGCCCTTTCAGAAGACTGACAAATATCTTGCGACATTTGATCAAACTGGCATGGACCATGTGGCCGACCTGATGTTAGCCGTTCAAAATCTGGATCTTAATTGATCAAGACAAAACTCAAATCTTGGAACTCTGTTTTCTACCACCTGGCAGATCTAAAGCAATAGGTACTTGCTTACACCCTAAGAAAATTACTTGTCGCCCCAGCGCCAAGATATTGGCGGCCTTACAAAACGAATAAGATGGGGTTCATGTAGTATCGATATCAACAGGGTCCATTGCCAAGACGTGGTGAGCCCGGGAAGTTATAAAAATCAGAGCCAGATCAAAAATCATCATCAACTAGAAAGAATTACATTCAAATGCTTACTTTGGCAACGGATGCCTCCAGTGCCAGAATAACACGCCGGAGTCCCGCCTTAATTATTGCATCTTCACCTTCCATATCTATAGTGTCGAGGTTGATGCTGCTCTTGGCGTCAAAGCCATGGCCCTGGCCCACAGCACGTTCCAAATGAACGTCGATACCTAGTAGTTTCATCTTCTCAGCAACTAAAGCACTTTGCTCAAAATCAACTAGCTCATCACTATCGCCGTGCAATAAAACGGTTGGAGGAAGTCCTGGGCTCAATCTGAAAGATACAGGAAACAAATTTCGGAATTGCACTGGGATTGCGCGAACACCCTCCTCCCTGATCTGACAGGCTAGACCTGAAATTCGGGTTAAAAGATCTGGATACCGAGCAGATTCATGAATGGCACCAATCCAACGAAATCGTTGATCGATGGGAGGCTGGTTTGGAAATGCATAGCCGTCAATAGACTGGCCACTATCCGCAGCAGTCTCAATTTCCCCCAACGCCGTCTCCAGATTGGAAATCGGAGCTCGGAGAGGAGTGCCCGTCTCGATGTATCTCTTGCTTGCAGGGTCAAGCATTCCGTATATAGAGAGAATCGATAGAGGTCTCGGGCATTCGGGATGCGCCCCCGTAGCCAATGCAAGGTATCCGCCCGCGCTTGAACCGGCGATGATGATGCGATCACTAATATTCCGATGGACCCAACGGACTGCATCAAGGGTATCGGATAGAATTTGCAGGCCGGTTGCCTCAGGCATTAAGCGATAAGAAGCGGTTGCGTACGTCCAGCCCCGGGCATGGCAGGCGTTGATCAGCCAGTCAGGCGGGAATGTCGTTTTCTCGCCGATGACCTGAAGATGAAACCTCTGTTAGAGAAGACTTCGACCAAGAACCATTCCGAAGAATGCGAAAGATCTTACAAGAAATCCGCCATGGAAATGAATAAGCACAATGCCGTTTTCCGGAGGACTGCGCGGCCTTGATATGTCGATCGTGAGACTCAACCCGCTCACGTCTTTGTAGGTATATGTAGCAGTCTGAGACTCAGCCATGTTGAATATGTCCAGGCAGCTCGAAGTCTGATCAGATCTCAATATGAGGGCACCTTACTTCCCTTGAGCTTTGCTTGAATAAACCCCAAAAATCCTAGTAGCAAGAAGAAATAGACTTGGTCAAAGTGGAGTGTGGGGGAATCCCGCGGCAAGTCTCCTCCGGTGGGGAAACACCGCAACAACCTTGGAACGTGGCAATGCCCGAGGTAGCACCTCAAGAATATTATTTTTCTCCTCAATGAGAAGCTCCCTACCTTTTCTGTTGTTTTAGTCCATACATTCGGCAATTAAAGAGCGGCAATTATTCAGAGGGTTAGCCGGCATACGACCGAATGACATACTATTTAAAGCCGACTGCAGGACCTTGTCACAACAAAACTCCACCAGTATCATGATGAGAATTTTATCGGTCCAGGGAAATATTTCATCAGTAATGGAGTTCATCCATCCGTTTGATGCTCTACTCATTATAACAACACTGCTCACAGGAACGGTCTTGATGTACATTGCTTATATGAGATATATCCATCCCTTGAGCAAATACCCCGGACCCTTTGTCGCATCCTTGACCAACTGTTTCAAGGCTTATCATGTCTACAATTTGAAATTGCATGAAAAGCTTTTGGAGCTTCACATGCAGTATGGACCAGTCGTACGGATTGGGCCTAATCATTTGCATTTCTGGGAAGGCGAGGCAATCGCGCCAATCTACAAAGGAGGCCGCAATATGGGAAAGACGGAATTCTATGACGCCTTTACGGCATTCAATCCCAATCTTTTTGGTGGTACCAATGAAGATGTAATGTTTCAATTTATATGCAATGCTTAAAAAAAAAGCTGACGGTCAGATTATAGGTTCACTCTCTTCGTCGGAGACAGTTATCTCATGGCTTCTCGCAGGTCTCGGTTCAAAAACTTGAACCTTTGATTGAGGGTCAAATGGAGATATTTATAAAAAAGCTCCGAGCACTTGCAAGTAGCGAGGAGATATTTGACTTCAAGAAGATGATTTCTCTTTATGTATTGGATATCTTAGGTGAAGTGGCTTTTGGTAAACCTTTCGGTGTACAAGAAAAGGGATATTCAGAAGAACTGCATGCCATCAATGACCACCTTCTACTGGCAGGTGTTATTGGTGAACTCACTTTCCAAGATTTCTGGAAGGCCCTATCAAGAATTTCCCCAGTGCCATGGATGCGACAATTGATGAAGAGCAGAAACAATCTGAAGACAGTTTGCTCAGATTGCGTCAGTTTCAAGATGGGAAGCACATCTCAACGGCCTGATATTCTAAAGAGCCTAGTGGAAGCGGTCGATCCCCAGAGCGGTGCTCGCTTAACTGAACAAGAGATTAATTCCGAAGCATTTGCCGTTCTGTAAGCAATACCGACCCCGAAATCTGTTCCACAGAGAGAATATTCGATCTAACACTCATGCTAAAATAGCGTCGCTGGATCACATTCAACCTCAGGCACATTGACTCTTCTCCTTTGGAACCTGATCCAAAATCCAGAAATGCTTGCAGCTACGACCAAAGAAATTCATGATTCACTAGGGCCTCTTGGTATTGACCAGATTTCCTATCCTATACAAGGCTTGGAAGCATCTTTAGAGTACACAATGGCCTGTGTTAGAGAGAACTTTCGACTAAATCCAGTTTTCACTATGCCTCTGTGGCGTCGGGTCGGATTCACGGGTGGTGTCAACATTGGCAAGCATCATATCCCTCAGGGGGTAAGTTTCCTTGCAAATATCCAATACTATGCCTCGAAGCTCATTAGTCTCTAGACAAATGTCTGTATCTCGAACTACGTCCTACACCACAACCCCGATATCTGGGGGTCGGATCACGAAATATACAAACCCAGTCGCTGGCTTGATGAATCTTACAACAAGGAAAAAGGAAGATACTTAATTCCATTCAGCGTTGGGCACCGAATGTGTATTGGTCGAAATCTAGCCATGACAAACATACTGAAGACCCTTACTACACTACTGGTCCAGTTTGATTTCAAGCCAGTAGAGACGAAGCAACGAGTGTGCGTCCGCAGTCCAGGAATAGGTGAGATGGAAGGAGAATTTCTGTGCTCGGTTTTCTTGAAGAAAGAGGCAGAGTTTTGAAAGAATATCAAGGATAAGTTCGCACCGAGTGGAATGATCCTGGAACAGCAGAACTGTCATTTCTAAATCGTGGCTTACAGCCATCTTTATTGAGACATCAGATGCCTCAGGCAAGCCATCCGATCGTATTGTCGCGAAGGACTAAGGTCGACCGTGGGAGAGATATCCTACCTGTACGGCTCCAGCTCAGAGCCCGGTCCCACCCCGCAAGAATTGAACAAGGAGTAGATATTGTGGTATTCTTTAATAATTGCCATCTTTAATCAACTTGAACCTTGGAATTGAGGTCACGCCGGCGCCCGGTAGCCTACTACTAGTACTTGAAATAGTTCTCAATCAATTGTATGTACACCAGTCCTGCTCACTAAATATGACCAGAAAATAACCTTGGAAAAGTTTCTAAGCCCTCAGGCTGTTTACCGCCAAACCCCTGATAAGTAGTCTAGAATTTTTCTTTATACCCGGTCCAGCCACAATTGTAGAGCTTTGCAGCGAGCAAACAGACGAGACTGGCTGCATAGCTAAGGATGGTGAACAAAATCAAGCCCCAATACTCGCCATTGCATCTCGTCAGAATTTCTCCAGCAATCGGTATTCCGGTTAGAGTACTAGAAGAAGTGTTAGCATAAATCAGGAAGTTATGATATGAGGTAATCTTAGTGTCAAAGGTTTTATCATACCTAATACTGACAATAGCATATGCGGTCGCATAATATCGACCATAGGCTTCCAATTTGCACAACTGACCAATACAAACTGGCGCCAAGCTGACGTTACTTCCACTGAAAAACCCGAAGAGCAAAGCAAAGACTGTCGTAATAGGTTTGCTCGACTTGGCAGGCATCCATAAACAAGCAGTGAATAGGAGACAGCCAAAGATAGTGATTATGAACGTGTTGAACCGGCCAATGCGGTCAGCGCAGTAACCGGGTATCCATCGGCCAAATATAGCACCGACATTGATCAAAGACAACAGTAGGAAGGAAAATTGGGGTGACATTCCTTGGGACAAGGCATAGGAAGTCAGATATGTGATTGGAACGAACAGACCCCACTCCATGAAGAACATTCCCATGCTTGCCAGCATAAGACTAACATTTCCAAAAATGGATATATCAGGAAAAATTGCCCCAAATGTACTGGCCTTTGGTTTGAATCTTGGTCGGATAAGTAGAATTGCAATCCCGAAAGTGACAAGATTGAGCAGTGCGATTACACGAGTGGCCCATGCAAAACCCAATTTAGAAGCCACCCTCTGGAAGAGTAGAGGGAAAATGAGACCCCCAAATGACGCACCAGAGGAGGCTATTCCAGTTGCTAAGCCTCTTCGACGATTGAAATAGTGCGCGATGATGGAAATTGCAGGATTGAAAGTGAGAGACAAACTGACCCCTCCGATAATGCCGAAGACCAATAGAAAATGCCAATACATTGTACAAAAGCCTAGAAGAACAAGAAAAAGGACGGTTCCAATAGCACCGCAAATTATCAGCACTCGTGGTCCCTTCGCGTCAAATATAGGTCCGACCTGAATACCACAGAAAAAAGCAAGAAAAGAGTAGATACCAAAAATCCAGGCAATTTTGCTGGATGAAAGGTGCTTGAGTTCGTTATCCTCCAAATATGCCTGGAATATACCTAAACTATTCATCAGTCCCATTGTACCAAAGCATGCCATCCAGCTGCCGAGGACAACACTCCAAGCAGCCCACCCCCCTTCAGGATAGGTAGTAGGTTCGCCATCGTTGGTTTGGGAAGCAACTTCAAGTTGACAGGGCTCAGGTTTGGGTTGCTTAATTGACTGTCGGCGGAACATGTTATTTTTTTATCATCGGAGAGAGAGATTATATGGTGTAGAAGTTTGTTGTGACCCGGGGCCTCTGGTGTAACGTCAGACATCTGCGGTCGTTTATTGCGCAAGACGGAAGATGAAAGCGCACGGAAGCTACTACTCTCTTGAGAAGTATAATAGCCAGTCGGCTTTTACAAGATACCAGTACTAGACCTTTGCATGGTATTACCGACCAGCTGTAAGTTTATCGGACAGTCCGACACTCCAGATGGTCCCGGGCCAAGCCGCCGGCTGATCTTCCATCGTTTCCAAGGAATACAAATTTTCTAGTGAGACAGCTACCACCAGAGTTTTAATTTACGCGGTAAATCATGGAATTTTCTTTTGTCATGGAATGCTCTACGAAAGAATATACTATATCATCAGTTACCTACTATTAGATACCTAGGTAATAAATCATTTATTTGATTATTGAAATGCCACCGAGGAAATATTATATACTCCGAGTCTCTCCATCACTGCTCGAATCATGCCTTGTATCTTCTTCGCAGAAGGGAATTTCTCCGCAAAGGAATCCAATAGCTCTATAGCCAGATCAAGATCGGCGAGTGCTTTGGTATGATCCATAACCAGAGACAAACTTTCTGCCCGTGCAGAAGATGTGTACATGAGTGACAGTGCTGAATTAAAAATGGCTACGAGGTTGAGCCAATTGTAAGCAAATCGATGTTGGCGATGCATATTGATCGCTTGTCGAATAGCCATTCCTGACGCATCCGCAAGAATATTCATTCCGGAGATGTCCAAATTTGGATTGAGCGGAGAGGGGCGATAAAGCATGATGATGTGAAGATAATAATTCAGATCAAACCAGCTAGTGCAAAGATGAGGCACCTTGGACTGTAGATCGGGGAGAGGAAACGGCATACTCCGTCGCCATCCGACTAGTCGTCTGTGGAGTCCTTGAATGGTTTCATTTCGTGTCTCCAGACTCCGTCGCTCAACGTGCTTGGGGGAGTGCACCGTTGTTCCAATTTGACTAGCAATCTTCCGCAATTCCAGGATATGGAGAGGAACAGCCATGGTGGAAGGTTCTAACTTGATAGAGGGTCTGATAGAGTCGGAATTGATGTTTTCATCGTCGGCATCCGCAAATGGCTGAAAATAATTAGTCAGAAGCTTTGAATTCGAAACAAAAAGAATTGCGTGCGAACCTCGACTGTTATATCGTCATCTTGAATAGCAAAAGGCCTTCCAAGGGCCAATGAAACAACACTGCAATGATCAGCTGCGAAGCTCGTCCTTTCATTCAGGCGTCAACCTAAGTAAAATGAATGAAAACGTACCGATCCATCATATAAAGCGAAAAGAAGATTCGTTTCTGTTGCTCAGCAACATCGATCGCGAGAGATTGATATACCTCCGAGGTATGGAGTCCCATTCCGGTTGCCATACGAGCAGCAACGCCCACCAAAAACCAGGTATCTAAATTGGAATCAATCACGAAATTAATCCAAATCATATCTGTGAAGCGACTCACTAGGTCCTATCTTATTGAAAAATGAGTATGATACTTGAAGCATCAGAACTTCCAACCCGGCCTAATTTGAGTCATCAGTGAATTCATGTTTTGACACATGTATTATTATTGGACCATTTACCAAATCGCCACATCCCATCGCCGGCTCGAAGTAAGTCATGGCTTTTTTGAAAAAGCGTACCGGTTCTGTCTCATCCATCAACGAAACAGAGCAGTGAGTCGTCGAACCTATTGCTAGAATCATCCATATTCTGAATTGCCACAGTGGAGACTGGGCTAAAGGATCCAAAGGATTGGTGTATACTCTCCATAAGACCTCCTCGAAGTCACTTTTGCGAATGATTGGATAGAGAGTATGGGAATGTGCAAAATAAAATTCAAGGATATAGCTGATGTGAGCAGGCTCTAGTAAAGTAAGGCCCGTTGTATTCTCATGGTCATCAATGGTTGGGTTTTCGAAAAGTGAGCTTAGTGGCATGGGGCTTGTCAGGGAAGGATTCATTTCGAAAGAAATAGGATTTAAGTTTGGAATAGCGTTAACATCAAGGTCGCAGCTTTGCTGTTGATCATCATTGATGTCTTCATCGAACACAAAGCCGTCTTGATCTGGAGATAGTCGCCGAAGAACGGCCTGGGTGAGTTTAGCTAGAGGGAGGCCGGAAGAGGAACCCAAATAGCGCTCAGCCGCCGCCTCCAAAGACAGTAACCGCAGCTCTTCTGCTAGGTCATCTGGCTTTTGTCCTAGGTCCTTCAGCATAGGTGAAATTGGAAATTCGTTGAAATTCAGTATTGTATCATCTGCACCTTGTACGAGAGTGGAGTTATTTGTTATGTTTTCGGAGGAGATTGGACCTTCAGCCAGCGGGAGATCATTGTCTTGATCCCAAGGATGTGAAGAAATATCATTCTGAGAGGTTTGAGGAGTCAACGAGGCTTTAACTTGTTGTTCGAGCTCTTTAATTCGACGTTCTAGCCCGCGGACATAGCTGTATTTTGTTAGAAAGCCTCTCTATTCATGATATGCAAAAGTGAGAAATAGCCTAGGCATTAACGCTTACGCGACTGGGTAAGACGCAACCTGTGTCTCATCATCGAGGAAGCTGCATACAACTTTCGCATGCTTGCATGCTTGACACTGCGGAAGAGTCTTGTCACAGCGCTTCTTTCTGCGATGGCATCGCTTGCAGGAGCTTTCTGCCCTTGCAGTCGGTTCCAGCATAATCAAGTTTCATGGGATAGAAGTGATGTGTGCGAGAGAGGTTGACAAGGCGAACGGGACCAGATTACCCCACTTTACTAGAGAAAAAGGAAATTTCGTCCCCAGGGGAAAACCAGTGCCTTATCTCGCCTTATCTCGCACGGGATTGGTAGAAATGGAGGAAATCGGAATATGATATCCCATTGGGAATTTGGGAGATAACGCGAATGTCTCTTCGGGGGAAGGCAACGGTACTTCAGAGGGTCGATCTTGCGCACTACCCACCTGACTTTGCAACGAGATGTAGTTAGAAATCAACCTTGGACGTACCTTGATATTGCCTTGACAATTAGCCTCCTTCGAAACTTTGAAAAGTGCGGGGAAATAAATTGCCAATGAGAACTGGGGCATCGCGAGTGCGGGGGAGAGATGTCTAGTGGGCCAAGTGGGGGTGGAGATGCACCTCGCCCTATTCTTTTCTACGGTTTGCCTGTTGGGAAGTAGAGAGACAAGTTGATAGACAGTTATACTTGGAATTCAATTATTATTTTTTTTATTTCTTTATTTCGCAAAGATTCTATTTTCGCGGCCACGTCATAGTTCATCCCTAATTGTATTTACATCTACAGGACAATGGACAGTCCGGATTCCGATATCTTTATTTGCGATATAATTTGCGCCATATTATATACGAACCGAAGAAAAAGAGCGAGAAAATAGAATATTCATAGCGCATTAAGGATGTACGATATATAAAAATTTAATGCGCAAAGGGCTGAAAACTGTTATCTAGTTGTCGTGTCGGCGGTGCCGATGTCGGACAATCCGCCATCTCAACTATTGCCGTCGACGCGAACACTCACCACGGTGCTCAGAAACTTGAAAATCAAGATAAATGAATGTCTCAAGAGGTGTCAAATTGTCCGTTATTAGAACTTAAGCCTCAATTCCTGTCTTCTAAATTGAAATTACTTTGAATATCCTACCTATCCAGAATGTCTGCTCCTAACGGTCAATCATTCCTGCTCGACCCTCAGAAGACAGCGGGCCTGACAAGATTCTCTCACGCACGAGTGGTCAAACCATCCACCTACCATACCATCTACATTTCTGGAATTGCGGCTGTCAGTCCGGAAGGAATGTATGAGGGTGTGACGGAAAATTCTGATGGGACCTTCACAATCGATGTCCGAGAGCAGACAGCTTCTATCCTCCGCAGGGTCGATAGCATCATTCAGGGTGCTTCCAATGGAAAGGCCAATTTGTACAACATAGTCGACTCAGTTGTCTACATCTTAGACATGAAGACCCAATATGCCGACATGAATGAAGAATGGAACAAAGTCTGGCCCGACCGTGCGAGTGCTCCCAGCCGGGCTACAGTTGGAATTAAGGAGCTTCCTGATCCTCGTTTTGCGGTGGAAATTAAAGCCACCGCAATTTTCGAGCTTTGATCAACAAATTGAGGGGAAGATGATGAGGATGCGAATTAATAAGCATTTCACGGGGAAGTTCAGGGTATGTCGGCCTTCCCGCGGGGAATCTTAGAGAACAATAAAGAGTTGTATCCCAATCAAATTATTGATAAGCTCAACACCTTCCTACATCTACCTAGGTATATAGTGAAACTCTTATCATACGTGTCAAAGCTTCATACGATCAAATATGGCCTCTACTCGCGACCCTAGCGGCGTCGAATATTGTGAATTGAAAAATTTCACGTTTGAGAATGGGGAAAATCTACCAATAGTTCGACTGGCCTACCGAGACTTTAACCCCGGTGGCAAGAAGGTGGCCCTTATCCCTACCTGCTTCCGAGGGAGAATAAAAGATACCTTGAATTTCACCAAAGGAGCTCTCCAAGACCATCGGGTGATTGTCGTGGCACTTTTTGGCAACGGGGAATCGGCGAGTCCTTCAAATACGGCCAATTTCCCTTCCAATATCAGCTACCAGGACTGTGTTCGAGCCCAGCATAGCCTGTTGACAAAACATCTGAGTATTACGACACTTGATGTCGTACTCGGCTTTTCAATGGGTGGACAGTGTACGTATCACTGGGCTGCGATGCACCCTGAGATGGTCCAAAATGCGGTGGTGATATGCTCTTCTGCCAAAACCAGTCTACACAACCGCCAATTTCTGGAAGGCCCAAAAGCTGCACTCCTACACTCAATCGACTATAACGACGGCCATTTCACTGAAAACAAAGTTCCGATAAGAGGTCTACATGCATTTGGGAGAGCGTATTCCGCCTGGTTGACGAGCGCTGAGTGGTTTGAAAAGCGGCTTTTCGAGAAACAGGGGTTCAAGACCCTGGAAGCTTGGGCTGAGGTAGTTGGTGGGAAGAATTACGAGGACTGGCACCCGGATAATCTGCTGGCTATGCTAGGGATGTGGCAGCGTTCTGATATCAGCTTGACGGGGAGAAGAAGTGCTGAAGAGACGACCTTGAAAGCTGCATTAAGAAAACTGACAGCAAATTTTCTTTTGATGCCTTGCCTGACTGATCAGTACTTCAAGTGGGAGGCAATTAAGATAGAAGCTAGCTTTTTACAACATGGAGAGTTGGCGATAATACCATCAGTCTGGGGTCATATCGCTGGGGTGGAGGCAGTCCTGACGATACCGAGTGGATGCACCAAAGGATCAAACAATTTTTGGGTCAAATTTGAATCCGCTTGAGTATTTCCAAGGTTTCATCTTAGTAAAAATCAGGATAATGATTGTGCTTAGTTACTAGTACAGCGCGACATTCTTTATAACATTTCTATCACTTCTTTGCCGAATATGTATGTAGACCAGGGGCCAGTATTTTCTACCCTATAAAATTGAAACCAAATGAGATAAAAACAACAATCTAGTTGTGTGGCAGGAGTAGCAAGCATGAGAAAGTAGATGACTAGGGAACCTAATGCCTGACTGATGCCTGATCAATACCCAAAGTCTCAGGCATTATAAGGCACCGAACATTTGATCCTTTAATTTTCACTTGTACAAAATTAGGCAACTTAATGACGATGAATAAAAAGCGAAGCACACCAAATATTGAGCTCTTTTTTGAAAAGACTCATTGTGTTTAGGAACTGATTTATTGTGACAAAATCGAATAAACAGGATTAAAGAAAGGTGGATAAAAGCGGCACTTTCTTAGCATCTTACATTAACTAGTTAGCCAGAGAGCCCAACTACTCCAGGGCTTGTAATTCAGCAAAGACTGTTGGAAAATATGATGTCCCGAGAATGGAATGACGATAAGAATCATATTGCTATCTTTTCCTCTGGTCAGGGATACCCTGTCGGACTGTCCGACAGCCATTCAGTAAGTTCCGCGAGTGAGGGGTGATTCCAAGGTTGTCGGATGTCACCATGCCAGCACGGTCAAAGACTACCAATTGACCCAAAGTAATTTCAACACACGACTTCGTGGCGGGGAGTATATAATCTTCAACGGTATTTAATTCGAGTCCCGAGGAAATCAAGCACATTCGGAATAAGTAATTCGATTTTGATACTTGTTAGACTTGAAAATGATTGATATTGAATTGGAGGAGCATTTGGCTCATCTTGGAACGCTCCCCCGAAGCTACATACTGCTGGGCTTGGTTCCGCTGTTTCTCTACTTGGTTTACAATGTACGCCTGCTTGCTGTTTTGATCTCATCGGTACGATTATAACTCTTCTCTGCACTAGGTTGCCTTCGCGACAGATATACCCCACATCAAGGGCCTTCCCGAGATCCCAGGAGCAGTTCCAATTTTTGGACACCTACTCAAACTTGGTGAAGATCATGCAACCGTCTGTGAAGGTTGGTGGCGGAAAAATGGGGATTCCGTTTTCCAAATCAAGCTTGGCAACACCCGGGCCGTCGTCGTCAACTCATTTGAAGACTGTAAGAAGATGTTGCTCGGTCATCAAAATGCAGTGATTGATCGTCCGAAGCTCTACACCTTTCATGGAGTAATAAGCAGTACACAGGGCTTTACAATTGGATCTTCGCCCTGGGACGATTCTTGCAAGAAGAAGCGCAAAGCATCTGGCACGGCCCTGGGAAGACCTGCCCTCCGCAATTATCATCCAATGTTTGATCTCGAGAGTTACTCTATCATTCGTGATATGCACAAAGACAGCAAGAACGGCGCTATAGAAATAAACGTCAGGCCTTACATTCAACGTTATGCTTTGAACACGACGTTGACTCTCTGCTACGGCATTCGCATGGACGCTGTTTATGATGATCTTTTGCGCGAAATCCTTCACGTCGGATCAGCAATTTCGCTTCTTCGAAGTGCCTCCGAGAATCTACAAGATTATATACCTGCTCTTAGGTACCTACCCAATAATGCGAAGAATGCGCGATCGAAGCAATTGCGCGAGAGGCGAGACACATACCTCAATCTGCTGCTAGACAAAGTCCGGGAAATGATTAAAAAGGGCACCGATAAGCCTTGCATCTCAGCGGCTATTTTGAAAGATCAAGAGACAAAGCTCACTGGAGTTGAAGTCTCTTCAATCTGTCTGTCTCTAGTATCCGGTGGATTTGAGACCATCCCTGGAACATTGACCTCTTGTATCGGGTCACTTTCCACCCCCGAAGGACAGATCTGGCAAGATCGAGCCTACGCAGATATCAAGCGACACTATCCCGACATTCAAGAAGCCTGGACTAGTGCTATCAGTGAGGAGAAGGTCCCTTATGTGAATGCTATTATCAAAGAAGCCGGGCGGTATTACACCGTTAGCTCCATGAGCCTTCCCCGAAAGACCGTGACTGAAGTTAATTGGAATGGAGCGATTATTCCACCAAAGACAATGATTCTGATCAACGCCCAAGCTGGAAATCATGGTAGGCCCCTATATCTCTATAAATCCTTTTCCTATAATATCTATTTACTGCCGCTTACTCACTTCTTTTGCAGATGTGGACCATTACGGAGCAAACGGTGGAAAATTTGACCCTGAACGATGGTTGAAATCTTTGAATCCTCCGCAGGAGAGTGAAATTACCGGACTTCCTCATTTAAGCTTTGGTGCTGGATCGCGTGCCTGCTCCGGCCAATATATTGCGTCTAGATTGCTCTATACTGCCCTCATTCGTCTGCTTTCGACGTACAAAATTGTCGCAAGCGAGGATAATCCTCCAAATACAGACTATGTGGAGTACAATCAATTCAAGACTGCCTTGGTGGCAATCCCGAGGGATTTCAAAGTTCGTTTGATCCCCAGAGATGACGCTACGGCTAGTGAATGCCTGGCACAAGCAGAGGGTCGGACCAAGGAGCACTACAAGGAGTAATGATTGAGGTCTAGTCAGGATACAAGAGAGAGTATTTTTAGACCAATAGTCAGTTTCTATGTTTCTAGTTGGATCTCTTAGGTACAAATTTATCTCACTGAAAGACACTTGTTAATTTTAGAAGAGCGAGCTACGAAGTAAAAGAGTCTAATTTAGCGAATTTCTCAACCTTAGAAATTGATACATTTCAAACATTGGATAACTAGTTGACCTCATGAAAGAGCATGAGAAGATAAGATAGAGTGCCCAGGTGATGCTCAGAACTTGAAGGGAACGAGAGGTGGTAATATATCGCACCTTTGAGATAATGATTGTCATAATTACCTAGGTAGAATCCTGAGAGTAGTGACAAATTTTGCTGAAAATTTACTCTCCTGCCACAGTGTAATTTAAACCAGACACTTGGGCATTTATCGCCATTAACTAAGGAGCATCGGCTGTTTGGGGCGCCCGACGCACGCCAAATTGATTTTCCCCGCTCGAGATTTAGTGATAAAATACACATATTATGGCTTCCTGCTGTAGAAAAAGGCCACTACATCCTGAAAATTAATTCATGAAATATGTCAATATGTCTTTGAGTGCTTTGGATCTGTTTAATGTTAAAGGGCGGGTTGCATTGGTTACGGGTGGGAGTAGTGGAATTGGGCTTATGATTTCCAGGGTATGTGGTTCATCATAGACTTTGATTTGCAAGCAGCCCTGGATGTTGGAACCTAACAGCACCAATGTGTAGGGGCTAGTATCAAACGGAGCCAAGGTATATCTCGTCGCACTCCCGAGCGATCCCATAACCGAAGTTGTCAATGAGTTGAATGGGCTGGGTCGTGAATCCGGTGGAAGTGCTGAAGGGTACGAACGCGACAAGAGTGGCAATACTAAAAAGGAATAGTCACTGACATATTGCTCCCAGTTATGTGTGTGATGTATCATCAAAAGAAGCCATCTCACGCCTTGCCCAAAAAATATCTGAAAAGGAAACGGCTCTGGACATCCTCGTCTCAAATGCCGGTATCAGACGAGATCCCCCTTTAGCATGTAATGTGCTCACTGCATCCGTGCAAGAACTTCAACAGTCAATGTGGTCAATCCAAAGCAAGGACTGGGAAGATACATTTCGAGTCAATACTACGGCCCATTATTTTCTCAGTGTAGCTTTTCTTCCTCTCCTCGCGGCTGCAGCGAACCAACCGACCAATACTGGAACAAAGGGACAAGACGAAGGGCGAGGGGTCATTGTGGTGACTAGCTCATGTGCAAGCATGCACAATGCCACCAATGTTGATCTAACAAGCTATGCAACAAGCAAGGCTGCTACGGATCACCTTGTCAAGTTGTTGGCGGCAAAGTACAATCGTTTTTATGTACGCGTGGTTGGAATTAATCCAGGTTGTAAGTTATGCAAACTTTCGATTTAAAGACCTCCGAGTCGGTATTCAAGCCCTGGAGCTCCTCAACAACCTTGGAAAATAAACTAAAACTTTGGAAATTCTGTCCAGTCATCCCCAGCAATATGAACCCCGTCGGGGCCGAAGGAAATATATTCAGCTCCTTGTTTGAGAAGGTCCCAGCAAAACGGGCCGGCAATTCCGATGATATAGTTGGCACTGTGCTATATTTGGTCAGCAAGTCGGGGGTAAGTCTCTTTCCTGGAAGTTGATTCCAAAGTTCCAAGCTGAGCATCGCTGATTGGAGCTCTCTGGAGTAGGCATATGTTGATGGAATCTCTCTTTGTGTTGATGGCGGTCGCATTTTACTGGCAAATGGACAGGAGTGATCAGGTAGAACAGAGGTATATAGAGCTACGATCATGACACCGATAATTGTCTCGATCAATTGTTGTATTTTGTGAATGATCGGCCTCCCCGCATGACCAAAAGTCGGCGAGCCCGATGCGGGGAGCCGCAAAGAATTCCGATGGACTTCGTAGAGAGCAGATAAGGATTGACCAGAATTCAAATATCATGAGCACTGTGCCATGTTTCTTTCGTAACTGGTGCCCCAATACAGATAAATCAAAGCTTCAAAACCCTCTCGTCATGTCGGTGGCATTCTTGGCAGATCCATCTCAGTAGGTATTCTGGAGTCGATTGCTTCCTGTAGTGTCTAATACTAACCCAAGTAGATCTCAAATATCAACAGAAGACTTACACAATGCCGCTTCTAAGCTTGGGCTCAAGATCCCTCAAGGCTCGGAGACCGAGGCCTATTTGCATCTGCTCCAGTCAGCAGAAGCCGCTATGCGACGAATTCAAAGCGACGATGATTACATCCACCCCGCCCTGTCTCCGGTTGAAACAACAACAGCTCGAAGATACTGGGAGCCAGAAAGCAAAGAAAATCCTTTGAATGCTTGGAAACACCGCTGTGAGCTCATTGCGAGGACCCCGAACAACAATACTCTTCAAAACCGGACAATCGCCATAAAAGATAATATATCAGTTGGAGGATTGCCCACAACCGTTGGAACATTCAAGGAGCTGCTGTGCAGAGAAGATGGCAGTCTTCCGGTCTCTACAATAGATGCCTCTGTAGTCTCACGCATTTTGCAGGCTGGTGCAACGATCAAAGGCTCTTCAAACTGTGAGAACTATTGCGCATCTCCTCTCTCCTTCAGTGCGGCAAATGGGCCGGTTCACAATGCCTGGATGTATGGGCATACTTCTGGAGGAAGTAGCAGTGGTTCTGCGAGCCTTGTGGCTGCTAATATTGTTCAAACTGAACAGGGGAAATCATTTGGGGAAATAGTTGATCTGGCAATCGGGGGTGACCAAGCAGGGTCAGTCAGGATTCCAGCAGCGTACAGTGGAATATACGGTCTTAAGCCAACGTATGGGCTTGTTCCGTATACCGGTGCAGTGCCTCTGTCGCCTATGATTGATCATCTGGGTCCTCTTGCTAATAATTTGGAAGACATTGCATTGCTGCTCCAAGTTATGGCAGGCTATGACGGGATTGACCCCCGCATGACCCCAGAATCACCACTGAGATCCCAGGTGCAGGACTATCCGCAGCTTTTGGCACAATTTCGAGATCGCAAACTTGAACAAGGAGAGAATCTTGGCTCTGGGCTAACTATCGGTCTTCTCACAGAATCATTTGAGATACAGGGGCTATCTCAGGAAGTTCGCGATACCGTTCGACAATCAGCTCGAGAGTCGTTCACGGCTGCTGGGGCGAAAGTCGTGGACATTTCTATTCCGAAGCACCGCGATGGTAGTTTGATCTGGACTGCTGCCACTCGAATGTCCATGTCGGAATGGGTCTGCCAGGGCAAAACGTCTGGATTTCTTTCTTTCTTACCTCCACATATCCATCTTCGATGGCCCCCCTGACCAGAGGATGTATGAACTGATCACGGCGACAAATCCAGCTGCTGTCAACGTGATGCTCAGCGGGCCCTTTCTTCAAGATAACTTTGGTCCCCAGGTCGAGGCCAAGGCCCATCGTAAGGTGTTTGAGCTTCGGGCAGCATATGACGAGGCGTTCATGCAAGTGGACATCCTTGTCACACCTTGCGCACCCACGGTTGCGATGCCACACCCCACGATGCACACGAATGAAGATGGATCTCATTCGAGTGTCATAGACAAACTATCCGCGGCGGTTGGCGTGACGACGAACACGGCGCCATTTAATGTCACTGGTCATCCTGCGCTGAACGTGCCATGTGGGTTCGGTCAAGACTCGAATGCGCCCGGGGTTAAACTGCCGATTGGCATGCAACTCGTGGGACGTCGATGGGAAGACGCGACAGTGTTGAAAGCGGCGGCAGTGTTTGAAGAAGGGAGAAATCCAACGTAAATAGGTGCAGGTTGATCTATTGTTTTGGTTCATCCAGTTCATACATTTGATAGTACTAGTAACATGGAATTTATCGAAGTCAAAATATCCTATCGCATCAAGGGTATCCGTAAAGAAAGAAGAAAGAGCAAGAAAAATCAAAAGAAGCAAAAAGTCCAAAGTATCCACGATGATATCCCCCCCCCCCCTCACCCCTTCTTTCTTCTCTCTCCAGGATCATCTCCCCCCCCCTTCGCCTTCACACATCAAGGCTGATCCTTGTTACACACGTACCACGTGGGGATGGATAGATTCCAAGGCATTAGGAACTCTCAATAAGCCCTCGCCTGCAATTCGGTCTTGCACAATTCGCGGCCTCGGCACAGCTTGCATCATCCACCATCCTAGCATCAAGCAGCCAGACTGTGCAGAATGCGTGAATTTTCCACGGTGAATGAGCCTGCGCTGCAACCCCAAGTTGACAGCCAACGCGTTTCACCGAACCCCTTGCGTCTAGTGTCGTTGAGAAGTCAGCCACGCTAGAACGAGGGCCAGGGCATGGGGACATGACGCTATCGACAAATCTTCCCACACACCCCTCAGCCCTAAGAGAGGGGAATTTCCCGCCATTGTGTTACACAAAATGGGCTGACCTTGATTCAAGAATGCTAATCGAAAAGATCTTTACGCCAATCCCGGCTCTTCGTTGACCCATCATCTCACATGCCTGCCACTGCAGAACATTTCAGTTTCCCTCGATCTGATACGACGAGTATACCACTTCGCGTCGCAGGAACACTACCCATTGGTCCGAGTGAAAAAAGAAGATTGAGCGAAAGCAGGTATCTCGGCTCCACGCGCTCAGGGGTGGTGATAATCCACGTCAAGATCCCTGTCCCGCGATCAGCACGTCCCCACTCGATAGTTTTGCTTCCTGCGGGTCCGCGCATCTTGCAGGTTTGCTCTCCGCTCTTTGCTCTCTCAATATTAGGCTTTGGTATCGCGCAGATCCATGCCGAATAAAAGGAGGTTGGCATGAGCATCATTTTTCCCAGAATTCCCCTTATCTGACCCCGGTCTAGGAGACGCAAGGCACAACTGTGATGCCAAAAGAAGACGTGTGGCGCACGAACTATGGGATCGACAAACTATCGCGTTCCGAAAGATTTGGTGCAATGCGACCCACCTATCAACGCGAGCCCCAAACTATGTCCATCGCATTTCTAAGTGACAGGTCAAATGATTGTGGATACTCTACTCCGTACCTATGGAGTACGGAGTACACGTCAGACCTATCGAGGTGCGGCCCGCCCATGCTTTTTCTAGGCGGAGAAATTTTGACAAAAATAAATTAAAAATTATGGGTCAATGCCTTGTCATCAGAACCTTTTTTTGATTTGATTTAATAGCTACCTCTCCCATCAGAATGTGGACCAGGAGCAGGCACTGATCCCGCCCACCTCCGCGATGTCAAACATTACTGTATGTCCTAATATGTAAAACACCAGAATATTGAGCCCCGTTGAGAATGCCCATACTGATCAAAAGTGCTAGGACCCCAATAATGATCCTAATATCGGTTCTGCCCAAAGCAATGCATCATCTACATCGGGGGATGCTGTCAGCAGCCTTACTGGCGAAAGTGGATCGTCAGCCACGGCGCTGATGATGACCTTATTGCCAGCGTTGGTCTATGCTATTTTCTGGGTTGCTATTTTCCTCATCTTCCGACGGACGCAGCGTCGATGGTATGCACCAAGATCGCATCTTCCAGATATCCACGAGCATCGGCGAAGCCCAGAACTGCCCTCCGGCTGGGTGAACTGGCTTGGTACGTTTCTCAAGATTGAAGACAATCATGTCTTGCACCACTCATCGCTGGATGGATATCTATTTTTACGATTCTTGCGTGTGATGTGCGCAACATGCTTCACAGGCTGCCTGATTACCTGGCCCATTCTGTTCCCCATCCATGCAACGGGTGGAAACGGGAACGGTCAACTCGACATACTCAGCTTCAGTAACGTCGCAGACCCTAAAAAATATTATGCTAATGTGTTCGTTGCTATCGTTTATTTCAGTAAGTTTTCACCTTCAATGCTGCCTCCATGGAAATTTGCTTATGGTGTCGTAGCATTTGTATTCTACGTCGTGACCCGTGAGAGTCTCTATTATGCGAATTTACGACAAGCCTATCTCAACTCTCCGGAATATGCCTCTCGGATCTCGTCACGGACAGTTCTATTCATGTCAACTCCAGGCGATTATCAGAACGAGAAGAAGTTGCGACAGATTTTCGGGGATTCTATCCGCCGACTCTGGGTCACATCTGACTGCGACAAGTTGGAGAAGATGGTGAATGAACGCGATAAGCTTGCATTCAAATTAGAAACCACCGAAACTAGACTCATCCGAGCGGCAAATAAGGCTCGAGTAAAGGCGATCAAGAATGGTGAATTTTCATCAGATACCTGCCTCGATTGCGAGTCAAGTAATCCTGCTGGGTCCCACAAAATCAAACGGCCAACCCATCGACTGAAGCTTTTCGGAAAGAAAGTGGACTCGATCCATTGGTATCGGTCGGAGCTGGTCAAGATCAGTGAAGCGGTGTCAATTCTTCAGAAGAAACACCAGGATGGCGAGGCGAAACATCTATCGGCAATATTTATCGAGTTTAATTCTCAATCCGACGCCCAGGTCGCTCTGCAGACTTTGTCTCACCATCAGCCTTTTCATATGACGCCTCGTTTTATTGGCGTCTCGCCGCATGAAGTTGTATGGTCTGCTATCAATCTCAGTTGGTGGCAACGAATTATTCGGAAATTTGCAGTACAAGGGGGCCTTGCTGCCCTGGTAATCTTCTGGTCATTCCCTGCTGCCATTGTTGGAACGATCTCCAATATCTCATATCTCGCCAATCTCCTCCCTTTCCTCGGATTTATTGAGGACTTGCCGGAGGTTATCAAGGGTGCAATTGAAGGATTGCTACCGTCAGCTGCATTAGTGGCATTAATGTCATTGGTGCCAATCATATGTCGGAGTAGGTTTCCTCTAATCGCTGCAAGAAGATGTATAAGAAGCGTGTTGCTAACATTTGCTCCACCAGTCTGTGCTAGACGAGCCGGGGTGCCATCCACGGCTAGAGTTGAGCTATTCACACAGAGTGCGCATTTCGTTTTCCAAGTAGTGCAGGTATTCTTGGTCACAACATTGACCTCGGCTGCATCCGCAGCGACGTCGCAAATCATTAAAGATCCTCTTTCAGCGAAGGATCTTCTAGCTCAGAACTTGCCCAAAGCCACCAACTTCTACGTCTCATACTTTTTGCTTCAAGGCTTGAGTACAAGCTCTCTAGCGCTAGTACAAATTGCAAGCGCTCTTGTGTTCAAATTTGTCACCACATTCTTCGCCTTTTCTCCGCGTCGCCTGTTCAGACGATGGGCTGAGCTTGGTAGCCTGAGCTGGGGTAATGTGTTCCCGGTCTTCACCAACATGGGAGTGATCGGTATGCAGATTATATCAAACCCGGAATGATAATAATTCTAACTTTGTATCTCTTCAGCTTTGACCTACTCGTGTATTGCACCTTTAATCTTGGGGTTTGCCTTTATTGGCCTATATCTCGTCTATCAGGCCTATCGCTACAACTTCTTGTTTGTCTATGAAATCGACGTCGACACGAAAGGCCTAGTATACCCGCGTGCTCTGCAGCATCTCTTAACGGGTATTTACCTCGCCGAAATCTGCATGATCGGTCTTTTCGCCATCAAAGGGGCAATTGGCCCAGTGGTTATCATGCTACTCTTTACCATCGGCACCGTTCTAGCCCACATGTCACTCAATGAAGCCTTGGCTCCACTGAACACATTTCTCCCACGGTCTCTGGATGCGGAAGAAGAACTCATTCAAGAGAAAAGAGGATGCTATCGCCGAGATCAACGAGCAGCGTCGCCCGCGGCTCTTGGCTTTCTGGAAATGGTTCCATCCAAATGTGTATAAAGACTATGCTGAAATACGTCGCAAGGTGCGTCGCAATGTTGCAGAGGTCGAATATACCGAGGAAGAGATTCGCACCGCCTACTTCGAACCATGTATTGCCGCTCCTGCTCCGACGCTCTGGATCCCGCGGGATAGGTGGGGATTTAGTCGACACGAGGTGATTGAAACAGACCCTGCGATCAAAATCACGGATGAAGGAGCACATCTCAACGAGAAGAACAAAATCGTGTGGGATAAGTATGATCCTGATCTTCCTCTCCGGGAACTGAAGACTCCGTATTGAGAGACTAATTTGGCGGCGTTATTATTATATGTTATAAGCATGAGTATGGGATAATGATCAATGATTGATATAAAGCTACTATCATACTAAAGAAATTTTGGCGTACCTGGAGGGAAGGTATCAGTTCTCTCAGCTTTGGTGTTTGTATTTGCCCAGGTGGTGGTTTTGAACCTTTGCTCCCCTGGTATATAGAAAATTTCATAAGAGCCCCATCTGAAACGAGGATGTGAGCAACCTGAGATTCATATTATCTTTACTTCCATTTCCTTAGGTCATGTATCACTATGCCGCAAAAATAAGTTCAAACACTAACTTTGCAGAGAAGATCGCGTGCATTCAGAATTGAAACTATTCACTAAGCTACACATCGTGACACCAGAAACACTGACAAGCTATCTCCTAAATTCGGGCCCAACACATCCAGTGCCTTCAAACCGTCAAAGTGAAGTTGACTGCATTCACCACACCGTTATCTCTGGGGAAGAACTCAAAGGTAAACACCGTTGTCACACCAGCAGATATAACCGAGCTGATAGCAGAGGATGTAAGGATAACATTGGAAGAATCCCAATTGTACTGGCTGCTATAAGTCTGCCATTTGGGTCACGTCAGTGGATTGTCTTTGACCGCCCAAGAGAGCATCACCTACCGTTCTTGCTTGCTGGAGAGGCCCCAAGTAGACAGTCCAATCATCGACCAGATATGTACCACTTGTAGTCAATGCTTTGACTGCCGCAATTCTTGGAAGCCCACCCCAAGTAATGGGAATAGAAAGATCCGATCCAGATACGGATGAAGCAACCGCAGTCTTTGAGGATAGTGTCGGTGTCTTCCATTGAACAAGCTGCACAACCGGGGAAGAGTCGCCACCAGAGAACTTCAACGTCAGATTGGCGATGATACCTGGCGAAGTTGTTGATGTAATATGTTTCGATAGATAGGAAGCTGTGAATATGATATTAGAGCCCGAGACTGAGTAGTCTGTACCTGAGGTCAAGGTTGAGCCGGCTGAGTCCGTAATCGAAGACAGGGTGTTTCCATTAAAAACGAATGGTAGTGACTGTTGTGTCACTTCAGTGCCGTATTCGTGGAATATATAAGCCGAAGAGGATTGAGTGGTGGCAGAAGCATCTTCAGTGCTGTCAGGTAGACTATTGGAAGTGCTCGCAGTCGACTTTGTGATCATCGAGATTGAGTTCGGGTCTCTCCAAGTTGCAGTATCGCGATTTAGATGGTCAAGACCATTATCCCACAGAATGCAAGCAAAGTTCAAACCTAATGCCGATAGAACAACCTCGTCCACGTATTTCCACCGACCTGCAGGCTCCGTGTTAGTGGGAGATGCATCATACTCTCCCAAGATAATTGGAACGTCGGTGAAGTTGTTTCGGAGAAGCTGGAAGTCGGATGAAACGGTGGCTTTGTCGGCATCGGAGCCCCAGATAGTTTTTCCCCTAAATAACCTATTGTTAGCAGGATTTTGAACCCATTGAGGATTCATATGATAAATGTACCATGCGCTGAAGATAAAGTCGTCTATCTTCGGTCAGTCTCAGCATCTCAAGTATATACAACTGGTTTCATCCACTCACAAGGACTGTAGTAATGGAACTGGATAGCGTAGGGATTTGAAAAGCCAGATGGCGCCACAAACCACTCTGAAGTCTTGATGCTATCCTCGCCACCACCAACAAGGTTGACCACACGCTGGGAATTGAAACCCCCCCGCATCATTAATTGCCTGCAGGAAGATTTTATTTAGTTTGTTTATCTCGGCTCCATGAGTGGAATCGGTACAAGGAGGCTCATTGATCGATTCAAATGCAACGAGACTCGACTTGCAGGCCAATTTAGTGCCAATCTGATACCAAAGACGATAGAATTTCTCTTCAATCATGGTGAGATTGGCGCCAGATGCAGTGACATCGGCCCAGATCCAAGAGTCTAATCTCACTTTAGAAAAATGTACTAAACTCGCCCTTCATGTGCGTATCGAGTAACTTACCATGATGTACGTTGACGATAGTATACAACCCCAATGAAGTAGACATATCAACCACGTCGGAAACACGCTGCAGCCAGGCCGGATCTACAGTCCAGTCTGGCGAGCTCCCAGTGAAGTGATAGGCATAGGTAACTACCATTGATTAGTGAAACCTCTCAGTTCTAGCAGCTTCTTTCATACCTGGAATTCGGACCCCGTTGAATCCTGCGTCTTGAACTGTCGCAAATGTTGAGGCAACAACCGCAGCATTGTTCCAGGAGCCCTCATTCGGAATGGCATCCAAGGTATTGCCCAGATTCCAGCCTGGGTGAAGTTTTGCGACGAAATTGGAAGCAGAAATTGCGCTAAATGTACCAGTGCAAGTGGACCCTGTGGAAGTGGATGTTTGGCTTGTACTCTGGGCCGTTGATTTGGATGTCGTTGTTGTAGTTAGAGTGGTGGATTTCGAAGTGGTTGTGGTAGTGGTCGTACTAGATGACGTTGCTTTACTAGTTGTAGTGCTTGTCGCACTACCCGGAACGCACTGGTAGTAATCTCGAGAATATTTTAGATTATGTAGTCACTAGTTTGAAACTGTCAACTTACAAGCATTCTGTGAAGTACAAGCATAACCACTTGTACAACTCGTACTTCCCGAGTAGCCGCTGCCTCCACCTGAGAGATGTCAGTCTTTCATGATACCTGAGTCAAAAATGTATTGATTATTAGACAACTGACATTGCCCATAAGCAGCCACCTGTGCTTGGGCATATTGGAAAATAGCCGCGAGGGCCACTACGATGAGGGCCTGCATTATACTGTAGCAGGAGAAGACGTTCTACTACCGTCGAAACACAAAATTCCAGTTCTACATGAAGCCTAAAAAATCGACTGGCTTGACTTGATGATTTATATAGTGCTGTAAGGTACTAGTACTAATTAGTTGGACCGGCTCGATCCAATGACCCCAGAAAAACACGGAAGTCGACTTGCATACTTAGTGGGCAATGGGTTTATATTCCTAATTAACCGGACGCCTGCCCAGGTGGAGCGTGTCACGCAATGCTAATGCCTACCAGTCTTCAAGTTTATTAAATGAGACCTAAAATTACTAGGACTGCTTCCTAGAAGCTACTAGTAGACCGTGGGCTTGCCTAGCGGGACGGACATGTTTCAATGCTCCAATAACCAGCCAAGATAGGACCCCCCCGGACATCCTTCATCTCCACAAATCTCCGCAGATTATCCTGACGAAAGCCTAAGTCAAATCGGAAGCCTAGCAAATGAAATCTCATCTTGTGATATCCAAGTTGATTTCTACCCTTTGCCCGTTACAGGGGTTGCTGCCCCGCTCCATTTGTAGCTACGGAGCACGCCCGTGTTGGTTTTGATGCGATGCCGTGGAGGATTTAGAACGAGTAGCGGATAGTTCGGTGCTACATGATGATATTTTGAATGATCCATTGGAATTTATGAATGTTCTGGCATCTACTAGTAATGTTGTTCCGATCAGGGTGCCTCTCAAGGTTCGCTAGTAGGTTATCTAGTAATGCATACGGCTTTATGTGAGCAAAAGGTCAATGAGTACAATGCTACTAGTACTTAGGCAATAGAAAATGGCTGCAAATGCGGAGGAGAATGTCTATAGCGTAGCGGATCCAAGTGAGGAGTAATCAGAATGACATCTAAGTATTTACATTGATTCGTTACATTCATTTCGTCATGTAGACTTAGCAGGCATCGTATTGCCATGGCATCCGTGAATCGCTTCGATAGTCAGGTATTCACATCACGATGCAGTCTTTGTTACGATTCCGGTCGGTACCATATCGGTCTGTAGTGGGCCGATTTGAATATCGATTCGGGGGGGTATCGTGGAGAATATGAACCGTTCGAATCGACGGGGAAGTCGCTATATCGGTTTCGCCGTTCAGGAGGTGAATACCGTGGGCCACTCGCAGCTTGTTCGTAAGGAGGAGGGGGCGCGTTTGGATCATCGGGATCGGCTGCAGCGGGTGGTCGTGGCTGTTGCTGTCGGAGCCCAGTGGTAATGCTCGAAACTCTGTCGGGCCCGTTGATGCGAGGAGAGGATAGACGCGGTGAAGAGCTACTTCGTGTATGGGAAGAGCTTGGCATGCGAGGAGGGACAGATTCGCGACGGGCGGGGCCTGATGCACGGGGGCCATTGTCGCTCCCTTGTTGACTTCCCTGCCTTTCACGCTGTTCCTCCTCTTGGAATTGTAGTGAGAGTGCATATGCATAATCTGCGTCACTTTGCTCCTGGTTCGACATTGGGGACTGAGATCCATCGTTCGCCGCGGGCGGACTATTCGGTGAAAGGTTTGATGCACGAGGATCGACGGGATCGGAGGCGGAGGGACCACCAGAGCCCGATGGGCCGTGGCCAACTGCTCGAAAGTCGCCAGACAAGAACTCTGCATTGAAGCCAGTCACATCGACGAGGGATTCCCAGACAACCTCTGCGTGATTGGCATAACCAGCATCTGTGACCAAAGTGAAGAGCTGATGCGATTCAGGATGTTTATATAGCGTAGAGAAATGATCGTTGCGGAATAGGATCGAGATGGAGCCGGGCGCGAGTCGTGTAGATAGTTGTGTCAGCCCAAATGGGCTCAGCTGTGTTGCATTTTCGATATCAACAAAATGCTGAATGGTTTGGATGTCCGCCATCCTTCCCTCTTCCTCCGGCAAGAGAGACTGGCCCTGCATGACACGATCCTCAAGATCCTGTTTATTGAAATGCAACAACTGAATGTCTTCATGGTATTGACCAATCCGGGTCATAGCATCATGGGCTGGGTCAGACCAGGATGCGAGCCAGCCGTGAATGAGAGGAATGCCAAATGTACTGTAGAATCGAATATCTGGGGTTTGAAGAAATGTGCCAAGGGAATCCTCGGTTTCCTGATTTGGAGTTAGCCTGATCCGGGGGCGTTGCTGATTGTTGAAGAGGAATAATTACCAATGTCAAACGAGGATTCACGTTCATGCCGGTATGCAACATAGTGAGGAACTGAGTGAGTGCTTCAATATCCGGAAACTCCTGGTGTGGCCCCAGGCAAGTAGTTAATTCGTCGAAAAGAGCCTCGATCAACAAGCCCAGCGAGATTTGTTCGCGGGTTCGCAGAGCTTTGATGATCGGTGGTTGTGTATTTGGCTCAGCTCGAAGTACAAGCGCGTTGATGAGAGCAAGTAAAGGACAGGGACCATTTAGATTTTGAACCAAGATGGGAGACTGGAATAGGTTTCCATTCCGATCAGTGCGGTTGATCTGGCGGATGGAATAGGTCTCTGCCCTCTGCTCTTGCTGTCTGGCCGCTTCTGCAGGTGAGAGCTTTGGAGCTGTCAATGGTTGTCCAAGAGCGCTGTCTTGAGATCGTATGCCCGATGCAATTGGCAAGGGTGATTGTGAATTGGAAGCTGCTTTGTTGACGCTCTCCGAAGAATATACCGACGAGGTTGCGCGATGAGACTCATTATTTGCCGCGAGACCACCGGGGGGGATCGAAATCGATCAATTCGTGCGAAGTCGCCGAAGTTGCACTCGAAAATGCAGATGCCGGTCTGATTCCCGCATCTGACGCCAGCTTATCATTGCTGTATTGTGGCTCAAGGCCGAATGCACTCTGTTGAGTACCGGAGGGTTGGATAACCACAGTTGGTGCAGGGGCGTATGGATTTGCTTGCCCGCCCTGCAGATATATCTCTTGGGGGGGCAGATATTTTGATCGAATGTTGTGATCCCCATGGTGATGGGTCGGATGAATTGGGATTTGTAGTGGATGATTGTAAGTGGCATGGCGGGGGCTCCTGCTCTGCCCACGGGGACGGCTCGTAGGGCTGGGGATTGGCCAGAGGGCGTTGATAGTCGGGCTGAGTCAAGTCGTGTTCTGCCCATGGGGATTCGTTTTCGGGAGAATCGAGTAAGGAGAGTCGCGCTGTCATGGGGATGTATCCCTCCGCTTGAAAGGGGTCAGTATCAACATCGATCATCCCGGGAAGAAGGTTGGTGGTAAGGTGTGGGGGATATTTATTTCCATACTCTGACTTAATGGATCGCTGTTAGTGGTCGCATGTGAATGACGATCCGCCCATTCATTTTGGTCTCCCGAGCTAGTCCTCGAATCCACCGGCCTTGGCTTCAAAAATGGGTTGTTCGATCGAAGTTGTACCGGTACCTCCCCCGTTGTGAAGCTGCGGTCTCGCGAGGTGGGCTGCCAGCCAAAATCGCCAGTTGACGATCCTGGTGGACCCGGCGCGAGAGCCGACGGGAGCCCGTGTGCTTTCACCTCAGACCCCGCTGGATACGACCCATCACCGGTGGCTGGTCGGTCTCCCAATCCATCATTCCAGGAGTTGGGCGGGTGACTCGTCGATGAGCCCACGGGGGATCTCTGAGCCTGTTCGAGAGGCATCAGATCAAATGCCGGGGATGTATTGAGATCTGGGGAGTAGACAGAGTCCTGGGAAGGAACTCGGTGTGGGCGGGTCCGACGTTGCGATGACGGGGAATGGGAGGAGGTTGGGGAATAGGACTCTGCACGGGCATGCCACTTGTTGAGATTCTCGAGACGTGGAGGAGGAGGTTTGCGGAGCACCATGAAGAACGGAGGATATCAAAGTATGTGGAGGTAGTACTGTATGTATATGGGTGTTGTATATACCGAGAGCTGTTGTGGAGCGGAGGGCGGAGGGCGGAGAGCTGCCAGTGTGGAACTGGGAGTAGGCAAATGGTACTGGTAATGGTATATATTAAAAAGGTCAAGTCATGGGCGTTGGAGCCAGCCCCCACGAAGTTAAAAGCCACGGGGCAAAAATTATAGATCGGCCATAACGATTGGGGGGGAAGGGGAGGAGGCGAAGAGGAGGCTGCAAGAGAAAACGCCTTGCGGTGGAAGTACTTGGACTTGGGGACTTGGGGCAAGTACGGGGCTACTACGGAGTGACTACTCTAGGCAGGCACGATCATGGCAGGCACCCGCTTTCTAGAGAGTATTGGTATTACTGAAATACCGTGGGAGTGACAGGGCTAATCAGAGGGAACAAGCGTATGGTATGGTATCACTGTAAACTCCAGTAATACTCGGGCCAATAATAGTCCGACATCACCATTTTTGCCCTCTGATTGGCCCTTGCGTACTTGGTCTCTACCGAGCCCCGGAATATTTTGCAGCAATTATCGGCTGCTCTTGAGTAGATATTGCATCCAAGTCGACAAACGTGAACTTGCTTGCTTGGGTCGTCATGCATTCATTCATACCGCCCAATCAATTTGTGGCGATTAAATTGCCCTCCGACCAGACTCGCATTGTCAAGCTGGTCCCAGACTCGTGCGTCTCCCGTCCCATTCATCATATCGAATTTCTTCCCGTCGCAAAAGGGTTCCCTCCACTAACCAACGCAATCGCTCGCACAGTCTAGTTCAATTGGGGAAATACGGCAGCTTCCCTGCCAACCAGATCATCGGACGACCCTTCTACTTCACCTTTGAAATCCAAGACACCGCCGAAAAAGATGGCTATAAACTGCGGGTCGTCTCAGCCACCGAGCTGCACGCGGAAACCTTGATCGAAGAGGCCGAGGCAGACGGCGAAGGGGAGGATCAACCAGAGGGATCAGCAGGAATCCCCATGCGCACCAACCGCCAGATCGTCGACGATGCTTCCACCCAGACCCTGACCCTGCAGGAGATCGAAGAGCTCAAGAAAGAGGCTGGCGGGGCTGGAAAGGAAATTATCGCGAAGATCCTGGAGTCGCATACCGCTCTCGATCAGAAGACTGCTTTCTCTTTGGCCAAATATACGCTCCGGAAGCGTCAAAAGTACCTCAAGCGATTCACTGTTGTACCATTGGACGTCAGCACACTGGCCAACTTTATGCTGGCCGAGAAAGATGCGACGAGGACAATGGAAATGCGGGACGAACACATCGGCCTCTTGGGCTGCTTCGGTAATGTGCATTATAGTGGAGAGTCTCAGAACGAGGAGTCGGCAACGGATAGTCTACCCGCAGTCAAGCCCAATGGCCGGTACTATGTGGTTGACGAAACTGGTGGGCTTGTCGTGGCTGCCATGGCCGAGCGCATGGGAATCCTCTATCCGCGCGACGAGGAAGAGGATGGGAACGACGGAGAAGAGGAAACCACTGATCCAAACGAGCAAAATCTCACCGAGGAAGACAACAATGCGGAGGCTCAGGGTGCCACTTCGACCTCCAAGCGCAAACGGCCCCAAGCCATGTCGGCGTCTGGAAACACCATCACCGTTGTCCATGCCTCCTCACAACCAAACCTCTCCCTACTGAAGTACTTCGGTTATGATATCAACTCGCCCGACGAGAACCACCCCCTTCACACCCACCTCAAGACAGTCACCTGGCTCCAGATGCTCGACCCAGCAGTGGACCCAATCCTAGCTAACCGACCGGCGGATATCCCACCAGCGGAACTGGCCGCGTTGAAGGGCAGCAAGCGCAGCGCGTACCATTTCAAGCGCAACCGATGGGAGAGAATCAAGAAGGTCGTGGAAGAGGCCCGCGCGGGACGGTTTGACGGCCTTGTCGTCGCTACCTTGTTGGAGCCTGCCAGTGTATTGAAAAACTTGGTCCCACTGCTCTCCGGCTCAGCCTCCGTTTCCGTCTATTCCCCCACCGTCGAGTCCCTGGTCGTTCTGATGGACAAGTATTCCACAACACGGAGAACGGCATTCATCAATAAGAAACGGGACCTAGAAGCCCAAACGACCGCGGAGCACGACGACATCGACCTGTCCTCGCTATACGAAGAGTTCGAATTGGATCCCACCCTTCTTCTCCCACCGACACTTCACAGATCTCGCGTTCGAGCCTGGCAAGTACTCCCAGGCCGAACACACCCTCTCATGACTGGACGTGGTGGCGCCGAGGGCTATCTTTTCCACGGCGTGCGCGTGATTCCCACAACGGCCAACGTCCAGGCCGCAGGCACATTCCGGAAGAAGCGAAAGCTGGAGCAGCAGACATCAGCCCCGACCCCGACTACCGATCAGGACGTTGAAATGGCATCTTTATCTGCATAAATGCCTGTAGTGCCATTGGACAAACATGAAATTTTGTACGAATATAACGAATCACCAAGCTTGAATGAATGTAGAGCGAGGTATACAATAATATAGTACAGTATAGTATAGAAACAAGATTGAAGGCAACCCGGGCCAGGAAGTACTTGGTTAGCGCTAGTCTGTCAGTATAAAGATTCAAACACTATACTACCTACCTAGGGGTACTCGGCATCCTATCCAGTTGCATACTCAATGCCCTGAATCATCAAAATCAAGCAAATTGTATTGGCACAATAGCTTCGACTACCGATGAAGCGTCGTAAACTAGCCAGAGTTGGGCGAAGCGGTTTGAAAAAAAGGTTCATTGATGCGCTGAATTTCATGAAAACTATACACCCCATCTATTGAATTTACAGGCTCTTTCCCATGAACTTCCGCTTTGTGAAGCTGAGCCAGAACTGTATCGGAGTTAGTGATAAGCTGTCGTGGTGTATACAGAGCATTTCCCACGTACCTTGGAGGGTCCTTCTCCACCGGGGTATAATCTGGCGTGTAGTCGAACGGAGATTTCCTGTCGCACCTGCGAAATGTATCTAGAAAATCACAAAAAATCACAATTAGTTGATAGGAAGGTGGTCAACGTATGGAAGGGTACACGGACTGTCGGAGGCTCTCCGCATCTTGGCGATCGCGCGGGGGCTCAAAGGCCTGATTCAGAGGGAAGGAGACATCACCGGGGATGGCGAAGTTGTCGAGGGCGGCATTGATGAGAGCCTGGTGAGTTTAAGTGAGTATGCTGTGTGCCATTTCGAAAGGCCACGGGTAGCTTATTTACCTTCTCAGCTTCACGGGCAGTCATTGTCGGCTTGACTTTCCCGAGGCACTCGCTGACAAACAGAGTTCCATAAATGAGCATGCGGTCGGCAGGGCCATTGATCTCAAAGTTGCGGAAGAGCACATTAGCGCGGAAGAGGGACAATATCTCATCAACACAGTCGTAGGATTCGCTGTCGGGGGCGACGTCGATATCGGCAGTGTTAGGGGGTAGGGCGGGCAGGGTGTATGCAGGACCACGGGTGCGAGTGCGGAGGGGTAGAATAGGGAAGTTTCCTATAATACAATGAAACGCAATGGTCAATTCTGGGGCAGTTCTTGTTTATTGGAGATGTGTCGCATTGAAGGCAACAGTTGGCGGGGCAGCATACCAATCACGGGGACATCCCGGTCTTCCAGGAAGATGGAGTGATAAGCCTGTGAAATAGTCAGTATATATATTCAAAGCAGTGTTCTTAACGGGATTGCTGCAATCATACTGGCATGGCGGGTGTTGTGGGAGGAGAAAGACTGGGGAATTAGATTGGAATTGGAGTTGCGGAGGTGTTTGAAGCAGGGAGATGTCATCCGGTGGATCCCCTCCCCATGTGACTCTCCCTCAGCTCTTTTTACTCTTTACGCGTGGAACGCGTCAAGCTTGACTTTTCGTGATCTCATTAATTTCACCCCCCTCCGAGATACCCTTTCTTTACACACGCCATAATGTCCGACATTGAAGATCAAATGGATGTCGATGCTCCAAAGGAGGTTCAGTTCAGTTCTGACAATGCCAGTGGCAAGAAGCGTACAGCGGCAGACCTTCCTGTGGAAGCTCTGGATAATCTCCCTTGGTATGAAATTGATGCTCTAATTTGGACAAAGGAATCATACTGACACCGTGTATAGGGTTGAGAAGTACCGTCCCAATTCCCTAGATGATGTCTCCGGTCACCAAGATATCCTCGCTACCATCAATCGCTTTGTCGAAGCCCATGTATTTTCTTCCCCGCCGAGCAGCATTCGTGACCGCTCCAATACTAATGAATCTACAGCGACTACCCCATCTCCTTCTATATGGCCCTCCCGGAACTGGAAAGACCTCGACCATCCTGGCACTTGCACGACGGATATATGGCACAAAAAATATGCGCCAGATGGTCCTGGAGCTGAATGCCAGTGACGACCGTGGTATTGACGTTGTTCGGGAACAAATCAAGACCTTTGCTAGTGAGACTATTTCAATTCTGCTGCTGAGAAGAAACAGAGGAAACTAACGGAGTATGTTTTTAGGCACCAAACAGATCTTCTCCATGGCTCCACAAGCTGCTGCCGGCTCTAAGCTCGCCGGCTTCAAACTGATCATCCTGGACGAGGCTGACGCCATGACCTCTACCGCGCAGATGGCACTCCGTCGAATAATGGAACGCTACACCGCGAACACGCGATTCTGCATCATCGCCAACTATACACACAAACTCTCTCCGGCGTTGCTGTCACGTTGTACACGCTTCCGATTCAGCCCACTAAAAGAGGCAGACATTCGGGTATTGGTGGACCAGGTTATTGAGAAAGAGAAGGTTCAAATTCAACCTGATGCAGTGGATAGCCTGGTCACTCTCAGTAAAGGTGATATGCGACGAGCTCTGAATGTCCTCCAGGCTTGTCACGCGAGCAGTAAGTATTTTTTTTTTCTCGGCCATTCCCGCCCCGACCACGTTTTCTGACCTGAATTTAGGTATGCCTTTACCCATGCGCGATGCGCCGAACGCCCCACGACCCGAACCCGAGACCATTACCAACGCCACGATTTACGATTGCATTGCGGCTCCGCACCCGGCCGATATTCAAGAAATCATGCGCACTATCCTTACGACCAGCGATGTGACCTCATGCCTCAATACTGTCAACACATTGAAGTCGAATAAGGGCCTGGCGCTGGCAGATATTCTTTCCGCGCTGGCAGACCAATTACAGCAACTCGAAGTTCCAGCGCAAACACGCATCAGCTGGTTAGAAGGATTGGCAGAAATTGAGTGGAGGCTCTCCGGGGGCGGATCCGAGACGGTCCAGACGGGCGGTTTGGTGGGAGTAGTTCGGAATGGATGTGAATTGATGGGGGAGAAGGGTGTTGGGTTGGCATGAGATGTCTTTGTTCTCTAACAATCGAATGGGCTTGCATTTACTTTGGACTTTGGAGTTGGATACCAGTTAATGCATCATACTACTTGAACCACATACTTCCTCACCACCTCGATATACCATGATATAAGTACTATTAGTACTATCAAACCAAGAAAAGGAATGCCGATGCGGGCGACCCGGCCAGACCGGCATTTAAAAGAACTCAGACTCTTTTACCTTGTTTATCAAGGTTAAACTTGCCTGTATGAAGAGAAGTTCCCGCCTGGACCACTCGGCAGGGTCTAACACCCCGAAGGGTCTAGGGTCTTTCTCCATCTCTCCAGTCTTCCTCCATCAATCCTCTCCATTCTCCACTTTTCACCTCCCCACTCTTGCTCCCACCCCATTTCTTATCGCTTATTGCTTTTCCTGCATTTCCGCGGTTTCAATTAGCTAATTGTATGTCCGAGGACTTCGCCTTGGCTGCAGTAGCCTCCGGACATCCAGCCAGGTTAGTCGTCGCCTTATTCTATCCTAGTCTTAATCTAACTCGACTCATGCCTCTAGCCTCTTCAAGTGTACGGTTCCAGGAGAGTTTGCACCACTCATCACTCTCATCCCTCTGGATTAGCTTCTGAACTGCTTCGGCCGACTCCGCTGCCCCGCTTATACACTTTCTGGCACCCGCGGGACGTCCAAAAATCATCCAACCACCCCCGCGGATCAGCATGCAATGCTCGGCCGCTGGAGACCACCCCTCCAAACACCATGGAGCAATGCGTTACATTCATAAGAACCAGTCCAGACCCCCCGGCGCTGCTGCTGTTGTTCTCTGTCCCGCTCAGCTTTTCTCTGCATCGTCAATCCCCTCCCTAAAATGCGTGCCTCTCTCCAGTCCGGCCTGCTGTTGGCCTCGCTCTCCGCGCCATTCGTGGCTGCTGAGCGCGTGATAGGTGCATACATCTACTCCCGCCATGGTGATCGTACCCCCAAGGTCTTCGGTAACACCGCATTGACCGTCCTCGGTTACCGTGAGGTCTTCAATTCCGGTTCATACTACAATGGCCGGTACATCGCCGAAGACGACTCGACCTTTCACATCGATGGTATCAGCAACTCCACCGTCAAGGCTAAGCAGATCAGTGTCACCGCGCCAGATGATGCGGTCCTGCAGAACTCGGCCACCGGCTTCATGCAGGGTGTCTATCCTCCCACCAGCAAGAATGTTGCCACCCTGAGCAATCAGACCACGCAAGAAGCCCCGCTAGGTGGTTATCAGATCATTACTGTCGGCACCACCGACACCAATACTGACAGTGAGAGTTCTACCTGGCTGCAGGGCTCGAGTGGCTGCTCCAGGGCCACTGTTAGCAGCAGCTCCTACTATACTTCCAAGGAGTATCTCGCCTTGGAGGCCTCCACCAAGGGATTCTACGAGTCGCTTGCCCCCGTCCTTAAGGGTGCTTTCGCTGAGAAGGATATGACCTTCAAGAACGCCTACACCATCTTCGATTACTTGAACGTTGGCCGCATCCACAACGAGACCAAGCCCAACGTGACCGATGCCCAGTGGATTCAGCTACAGTCTCTGGCCAACAACCAGCAGTTCAACCTTGCCTACAACTCCTCTGAGAGCGATGGCGTCCGTGCCATCGACGGCAAGGTTCTCGCTGGCGAGATTCTCTCCAGTCTGAATGATACCGTTTCTGGCGGCGGCAAGTTCAAGCTGGGCGTCCAATTTGGCTCGTACGGCACTTTCTTCTCCTGGTTCGGTATCATGCAAATGCCCGCCGCGTCCGTCAACTTCACTGGTGTGGTTGATTATGCCTCGACTTTCGCCATCGAGCTGTTGACCGACGAGCCTGGTACCGATATCCCTTCTTCGGACAAGATCAATGTTCGTTTCATGTTCCACAACGGAACCGTCAGCGACTCATCTGAGCCTACCATCTACCCTATGTTCGGTTTGGGTGACGATCAAAAGGTCATCCCCTGGTCCAAATTTGTCTCCGAGAGTGAGAAGATCGCCGTCACCACTGACAGCGAGTGGTGCGATGTCTGCGGTAACACTGACGGCAAGTGCGCCACCTCCGACAGCACCGACTCAAACTCCGCCAGCTCCAGCAGCTCCGGCGGTTCAAGTGGCGGTGTCTCTCGCCCTGTTGCCGGTGTCATTGGAGCCATGGTGACCTTGGCCGTTATCTTGGGTCTGGGTGCTCTATTCTTCCTGGTTGGTGGATTCACCGTTGCTAAGCGTCGCAAGGGTGGTCCCGAGATGAGCAGCGCTGCTGCCGTGACTGGCGATAAGAAGGCATAAGAACTGGAAAGCTTTGGTTTTGAACGGGGATTTAACGGGGATAGAAAAGGTGATGGGTATCACTGTGTACTGTGTTGTAGAGTGGTATCTCCCAGGTCTGAGACTAGCCATTGATTGGATTTGCACGAGTAATGACTAGCGGGTAAACCGATAATAATATTGCTTCTATATTTATTTACCCTACCTACCACTACCAGTAAAGTTGTCAGAAACAACTTGAATCCTAGAATGTAATGGTAGAATGTGATATAATACTACTCTTGGAGTATACTGTAGGTCTCCCTCCATACGCTAACCCTAATAACCTCGGGTGGTATCCCGCAGATTGGCCGACCGCCTTCCCTCATCTTTCTGGGGTTTCCCGTCTTCACTCCCTCGATCCAACTTCTCCATCTCCCACAACCATGCCGCGCCAACAAATTAATCTCGAGCCCTACCGGGACGAGATTATCGCTCTCTTTCAACACGGTATCAGTAGCGACTCCATTAGCCGCACCCTTGAGAGTCGATATAATATTCAAGTCAAGGAGCGAACAATCCAGTCCCGCCTCCGCAAGTGGGGTATCCGCAAACGAAGCCGAACAACAACCGCCGATGAAGCCCTTCATGCACGCATCAAGGTCCTCTTCGTGCAAGATAGGTTGACCGATAAGGCCATGTTGAAGCTCCTGCGTCAAGATGGCTACGACATCTCTGAACGGACCCTACGTCGCCTCCGGTTCCAACTCGGCCTCCATGCAAGAGCCTCGCTAGAGCATGAGCGGGGTCCCTTGATACATCTGCCGTTGCCTGTATCCGTCCCAGTTTCGGTCATCGCTAAGGGGGGGTGTGGAAGCTTGATCTTGCATTGCTAGAGCCCCGGTAGGCTCGGTGCTCTATGCGTCTGCTGATGAAACCCTCCCTTCTCGCAGGTGTTCTCCGTCGTTGCTCGGTCGACACGGCCACTTCTTATCTTTCCCTTATGCGCCACCATCTGGTTTCTTTGAACCTACCTTCTTTCCCTACGCGACAACTGAAGGATTTCCGCCTGAATGGCCAGTAGTCAAACCGTCGCTGCTGGCTCGACAATGCTACATTAGCGCAGCACTTTCTCATCTCCTCGCCCTTTATGCGCCATCTTCTCGAACGAGATCGTTCCGTTTCAGCTTACTCCTACTGGTTCATGTTTTAACATTACAGCCGGTGGGAGTATTGATCTTCAATTGCTCGTCCTCGCCATATCACCCTGTCACCCATCGGTTGGACATGAACCGAATTTCCATAGCGCCATCACGACCTTTACGACCGCAGCATCCTCGATTTTTGTTCTCGATACCATTCTGTCACAGACTATCTCGGCACCTGCTCTTCCCATGCGACACAAACTAAATCCGACGCGCCAACCAATCTAACCTTGCCAAATGCGACACAGCTCTGAGGAGCAATGACTTCCGATATCCTGATAGACGTTTGACAAAAAGATGTATCGTATCTACTGTATAAATCATAGTCGATCTGGACCCTGATAAATGGCCGGAATGTCAAAAGACACAATTGTAAATGCCCTGTCATTGCTCGTACGCGAGTATTTCACCCATAGTGCAAAGTCACGTGCCATGACGTCCGCTTTTATCGGCGCATCTTTTTGCCAAAGCTGCGGACGAGGTATTCTACCTTGCCATTGAACATTTCTGCGTGGGCTCTGGGCCGTTGGCTGGTTACTGGTATTCCACCGAATCTGAACGAACCTCCAAATATCTCTCACCATGTCCACCCAATATGCCAGCGAGCCAAATCCCACCGCGTCCGTCACACTAAATACCACCATCGGACCCATCCACATCGCCCTATTCGCGAATCAAGCTCCCCTCACATCCAAAAACTTCCTCCAGCACTGTAAAGACAACTACTATGCTGGAACGATCTTCCACCGCATCGCGCCCGGCTTCGTGATCCAGGGAGGTGACCCTACGGGCACTGGATCTGGCGGAACCTCCATCTACGAATACCCCGAGTTCGAGTATGACCCTGAAGCTCGCGACCCCAACGAGCGGGTAGTATTGCGAGATGAGATACACAGTCGTCTGCGCTTCAACCGGCGAGGACTAGTCGGTATGGCGAAGAGCGAAGATGGGTCATATGGAAGTCAATTCTTTATCACGCTAGGTAATACCGAGCGCGAGATGAACGGGCAATGCACACTTTTTGGACGATTGGAGGGCGACAGTATTTTCAACGTGCTGAAGATCGCCGACGGTGACCGCGTGGAAGGAACCGAGCGACCAATTTATCCGATAAAGGTGACCTCCTGCGAGGTTGGGGAATTAGGCCCACTGGCCGGCAAGTTGAAGGATAGGAAAATCACATCCACAACGTCAGGGGGAGACAAGCCCGCGCCCAAGAAAAAGAAGAAGGCAGCCAAAGGAGGAAAGGCCTTGCTCAGCTTTGGCGGAGATGAAGGTGAAGAAGAGATGCCCATACGTCCCGCGAAACCCAAGTTCAACACAAAGCTCGTTTCCGATGTCCCGGGCGGTATAAGCGAATCCCAGAAGGAACCAAATACACAAACGAAACAGCGTAAACGGCCACGCTCACCATCCCCGAAACGATCTCAGTCCCCACCGCGTAAACAACGCATCAAGACACCCGAGCCAGAAACTCAACTCCCACTCCAAGATCCGGAATCGCCTACTCGTTCCCCTTCTCCACCTGTCAAGGAGTCCAAGGTCTCCCGAATGAATGCCGAATATGCTTCCTTGAAAGCATCTATGCGTCGAAATGTGGAGACCGGACCCGCCGACAGCGGCCGTAAGAAGACGGCGCTGGAAGCCATGATCCCTGAAACCGCAATTCGAGGTCGTAGGCGACCACCGCCTGGTTCTAATGGGGCAGCATCGGGCTCTGCCCCCAGGAGTGCTGCAGAACGGGATGCGCTACAGATGTTCAATGCCTTCAAGGCGAAGCTGGAAAGCGCCGAGCCCAAATCCTCAACGTCCTCACATAACAACGGGGATGTGAAGGAGTCAAGGAACGCCCGGAACCAAGATGATGATGAGGAGGAGGAGGAGGAGGAGGCTCAACTTTGTGATTTACATTTCATCGCAAATTGCCAATCCTGTCAGTCCTGGGATGATCCCGAAGAGGCGGATGATGATGCAGACAAAGAGGACGGGGGATGGTTGAGCCACGAATTACGCTTCAATAAGGATACCCTGGGCAAGGACCTGAAATGGAAGAAAGAGAACCCTGGTGATATCGACTCACTGATGGTCATTGATCCCCGGGAGAAAGAGAAGGATCTGACGAGTGGCGGACGGAAGCGAGGGTTCCAGCGGGATCGGGAAAGAGAACGAAAGAAGGAACGTGCTGGGGAGCTGGAATGGGATCGTGAGAAGAAGTAGACTGAAGGAGAAGTAGAATTAGTGACACCATGTTCTTCTGGTCTATTCCAAGGTTGGCCCTGGGCATGTAGGTGCCTCAATCAATATAATGACAGATGTAAATGCCATCTTATCTACTACATGTTTAGACCGTCCTAGGGTGCTTAGGTTCTCTTTGCTACTAATATCCAAGAAGATTAAGGAGATACCTAGGTATTTTGGATCATTAAAGAGAACTCGAGTACATAAGAAGAAAAATCCTCTTCGACAGTACTTCCTGACCTGACTATCATATTCTCAATCTATTTACACCATACGATAGTCTGTGCCCAAATCTGGACAGGAAACATTAATAGAAACACCAAGTCAATTGCCGTAGTATGGAGCGCCGTAGAGAGTCGTCCTCATCAGTTTGAAGTCTGCTCACTCGCTTTCGCACTCTCACTCACAGTATCGCTTGCACTCACACGCGCACGCCCTGACCATCCTCCAGGAGGTCGTCCCCAGGCTGAGTCCCATAGTCGACCAGCCTCCGATTTCATACGATCATGACCTCGCCGAGGAGGGGACTTGGGAGACGTGGGACTGGTGTTCCCAATCAATCCTTTCTCTCTCGCCTCCTGCTCCGCCTTCAGCCAACCAAAAAGCCTGCCATTTTCCCGAGCTCGATGTTCAGCCCTAGGGTCAATATCAACTTCAAACTTGAGCAGATGATGGATGACCCTCCTATCTCCAAAAGCAACGGCATGATATAGCGCCGTCTCGCCCCAATAATTGGCTATATTAATCCGTACACCATGGTTCAGCAACATTATAACCACCGCCTCATGACCATTACTAGCAGCCCTAGACAAAGGGGTATTGTCAGATTGGTCGTCGGAATCAAGAACATCAGCATCTACCCCTCGCTCAAGTAACATGCGAACAATCTCCGCATGGCCATTCTCGGCTGCCTTCTTGAGTGCATCCGTACCAAATCGACCATTAGCCACGGATTCTGCATGACTGAGCAGAATCTGGACAATTTCTTGATGACCATTCTTCGCTGCCTGTATGAATGCAGTTTCACCCTGCTGGTTTACAAGATCCAGATCAGCACCCTTGGCAAAGAGCAGGAGAACAATTTCCTTATGACCATTTGCAGCAGCCTGTGACAAGGCAGTCTCGCCCCCCTCCGCTGTCGTATTGATACTCGCCCCTCTCTTCAACAGATTCAAAACAGACGTCAAGTCCCCGTCTTCCGCACATGAAACCAAATCAACGCGATTTCCCATCGCCTTGGAAACCATATGACTGACGTGAGTAGGCTGCACTTTTAATCCAGAGAGAGCCTGACGAGACTGCTTGCTGATAGAATTCCACCGCGGAGACGTATAAGTAAAACCCGAGATCTGATTCATCCACGCAGACGCCATATTGGTAGCCAAATCACGGACATGGCCGTAAGACAACAACCCATCCTGGGAAGAGCGAATCGTATCAGGCGGGATATCCTCGAGTTGAGGAAGATTTCCACCGACATCGAATTCCTTCAGCGCGGCGTAGATCATGTCGAAGTTCTGCGTGAAACACTCGGAATTGATACCCGCATCTTGTAGCTCTTTGCGGAGTTGTTTCCAGCCTTCTTTTTCGTCGGCGGAGAGGGCTTTGGTGGAGATGACGGATTGCTCGCGCTTGCCGCTGCGGACTTCTTCGATGAAGGCTTTCATTGTTCTCTCTACGTGTTCTTGGGATGATCTAGAATGAGATGTTAGTTTTTTTTTCTCCTTCTCCGACCTTGATCTTCTTTTTTTGTGGACAACAACTCACCTGATAATATTGACATTATGCGTATTAAGAGCCTTTGAATACACTTCAAGTCTCTCCTGTATCTCTACCAGTTCCTTAAGAGCATCATTCGTCAATTCCGGGCCAGCCTGTGGTGGCCAGATGGCGTGATGCTGACGGTGGAATCTTCGCAACGCGAAGAGGACCTCGTCGCAGCCCTTTAGTTCTTTTTCAATAGAAGTGTCAACATCGCTGGAACCAGAGACGAGTGAAACTGTCTCGACGGTATCAAGGCCCACAATCAGCACGGCAAGCTCAGTCTGGATCTTGGACAAAGGCTCTGACGCTGTAAACAATGACCGATGCAGAGAGCGGGCCAGTGGCGCGAGTATTGCGATGTTATCTAGAGTTCAGATATCAGCCCTATGCACGGATAAGTGACACATCAAATACAGTTTGATAGCACATGATGTAGCACATGGTAGCATGGCATATCGCTATGTTATGCTATATTTTCCCGCTTACAATCATCTGTTGGCTTGTGCGCCGGGGGGTTCGGGCTCGCTGATGCTGGTGTTCCCCCTGAATTGTCATTCGGAGTAGTAGCCGACGACATGGTCGATCTGGATGTTCTCAAGAAATCCCGAAAATGGGGAAATTTCCAATGATATACCCTCGTACCCCGTACTCTGTATTCCGGAATATCCGCAAACACGAGGCCTGCAGGTTCAGGGTTTCAGGGTTCAGGAGTGGAGTGGACAAGTGTGCGGAGGCTGAGCAAAAGCCGCCTTGTGGTTTGGGGGCGGGGCATGAAGTCTTGGCTGTCAGAATGTATGGTTAGTACGGAGTACACTCCAGATATCTAGGTACCTAGCTAGCTATCTAGTACTACCTAGGTAGGTATGCATTGGCTATAGAATGTCATATAGTAGGGACTACACAACCTTGGAACTTCATGGTTGAAGCCATACTAGTAGATAACTTGAAGATCGATATTACCAGGTGCCGTTTTCCGAGGGGGCACTACTAGGTGGACATTTACTAATACAATTTGAACTTCAAGTATGAGATCGAGAATCAGTCGTGATCATGGGCAAATCGCCCAATGTGGATTCATTTCGTCAGAGATTGGATCATGGTCGGTTGTTATAAATCCAACCTGGTGCGCCCAAAGCAAGTACATCCGCCGATAAACAGAATAAACGCCGTGATTCGCCGGGGATATATCTCCTGACTCGCTTTTCTTCCTTCCTGCAATGATAAGACTGTCCTGTCTCTATCTCTGTCTTTGTCCCTGTTTCTGTTCATGTCTCCCGGCCAACTATGCCCTCCTGCGTCGTTTGGCACTGCCTCCATCATTCACAGCGTCGCCTGCCTGTTCATCCGCCGCCGCAGGACTTGTAGCTTCACTGTCTGTCAACTGTTCAATAACACGACCCGTGTCCAATTTGTGGTCGGCCCCAGTATCACCATACTCATGACTACCGTCAAAGCCATAGTTGTAGCCTGACTGCCCCTGGTGACTTCCATCGAACAGATCGCCCTCACCGGGAAGATGATCGAAATCAAATAGATCATTGGTATCACCATCATCGGGCTGGACATTGCTCAGATGATCGTGTGTGTTTGCGCCCATTCCCGATTCATGTGCTCCGCTGTCTCCCAGATTGAGACTCTTGATTTCGTTATCACCGTCGCCAATGTCGGTGAAATAGTCATTGTTGAATATTTGATCGAGATCAAGCGGTGGAGGCGGGACACTGCCATCCCCCTCGCTTAGACCAGGGATGGCGCCATTGGGACTTAATGGCTGGAGCAGGTTGGTGAGGTTTTGGACAGAACGGTCTTGCTCTGCCTGCATCTTGACTAGGTTGTCGATCTCTTGCCGAGTACTGGCGAGGCGGCCAGAGTAGTTTGGCGGCATTGGAGGCGGGTTCGGGTCGGTGAGAGCATTGTGTGTGTTGGATCCAGCCGGGTTCGCAGTGTTAATCTCATTGCCCATCAAACGTAACATATCTTCACGCTGGTTCTGCGTAAGGGGGATGTTGCCGCCTGATGTTTCGAGAGAGGATAGAACATTGGGGAACTCGGAGAAGTTTGTAGGAATCCCATTTCGCGCGTTGGAGTTCTGAATCACGGACATGATATCCCGTTGGGTATCATTGTCATCTCCTTGGTTCTGCGAAGGGATGCTAGACCTGTCTTGCCGCGGGCTATTGTCGAGAACTTCTTCCACGTGGCCATGGTGGGTAGCACTAGGTTGGCGAGCATGGCCCCGGGACCGGGTTTCATATTGACCAACAGCTGCAGGTGAGAGTGTAGTCGCCCGGTTTTGATCATCTGTCGTAGGAGGAGCTTTGAGAAGTAGAGGCTGCTTTTTCATTGCCCGTTGGCCGGTCGGGCTGGCCATGGAGGCCAAAGGATTGAAGGAGAAGTCATCCACATCAACAATATTCCCTTGGTCTCCGGAGATAGCACCAGCAAATGAGTTGGCAATGTTTTGTGTTCCATCCCCTCCTTGCAAACTGCGATTATAGACTGTGGCGAGGAATGTGAGGATGGCGTTAATAGAGTTTTCGTGGCGAGTATGTTGCTCTTGGAAATTGGCCGCTTGAGAGTACAGCTGTTCGTGCTCCTTCCGAAGCCGACTGATAGTGCCCGATATTATTGATTGCTGTTGACGAATCGCTTGCAGCTCTCGGTACACTCCAGCCAATTGGTCCTGGGGCATAGAACTGTCCGTGCGGAGGGACAGCTGGTTGGGCCGCCCACGTTCGTCGCGAGATATAGATCCTGCTTCTTCGGCGAAATCATCCATATCGTTCTCCTCAGCATCCTCTGTCTTCACACGTGCGCCACCTTTGCTTGGTTTGCTCGCATGGCCAGGTGCATTTTTCGGTTTAGAGATCAGCCAGAGTAGATCTGGGTGGCCACGTTTGAAGTAAGGATTGGCGTATTCGCTTGGACTCTTGTTTTTCCGCTCGCTCGCTCGCATCGAGTTGTCCGACAAACCCACTTTCTTGTGAAAACCGTACATGTTGAGCTGTCGAACGAACGATGCGTAATTGTTATGCTTAAAGAGCTCCGGGATCAAGGTTCTCGCGAACTCGTCTTCGTCCAGTACAATAAAAGAGTTTCCATCATCGGACCATCGAATTAACTCGGTATTCTTTGACTCGTCCAGAAAGCTATAAGTTTTGTGTTAGTTTTATATTTCTCTTTTTCATCTGTGGGGGAAAAGTCCTTCACATACCTGCTGAGCTTCTGCACAAATGGTGGAATCTGTTTCCTCTTGGCCTGTGACTCTCTCTTCGCGACCTGGGCACGTTGATAAAGCTCCTCCAATGATTCTCCCCAGGCGCCTGATTCGCCTGGTGGGCCGACCGTCGCGTTGTGATCGGGGTATACCGTCGGCGCTTGTTCATATCCGCGGTTTCGACTAACCAACTGCTGGCTTGTCTGCTGACGGCGAGCGAGCTGATTCGAGGCGGCGGCGGAGATGTCTTGGTTCGCTTGGTATACTTGCTGGTTATAGGTCGAGGCCGCCTCATTTAAAGCGGCTGTATTGATCGCATTCGAGGCAGGATTTTGGCCCCATTGCAAGAACTGGTCGTTAGAGAGCTGAGAGCCCGGATTGGCGTAGTTCGGGACGGCGCCACCCATCTGCGGATGCGCCGCAGGGGCAGTCCCTGGGGCAGGTCGCTTGCGAGTCATTCCTGGAGAGCTCATTGTAGATCGAAAGGATGCTGGGCAGCGGTGGAGGGTATTCGAAGGCGAGTGAGTGGGGTTGCAGGCAATTGAGCCTGGGGCGTGCGCGACGGGCGCGACGGGCGCAGAGCGATGCTTCTGGGGGCACTGTCGGAAATTGCGGATATAGAGATGACACCTCGTTTGACAGGAAGTCGCGGCGCCTCGATGTTGAGTCGGGCGTGTTGGGTCACGTAAAAAGTCTGGGTGGAGAGCGGGAATCGGGTAAAAAACTGGCCGACTCTCACGAGAGCACCGACGCTGTGCAGGGAAGCGTCCAATGAGTCACTGGGATGCGAAAATCAAGTCCGATGGATGTGAAGGCCGGGAGTCCAGGGTCGAAGGTTCGAAAATCAAGGGTCGGAGGCTGACTGCAACGGATTCGGATGGAGGCTTTAACGATGATCAGCAAGTGCTGAAAGAAACCGACATTCAGGATTGCCGGAAAAGGGTCCAAAATTGATGTGGCCCAAGGGGGAAAAAGTACCAGCAGATGTTAATCTCACACCGCAAGTGAGGACGGGGGGATGCGTTGGAGCACAAAATCTTGCGCTGCGCTCGCTTGGCCCTGGACGACCTTGAGGTCATCGAGCGGGGATGAGTCAGCATGTGACAAAGGCAGACAGAAGTACTGCTACTTATATTTGCATATAATAATATATGTGATATCATGTACCGATACTTGATATCACTTGAGTCCGTCTCGATTCCTATACCATCCTCTCTCTGTCTCTCTATGGTCTATCACGATTCCTTTCTCATGTTCATTTCTCATATTCATTTCAATCATACAGAATCTCCAACCAATCCCTGGAACTCCTTCAGCAACTCTTCCCATGCAGCAGAGTTGGCCTGCGCAAACTTCTGCACCTTCTGCGGGGCAGCTAGATCTTCCTTCATACGTGCTTCGTTCTTCGTACCATTCAACACCGTCGTGTTGCCCAGGCTCATCACAAGAGCATACAAGGCAGCGGCGGGGCTGATATTCACCCGGGTAGCCAGCTGCTGTATGGGGTGGGATTGTACCAGATCCGGATTCGCAGTCAGCGTCCAGAAACTCTGGTAAATGATATCCTTCTCGCGGCAGAATTGTCGCAGTGGGACATCAAATTCAGTATCTTCGTAGAATCGATTTTGTACCACAGCAGGCTTCACCTTCGTCGCGGGTGAGGAGTCCAGTGCGGCGAGGAGGGGCAAAGAACAGTTTGAGATACCCAGGTTGCGAATGCGATGGGGTACATAGGTCTCGAGAGCCTGCCACGCTTCAACGGTCATTTCAAACTTTCTAAGTGGAGAGTGAATGACCAGGGTATCGATGTAGGCCTCGGCCACACTGTTGGGGTCTTCTGCAGGGCGAAAGTTGTGCAACGATGACTTGATTGAGGCATGGACTTGCTCTGTGACAGATAAGTTGGGATCATAGGGCATATTGTCAGGATCCTGTGCCCCGATCGGACTGAATTTGGTTTGTAGCTAGATGTCGACATCTTAGTCCAATAGTATCATAATCATCAGCCTGGTCTGGACGTACATAAAGGTCCTCTCGGCGAACAATACCATCTACAATGGCCTTGCGGATACCATCGCCGACGAGATCTTCTTGGTAGTGCCGTGGTTGGGCTGCCGTATCAATTGCTCGGAAACCGGCGGCAATGGCAGTGTTGACCAGCTCGGCTGTTTGATCTTTCTTCCAGGCTGTGCCATAGAGGAAAACTGGGATCACAGTGGAGGAGGAGTGGAGGCTAGGACGTAGGCAGTAGCTTTCCCACATTTTGCTTGCAACTCGGGCCATTGTGAACTTAAGATTGAACTTGAAGCGGGAGTGTAAGTGGATAGTAGGATGTGTATCTAGATAGATGAGGAGATCCAAGTCTATCTATAATTAGGGCGGTTGTCATTGCGGGGGTTCTTACTAAGGGCTACCACTACCACTCACTACCAGTACTACTAGTACAATTCATCACCGGAATACACACACTGCATACCTAGTAGGTACAAGTACTAGATTTGGTGTCTAGTATATCAAACTCCCATTTGAATGCCAAATTTTGCCAGTTGGTAAGCTAATATCGTCAAAGGGGCTTGAAAGAGCGAGTTCCAAGGTTATCGCAACTAGAAACCCACCTACTAACTATTAACTATCATACTACCTATCAGTAGGTAACTAGGTAGTATCACCTTCCTGTCCGGTATCACACTTACTAGATCTCCAGGACAGTCTGCCAACTTGAACCTTTGGAACCTTGGATGGGTTCCGGTTTAATAATATGGTAGCCTAAATATCACTCGATACTGCATCTGCTATTTATACATCGAGCCGCATCGGCGGGGTGGATTGGCGCGGGCTGTGGCAGAAGAATGCATGCCACTACCCTTGACTGGATTAGGGCCAAACTTCTTCATGATTATGCTAGAGCTCAATATCGCAGATCTCAAGTTCCAAGATTTTCCCCACGTCCTCTCGGATCCGCCGCAACATGAGGAGAGCTAAACGAGCGGTGGAAGCGCACTGGCAGATATGAACTTGCCGAGCGTGCGAGCGGCCCCACTGGGTGGCTTAGCAGTCCCTTGATGCTTGGCAGAGGGTAAACATACGGCAGTCCGATCAATAAAATGATAATTAGAATATTGCAATTTTGTGTAGAGCGGCATCTCATCCTTCAGAAGCTTTGTGACAGTCATCGGAGCTGCGACCCCTTATGTGGTTGGGCATCGGTCACAAGGAAAAATACAAGAAGAACGCCAGTTACACGACGACCTCACAATTTCCACGATGATCAGAGTGACATTGCTGCCCGTTTCTTGGCATTCACAATACTAAAGCAGGCAGCTGCTTTTGCAGCAGTACCATTGGTGGCTTGACCGATGATCAATAGAGTCCTGCTAATAGCTTCATTTTCATACTTCATAGTGGTAAAAAAAGAAATTTTGCATCTCACTGGGGGGGCTTAGCAGTCTCGCCCACCCATTCAGGTAGACGGAAGAGGCCGATATCCATGATAAATCTACCTATGCAGGGCTTAGAATCTCTCGGCATGATGGTAGATCGGCAGGGTTCAATTCGAAGTTCAATTATAGAAACAGACTCTCGAAATTGAGGAGAATAGTAATATAAATATTCTCTGTTGTCCATAGAAAAGTATCATCGCAACAACTTGAACTTCTTAAACTTCCAAGGTTATCAAATCCTCAATTGAAAACCAAAAAAGCTTCTCCACTTCAGATTCCATCAACTCAGACCACAAGCTCCAAAAGCAATCAACAATATGCGTACCCAGCAACTTCTCGCTCTCAGTGGCCTCTTGCTCGCCAGCAATGTTGCTATCGCCTCCAAGCTCGACCATGATGATGTTCCCAACCGCTGCTGGGAAGCATGTGGATCAGTGGTGAATACCGCCCAGCGCTGTGATCATCAACATGATGATGACGACGCGGCTGAGATCAAGTGCATCTGTGATTGGGATATTGCGAAGACCCAAGTTCCTCTCTGCGCAGCTTGTATTGACAAGTATGACCGTGACTACGATACCGATGACGATGACGATGATGAAGATGATGACAACGGTATGCTCGATTTATTCATTGTATAATTTTCACCTTGCTAATACTAGTATCTTTCCAGAGGCTCGCGAGATCGTCCGCTCGTGCAACTTCAGCACAACAACCTACAACGCTTCTGCGGCTACCAGTACCGGATCGACCACCACGACTGGATCGGTAGCTGCTGCTACAACTACCGGTGCTTCTTCTAGCACCGGTACCAGTAGCAACGTTGACAGTGGCAGTGCAGGTGCAAGTGCAACTGGCACTGATACGAGCAGCAGCAGTGACCCGACTCAAGACTCGGCGTCTGCCACCCCGACCAATGCTGCCGCGGGCATGAATGCCCCTGGTGCTATATCCATGGCTGCCCTCGCTGGTCTGATGCCCTTGGCTTGGCTCTAAACTCGACCTGCAGTGTCGAGGGCGGTATTCCACGGGAGTGTTAGCGGTGTAAATGAGAATACGATAATGATGATGCGCAGTCATGATCGTGTTGACGACTTTCTTTAAATAATGCAGATGATAGTACTCTGATAATGGCCTGTCTATAGTACATACAAATTGATATCCTGTTGCAACTGAGAATTGATTTTGATCACTCCCTATTGTAATATTTTCGAGTTCTAGTCTATCCGACCTAACGACAACCTTGGAACGCTCAATTCAAGTTGTGACTTTCGCTCGATATACCTAGGTATCAACACCAGTGCTACCATTAGTATTTAAAATCTTGGAATGAAACAGACTATCAGTCGTCGGAGCCTTGGAAATAAATAGTATACTAAGTTCCTCAATGAAGCGTTCGAAGCGTTCGTAAAAAAATGAACCAAAAATAGGTTAAGAATAAGTCACTATAAGAAACACGAAATACATTTCACAAAACCATGCGGGTATCCTTTAGCCAGCTCTGGCACACCGGGTGCAGAGCCTTTATCTATACAAAAATTTGCTTTACATGCCCCATATCCTCGTATATTTATCATCTGTACTCATATCATCGATGCTCGTTATCAACTTGTATGTTCTTTTGAACCGGAATATCGCTGTATAGGTTGTCCGGGTCCATGATATCGACGTAGGAAGTGTCTTGCTCGGAGGACTTAGCGTTATTTTGAGGCGACTTCTCACTGTCCATGTTGTTCTGGATCATTGTATCGACGTCGAAGGTGTCTTGGTCGTAGAATTGACCGTTCTCGTACGTGTCGAGATTGTCCATGTCAAAATCATCCCAGAAGGAATCATCGACCCAAGATGTCTCATCGATCGGATCGAATGAAGGATCCCACTCCATATTATAGGTATCCATGTAACACTGTTCCTTGGCAGGACAACTATGAGGCTATTGGTTAGCTCGAATACACTCGAATCGCAGCGCCCAAGAGCGGCAAAAAACAAACAAAAACTTACAGGATGTTTTCTTGTCCAAAGATAATATGCCAGAGGTATTCAAACACTCGACCGCTTGTCTCATCATCCAGCTCCGTCTCCATCAGCCAGCGATGAAAGGCCAAGTATTCATGGAGCGGTCTTGCAAGAATCTGTTCCCGCGTCACAGCGAATTGAGCGCAGCAAGGGACGGCGACCACCTCTGGTACATTGGTATTGTTGAAAATGCGCATCCAAGCACCAGCAAAGGCGATCTCCGTCGTCCGTCCGGCCAGCTGTCGAAACGGCTGGACTTCTTCTGGGCAGCCTGGTTCCCATTGACAGCGCATATTGACATATCCGTTCTTTTTGACATAGTCGAGCTGGAGCCGCTGAACAGCCAAGGCGTTGTCTTGCTCAGGGAATTCGACGTGGTAGCCCCAACGGTGGGCATGTAGGAAAACCATGTAATCCGGGAAGTTGGGGTAATGATCTGCGATATATTGGAGATAGACATTACTTTCTTTGCCTTTATTGAGCTGAACTGTATGTTTAGCATTAGGATCGTCGACGACATAGACTGCGTGTTGCCATCTGCGTGGATGTTCTGGTTAGAATGCAATCCTAGGTAATCTGCATGGGGGGGTTAACTCTTTCCCTCTTCACTCACTCTGGCAGTTCGTCTTCCAGCCATGTCGCATCTTCATATGACATCCGTCCTAACACGATAATGCGATCGGATTTCGGCGTGGGTTTTGGTTTTGGTGGCGATGAGGATGTCGATGTCGATTTGCTATGCTTTTGTCGCTGCCCTAACTGCACCTCCTCTTTCTCTGTATAGTCTTCCAGGTACGAATCATCCTCGTCATCCCAGAAGAATTCGCCAGGCACATTAACGGGAATCTGCTTGGGCGCAAACCTGGTTGGAGGGGCCGGTTTTGTCGGCTCCAGCCAGGCTTCCACCGTCGGCGAAGGAGCAGGTTTTGGTATCGTTTGCGAGATCGAGGGTGGCGCACTTGGCGCATGTGAGGATGCAGCGCGCGCAGAATTGATAACAGCGCGAGGATATCGGTCTACTGAGACCAGCTCAATGTGACCTTCACCATCCTCAATCACAAATTCGGATTTAAAATTTGAATCACCAGTCTGCACCGGCTCGATCGAAGCGACATGGCGATTGACCAGGACCAGGGTCAAGATAAGCCCTATAGCGACCGAGACACGCAAACTCTTAGACCGTCGCATCATCGCGTCTCTCGCAGCGATGAAGAGCAACCGGGCGCGCGCTCGCCTTATGAACTATTTAAGGTCGTCTGCGTCTTTAATCGGCCGGCCCCACTGTGAAAACCACGCAGCCAGCCGCGAGGCCGCGAGGCCGCACACTTCTGCAGGCGTCGTGTACCTTACGACATCTTCAACGCATCATCATGCATCGGCCTCCGAGAGAATGACCGTTTGTTCTTGAAATTGTTCAAATCAGGTCCGACTGATTACCCTCGAATTGACCTTCTGTCCTCCCATCTTCTCCTTTCCCGTATCCTCCTTCCATCTACAAAAATTCGTCACTGATCGCCTGTGGGGCCAACACTCGTCAGCGATTCGCGTTCCCTGGGACGACCGAGTTTCAAGTTCCAGGGACGTCGAGGTCGATCGGTCTCGAATGCAACCCCGCGATTCTCGCCGGATGCGGGCAGTGTTGAAAGAAGCTTAACTATGAAACACCTACCAAGTTGAGGAAGTGAAGAGTAAGAAGGAATACAGAGTACAAAATGCGTGTTTTCCAGAATTATCCGACGGGATACCGCCAAGTCTCCGCCCACTAGCGATGCCTTGGACTTGGAACTAGCAGACGCGGATCCTTTTGCGCTGGAGATAGTGACAGCAGGTTCTTAACCTGAAACCCCATTCCTGACGCGGCAGAGAAGTATAGTATAGAGTACGGAGTACACACTCAGTACACTGTCTCTCCTGAGTGTCAAGAATTTGACACTCAAAGTCATCCATAGCACTGCCCCATGACCTAACATGCCTCTGACTAAGATTGATACATGCAAACGCAGGACTCTCATCTCATCTTCTTTAATTAGATGATGAGCGTGAATCAATTGGAGCATGCCCGTGCACGCGTTTTTCTCCTTTTTGCTCTCAAAAAGTGACAGTCGAGTAGTTCACTACATCATCTTGCCCAGAACAGCCACCTACAACCACAATATAACTCCGTCAATGAATCTTAAACCGCAATTCTCAGTCACGGATTAACCGGGTACAATAAGATTCAATGCGTTTGTTTGAAACTGCTAGTGCGTAGTTTAGGTGGCAGACCAAGACACCACCTATTTTTCTTTTGCGCCTGTTCTACTGCGTACTTACTGGACAGATCGAGAGCAGGAATGGGCACAAGGCTCTCGACTCGCCATGTTCAAGAGCCCGGGGCATCCGGGGGCATCCCAAGCTTTTGTAGTGGTGGCGCTTATGCACGACTTCAAATACTAGTCCTAGTACTCCGTAGCTCCAAGCTTTGGTCAATCTATTCGGATCATGTGGTGACATGTCTCATAGTGAACCGTCCACCAAACGAGTACGGAGCAAGACCTCATATGTCGTACGGTGATCGACCATGAGGTCTAACGATTCGCGTTAGTCCAAGGCGTGGACCAGTCTAATCCATCTCGAGGAGATTTGCTGCCAATCTTGGATCTGGTGATAACTTCATCACAACCCTTACCCCTTTTTCCGATGGCCTATTCTCGTCCTAGTCCATATGATCCTTCGATCTTCGAACCTCGTAATCCTGACACTGCTACTCCGTAGTGGAACCTTTCTTATGCTCTACCACAGGCACCAACATCCGCAAGATTGGAATCGGCATCGGTAGCAGCCGGGAGTCCCGGAACAAGTCCCGAGACGCCAATGGCTTGCCCCTAGTCGCTAGACCGTGATGCTATTATTTAGTCCTTTCGCAATTTTCTCGGAATAAAGTGACCCATCGGGTTGGGTCTTGGGTCTTAGGTCTCGAGTTCAGATAATCCACCACGACTCCCCACCCTGCCGGACAATGCACGGCGTCTCCGGACGGAGAACGGGAACGGAGAACAGAGTTGGCGTGCAGTGCCGGGGAAGTAAGTCGCGACGATCAACCGAAAAAAAAAGGGGGAATCTGTGAACAAGCATGTCCCGAACAGGCGAGACCCTGGAGGAAGCTGAAGAATGGAGCTCTGGGTCAAAGGATTCAAGAGATCCCAAACCTTCACGCCAGTCTCAGTTCCTATCCTATCCTATCCTATCCGGTTCTCTCGAAGGCATAGCCACAGCCCCTCCTGAATACTCTACTTCGTCCTCCGACTAAAAAAAAGGGGGAGGGGACGTTCGGAAGAAAAGCAGGTAGCTCCGGAAGCTTTCCCCATCCTCATGGCACTAGTTTTGAGCCGGCGTGTGCCAAACCTGAACATTGGGATTGGATTGCGAGACGCTTATTGGCGAAAGAGGAGAGAGCAGACCCTCGCGGAGCTTCGCTAGGAACTCCACCAAGAAGCATGCGGTCGGGATCTGACGTTTCCACTCGAGGGGAGGGCTTCTCGTAGGCTCTAGTGTGGTTCTAGCTGGAGATGTGGAAGGACAGAAGTGCTTCGGCGCAGGCGCTAGAACGGGGGATGCGCGGATCGTGGAGCCACAGGGGGAAAATCGAATTCAATTTCGTTAGAGTGGGACCGTTTGGTGGAGGTGGTCTTGTGCGTCAAGAGGCGAACGAGTGAGGCTAGAAGAGGGAGGAAAATAGAGAAAGGGAAAATATAAATAAAAAAGAAAGAAAAGAAAAGGAAAAGAAAAAGTGCCGGGGAATGGAATCGCTGGGCCGTCCCGCGGACCAAACTATCAACTATTGGCGAAGCGAGTTGGAGCCCCCCCTGAGAGGAACAGAAATGGGAATCAAGTGTGGCGTCGAATGAGAAGGGGTATTGGAGGGTGGAAGATAATAATAACATAATACTGTAATGGGTGGCGAAGAACGATGATCCAAGGCTATTACGGATATACAGTATGGAGTATGGAGTATGGAGTACGGAGTAGTATGGAATACTCCATACCCGTTGTACGGCAGATAAGGGGGTATGGGAGGATGAGAACGGCCTTGTCAAGTTTGGAATAATGGAATATTACGAGAACATTAGAACATTGGAAGAATGTTCTCCATGGATACAGTGGATATTGCCGTAGACAGGGGTGTGTCAAGTAAAGCAAAGCACGAGGCAAGGTGTGACCCGAGGGGGGGAGGGCACTGATGTCGGTTTGAAACTGCTCGTGGGAGATCCACGTTAGTCTATTTTATGTTATTTTTTACGGAGTAGGGAGTAGATGGAATGGATACTGATTAGTAGTACTAACTAGTTACTATGGAGTACTCCGTAGCCAAGGGAGATGCAATGTGGTTTAGTTCAAATTGATACTGCCAGGTGTGAGTGGGTGGTATTAGCCGGCAGTTGACCGTACAGCGTATTCCAGTTAGGGAGTAGTTGCCACTGAGCTACTACATAGCAATTAATTTGACGTGACACTGCCAACCTAGGTAGCAGCTTTGCTAAGTGTAGCTGGTCTGTCTGATCTGTCTGGTCAGGTGTATGTAGTATACAACCCGATGTGGCCGTGTTCTCGGGAGTATACTAGTAGTACGTACTTTGATACAACAGAATGCACAGTGTATACTACTGTGAAAACAGAATAAAGAGAAAAATAAAAATACTTTGTACTAGTATAACTAACGTATATTCTCCTTAGATGGATACCAACATGTCCCTGTTCTACAATAGTATGGCTGTTCTAGTATGTCAGTGCTCAGGGGGAGTACTAGTAATAGTACGAGTCATGCAGTGGTATCTACAAATGCAAATACAGTGGAGTAGATACTGATAGTTATATGATAATTATAGTTTTAATTATATTTATAGTATACTATACACTGTATACACAGTATACCACTTCGTGGTATACTGTGTGCTGGTATACTGCCAGTGCCTCTTGGCGGTGGATCGCCCACTTCGCCCCTTCAAAATCCTCTTCTCCCCCGCTCTCCCTTTACGCTTCGATTTGACTCCTCCAGGGCGTCTGCCTCTTTCTCTTTTTATAAAAAAGCAATATCCGTTTTTTTTTTATCTCATTTCCCATTCCACTCACCCCCCCACACCCCCCGAGTCCCTCCCCCCCCTTTTCCATGATCCGGGCACTTCACGACTCTGCATCCTCGTGAGCGATTTTGGTTTTTGCTTTCTCTCCGACTTTTCCCTTTCGCCAAAACCATCTCCCCATGTCCGAGTAGCTTCGTGCTCCTTCGAGTCTCCCCTCCTCTCTTCTTCCCCCCCTGTGTTGTGCATCTGTGTTGTGGTAACCCACATTCCTCGGGTCTTCAAGGAATCCATCCAATGAGTTATCAGCAGCATCCCGACATGTATCACGATCCCGCCGCGCGTTCCCCTGGATCCCAGCGGCACCAACAACCTCTACACCGACAGAGTTCACGACAGTTTGACGCCTACGGTGCTATGCCTGTCAACCTCTACGAGGATCAGATGGCTCGCTACGAGACCTCCCGGCTCGAGCGGTTGAACCCGTCCCTTCAGCAGAACAATTCCTCTTATGCCTATGACCTGTCCGGCTCGCAGACATGGAACCCGAATGGTTTCGCCAACGCTCAGTCCCTGGGAGGTATTCGTTCGGCTTCTGCTAGTCTGAAGCCGAATGCTCGCGGTCGAACTGCTCTGCCAACGGTAAGGACCAACTGGCGTGTTGCGTGTTGTGTTGTGGTTTTTCTTCCACCATCCCCCTCTCCCTTTTTTTTTTCTTGGGGGACAAGACCCCAACAAAAAAAAAGCCACCACACACACCTATACACAACGTTCCCTTTTATTAGGACCCCCGGCTAATTTTTGGAATTTTCCGATCAGACTTGGCTGGATCAGCAACCGGGAGTTCCTGGTGCCTTTTCCAACCTGGGCCCCGGCCCCGTCCAAAGCACCGCGATGCGCCCGGAGGCATCCGCCTCCTCCGAAGGCGATGACGAACTTATCCCAACCGCCATCGTCATCAAGAACATCCCATTTGCCGTTAAGAAGGAGCAGCTTGTTCAGCTGATGACTGAACTGAACCTGCCCTTGCCTTACGCCTTCAACTACCACTTCGATAATGGGGTCTTCCGTGGTCTCGCCTTTGCCAACTTCACCTCCGCGGAGGAGACGGCAACCGTCATCGACATGCTGAACCACTTCGAGCTGCAAGGTCGCAAGTTGCGGGTGGAGTATAAGAAAATGCTTCCCCTACAGGAACGTGAACGGATCGAGCGGGAGAAGCGTGAGCGTCGCGGTCAGCTGGAAGAGCAGCACCGCCCCATGGCAAATACTCTCCAAACCCAGAGCTCCATGTCTTCTCTGACCTCGCACATTCCTGCTACTTCCCCCTCTCCGGTTTCTCAGCGTGGCCAGAAGCTCAGTAAGTCGAACAACATGACGCCCCTTGGTTACCGTGGAACTCCGGTCCCTGACCGCGAAGACCAAGTCGAGGTGGATCTGAACGACAGCCAAACGCTATCCTATTACTCGGAACTTTTGTTGTTCAAGCAGGATAATGCTCGCGATTCGGTCATCTTCCCCCCCCAACCTCACCCCGACCCAGCGACGCACGGTTCACACTCTGGCACACAACATGGGTCTAGCCCATGCCTCCCGCGGCAGTGGGGATCAGCGTCAGGTGCAGGTTTTCAAGGTTGCTCCTGGTACCAACGTGAGCCCGCCTATGTCCTCGATTCCCCCTGCCGGTCAACCCGACAACTCTCGTCGGGGCCTGAACCGGGCAGCTACCATTGACTTTAGCGAGGCTCGCAACGAAGGTGGTAACGGTGGTGGTCCCGGTGGTTTTAACACTCTTCGTGGTGGTCAGAGCTCCAACTTCCTGGGTGTGATGGATTCGCCCGGTAACTTCGCCAACACGCAAAACCTGCGCGCCGCCAAGTCCTTCGCCGACCTGCGATCCTACACCCCATCCCCGGTCCCTTCCTCTGCCAGCTTCCCGGCCGCTCTTCAGTCCAACGGAACTCGCATGCAGTACGAGGGAGCCCCGACCGCGACCTCCAACACCCCTACCCTTAACTCCGCCCAGTCCGGTTCCTCGCTCGGTATCCAGCGAGATGATAATCTTTTGGTCAACAGTCTTGGTGGTCTATCACTTGGTACGGGTATTGGTGGCCCGAATGCTAGCCCTCGACGATTGCGCGGTATGTTCTCTTGGGAGGGGGACAGCCAGCCCTCGGCCGCAGGTGCCATTGGTAGCAACCGCGGAATGGGAGTTGGATTTGACAATGCCCAGCAAGAGCGCATGCCGGTTCGCCAACCTCGTGGCCCGACCCCCGAGAAGGGCACCGGTTTCCGCCGCCAAAACGGACACCAGACTCGCGGCAGTGACGAACTCCGCGCCAACTCCGGTGTCGAGATCATTGTGGAGTAAAGCGTGCAAATAATCACCGAAAAAATCAACTACCGCAACAAAACAAGAAAAAAAAAGAACAACAAGACGCTAGCATACCTACCTCTCCTCCTCCAATGCTGGCAAGCGACATGAATTTGACGATGGCCCAAGCCAAGTCCATTACCCCGTTCCGCTCCCCCTATTTTCTTGCCAGCATCCGACCTGATTTGCCGCGAAACGAATACGACACACATTGTATCACGAGGCCTTGTTCTGCGAAATTACCGGCTTACGATTCGATGAGGGATGACGAGATGACAAACAAAAAAAAAAGACCAGAAAAATCCACTGTTTCGCTGATCTAGCCAAGTTTAGACGTTATTTTTGGGGCAGCCCAGCACTCGCCACAGTTTTCCCCGGTTGCCGAGTAAACTCTGGAATCTTTTTATTATATTTTTTTCCTTTCTTCATTCTTACTTTTTTTGTTCTATCTTCTTCATTTTTTTTTCTACCCGCGGGCGCCCGTTTGCAAATCTCCATGGCTTGTTTTCTCTTGTGTTCCCTTCCCTCCGGAGATACTCGGAGCGGATCACGACCCTCACGCCGCTTGGTGACGCGGGACGCATACGAAGAATGACCTTCAAAAGAACCCTGCCCAATGGCAGGAGACACGACAATATCAGCATTTGCATATTTCTGCCTGTTAAGTTTCTTCCTTTCATCTTTTTTCTTCTTTACTTTTCATCCTTTTTCTGTCTGTACATGGGGGCGACTCGCATCCATTTAATGTTTTGGCTCGCCCTTTATCTTCCTTGGTTTTACATCTTCTCCTGCCTCCCCTAATCTCTCGAGCTGCAGAATACCTGCAAAATCGACCGGGGAGATGGGGAGGAGTTACCGATACCGCCTGATGATGCGAGAATCTACCACCGTCTCCTCTCCTCTCTCTGCTTTTCAGCTTTGCAGAAATCGATAGTTACTTGGGCGTCATTTGGTACCATCTTGTCCTGATTTGAACAGGTGTATAGATCGCAGTTTGATTACTTCAATGTTGTATTGAATGACTCAACTCATCTATCTCATTCATTGGCTCGATTTGGCGAATGCTTATATGCCCGGGTTTCGCGAGGGTTCTTTTCTCTTCATGTTTGGTATCCTTGCAGGTTTGGGGGATTTCTCTTTTGATTTTGTACTCAGATCTTGACAATCAATGTACCTTTTAGTGCTACACTTTCCAAGGGTTAGCTGTGTAGTGGTGTATTGTAATTGATGTCATGCGAAAGCGCATGTCGTCAACCTTCCTTCACTGGTACGACACCCCTCCTGTCTCGGGTTCTCTAACAGTATCACTCGTGAAGCTACAGTGGCCCGACGGCCCATCCACAGGCACAGCACCCCATCGAACAGGCAAGAGCGCCATTTCCAGACCCCTGTCCTCCATTTCCATATCTGCGTCTTCATCCCCGTGTCCGTGTTGGATATTAGGATCAAAATGAGGATGACACGCCGCCGCAATCGCAAGACTACAACTTGCTACGACTGGCATTCCAGACTTGGATCGTCGAAAACTGAGCCCTATAATACCCGCCAAAAAGACAATCCCGACTATGGTAGTACTCAATATCCCGACATTGGACCAGCAGCAGGTCTTGAAGTCGTTTGTTTTGTGGCGTTTGCCATCTGAATCCCATGCCTCGATACCGACCATGAATAGACTCTGTGAAATGAGCCAGTGAAGGAGAACAGAAAGAATTATTAACGGAATGCCGTAGCGATATGGCACCGAGAGGAAGTAGTTGGACCTCTGAAATCCTTTTAGATTGTTTGAGACGCGAAGGCCCTTCCGCTCGTTGACATAGCTGCTCCATTCCGCAGCAAGAGTCATCGAGGTTAGGAGGCCGTTAAAGGAGAAATATATGGAAGAAAAGATTATTTGCGGCGAATTAACAATGAGCACGTTTCCGATCAATAAGGTTGGCCAGCTTGCGCTGTATATCAAGGTCTAGGCGCCTACCGTTCCGAGCTCTTGTGTCCAGTGATTTGTTCCGGACTCGGACTGTTTGCTCACTCCAACCATCAGGGACACGAAGCAAGTCACTACTCCGACCCCGCCAAATAAAATGCCAAACATCCAACGGCAGGGAGAGGCGGCCGACATCCATCGTCTTCGCGAAAACTTGAAGGGCTTCGGTTGATCAAGAGGTTTGAGAGTAATCGTTGATGGCAAGTAACTGGGTTGAGGTCTTGAATTCACCTCACGCTTTGTGACTAGACAAATATCCTTCGAAAAGGGATCCGGATGGCTCAGAAAAGAAGCGATTGCGTCTCCAATGGTCAGAATAGGGGCATCTTGTATCGCAAGCCACACAAAGAGCAAGATAGTGGTCTTAACTAAGTTGCATGCTATCACTATCACGACCAGCGGGAGCGAGTATTCTAGCATGCAGGATTGTTGCGCTCTCTCTGCCAAGCAGTATAGGACTTTGTATTGAGTACCCCCGCGCCATCCCACAGTCCAGTCATTAAGAGACCGCCGGTACCAGTCCTTGGTCCAACCCGCACCTCGGCAACTTGTTTTCGAAAGATGAAGGGATTCGACTGCACAGAGCCAGTTGTATGGGGCTCTCCCCTCCTTCCCGTCCGAGGTCCCCAGCACATTGTAGAGTGGCTTGTAAACATCTTCAGTGATGACATGAGCATATGTATCGTTGTCCCCCTTGACATCGTTAGTAACAACCAGCACCTTGCTGTAGGACTTGTGGTAGATTACTGCAAACGCATCGACACATGCCTGATTCTCTTAATGTTGCAAGCTTCCGTTCTTTGCCAAAGAGAAGAGCTCTAGAAAAGAGGATGTCTTATTAGCATAGCCATCAAAGGGATAGCTGATGATGGGTTGGATTTCTTGTCAATCAACATAAGTTCCATATCGCAGGCCGAAAATAATTCACTGTCACTCAGGCTTGCTGAGAATTGGATCAAAGTTTAGGCTAAGCGGCCGTGGAACCGCAGCCACATTGTATGCCGAGAAAAAAGAAGAGCGTTAAGGTTGAGCAACTTAAAATATTTCACGCGGGGGAGGGGGGCAAAAGGTTAAAGGAAAATAAAGAGGCTCTGCTGTAGAAATACGCACTGGTCTGTTGGTGGGGGCCAGCAGCATTGCACTGTCTATCTGTCAACAGTATCCCCTCGAAAGCCATCACTTGCACGCCAGCATTACCAACAGCCAGTCTAGTGGACAGATTTTGAAGATGCAGGGGTATGGGGAGCTCCGTAAGTGCACAGATCGCGTTTTGTGCGGGACCTGGATCGAATACGGGAGATTGATGCTTGCCAGCTAACACTGAGTAACTGTTCTTGCATTTGGGGTCCGTCGCCGCTCGCAAGTGATTGGTGATAATTGTTTCAGATAGGCTTTGATTGGGTTTTTGTATGTGGCTAAATGACCTGCGTCTTGGCACATTGAAAGCCCTCTTCAGAAAAAAAAAAGGATATAAAATACTCCAAGTATCTGCTATTGCGGCTTTTGAATAGGGTCTTGGTATCTTCCTTTTCCATGCTGCCTGACAGTTTCGGTGGATATGTTTTAAACACTCTCATTCTTTTGCTCTTCCGTGATATTTCGCTCATACAGCCCCAGCTGTAAACGACGATTCCAGTGGTTCACTGTTTACGAGATTATGCCTCGCCACGACCCCTGGACGAGCTGAAGACCTTGACCTTGAAATTGATCTGTATTGAGAAATTGCGTAATCATTGAGTGAAATATCAATATGTGCGAAAAATTATTCTAATTATTATACAGCTTCAGGCACCCAAAGCCATTCAGCAATATCACATGATAATTTGAAGCTTTTCCCGTGGTCGTCCAAGTTGGAATCATGCAGACTTCAACATATTGCACCGCTCTCTGCTCCAATGGTCGTCGTTGACTGCATATAAGTTTTAATTCTGGGGGATCTCAAACATTGTGTCGGCAAGGTTGGTGATTTCTTCGATTTCAAGTCCCTTCAAAGCTTGGATAATATCGTCGACTGTACTCTGGGGAAGCCCTTGCTTGTCCCACGAGTAGATATCCATTCCGGCGGGTGTGAAGAGGGATTTCGCAAAATAAGTGACAGCCCATTTATTGTTTCCATCCGCATGTCCAAATCCAAGGCACTCCCAGTGTGAGCTTGCGATCTTCAGCCAGCCTTTGCCTCGCCAATCCCAAGCGCACGGGTTTCCTGGCGTGGGAGTATCCACTCCATTGATAGACTTAATCTTGTCAGATCCAACGGCCTGGTATTGTACCAGATCATCAATTTTCACCCCGGAAGAGTCAATCTCCTTGTAGGTGATGTTGACGTTGCGTTTGTCCTTCCATAGGGGGAGACTTGAGTGGGTCACATGCCATGTGCCCATGAGGAATTCATTTGTTGGAGGCACGCGATTCTCCGCCTGCTTGGCATATATTCGAGGACAGCATAGCTCAATGTTTGATGCCATTGTTCGGAGGTGGCAAGGGGTAATGCAGAGGTGAAAAGGGGAAGTTCAAGTGATCAACATGATTTGCAGTGGATACTTGTCGCCTTATCTATCAGGCAAGAAGACTGTGTACCTTAGTGCCCCAATATCTCAAGCCAAGGCTGCATGAACAACTTCACATTCGGAATCGACGGCGCCAATGGCTTCAGGTACTATGAAACCATCGCTGGAGGCAGTGGAGTCAGTCCTGGATGGAATGGAACTAGTGGCGTCCACACAAATATGACCAATACAAGGATCACAGATCCAGAATCGCTAGAGCAGCGTTATCCGGTGATTTTGCGTCAGTGTTCTTTCAAAAATGGCAGCCGGGGAAAAGGGCCCTGGAATGGTGGCGAGCGAGTGATTTGCAACGTCGAACTCAGGCTTCCTATGTCGGCATCTATACTATCCGAAAGACGCTGTCTCGTACCCTATGGGATGGAAGGGAGCTCTGATAGAAAACGGGGCCTGAATTCTTGGGTGGGTAGGAGGACTGGGTTGAAGGCCTCCATTGGAGGCAAGAATCCAGTTCATGTTGAGCAAGGTGATCGAGTTGTTATCGAATTCCTGGTGGTGGAGGATATGAAAAAGGTGGCGGTGCGGAGAATAAAGGAGATACCTTGCAAACGAAGCAATCTTTTGTTCCACTGGCTCATGTGAGTGTGACGGGAGATTGATCTCTTGCAGATATGATCCAAGGGCTTTATTATGATTGATCAGAAAGGAGAGTACTACAATGCAAGAAAATAGTCACTATCAATGAATTTACTCGAGCTCCAAGATTTTCAGTTATGATTGCCTAGGCTAAAGGAGACTTGTACCAAACCATTCCATTAACGCATAAATTTCAGACATTCTTCTTTCTCATTACTCACCACTATTCAGAGCTTTTCAGTCAATATCACCCGTTGGCACATGTCTCATCTCTAGGCAAGGCCCTCCATATTGGTAGCCAGCTCGGTGGTATTTATTGATCTCCAGCCTGAGGTTCAAGCAAGAGCTTTGGCGGCCTAGGCTGCTCTCTCTCAACTCTCTCAATACGAGTACACATCTCCTTCAAGTTGGAATATACAAGGAGACCCTGGGTTCAAGTTCGCTAGGCTGTTATAGTGTTAGTATAACTTCTCACCAAACACACTTGCCTTATCCTGAATAGTAATTACTAGTCAATTCATGACATGCCTATTCCCTGATATACATGGTATGGTTTCGGTAGTTCGGCAGTTGTACTCATTGTGGGGTTGAGTCGGGGCTAATAAATCAACCCTTCTCGATTTCACCCGGAAATGCGGAGAACCCGGAGAACCCCAGCCTCTCTCCACTTTCTGGCTATATTGAGGTAGTACTGGCATAAATCGCTGCAAGCATGCCACGATCAACAGCACCCCGGGCTTCTCGATCTGTCTCGGGGGGGTCTGACTTGCCGCCGGCATAAAGTGAAGTGTACTTCTCGCTCCTCTCCATGCGAGCCCTGCAGCCGCCTTCGCCTATCCTGCATCGCCTCTTTCCAGGAAAATATCAGAGTTTGGTCAGCATCAGGGGATTTGAGACCGAGAAAATACAGCTAAAACGAAAGATACGAGACGACCAATTCACGAAGCCTCCAACCACTACATGCTACCAGAAGACAGCCAAGTCGATCAAGCAGCATCACCGGGCGTGGCTGAAAATTGTTCTCCCAGAGTCACCACCTACGATTTTTCGGAGAGGAGCACATCTCCGGCCAGCGCAAACCGTCCGTCTAGCTCTGCTCAAACAGTTGCAACTACTGGATTGATTTGACTGACAAAGAGCACCCCGATGTTCGATATGTGTATTGAGAAACTGGAATCCTAGTATATGCCTGGGTTATCCCTGAAGTCATTATTCGGACCTCGATCTTTATTATGATATGTTACGGGAACCTTGCCAGCGTCTGTACCGCTATCAACCTTGGAACGGACGCCTGAGCAGCGTGGATATCGGCATCTGGACAGGTGGTGTACATATATAGTAGCAAGCTGAATGTAAATATCGACCAAGATATACTGTGATCGTGACCGGGCGCCAGTAGCATTTCAGAAATAACCTTTGCTAGTAGGTAGTGCCATAACAATAAATCAGTGCAAGCCCCGGAGAACCTTGGAACCTTGGAAGGTTTCAATTAAATCCGTATATATCCTTATCTCGAACTTGATGGGCCTTAAATGGACAGGGTTCAAGTTGTTTACATGCCCAGGTCCATTTTGTTTGTTGTTTATCGCGGCATGTCCCTGTCGATCCCCCATATGCACGCCAAGACCAGCCCACTTGCGCATGAGGGGGGCTGAAACACGATAATCTAATGATTTACATCATGGTTACTTAGGTAGCTCATCATCACCATAACTTGTGCTTCAAGTACTATTAGTCTTAGAGAAACCAGCAGATCAATCTCGTTATAATCAAGATTGAGCTATCAAAAGCGACGCGACAACTTGCGACCCGCGATTTCGCCGAGGCAACCGGTTATCGCGAAGAATGCGACCCCAAGCGCGAGATACTTCGGAGTGTTTGAGGATAGGTGCCGATGACGGGTAAAGGCGGACTACGACCACAGTACGAGTTAAGACGAGTAGAGCTCATTGGAACAGTAGTTTAATTCCCGGACTACCAGGATATCCCCCATTTTCCCATTACAGCGCCCGTAAACTTGAAATCAAAATAGAAGCAACAAGCAGAAGAAAAAAAAATAGTCGAGAAAAAAGCCGGGGAATAGACACAATACATCAAAAGTTGCACGCCGTGAACGAAATCAAAAAGGAAGGGGTGGAGGAGAGATGGCGAAGAGAGGAGAGGAGAAGAGAAGAGACTCCGACCCGTCAATCCCGATCGTAGTACCGGTCACTCATTTTCGAAGAATTTCCCCCATTCAAAGCTCAGGCTTGCCCTTCTTCTTTTGCTCCACCTTCAGCAGCAGCGCGCGGTTGATGCGGGGCAGAACACCACCGAAGGCGATGGTTGCGCGGATGAGGGTGTCCAACTCTTCGTCACCACGGATAGCGAGCTGTAGGTGACGTGGTGTGATACGCTTGACCTTCAGGTCCTTGGCGGCGTTTCCGGCCAATTCCAGAACTTCGGCAGTCAGATACTCAAGGACAGCTGTCACGTAGACGGCGGCTGCGAAAGGGTTAGCCTGGGCGCGGCCTCATCGAGGAAGGGAGGTCAAGAACATACCCTTGGCACCAACGCGCATCTTATTCTGGGTGTTGTTCTTCAAGAAACGCTTGACACGACCACAGGGGAACTAGACGGGAAGGAGAACGAATGTTAGTAACCAGGCAACATGTTGGAGAGGGATCATGAAGGCGCGAGCAGTGATGCCAGGATCTCAAAGGACATGCGACAAGGTGGAACGAGGTTGACAATCACTCATATGATGCTGAACCGAGTGGCGAGTGAGGGGAACCAGAAACGACGCGTCTTTTTGACATGGACATTGATCAGGGTCCAGAACCCCCCCCCCCCCCTCTTCCCCTCCATCGGCCCCGATCGCATATCCTTTCCACGCAAGAGTCGTGATGCATGACCCGGTCTGCCACAATGGGAATAAGACACTAACCTGCAGACCAGCCTTAGCGCTGTGAGACTTCTGGGCCTTCCCCGCAGAGTCCTTGGAACCACCCTTTCCACCGATAGACTTTCCCTTTCCGCCAGGCATTTTGAGAGGAATATGATCGCAAGAACGCGGGTGTCGCGAAGGTAGAGTATAGCAGGCGATCGACCAAGAGAGTGGATGAAGAAGCGATTCAGAAAGCGGGTAGGCACGCGCGTTGTTGATGGATGGAGAAGTCAGAAATGTCCCAGCAAGCCGGTCGCTAAAGACGGCCCGACGCTAATCCGAATGCGGAAATATCCATCTCAAGGTCACTCAGCTCACTTTGCGTGACGAGTGGGTGGGAAACATGAGGAATCATAGCTGTTTGGTAAGTTGAGTGTCGTTATTTTCGATCTGTTGGTGTTAGACAATGAAATGCTTGGCAGACAGACAGTCCTGGTACTGTAGAAGGTAGTGGTGGGTGTCAGTAACTGTGTGAACATGCTCATCACGATGTTCATTCCGGGTGGCTGCAGCTTAGCTAGCTGGCAGTGGAGGTTAAAAGTCCCCTCATTATGGATTGTAAGAGGCCGGTAATCCACTACTGAGAGTTTCTTGGCTGAGATGGATCGGTGAGGCTTGGTTGAGGATTCAATGTGTAATCCGTAGTTCGATGTGTTCGGGCGTGGAGGCGGAGGAGGGCCCCCATCTTTCCCGGAAGCGACGGCCAACGGTTCTTCCGAGCCGAGCGGCCACCTTGGAGATTCGATTCGAATCTGTTCCTTTCGTGTTTGTCCCTTTCATCTATCTCTCCCCCTCCCCACTTCGGTTTTAAAGGTCAAAAGGGTTCTTATCGACAATATGGTCTCCCCTCAGATGTGAGTATCCTAATCCCCGCTGGATGAGATTCTCGGCGATGTTGATGTTGATGATAATGCTAATACTATTCGCGCAGTACCAACCTGGCCATCATCCTGGCGATGATGCAGCTGGCCAAGAAGGTTCCCTTCGAGGATCCCCAGGTTCTGATGCTCGTCCGCGGCATGTACATTCTGTCCAACGTCCTCATCCTGGGCATCTATCTCTACACTCAAGCGAAGATCAATAGCAAGAAAGGTATGTGGGTCTGGTCTCTCCGGCGCGAACCCCGTATACTAACTGCGCGCGTGCGTATCTATAGACATGACTACTCTCAAGTACGTTGAGCCTGCTGCCATGGGCAGCGGCGAGGAGGCCAAGCCCGTCACTACCACCAACATGGACTACGACAAGGGTCAGCTCCGTCAATTGTTGCGCAGCCAGCTGATGGGTGTCGGCATGATGGGTGTCATGCACCTGTACATGAAGTACACCAACCCCCTCCTCATCCAGTCGATCATCCCCCTGAAGGGCGCCTTCGAGTCCAACCTGGTCAAGATCCACCTCTTCGGCAAGCCTGCGACCGGCGACCTCGCCCGTCCCTTCAAGAGCGGTGGCGGCTTCATGTCCCAGGGTGCGCCCAAGAGCGACAAGGCCTCGATCGAGGAGGCGGAGAAGAACTACCGCGGTGGTGTCAAGGAGGAGTAAAGAAAGGCGTTAGCCTGATAATCACCTGTGCAATCTGATAGGCATTGCTTTGACTTAAGGGGTTGGGCTCTGCAGAAATAGACCAATGGGCATAATCGATTCCAATGGTTGTTACCATGATGTTTACCATGGAATGAGCGTGAGTCGGGCATCTGATGCCAGTATTAGCTTCTTCGTTGTATTATAGTCATGTCCAATTGATGGATTCCTTATTACTATTACTCTTGCAAGTTTACTAGTACCGTTACCAATTACCTATTACCTTATACTATGATCACCTGTTACCTCTTATCCTAATAACCTCAAAAGCATGATGTTCTGTCAGGAAACTAGTAATAGAAGCATAGGTATGTAGTAGTTAGTAGTCTGGTGTGGTGTTGTTCCGTCTACCCGCTTCCATCTCCTTCCATGTATAATTCCGAATTGGCCACCGGTGTCATTGTGGTAATGGCAAGCTGATTGATCAGCCTGCAGACCCTGGGTGCATATGATAAGCATGAAGATATGGAGGAGGCGTTGATATGAGTCAATTGTGTTCCAATGGCAATTGGAGGAGACCGGGCACATTGTATACTGTAGTGTTCTGATGGGCTGATCAGGTGGGCGAGATTTATAATCCAGACAATGCGACCCCAGCCATTTTCAAGGCTGAAGAAAGACCATACCTATGTAGGGTATTTCCAGACTACTCCATAAAAGGGAGTGGACCAAAAAGTCTGACGGGTCAGTGGACATTAAAGCCAGTGCCGGTGAATGTATCAGGCGCGGGTCAGCTGTTGGTTTTATACCGCAATGCCAGAAGGGGGAGGCTCCATGCCGAATTGGTCCACCGCAGAGATCCATGTCCATTTAGAGTCTAGATACATAGGAGATCAAATAATATACTCTGGACTACCTAGGTATAGATCCAATAATTATAATTATAATAATTATAATCAATAAATGATAAATAATGTTGAATACTTCCAGCTATATACTGCAGTGGTACTAGTAGTTTTGTGTACCGCCCCATATAAATTATTACTACAAGGTACTTATTAGTACTTACTAATACTTACTCAGTCATGATGCTACGACTGCCCCTCCTCTCACCTCCCCCACCACCTTCTCCCCCTCCATGCCCCTCCATTACCCAACACTCTCCCTTACTCCAACCCCTCTCGGCAAGCCTACAACTCCGAGATTATCGTAGAGACCGTGATAGTCCCCCTTCTCCCCGATGGCAAAGTGTTTTACAGCGTCATCTCCGAGGCAATTCGTAGTCTAGAGCCGGGTCCGGGTTCAATCTCGGCCATCTCATTGGTAGAACGGGAGCTACCGAGGGGCAGAGCAGGCGCAGATATCGTGACTCTTCCTGCTTTGCCCGGTGTATGAAACCGGAAAGGAGGGTCCCTGCTAGAACCGGGCGGCAACAGTCGGGAAACATTCGATCTGGGGGAGGTCCACTTGGGGAGTTACGTTGGTGGTTCGGTGTAGACTGTAGACTGTAGAGTACGGAGGTACCTACGGAGTAAGGTGATCGCCTCTTTGCGTCAGCCATCCGGATTGGATTTATTTTATTATTACTACTCCTTCCCCCCCTCCTTCTTCTTCTCTTCTTCTCCTTTCTTTCTTCCCCCATCCACTCTCCTCTTTTCAATCACTCTCCCAAAAGGTACATTCCCATCTATCTTCCCCATCTACCATCATCACTCCCACCCCATTCTTTTCTCTTACTCACAGCTTCTTAGTTTAAACTACCGCAATAATGGTCCCCAAGGTACGCCCGGATTAACCACCACCAACATCACCCATCGCCACCATAACTCACCCTTCTCCAGGTTGGTATCAACGGATTTGGCCGTATCGGCCGCATTGTAAGTTCATTCTACCTTCAATTCCCTTTAAACCAGAGCTCCAAACTAACCCCTCGCCTCGCAGGTCTTCCGCAATGCGTGAGTATTGCCCCTCTGTACCCCCATATCGCGTGGCACAACCTCCCATCTAACTGTTCCACAGCATCAACCACGGTGGTGTTGACGTTGTCGCCGTTAACGACCCCTTCATTGAGGTCCACTACGCTGTAAGCTAGTTCTCCTGATTCTTGGGTGTTTTTGTTGGGCTATTGGCGGGGTTCGCATTGGGTCTCTGCACTGCTGCAGCCCACTTGTACCCTGCCCCACCCCGCAGCAAGCTCCTTATTCACCACGCAATACTAACCGCCCACCTCTCCCTTTTAGGCCTACATGCTCAAGTATGACAGCACCCACGGCCAGTTCAAGGGCACCATCGAGGTCGATGGCACCAACGGTCTGATCGTCAACGGCAAGAAGATCCGCTTCTACGCCGAGCGTGACCCCGCTGCCATCCCCTGGGCTGAGACCGGCGCCGCCTACGTCGTCGAGTCCACTGGTGTTTTCACCACCACCGACAAGGCCTCCGCTCACTTGAAGGGTGGTGCCAAGAAGGTCATCATCTCCGCCCCCTCGGCCGATGCCCCCATGTTCGTCATGGGTGTCAACAACGACTCCTACAAGACCGACGTTAACGTCCTCTCCAACGCCTCTTGCACCACCAACTGCCTTGCTCCCCTCGCCAAGGTCATCAACGACAAGTTCGGTCTCGTTGAGGGTCTCATGACCACCATCCACTCTTACACCGCTACCCAGAAGACCGTCGATGGTCCCTCCGCTAAGGACTGGCGTGGTGGCCGCACTGCGGCCCAGAACATCATCCCCTCCTCCACCGGTGCCGCTAAGGCTGTCGGCAAGGTCATCCCCGCCCTGAACGGCAAGCTGACCGGTATGGCCATGCGTGTCCCCACCGCCAACGTCTCCGTTGTCGACCTGACCTGCCGTATCGAGAAGGCCGCCACCTACGAGGAGATCAAGGCCACCATCAAGGCCGCCTCCGAGGGCGAGCTCAAGGGTATCCTCGGCTACACCGAGGACGAGATTGTCTCCACCGACCTGAACGGTGATGACCACTCCTCCATCTTCGATGCCAAGGCCGGTATTGCTCTGAACCCCAACTTCATCAAGCTGGTCTCCTGGTACGACAACGAGTGGGGTTACTCCCACCGTGTCGTCGACCTGATCGCCTACATCGCTAAGGTCGATGGCCAGTAGGAATCAGGACAGCGTCCTGGGGTCAGGAGTGTTCTCTAAAGGATGAATTCTGTTCTGTGAACCCGAATGGGGATTGCTGATGGGGCTCGCCCTGTAGAAAAAATCCGATAACGTCAATTTAATGAAACCAAATACAATTCTCATGTTTATGATTATCCCGATGAGCTGAAAGTTCAAGCCTTGGAGTAGATTGTGTAATTTTTGCTGTAGCAATTGAGATATCCTGAAGTTCATGGCTCGTAACGCTGTTCCCTCGGCAGCCGTTCCCCCGCGCCAACGTTCTCGATAAAATGACCTTGGAAACACTTTAAATAATGGGGACTGACGATAATGGAATATCATTAAAAGGCCTGCACTTGCAAGGTGCTATTCACATTTTGGTCCAAATTTACCTTTGGTCTTGGGTATATTTCACCAGGCAATGGTAGGTAACATGCGCTGCCACATCATGCTACCGTATCTCTACACCGCTAAATGCTATATCTAATTTGCGAAATCACACCTCATATTCCTCGTGTCAAGATTCCAAATCTTCTATAGATATTTCAATCCGATGTTCTTTTATAACGAGTCCATTTCCGTTCGGTTAGACAATGGAAGTTTTTCAAGTACAAGCCTATCCCGAGATATTTCCGAAGAAACAACTCTATACCGTGGACTTTGCTGACTCATCCACAGTAGCCCCTCTAGAAAGCATCAGGCGGCTTCAGTGAGCGGTGAACTTAGAAATGTCAGGCAGAATGGACCACCGGCCCAAAAGGGATCCAACATGCGCATCGATCCAATCCCCCATCCTCTCAGTGATACAGCTCCCTCCCTGGAAAGGCGTCTTGCTCTCTCTGCTTTACCTTATCTACTGAAAGATTGAGAATATCGGTCTCTTCTCTTGCTGTCACTTTTGTTCTATCGTGGGCACTACCGGACTGGATTTCCTTTGTACCAGGAGTACAATCGTATTTCTATACGTCCGCGGTTGAGTCGAGCACCTACAGATTTCAAGTTCCAGTCCGTGGCAACAAATAGCCTAAGGCCAGAAAAGCTTGTTGCTTGTTGGCTTGAACATTTGTTTGCAAGCTTTAACTTGGCAATCATCTTATTCCAAGCACTATCCTTGCATGCGATTGTCCAAGCCCAGCCTGAGCTATCTGGTTATGAGATACTAGCCAGCGGTAATCAAGTCCATTGAAAACGGGCTGGTATTGTTGCGCTAGAAAATTGTCTGAGCATGGAACAAGATGATGATGTTATCATGGGGGGAGTCTCGACGACTCCCTTCATTGCCCTCTCATTCATCTCTAGCCCAACAATCTGGCTCTGCTCCCGAGACCACTGCAGACCCCGTTCTTGTACCTTCATTATTTACTGGAATTCCGAATGACTCTCCCTCTCCTGGTGCTGGAACAATACATTCCCACGAGAACCCCGCCCACATGAGCACTGGACTTCCCGAGCATCTAGTGAAACAAAGTGATTCGGAGACAACCTCCGCCGAATATCTCAAGCGAGATAGTCTTGTTGAGTCTAATTCAGACTGGTCTGAAGAGGAGGTTACAAGCAGGCCTGGCCTTCCACTTGCTTCCTTGGCTACGGGTCTCTGCTACGACGTACGCATGCGCTACCATTGTGAAGTCCAGCCTGCAAATGATGTCCACCCAGAGGACCCTCGTCGGATCTATTACATCTACAAAGAACTCTGCAAGTCCGGTCTGGTCGATGACCCCGATTCTTGTCGTCCTTTGGCTGCTATTCCTCTGCAGCGCATTGCTGCTCGCGAGGCTACCGAGGAGGAGATCGTCAGCATTCATTCCGCCGATCACTTTGCCTTTGTGCGATCTACTCAGGGTATGCTTTTGAGTCTGACACCAACCCTCACTTATCGTGATCTACGAACCTAACATATCAAACTAGATATGGACCAGGCCGAGCTTCTAGACCTGGAACGAACCCGAGACTCTATCTACTTCAACAATCTAACCTTCCAGGCAGCAATTTTATCCGCAGGGGGTGCGATTGAGACCTGTCTGGCAGTTGCGCAGCGAAAAGTAAAGAACGCGATTGCAGTCATTCGTCCGCCCGGTCATCACGCAGAGCACGACACAGCCATGGGCTTCTGCCTCTTTAACAATGTGCCGATTGCGGCCAAAGTCTGTCAGAAAAGGCTCGGCGACCAATGTCGAAAAATCATGATTTTGGATTGGTATTTTTTTTTTTTTTTAATTTTATCATTTTGAAGTATCGTTATTGACTTGTATCTCGTAGGGATGTTCACCATGGTATATTTGATACCTCCTACCACTCTACTTGATGATGCAGGCACTCATGAACTTACAGGAAATGGTGTCCAGAAGGCATTTTACGATGATCCCAACGTGCTTTACGTTTCGATCCATGTCCATCAGGGTGGAAAATTCTATCCTGGTGGCCCCGAGGGAGACTGGGATCATTGTGGTGTGGGGGCCGGTGAAGGAAGGTGAGCTCACTTCTAACGCCCCCGATTATACTCAGCGCAATTTTGTCTGATTAGAACTCATAGAAACATCAACATTCCTTGGCCCGACCAGGGAATGGGCGATGGCGACTACATGTTTGCCTTCCAGCAGGTTGTGATGCCGATTGCCCAGGAGTTCGACCCGGACTTGGTGATCAGTATGTGATTGGTTCTTCTACTGCCCCTTGAGATAGATTCTAACATACGTATAGTCTCTGCTGGCTTTGATGCTGCTGCTGGCGACGTGCTGGGTGGCTGCTTCGTCTCGCCTGCCTGCTATGGCCAGATGACCCATATGTTGATGAATCTCGCCAACGGAAAGTTGGCCGTTTGTCTGGAGGTGAGCAAATCAATTATCTATGTGTCAGTACTTTGGCACTAATTAAATCACTACCAGGGAGGATACAACTTCCGATCTATCTCAAAGTCCGCATTGGCTGTGACTAGAGTTCTGATGGGCGAACCGCCAGATCGCCTAACCGGGACTCAACCCTCTGAAAGCGCGATCAAAACTGTTAGGCAGGTTATGTCGATTCAAGCGCCTTATTGGCGTTGCATGTTCCCTAAGCCAACTAAACATGCGGCATGGGGAGACCGTCTTCACGGTATGTATCAAAGTCGAGTATTGCAAATCATGCCTAACAGATGATACAGATATCCTCCGGAGCTATCAATCCAACAAGTTTTATGAAAGCTTCAAAATGACTCCACTTTACATCTACCGAACCGCCATCTCGCAATCATTCAAAAATCAGGTTATCGCAAGGTCAGTCTCTCCTGTGACCTGATTTAACATACTCAATATCTCACCTTTGTCAAAGTCCCAATTACCACCATGCAGTACCACTCGTTGTGATTTTCCACGATCCGTAGGTCACCTCGATCGCTCAGATCTCCATCACGCCAGGCTCACAATTTCCATAGACCCGAGATCATGGGACAGGTTCATCCCATCACTAACAAACTTGATGCACACAATGTCTGGGTGGTAAGTATCTAAAAATGCTGGCCCTCGTCAGCCAGACCTACGCTAACTAACAGTCAAGGCCGATGTCCAAAAGGATTATGTGAAATGGATTTTGGACAAAGGGTACGCCGTGATCGACGTCAATATTCCTAAACACATCACCCGAGAACCGGTAAGGCCTAACATTACCCTGCCGACCCCTCGGATACACCAAACTCAACCTTTACCAAATTTAGGCGACCGGCAGATACGAGGATGAAGATGAGAACCGACCTACAGCCACCGAGGAGTTGGCAAGCTACCTGTGGGACAACTACATCCAGTAAGGATCCGCCAGCATGTCTTCGGGCTATTCTCGGATTATTATTTGACTTTGAGACTAAATATTTGACAGGCCACACTCCATCGATGAGCGTGAAATCCGGGAAATTATCTTCCTTGGCATCGGCAATGCATTCTACGGCGTCGCCAACTTGTTGATCAATCGAGGTATGCCTAAGGCTAACCAAAAACCCTCAATTGGGCGATATAACTGACTCAAAAAAACAGAAAATCTCTACAAGAAAGTCAGCGGCATTGTTTCTTTTGTAGCGGAGAACCCCGTCCGGGCGGTTGCCTCACCAACTCAGGTGTGGCTATCAAAATGGTATCGAGAGGTAAGTTGTCTAATTCCTGTGGATGCCATTTACTATGCCATGCCTCTCAACACTAACATTGAATTACCAGAACTCCCTAGTGTTCGTTTCACCCTCACACGGTGTTTGGGGCAACTCAGACCGCAAACCATCCAAGCGCTACGGCACGCTTCGCAAATCCAACAGCTCACATCTAAGCGAGATGCTTTCGGATCACAAGGAGGAGGTGTTCAAGTTCATCATGGACCGAACGGAGCAGACAGATGACGAAGAGACAGAAGATGAAAAGGAAGATCAAGGGGAGGGAGAGCAGATGAAGGAATAAACAGGCGTCCAGTCATCCCATGAATACCAGTCCCGTCTTTTTTTGAATTTAGAGTGTCTTTGTTCTATCTCTATCCCCATCCCTATCCCTATCTCTATTTCTATCTCTATCTCTATTATTTATTCAAAGTTATGATTTTAGAGCGATGGTCTAAGAGTAAGGCCGCCTTATGGGACGCCCTAATACTAACCCTTAGATACTAGTGCTAGAATTAGTACTCCCTAGTAGGTAATAATACTAGTATACTAGAGCTCCCGTGGAGGGCCTGATAATTGCTCCCAAAGTTTGGACTTTTTTTACTCCGAAGTTTCCAACTTTCCAAGTTTTTTGTCTCAGAACTGACAGGAGATAACAGCTATGGATACTACTAGTACCTATGGAAAGAGCAATGGATATGGATATGGATATGGCAGGTACCCTAAGGTATAAAAGACTGTCACTCCTCCTGACAACTATCATAACCATCACAACCATCACAACCATTGCCATTACGATTACCGTTATCACACTCAACTCTATACTTCGAAAGTATTTACCCAACTCTACTCTACTTCAACTCACTTCATATCACCATGCACTTTACCATTCCCCTCGCCTCTCTCGCACTCTTGACACCGATGGTCAACGCCCTAGGCAGCGCAGTCGTCTTCAACAAGTGCGACTTCCCGGTCTATCTCTGGTCCGTGGGTAGTTCAATCAGCGACACCAAGACTCTCGTCGCCAGTGAGGGCGGATACTCGGAACTATACCGCAGCGATGACACCACCGGTGGCATTGCCCTGAAAATGACTCTCGAAGAGGATGGCCTGACCACCGGCAAGCCCCAGACCATCTTCTCGTATGCACTCAACGACGACGAGAATGAAATCTTCTACGACCTCTCTGATGTCTTCGGTGACCCCTTTACCGGTCACACCCTCTCTATCACTCCGTCGGAGGACTCTTGCAAGGGTATCTGCTGGAATGGGGGTATCTCTGCCAGCTATGTGAGCAATACAGAGTCTTGTACCCAGGATGCCGATGTCACCCTCACCCTGTGCGCCGATTCGTGTTAAAGAATCTTATCTTGGAGACCTGTAAAATTGAGGCTCTATGATGAGGCTCTGTGACTGACAGCAGAGACAAATGCGAGGACTCTTTCAAACTATTTTCTTGTTTTCTTTGTCTTGTTTTTGGTGGTGGCTGGGGCTGTGCAGCGGTTGCCTGGATTGAGGCGATGCGGGGGAAGAGCCTCATCGGTTGGGGGGAAATTGGGGATTGCTAGTGGGGGTTACCGATTGGTCGGGGAATGTATAGTTAATGCGTAATGAGAAGTCGAATTTGACTATTCTTCCAAGGATCGGCCTTGTTTCATTGGATGTTTGTTCGCGTAGTTGGTAATATGTTTTTCTTGCACACGGGGCGATGGCAGTGATGGGGATATAATTGTTTGAACCCCCGATAGGAAAGAAGTTTTCAAGCACTCCTATTTCCCCTTTCCTTTTGATGTGTTGCAATACTCGTCACTGGTTAGCAATCACTCAAACATGCCCTGATGCAACACTGGTCAATCTCAGCCTCAACCCGGCAGAAGATATCCACTCACATACTACAAAGAGAACCTCGGCATAATAATCCAAATCTAGTTGCAGTACGGATTAACCAGTACTAGACAGGACTAGTCTTATCACTAGCTCCAAGGCTTTCAAAAATCAAAAGTACGTTCTAGTAACCCTTAGGAACTACTTTGACTTGGACTTCTCCACGAAAGCCTCACCGCCCCCGCGTTATCGTCGTGGGGGAACACAATCCAGTTGGGCCGTTGTCTTTGCAATCCCACTCTCTTCTCTCGTCATCGATCTCCCTCCTTGCACCTGTTGTATCCCAATTTTCTTGTTTATTTTCTCTGGAATTTAACTGCATTGGTCCCAGTGGAGCCTTGCACATCTTGGCTAGCTTGCTCCCTCCTCCCTCGCTTTGCTCATGCTCACAAGGTCCTCTGTTGGCAGAGCACGTCCATTGCTACTTTCGTTGCACAGGGGCCTGAAATCCAATCCAGCTACTCGTTTGAACTCGCTGTTACGCATCTCTTCTGCAACTAGACCCATATCGTCCTTCCGGTCTTCTCTCCCACTTTCCTCGTTCGACCACCGGGCCCGCTTCCTCTTCCATACCTCCCACCCTGCGTGTGCCGAGCCCCCAATCATGAGCCAGATCGAACGCATCACAGAACGCCTGGAGAAGCCAGAGCTTGATGACCGCTCTTACAGGGTCATTCGTCTACCGAATCAGCTAGAGGCTCTTCTAGTACACGATCCTGATACCGACAAGGCTAGCGCCGCCGTCAACGTCAATGTTGGCAATTTCTCAGATCAAGATGATATGCCTGGCATGGCACATGCTGTAGAGCATTTGCTGTTCATGGGAACGAAAAAGGTGAGCATGGAAGAACCATCATTGGCAGTACCCCTGCCCCTTCCTCAATCCAGAACGACTGTACTGACCTCGGCTCCCTTATCTGCACATAGTACCCCAAGGAGAACGCCTATAACCAGTACCTAGCCTCCCACTCCGGCTCTTCTAATGCCTATACCGCTGCCACCGAAACAAACTACTTCTTTGAGGTCTCCGCCACAGGTGACTCCAGCGAGCCAAAATCCAGCGGACAAAACACCCCAACAACCGATTCCACAAATGGGACCAATGGTGTCATCAGCGATGCCTCAAGCAACACAACAGAGACAGAGGGCCGCTCCCCCTTGTATGGAGCACTCGATCGATTTGCTCAATTTTTCGTTTCGCCCCTCTTCCTGGAGTCCACACTTGATCGTGAACTGCGGGCGGTGGACTCGGAGAACAAGAAGAACTTGCAGAGTGACCTGTGGCGGCTGATGCAGCTGAACAAATCTCTCTCAAACCCGAAACACCCGTATCACCACTTCTCCACTGGAAACTTGCAGACTCTCAAGGAGGACCCGCAGAAACGCGGTCTGGAGGTGCGCAGCGAGTTCATCCAGTTCTACCAGAAGCACTACTCGGCCAATCGGGCCAAGCTGGTGGTTTTGGGCCGGGAATCCTTGGATACACTAGAACAGTGGGTCGCTGAGTTGTTCGCGGATGTCGAGAACAAAAACCTCCCCCAGAACCGGTGGGATGATGTGCAGCCTTTCTCCGAGGCTGACATGTGTACTCAAGTGTTTGCGAAGCCCGTCATGGACTCGCGCTCCATGGACATGTACTTCCCATTCTTGGATGAAGAGAAGATGAACGACACCCAGCCTAGCCGATACATCAGCCATCTGATTGGCCATGAGGGCCCGGGTAGTGTTCTCTCGTATCTTAAGGCCAAGGGGTGGGCGAATGGTCTCTCTGCCGGTGCGATGCCCATCTGCCCTGGCTCGGCCTTCTTCACAATCTCGGTGCGTCTGACGCCTGAGGGTCTCAGCAAGTACCAGGAGGTGGCAAAGGTCATCTTCGAGTACATTGCTTTGATTAAGCAACGCGAGCCGGAGCAGTGGATCTTCGACGAGATGAAGAATCTCGCCGAAGTTGACTTCCGCTTCAAGCAGAAGACTCCCGCAAGCCGATTCACCAGCCGTCTCAGCAGCGTGATGCAGAAATCGATGCCCCGTGAGCACTTGCTCAGCGGGTCACTGCTGCGGCAATTTGACCCGGAGCTCATCAAGAATGCCATGTCTCACCTTCGGGCTGACAACTTCCGTCTGATCATTGTGTCCCAGGACTACCCGGGCCAGTGGGACCAGAAGGAAAAGTGGTATGGCACAGAGTACAAGGTCGAGAAGATTCCGCAGGACTTCCTGAGCGGAATTCAAAAGGCGCTAGATTCCACTGAGAGTACTCGTACATCCGACGTGCACATGCCTCACAAGAACGAGTTTGTTCCCACGAGACTGTCTGTCGAGAAGAAGGAGACTCCTGAGCCCGCCAAGACCCCTAAGCTGATCCGTCACGACGACCGAGTCCGTCTCTGGTTCAAGAAAGACGACCGCTTCTGGGTCCCCAAGGCGACTGTCCATGTGACCCTACGCAATCCTCTGGTTTGGGCTACCCCCGCGAACCTCATCAAGACCAAGTTCTACTGTGAACTGGTGCGGGATTCCCTTGACGAGTACTCGTACGATGCCGAGTTGGCTGGTCTGGACTACCACCTGGCAGCGAACATCTTGGGACTGGACATCTCCGTGGGCGGCTATAACGACAAGATGTCGGTTCTGCTGGAGAAGGTCTTGACCACCATGCGTGGGTTGATCGTGAACCAAGATCGCTTCAATATTATTAAGGAGCGATTGGCCCGCGCATTCCGTAATGCCGAGTACCAGCAGCCATTCTACCAAGTTGGCGACTACACCCGTTACCTACTGGCCGAGCGCAGCTGGGTTAACGAGCAGTATATCGAGGAGCTGGAACACATCACAGCCGCTGATATTACCAACTTTTACCCCCAGCTGCTCGAGCAGACTCACATCGAGGTTCTGGCCCACGGTAACCTATATAAGGAAGATGCGCTGCGTATGACAGACTCGGTTGAGAAGATTCTCCAGGGTCGTGCTTTGCCTCCTTCCCAGTGGTACCTGCGCCGCAACATGATGATCCCGCCCGGAAGCAACTATGTTTACCCGCGGACTCTCAAGGACCCAGCCAATGTCAACCACTGCATTGAGTATTATTTATACATTGGTCTCTTTTCCGATGATCTGCTGCGATCCAAGTTGCAGCTCTTCTCTCAGCTGACCGACGAGCCCGCATTTGACCAGCTTCGTAGTAAGGAGCAGCTCGGATACGTGGTGTGGAGCGGCTCCCGCTACAACGCAACGACCATGGGCTACCGGGTCATTATCCAGAGTGAGCGCACCGCACAATACCTCGAGTCCCGCATCGAGAATTTCCTGCGCGGCTTTGGGCCGGTGCTTGACGATATGACCGACGAGGAATTCGAGGGTCACAAGCGCAGTGTCATCAACAAGCGTCTGGAGAAGCTCAAGAACCTAGGCTCAGAGACTGGCCGCTACTGGTCTCATGTTGGCTCGGAGTACTTTGACTTCCTGCAGCACGAGACCGACGCAGCGAATGTACAGACTCTGACCAAGGCAGACCTGCAAGGCTTCTTCAAGCAGTACATCGACCCGGCCTCGACTACACGTGCCAAGCTGGCGATCCACCTGAACGCCCAGTCTGGAGCCCAGCCCGAGACCAGCGCCACCGACAAGCGAAACCGCCTTGTCGAGACTGTCTATAAGCAGCTTGAGTCTTCCGGATTTGCGGTGGACAACGCTCGCCTGGCAACGGCCTTTGAGGAGATTGACGTCGAGGTGGTTGACCTGACACAGATTGTATATATCGTCAAGACTTTCTTGGCTACAGATTTGACACTGCCACCAGCACAGATTACCCCTGTGGCTGAGGCATTAGAAAAGAACATGGGTATCCAGTTGAAGCAGCTTGGCTTGGAGGCTGGTAAGGACGAGAAGGCCGTGACCAATGGCACCGACGTGCCTGCGAGCCCCCAGGACCCCGTCACAATTACGGATGTCACAACCTTTAAGGCGCGTCTGCCTGTTAGCACGGGACCAGTTTCCATCACGGATCTCACCGAGTTTGAAGATTTTGACGCAAAGCTGTAAGGGAGCTGTGAGGTTTATTTTGCATTGGTGTGTATGGGAGTGGCATTGGCGCGAGTCGAGGAGTCGAGGATGGAGTTGATGAGCATCAGAATAGTAATCCCATGGTACCTCAGCATATGAATGAAATCTATTACGTTGTACTTGTATATTCTGAGTAGGTATCATAATACAATCCAATAAATTCCTCATTCCTCTACCCTACCTCAAGGTAGCTTGTAGAGTGGATGCCTTTCAGGCAGGCGGTCTCACCGATAGCGATAACGCGCATCCCCGGCCAGCTTCAACTCAACTCAACTCCGAGCTCGCCCTTCCTTCTATCAACATCAACACTCCTTCAAAATGGCGACAGCAACAGAAACAGTGGTGAAGAGCAGTCGCCCGTGAGTCAATCTCATTCTCCAAACAGCCATTCTAATACCCCGCTAACAAGCATCCATCGACTCGCAGCCCCATCCTTCCTAAGGATTTCTCCGCACAGCAACCAGAGACAATTCGCCTATACCCATTGTCTAACTACACGTTCGGCACTAAAGAGACGCAGCCAGAAGAAGACCCCTCAGTCCTGGCGCGGTTAAAACGGCTAGAAGAGCATTATGAGATCCATGGCATGCGGCGCACCTGCGAGGGTATCCTCGTCTGCCACGAACACAATCACCCGCACGTCTTGATGTTGCAAATCGCCAATGCATTCTTCAAACTGTACTGCTCCCTTCTTTCCAGCCCACCCTCCATCCGGGTAACGCTTGGAGCATTCGAAGAGAGCTCTGGCTAACTGTAACCACTTTAGACCGGGCGATTACCTCCACCACGAGGACGAGGAACTCAACGGGTTCAAGAAACGACTGAACGAGCGCCTAGCCCCCGTGGGCTCGCAATTCTCCGGCGAAGGCGTGAATGAGGACTGGGAAATTGGCGATACTCTTGCGCAGTGGTGGCGGCCCAATTTTGAGACCTTCATGTACCCATTCCTACCGGGACATGTTACTCGGCCCAAGGAGTGCAAGAAGTTGTACTTTATTCAGTTACCCAAGAAGAGTGAGTTACCCACCTGACAGCCAATCATTCTGACAGCCCAGTCCACGCCGAGCAGTTTTTACCCTTGATTAATTTGTATGATACTAATGGTTGATCGCAGAGGTTCTCTCCGTTCCGAAGAATATGAAACTGCTCGCCGTGCCACTCTTCGAGCTTTACGACAACACCGCGCGTTACGGACCGCAACTCTCCGCAATCCCCCACCTCCTCTCCCGATACAACTTTGAGTTTGTGGACGAGAATGACAACGTCGTGGCCATGACCCCCGGCTCGCCGGCGAATGGCCAGATTCCCCGCACCAAGGTACTGGCCGGCGAAGAACAAGAACAAGAACAAGATACGGGGATGACGGACGTGAAGGATGAGGGGGAAGGAGATGAGGTGCAGTAGAGTGGAGTGGAGAAGAGCCGTAGAGAAGTTCAAATCAATCTATTAACGTTTTTCCTTCTTGATTCCGTTACTGTTAGCCTTTGGTATACAATCTAGCTGCCGGTGATGTCCACATTCGGGTTAAAAGGTCATTCGGTTCAAGCGGAGTTCCGTGCTGATCACTAGGAGATTTTACCGGATAGGGTGATGGTGAAATCTATTTCTTCCAGAAGAGATCCAGAAGAGGTGGGGGAGAAGGGAGCTGAAGGGAACTGGTGGGTTGGTCCACTCAGTCAACCCACAGTTTGGCTGAAGTTATACATGCCATAGTTGCACCCCATGAACACACCGGCACGTTTTAATACTTTCAACTCTCCTCCTCTACAGTAACAAGGTAACTCAAAATAACCCTCCGTTCCTCTACCCCTCATGCATCCAAACCAAGGCTGACAGTTACATCGTCGCATGAAGAACTGCAGGAGTGCCGATCACTCAGGAATCCCCACCACTCGGAGACGCCATCGACCAGTCCCGTGGCTGAACTCCGGACAACCACCCTCTTTCGATCGAGCGGCTTCACCTTGGCGATTTTCAACTTGCTGGACCTGCTGAAGCGGCGGGATTTGCGGCACATGGCTTTCTTTTTCTTTTGCTTGGTGTTATACCCCGCTTCAAGTTCGAGCTTTTCATACTTCGTGCCTAAGAGTAGGTACTAATACGAGTATAAATTCCGACATGGCGGCCTATCTGGATACCGCTTCAACTCCAGCTGTTCCTGTTCCTGCTTCTGTTCCTGTGCCTGTGCTTGGCTGATCGAGAAAGAAAAATGCTGTCTTCTCTTTGGTCTCTACTGGCTGTTACTGCCTTCACAGCAGCTGCGCCAGCTCGTCCGGTGCCTCGAGGTATATCAGACTCGCACCCATCCCAAGTGAAAGTCTTGTACTGACAGTACTCCCTTTCAGCCGTCTCATCCGGTGTTTTAGATCAGCTCACTTTGTTCGCCGAATATGCCGCCGCTTCATACTGCTCGAACAATATCAACTCGACAGGCGACTTACTGACGTGCGCCGAGGGAAATTGTCCAACGGTGCAGTCTTCGGGGGCAACATCCCTCTACGAATTCGAAGAGTATGTACCCCAGCTCCCATTTTCATAGATCACCCGCTCACCATATCTTCCAGGTCCACCGAATGGGGTGATGTAGCTGGGTTCCTCAGCGCCGACGACACAAACAAGCTCCTCGTGCTCTCTTTCCGAGGCAGCCGCAGCCTGAGCACCTGGATCGCCAATATAGACTATGGCTTGACCGATGTCAGTAGCCTCTGCGATGGCTGCGAGGCACACGGCGGATTCTGGAAATCCTGGAACGCCGTCGCAGACGATCTCACCGCGCAGATTGACTCCGCGAAGCAAACATATAGCGGATACACGTTGGTTCTGACTGGGCACAGTTTTGGAGGAGCTGTTGCAGCACTAGGAGGAACAGCCTTGCGCAACGCAGGGTATGATCTGGAAATTGTAAGAACTTGAACCCTCACCCTCACCCTCACCCTCTCAAGGCTATGCGATCGGGAACGGCACTAATGGCAGTAGTACAACTTTGGCCAGCCTCGGGTGGGCAATAAAGCTCTCGCGACGTATATGACCAATCAGGGCAGTCTCTGGCGAGTTACGCATACGAATGATATAGTGCCTCGACTTCCTCCTACATCATTTGGATTTAGCCATGCTAGTCCCGAATACTGGATCACCAGTGGGAATGATGTGACGGTGACCACGTCGGATGTGGTAGAGGTCAGTGGAATTGACTCGACGGCGGGAAATGCTGGAGAAGCTACTCCGGAGGTTGAGCCGCATAATTGGTATATTGTGAATATTGATGGATGCCAATGAGGAGTTATAAGCTATAGTCTATACACCTGGGCAGCTGGGCAGCTGGGTGGTATGATATGATATGACATTCTATAGCATGCAGACGAGGATAAAATGAATGACGATCAATAATGAGGCAGTCAATTAATTTCCAGATATCAATAGTATCCATGCCAGTGGACATTTATCACCGTTATGCTCGCATCCATTGGAATGTATTAGTTATAAGCAACTTGAATGTATCTTTATAGTCCGACCCACCCGTGATTCACCGGCCAATCCGAACTTCTTCCCGTCAACCAACAGCAAACAGCAACACGTTTCACAACTCTCCTTTACACACCTCCCTTTAAACCTCCCATTTCAGGGAATCGCATATCTCGAATTCCTCGGGAACCCCCGAGGGTTTCAATCTGCCTCCTCTGCACTATGCGCTGACCCGATCCGATGCTTGACTCCCCACCGTCAACATGTTATTCGCTCCGAGCGGACCACAGAGTCCCCGCCGCCGCAATCGTATCAAGGCCATTTTCCTAACCATCTTCATCGTCTTCGCTCTATACTTCATCTTCTTCGCCGGCTCCGAAACTACCGCCAAAGCCATCACTAGCGACAAAGCCCGTTATACCCCCCTCGCGCGCCCCGACCCCAGGTCCCAGCCATGATACCCATTGGGACACCTCCTTCAAGTCCACGGACGAGCAGGCTCGTCCCGTCGTTCGCCGTCACAAGGAGATGGTTGTCGCAAGCATGAAATCGGATGATACTTCTTGGCTGCCGGAGTATTTTCCGGACTGGTCGCAAAGCATCTACGTTGTGGACGACAAACGGGCGCCCTTGACAGTCACAAAGAACAAGGGCCGCGAATCAATGGTGTATTTGACGTGAGTGTCACCATCGCTAGCTACCCAGTGTCCCAACTGATGCAGCTGAATGCTATTTTCTATCTCCCCCTTTCATCCAAGCTAATGCGCGACAGATACATCATTGACCACTACGACAACCTCCCCGACGCAATACTCTTCATCCACTCCCAACGCTTCCAATGGCACAACGACGATCCATATTACGACGGCGTCGGCATGCTCCGCAACTTCCAACTCCCGTACCTCCAAAAACAAGGCTACGTCAATCTGCGTTGCGTCTGGACCCTAGGCTGCCCAGGCGAGATCCACCCGTTGAGCGACACACACCGCGACGACGTGCACGCGGGAGAATATTTCACCAACGGGTTCAAGGAATTGTTCCCCGGTGTACCGATCCCCGAGCAAGTCGGAGCTTCATGCTGCGCGCAGTTTGCCGTGTCACGCGATAGGGTCCGCCAGCGTCCTCGGAGCGACTATGCGCGCTTCCGCGACTGGCTCATCAAGACTGATCTGACGGATGATCTGAGTGGGCGGATTATGGAGTACTCCTGGCATAGTAAGTACCGCCCCATAACTACCTGCAACACATGCGCTCTGTTTGATCCAATACTAACTTCTGCAGTGATCTTCGGAGAAAAGGCCGTCTTCTGCCCATCTGCCAAGGAGTGTTATTGTAATGTCTTTGGACTATGCGATCTAGACTGTCCCGTCGACGGGACGTGTGAGGGTCGCTATGTGCTCCCTCCTTTCTCCTCATTACCCAAGGGCTGGCCGTATATTGGATGGAATGGCCAGGTCCAGAATCCCAGCCAGGGATTACCCGAATCATAGTTATAGTCCAGATGCGATAATACGATTCGATATCGGACAATGATCCGAAATAGAGGTCTTATTCTGGTCTTATGGCATTGTCATAGTTACTCTCTATCTACCTGCCCAGCCCAGGAGTCCATTTTGATCTTGATCATCCACTCAGGGGGGTTCACCAAAATTTGCATTGGGAAAATGATTGGTTCTTTGTATCAGTATGGAGTACATAGCGTGGTTTTATTGCAGTCTCGCATCAGCATGGAAAAAACAATCGTTCTGTAGCAGTCAACTGTCCCCATTTAGAGTGTTTGGTATTTGGTACCTAGTATCTGCTGGAATCATAGCCATCCCAGCCATCTTCCTTCTCTTCTCTTTACTCTCTAGCTTTATTACTTTCATTCAATTCTGCATGGTATTGAGGTCCGAATCCTTTCTATCTCGAGTCCTCACACCAGCAACTCTTCGGGGAGGATTCAGAGTAGGTTAAATGATCGCTGGAATCTCACAGCATGCTGTTCACCCTGATTCTCCGCTTCAAGTGCCAATAACATCCTTCGAATTCCCAGACTCGAGGAGGAATCAACATTCCAGTTCAGCTTCCAGGTTCTCTTGCGGCTGCTCATGGTATAGGTCCGGCATATTGATGTCTTTGCGCAGAACAAATCGATTACACAGCCATTGAAGGATATCATAGAGCTGATATGAAGCATGGCTCCGGCACGAACAAAAATATAAGGACAAAGCAAATTATATTAAGTCCGGCAAATAATCTAAAGGTGCCTTGAGGACCCATCCCCTGCAACATAGGAGGAAAGATGAGGGCAATGACAGAGGCCCAAAATCCATTTGTCGCCACGGCCCCGGACATACCTATCTCGCGATGAGATAATGGGAACACCTCGGACGAATAGGCAAATGCACAGGGACCCTCCCCTGGACCGTAGAAGGCTGCGTAGAGGTAGATGAAAAAGGCGATCAGCCCGAGATGCGCCATACTCTCCTCGGGGACATAAAAGGGCATCCCCGCCGCCAGCAAGATCCAGCTCATATTTGGGAACGTTGTAAGGAGTAACGTGCGTCTGCCTCATATATCGATGGTGCGAAAGGCTGGAATTCTAAAGACGAACAAAGCGATTCCAAAGCCCCATGAAGCGACAAGAGAGTTGACGGTATTGGCACCAGCTTGGGCGAAGATGATTGATGAAAAAAAATGCCATTATATCGACTAGGGAAGGTGTTAGCTGTTCGTTCTTCAGAAATACCTACTTCTACATGAGAATGATTGGGAAGAATACGCACTTCCACAGAACTGCTGTGCAGCCATGACGATACCAGAAGCTTGTGCTGCTCGGCGGTTTCGAGGGATTGTGAGGAGCTCCAGAAACCGAGTGACGATATTGCTGTTTCCAAACCCAGCTTTCTGGATTTTCGTATTTTCAATTTCAAGTAGGATGTATGTAGATAGTGTAGAGATCACGAGCAGCTTGTAACGGAGTGTTTCGCAACCTGAGAAGTGACCGATACGCGTCGTTAACTCGTCCTTTCTTTAATAACCATCGGGGTGACTCAGGCGCAAAGAATATCCTAAATACAAGTGAGAGAGCAGGTATGAATGCCGATCCAAGCTGTAGTGTCCATGCAAGACCCAGAAACATTCCGACCTGAGAGGTGGTCTGAGGATGATGAGAATGTTAAGCAGATGCGAGCAGTTTTGATCCCTTTTACCACCGGTGCCCGGGCCTGCATTGGACGGAACATCACTTCTCTTGAACAACAGATCCTTGTTGCAGCTCTAGTGCATCGCTATGAATTTGCACTGCCATCAAAAGATTGGAAACTGGAGTGGGAAGAGGCATTCAATCTTTGGCCATCCCAGATGCCATTGAAGATATGGAGACGGAATGAAGGTGTTCAAGTTACTCGTATGGAAGTGGTGTAATAGAATCTGGGTTATGCATATCTCAAGGTAACTTTGAATGCAATACTAATATACGGGTATACTATCGCTTCAGTATACCTTAAGGTACTTACTATCTTTGTAGCCCACGGTGGGGCATCTGCCGAGGTAACCACGGAAATGAATAATCTCCCCGCATTGAGACGGGCACTTCAACTTCACTTCTTCAATTCCCCTTCCCCTCACCTTTCAAGGTTAAGCCACCATGCTTATCATCGGTCTGACCGGCTCAATAGCCACGGGGAAATCTACCGTCTCGTCCATCCTCTCCACATCCCCCTACTCTCTCCCCATCATCGACGCCGATATCCTTGCCCGCAAGGTCGTCGAGCCGGGCACCGCAGGCTACAAGGCAATCGTGAACTACTTCGGTCCCAGCACACCTGATCTCCTCCTCAAAGATGCACCAGATACCCCACCTTCCACACAAGGAAACCCCCTCAACAGACCAGCCCTCGGCCGTCGTGTCTTCGGCGATACCGACGAGCGCAAACGCGATCGCCAAGTCTTAAATGGCATCATCCACCCCGCCGTCCGGTGGGAAGTCTACAAAACACTGATATATCACTACGTACGAGGTCAATGGGCTGTCGTATTAGACGTCCCTCTCCTCTTCGAAAGCGGCATGGACCTCATCTGCGGAACTGTCCTGGTCGTTGGCGTCACCGACCCAGCCATCCAAATGGCACGCCTCCGTTCACGAGACGCCCACCTTACCGCCGAAGACGCGGAGAACCGTGTCCGTAGTCAAGGAGATGTACGCACAAAGGCCGCGCAAGCTGAGTTCCGCGGTACAGTGACGGCACGGGGCGTGGTGGTTTGGAATGATGCTGATAAAGCCGAGCTGGAGCGTGCCATCAAGGGCGCGATGGTGAGTATTTCGGCGTCGAGCCCAAAGTGGTGGGCGTGGATTTTGCTAGCTGTGCCGCCGGTGGGCTTTGGTATTGCCGCGTGGAATTTGATTGTAAATTATGCGACACAGAGAGACTGGGAGAAGAAGAAGAGAGAGGAGAAGGCTCGTTTGTAAGATGGGATGAGTCCGAACTCGACCTCAAGGCTAGCTTCTACTATCTGCTATCCAATGGATGGTAAGCCTGGGCCTGGAATTGATACGATACTAGGTAATACCTACTATTTCACTTGTACATTGTTAGACCGACTGGGTGCAGTCACCATAAATTATGCTCTCTAGAGTTGTTTGCTCTCTGCTTTGCTTATTTGCTTTCTTCTCAATATGTATCATTGACAAAATCATTGACCAGCCAAAAGGCCGTAACCTGCTGTACTATGTGCTAAAAGACCCCAACGCCGTGACCAATGCTCGTTTTAACGCCATGCCAATCATCCCGGGATATCTGCGACCATACGTCTAGGAGCTTTTGCGCTTCTTTTTATTCTTCTTAGAGGGCCCGCCCGATTCTCTGCGATGAGAGCCCCCACCACCCGAGCCGGAGATACTCGTGATGTTTTTGAAATTCGCAGGCTTGTTCCGGCGCTCCCTCTCTCGCTGTAATTTCGCCAGGGCCTTGGCTTTTAGCTTCTCTTGATGGGCCGCGACCTGCTTGGGATCGGCAGGGTCCATGAGCTCGTCGTCATCGGTGTCCTCATCAGATTCGGCATCGTCGTCATTTGACTTCGGAACATAAGCCTAAATGAAATTAGAAATTAGCTTAGAAAGATAGGTAAAAGTCATAACATTGAGACATACCGGTGCCTTCTTGCGCTTGAAACCACCAAACCCGCGTCGACCGCCCACATTGGCATCGTCCTCGACATCCAACGAGTCGGCTGCCACCGCATATGGTTGTGTGGGGGATACATTGGCAGCTGGGATATCCAATACCCATTCCGACTCGCCTGCCTCGGCGGCCTGGCGCATAACGGCATCTCGTCGCTTCTTCTCTTCGGCTTGCAATGCGGCTGCGATAGCATCGAGTTCTGCCTGTGGAGTTCCGGGGCTAGCAGGCTCAGTCGACAACCTTTGACGCTTGGGCGTATTGGAATTATCATCCGATCCTGGCGTTTGGGGTTCGTTCGCGGCTGCTGTTGCTGCAGCGCGCTGCATGAACTATATAGGATGATGTCAGTTTTGCGCGAGATAGAGCTGAATCGCTTAACCAACCTTCATGGTGAGAAGTCGCGAAGACATGGTCTTCCCATTTTTGGCCGCTGTACCCGGTGAAGCAGACATGGTGATTTTGTGTTACTGAGAAAAGCGTAGTCGTCAAAAGTTCAAACAGTCTTTGAAGCAGTAAAATTCGGCAGAAAAACCCAAGCAGTGGAGAGGCGGTCAGTCCAACAACCGCCAATCCAACTCCCGCAATCTTGATGACCATCAAAGTCCAGTGCCACCTCGACCTCCTTCGCCAATCCCTCCAGTTTATCACCTCCACCACTCCTTCTCGGGACTCAATCTGCCCAGTATGATGTCCTGCAGTCGCCGCCTCACGGCCCTGGCCTCGATCCGCCCGCGCTTCGCCGTCCGCACCTACTCCTCAACCGTCCCTCGTCTGTCCGAGAACCGCATGGCCGCCAACGACCCCAACCCCCCGGTCGTCAAGCCCAGTGCTTCTTCCAGCAATGTCCCCACCGATACCATGAGCGCCTGGGATGGTTCCCTGTCCGAGGACCCCGCCGTTGCCGAGCGCATTCGCACCATGCAGGCCCCGAACCGTTCCAGCACCTGGGCCGCCAGCCAGCAACCGCGCGAGGAGGCCATGGTCGGACCTCGTTTCGAGCAGACTATCATGCAGACTCAGGTGGGTGCTGCATAATACGCATAATACCTTCAATACATCCCTTTGTCGAGCTTAATTGAAGCCCAATTGCTAGATCCGGGGAGATATCGGAGAAGCTAAAACCTGGTACTAATGCTATAATAGCCCCAACCTATGGCCGCGATTGAGCTCATTCACAAGCAACCCGTTCGCTGGACAAAGAAGCGCGTCGTCAGCTGTGACGGCGGTGGTGGTCCCCTCGGCCACCCCAAGATCTTCATCAACACCGACAAGGCCGAGATTGCGACCTGCGGCTACTGCGGTGTTCCCTTTGTACGTCACCTGGATAGCATCTTTCGTTGCACTTCACCTCGTTCTTCTTTTTCGGTTCCGCATGCTAACAGAATAAACTACAGGCCCACGAGCAGCACCGTGCTTACCTCAAGTCTCTCCCCGCCACCAGCTTCCCCCTCGAGCCCACCAACGACCCCGCCGAGGTTAACGAGAGCCAGCGCGTTACGGACGGAAGCCTGGAGCAGCGATAAACGACTAGCATAAGATTCCTTTTGTCGGCGTTTATCTTTTCCCCGTTGTGTTCCAATTATTGGTTTTGGGCCCGAGGCCGTGTACAGAAATATAGATCAATGGATCTGCCGTTCGCCCTGCGATAGCCTAGTCGTGGTGAATATGTTTAATCTTGCTTTTGGTGTAGTTCGTAATGGCCGTTTATACCGTTTCGCGACTCGAATCGCCTATCTACATCCATTGAGCGCGTCCTTTCAAGGTTCTAAATCAGGATCTTCCCTTCCCGCCTTCTTGTACATCTTCGTCAATCGGGGCAATCGTCGCTTTTTCTACCTCGATATAGGATGCAAATCGAACCCAATCATAAATTTCCCCGTACATCCTCACTGAGATTATCAAGTCAAGCCTTCTCACCCTGAATGGTCGCAACGACCTTTCGCGAGTGCCGACTAGTACGGAACTCAAGGTACCAAATTCCCTGCCAAGTACCCGTAGCCAGACGACCATTGGTAATAGGGATACTAACAGAAGCACCAATGAGAGCAGACTTGATATGAGCCTATTGGTGGGATAGATAGGTTAGCAAGAAGCTTTTCCGAGCTATGGGACTCTTCTCTTCCCATAGCTAGCAGCTAGGTAAGGTACAACTCACCGGCATATCATCCTCTCCCTCAGCAGAGTGGCGATAAAGGTTTCCCTTCCGATCCATTGGCGCAATGCGATCAAGAGCATCGCTCATGTCGGCGCGTACATCGTCGTCCCAGTTCTCGTTTAGTGAGAGGGCACAGCTGGTGTGCTGCACGAATAGGTTCAGGATGCCGACCTTGTAGTCGCGAATCTCGGGGACTTCGGAGAGGACATGGTCGGTAATGAGGTAGGAGCCACGGCTACGCGAGGGTAGGGTGAAGTTCTTCTGTGTCCAGGACATGTTGTGGGAGTTGATATGATGTGAAAGTGGTAGTGGAAGTGGGATGGCGGGGAATAAGTCGAATAAGACGGGTTTGATTGGGTGGGGTCTGATGTCATTCCACTGCCAGTGTACATGGAAGTAGTAGAAGTATAGTAAACAACACAAATACATTCGTACTTGTATTATCTTCAAGTTGGCTGGATTGGGGCATACTAGTATCCATTCATTCTCTCGAACTCAACACCCTCTCGAAATAAATATGATCACGGATCCGCCCCTCGATATCTAGTCATGACATTACCCTATGCCTTGGTCGCAACCTTGGAACATCACATCATAAAACATACTAGTAGAGTGATTGATTACCTACCTATGTAGCTACTTTGCTTCTGCTACCTCCTAAGATGCACTACACACTCCAGCCTGCACACTAGGTGGATTACTCGAGGCATGACCCCAATCCGCCGCCCCAAGAGCCTTCCCCGCGTCCGTGCTATCATCCGAACGAATATAATACTGAGGATCGACATAATGCCACCAGTCATCACTGCGGAAAGCATTGTCCAACGATTGACTAGCAGGATCATTCCATCCTGTGTTGCGCGTATCAAAGTTGGGGTGTTTCGACCATGCAACGTATACCTTGGGGTGATCATTATTCTTCACGCCATTGGGGTTCTTAGCATCTCCCGCATTGATCTCATCCGTCGTGAGGGTATTCTGGATGTCGCCCCAAGCTAAATTATTGTATCCACTGTGTGCAGATAGGAGAGCGCGCGATGGTGCCCAGTTGTTACTATCGTCGCGGGAGTGGATGATGACCACTCGTTCCCAGTCACTGATCGCATTATGTTAGTTAGACTCTAGGGTATGGCCCCGGCCTTCCTTGGGAGAATATCTTACTAGTCATGACCTGTTTCAATAGCCCCGAACTTCGCACCATCCTTCTCGTAGAACAGGTTGTAGACGACCCGGATCTCGGTATCATTGCACCGCTGATAGGTATAATAAACAGGGAATGCCGGACCGGGATTCCCAATACCCACCCCCGGGTTGCGACAGTTACAGCCGACATTGGGATACTCGCATTGTGCCGCTGCAGGGGTTTTGTGGTCATTATCGTAGATATCGGCTGTGTCGGGCGATCCACCAAAAGCCCAGGTGGGATAGCAAGGGGGCTGGTTCTGGGCCTGGCCGAAGAACCAGATGGGTGCGTAACGATCAGCGAGATCTACGCCACCAGCATCGAGGAGGGAGTTCATCTCATCGTCGCTGATTTGCGACACTGCAGTCACTGATCCAGCCAGGAGGGCGATACATACCCACGACTTGGGCCACATGGTGGGGTGAGCGGAGGTGAGGGCAAGGGTGCGAGATAACTATGGAATATGGAATATAGCCTGGGGTGCTAGCTCAAAGATGAACTCTTGGGAATTATAATGCATTTAAGAACGCTGGATTTGACACAAGACCAGCGCATTTCTCACGCTGAGTATCCCAGTGGAGGAAGTAGGGTGATTGACGTATTTCCTAATGAGGAGATGAGCTGCTGAAGGTCACATTGGGAGGATTTCAACCTCTCTTAGGCCCGCATTAGCATCGGAGGCGGGGTTAATTTGTTAAGTACTTGAGTGTAGAATGAAAAGAGCACTTTCCCTGCATGGAATAGCCACAGGTCCACAGGTCCACAGGCCCTCAGGTCCTCAGGGGTCTTGGATGAATCTAATCTCAGCCCTGGTGGAGCCTCACTAGTATGATCTAGGGTGAGACCAATCCCAGTAGACCTTGTGCAAACGTTCTGCCCCATTTGATCTATATTGGACAATTTAATGGCCTGGTCATTATACTGATCTGGATTGATCGAGTTTGACTAATTATATAGCATTATCAGTATAGCACCGTCCTAGGGAATCTCGGATAGTTCAGAAGAATTAGAAGTGTCCACACTACAGGGTATTCCAGTCTAGAAGCCATGATCATGATTGAGAACTTCAAATGGTTGATTTAATAATAGTACTCTTATGTACACTGCGGTTTTGGTAAAGTATCAAACCGTAACACTTCAATCCTTACCTGCCCATTTGGAACTCCTGAACGCCAAAGCATCACCTGGTACAACGTACCTTGTTTTATTTCAAACTTTCCAGTATTATGGTTAAATTCGACGACCAGAGTCATCCAGTCTGTCACTTTGGTCATTCATCGCGGACCACTTTGTAATTCCGTCGGGCAAATCCATGATACGTTGTTCATAATAGATGTGGCACCTGAATAGGTACGAAACAGTCAGCAAAACATCCCCATGGATCAGATTAAAAACAGTTTGGACATACGTTGGTTTAAAGAGTTCCCGCTGCTTTTTCTGCTCCTCAATTGAACCCTCAAACTCAATTAACTGCGGGAAGAGCAGACAGACATTGCGTCCTTCATCCATGATCAAGGTATGGCAGAAGGCGCACGAGACCTTGGTCGGGGTGTGATAGTCTTGACTGTTCTTGGACGAAGAATAGAAATTCAAGCCACAGGATCCAGTGTTGAAAGAGACATCCTTCTTATGAAAGATAGCAGCCCATTGGAAAGGAGCGCCATGCATGACCTGGCATCCGCGACAGTGACAGAATTTGGCATCGAGTGGCTTCTCTTGTCTCAGGATGTATGAGATCTTTCGACACTGGCAAAATGCACGCAGCTTGACAGGACCTTCATCTTCATGACTCTGCCGGTTGTAGGGTGGACGATGCTTCCAGGATTCTTTGTCGAGGGTGTTTTCTGGGGGATTGTTGGTGACTGCCGGCGTGGGGAGAGGAGCCACGGGCTCTAGAAAGCCCATTTCGGCCATTTTATTGGAGTATGTGAGTAGGTTATAAATGAAATAAAAAATATATGGACAGAGAGAAGGCTCGTAGAGTCTCGGATACTCTCTAGAATTGAATAAAAATCAATTTTTATGCTATTTTGGGGATGATGTCAGGTGTTGGCCGACTTCCTTGGAACCATCAGTCTCGATGATGTACCTTTACTTTCCCTTTCCTACTTCTTTACTTCCCCTTTCAAGTTCTCCTCTCAATTCACCTCCATTGCACCCGTGTACATGGTCTCATTGCATGTGTACATTTCATCTCGAGTGATGTCATCATAGTGATGGCTTCAACCCAGCTTGATGATCCTGCATACGGAGTACAACAGCGTACTCTAGACCCTGACCCTGAGACCCTGAGACCCTTAGCTGACTTGACAAAGACAGCTGAATCAACCTGGCCCATTATGGGGTACAATTGGACCAGACTCCGCGTCAAAGGAGGAGACGACATGGATCAGCACCAATGAAACACTGACCCTCGACGTTGTGATGAACGGGCGGCTTGGGCGTTTCATCTTTGTTCCCCTGCGGCTCCTCCATCATTTACATTTCTTTCCTCCACATTTCTCCTCTCCCTCTTCCTCCCCCGACTATCCATATTCCCTATTTCCTCATCTCCCTCCCCTATCTCCCCTCTTCCCTCCCCCAGGATGGGCCTTTTTGACAAGCTTCGGGCCCGTCCCCGGCGCAGTGCGGGGCACGCGACCGAGGCATCTCCCTCCAACTCGCCCCGCCCGCTGAGAGCAACCGGCCGCGATTATACGCGCAAGCTGCCCCGACCGGTGTTGGCTTATATCTTTGCCCTCACCTGTCCGCACACCCTCGATGAGTCCTATGATACCTCCGAGGAGTCCATGAGTGATGGCTGCATGCTCTGTGACATGCGCGATCTTGCGCACTGTGCTCAGGTCTGTAAGCGGTGGTTCATCGAGGGCCGCGCTCTGCTGTATGTACCCCAAAACAAAGACATTGCATTAAATCAGCCCCCCCACCCCTACCACCCTCTGATCAAGCTGACCAACACCGCCTGTCGTTCAATAGATATACCCATGTCCGCATCGACCCTGTTCACTATTGTGAACTCGAAGTTCAACTCGCCGCCAAGCGAAAGCGTCGCTCTTTCTTTGATCGCAATGGCGACCCTATCGATGCCCCTCAGGTCCGGCTGGAACTCTTCATGCGCACCGTCCGAGAAGACCAGAAGCTGGCCAATATGGTCCTCTCCCTTCGCATGCCATACATGACTCGAGAAGCCAACAAGGCGAACATCGCCCGGACGATCTCCGTGCTCCACAACATTCGCTTCGTCGATCTGCCGTCCGGCCTGTTCAGCGATGAACCTTCGTGTACCGCGCTGAAGCAGGAATTGATTGTCCAGTGTCCTGATCTCCGCCGTACGAGCTATCGACATGGATCGGAAGGAAGCTTTGCCCGACTGCCAGGCGCACAGCTCTGGACAAACCTGGAGAAATTGGAGGTGTCCGGGCTACACATCGAAGCCAGCACCCTGCGTAATGGATTGGCCTCGTTCTCACGTCTGCGGGATCTGACCTTGGAAGACCTACCGTGGCTGGACGATTCTGCATTCATCATGAGACCTCCTCACCCGCCCATTCCCCCGCTCTTGCATTTAACCATTCGAGATACCCCGAACGTCACGGCTGCCGGCCTTACCTCGTTCCTTTCTTCCCCCCACACTCAGAATACCCTGCAGTCTCTGACTCTCGCTTCCACTGGTGTCCTCCCCTCCACACTTTATCAGATCCTCTCCACCGCTCCAAGACTCACAAGTCTGTCCATCATTCAGGAAGTGCACCGGTCCTTCCCGGCAGAGCAGATCCCCCAATTGACTTCCAAGTCGCTACGTCTCCTGCACTACGAGATCACCTCTGAAACCGAGACTCACGGGCTTCCCCCAGTCGCAACCTCGTATTACACATACCTCATATCATCCCTAATGTCTCGCTCCCTACCCGCCCTGCGCGATCTCTACGTACGGGATGCCAACTTCCCCGATACACTCCTGCTGGCCCCACCCCCCAGGATCTTCGGCGGAGACGGAGGCGGGAACGGACCGCAGCCGAGAAACCGAGGACTGACACAACCCTTGAATGTATATAGCAAAGGTCTGGACGAACTGGAGTGGAACTTCACCCCGTACGACCCCGGAGTCCAACCCGGACGAGGCGGCGCAAATACCCGTCCGGTCAGTTTTCACGAAGCACAGCTGAACCGTTCCTGGGGCGGCGAGTCTCGCAAGAGCGTGCTGGTAGGTAATGGCTTTGGCGGGTTCCTGGCCGTGCCGGCGGATGAGGAAGAGCGCCCGAGGAGTAGCAGTGGGTATAAGCGATCGAGTAAGGTGGATATATGGCGATGAGGGGATGCAGTGGAGCGCGGCTTTCATTTACTTTTGTGTTTCAATTTGGCCACACACGATGTGATGGAATGGTATGAGGGTCAAAAAGGCTGGAACTGTACCTAGGCACGAGACATGTGCATAATGATATAACGAATCAATGCTGAGCAAAGTATTCATTACCATGAGATGCTCCATAGATTATAACTCGGTACTACTTAGTACTTATGAAATTACCCGTAGTCGCTTTGATCCATTTACCCTAGTAGAAACACTGAATTGCCAACGAATGCCATTACACACTAGTAAGTAGTACTATCCCAGCCCCGATCCAGCGGGCCCGGCCATAGTCCATCTATTCTATATGATTGGAAGAGTCCATAGAATCCGCCATTATACAGATGCGTCTCGCAAGGCCTGCCGTGAAGCATCACTAATGTCCAGCATTTCATCGGCCAGGGCAAGACTTCGTTTCCGTGAAGATATCTTTGAGTCATCGCGTTTCCTCTGGGCTGGCGGTTGCTCCGATGTTTGCTTTAACGACTGTTCCGCAGAATCATTCGTCTCGGGCTTCGGCTCTGCCTCTGATTCTGATTCTGCCTCTGCCTCTGGCTCTCCAGTTAAGTGAGCCTGTGTCGGTGCATCGGGCACATTAGGCCAACCGTCCGGAAGACTCTGGCCACGCCACTGCCACTGCTGTTGCAAATCCTCATCGCTCATATCGCAGTACCCATAAGTATTGCAGAAGCACTGTTTAGGATCGAGACAAAACTGCGTCGGTTTCCCGAACATGACTGTGGCACCGTTAGCGATACACGTTCAATGGTGACCCAGACGCCGAAGCAAGGGATGAAGTGAAGAATGTCAACTCACTATGCCAAGAATATTCAAAAACCCGACCTGTAATCGACGCATCCAGCGGCGAATCCAACAACCACTGCCTCACCCAAATATAATCCTCAAGCGGCCTCTCGTGGATCTTCTCCCTCGACAGTGCAAACTGACTACAACATGGCACACCGACGCGCTCCGGCATCTCGATGTCCGGGAATAACTGCGCAAAACTATCCGGGAACACCACTGCGGTGATGTGGTCCTGGTCATCTGGCCGTTCGCGGTAGTATCGTGCGGGTTCGAGTTCGGCCGGACATCCGATGGCCCATGTGCAGCGAAGATTGACGTATCCTGCTGTCCGGACAAAGGTAGGCTGGAGATCGCGGACTGATATGACGGAGTCGTAGAGTGGGTTGTCGTTGTGCCATTGGTAGCGACCGCCGTGGAGGTAGATGCTGACGTCTGGGAGGGAGTGGTAGCGGTCAATTATGTATCTAGATGTGTGTTAGGGATTTGCGATTGATGACACAGAGAGAGAAATCTATCTCTCAAAACTAATCAGAGAAAGAAGAACATATCACGTACGTGAGGAAGACCATCGCTTCATTCCCCCGATTCGCCGGTACAGTCAATTCGGCTTGCTCGGGTGTTGCATCGACGCGATAGATATTGCTGTGCCATTCGGGCAGATTTTCCGTCACCCACGACATATTGTTCTTTAGCATGGCAGCAAAGACCAATTCCTTCTCTCGAGGCAGAGTAGGTGTCTGCATGGGAATGGCAGGGACGGTAGTGCTCGGGGTGGAAATCGGGATGCCGAAGTTGATGCTCTTGCTCGGTGTTGTAGATGGGGAGGGAGGATTGATGGAATGACCATCATTAGTGGCGCTTAAACTGCCATTGTCATTATCATTTGCATCTGCAATGCCAATTGCACTCGCATCTGTGGTATTGTGAGATGAATCGAAGCCCAGCGATGGGAATGCCGACTCGCTCGCCCAATCTGCGACCGAACCAAGCAGTTCACGATTGAGTACGAGCTGGTAGGACAACAATAGAAAGACCGCAGTCAGTCCAAGGTAAAGAAAGATGCGAGATCGACCAGGGGCGTCGGAGTGTTGCGGAGATGGCCAGATCATAGTTGCTGGCCGATCATATCATTTTATGACAAGATGGACCTTGGAGAAAGGAGAAAGAAAAAGTCAAAACGGGAGAGAAATGGAATTGGAATAGAATTGAAATTGAAATTGAAATTGAAACCGAAAGCAGAGAATAGGAGGATGGAATCAGGGTAGGGTCCAGCAGTCCGCAAGCAGCCCCAACTTGACGTAGACAAGTGGAGACTGCGAGAGTTGGGACGCAACTGCGATGGATAGGAGAGTGGACCAACGGATGATCACTCAACAACCAGGGGTCTGTTCAATACTTCGTATTGAGGGGCATTTAACAAAACGCCCCACGAGGTGTTGTGATGGCCCCAGATTGGTGCAGTTGGATCCAGATTGGCGATAGATAGTACTTTTGACTCCGCAGTACTAGTAGATCGCAGTGAGGTTGAGGAGTATTTTGGGGATATTTTAAGAGTACGGAGTAGATTTACTATTGAATGGAGTATCTACTCTGGCTAGAATGACTGGTAACTATCATAACCAGCAGTATCGTGCTGGTCTAAATTTATATACTAATATAGTACCTACAGGCATCTCCATTCCCTCCGGGGGCCATCCCCTATCCCCTATACATCTGAAACATTTTGGACGGATCGGCCCCGAGGTGAGACAGACTCAGAGACTGTCAGGCTTGCTTGTAATCTCCATGCATGGAATATCCCGACCATCCAGCCAAACACCCGTCAGTCATCACACACGAAACGCCCGTTGATGCTGGCCCCCGAGCCTAAGGTCTGGCCCCCCAAGCTAGAGCGACATACGTTGCTGGGCCCACGTCAGTGCGGGCTGCCAGCGAGGATCTCCCGGGCGCAACGCCCCCAGCAATTCCGACACCAAGGCTCGTCCCGCATCGCGGGCCCACCACCGCCGACCATCCAGCTCCCCCAATAAAACTCCCCAATACATCAGAATCAATAGACAAAAGGGCTGGCGACACCGGAGTCCATCCACGAATTCCTTCCTCACAGCCGCCAGCCACGCCAACGCCGGTGCGGGTTCCGGCTCAAGCGCGAATTTCGCATAACAATGCCGCAAATGCGCGATAATCTCGCGATTGATCTGGTGCTGCGACTCGTAGATACCCGTCATGACCTCGTCATTTAGAGCGTCTAATTGTGCCAGTGCACCATGCGTATCATCATCCAATTGCGTACTAGTATCCTTCCAGAACGCGCCTCGCGAGAACAACTCCAGGTTGATCCATGATTGGCCCACGCCAACCTGAAGGATCTTCTTGACACCCTGGAGCAATTCAAAAACCACCACCATGCTCTCCGTCATACTGGAGCTCTCATCCCTGATCCCCGTCAGCCGAGGTGAGGCAATACCAATGGCAGTCATGATAATCGAGTGCGCGAACACAGCATCGCAATTCTGCTCTGTAAGCGAGTCGATCGCATCACGAAACGGTTTCAAACTGCGATTATACCGCTGAAGCCCAATATCGAGATAGGCGAGTGCTTCCGGCGGCTCCCGCGACGAGGCAATATGCATAGCGGCAAGAGACAAGATGCCATTCATGAGAAAGTCATGCTTGAGCGCGAGGGTTGGCACAGTAGTCTGCCAGACCTCAAGCTCGGCGGCACTGACACAGAGACTCCGAAATGTCTCTGTGGAGAATTTGTGCATCAACTCGAGGATAGTCAATTCTGATTTGTGGAATGGGGAATCGACAACCTCCTTCCTAATCCCATTTGCACGGGTGCGACTGTTTTCCCTGGACACACCCTTGACGTGGGGAAGTGGGGCGGGAGTCCCGGACTGAGATTGTGATTGTGAAGCTCGCGCCGCCGCAACTTTGAGGTATGTGCAGCTTAACTCGCGCGCGGTACAGTTCGAACAGGGCGGGCCCCGCTCGTCACATTTGACTTTGCGTGTACGGCACTGGTCACAGCCCTTCCGAGATTTTGTGTGCGACCGGAGCGGCATGGTAGCCGGTAGCCATTGGGGGAGGGAAAGTTTTAAGGTGAGCTTGGACGTGGAGTTAGTTGAAATGCGGGCCGGTGGAGATTGAACTGGTCAGGCCTGTCATGTGACTGGTATAGGTCACATCGGGTGTCTCAGTATTATTTCTTGGATGAAGGGGCATAAACAGACGCTAGTGATTATTTGAATGATTCTCGTATTTAAAAATTATAGATATAGTATTCTAGTAGGTATTACACTTTGCAGTTTAGGATACGACAGGTTATTTCCACGCTAGATAAATCGTGTATTCAGGTCACTCTCATTAAAATTATCAACAGGAAGAATAATCAACATTGACTGTAGATCAGATAGAAGTATAAATAAGCGAGAAAGAGTCAATGTGGGCCAAAGTTTTCCATCCCTAAAAAAATATGGTACGATCAAGTCAAGATGGTCCAGTTTAAACCAACATGGCGACCGCAGCAAAAAGACCAGCACCCGTAACACCAGCCAACCCGACCTTCTTGTCATTGGCTCCGTTGAACATGGGGGTAGACGAGGCAGACTTGGACGGCGAAGTGCTACTCATAGGACCAGTCATGGACGAAGTAGGTGTGGTCATACTGCCCATAGCTCCCATCTTTTGTCCAACCTATCCAAACAAAGCATCAGCCATGAAAAAAGGACACAAAATGAGATCAAATTGAATCGAAATAAACATTGTTTTTTCTTTCTAAATTACCTCAATAATAGCGGGACCGGCAACAATGTTGTCGTCAGTGGCCTGCTTGTTGCCCTTGGTAAGAACGACATAGCTCTGGCCTGCAACACCCTTGGGGATAGTAACGGTGTATTTTCCGCTTCCACTGGAGGTGACAGGAGCCCAGACGGGACCGGTGACGGTAATAAAGGCAGCATAGAGGTCACCTGCATCGGTGGAGTTCATGCCTGGGCCGGCCATGAGCTGAACCTGGGATCCAGTCATAGCGGTGCTGGTTGAGGTCATGGTGAGGGTGGGGAACGCCTTGACGGGAAGCTTGCCATTGCTGGATGGGCAAGAGGTAATGAAGGGGGCCGCAAGGGTGTAGACCTCATTGAAGTCAAGGGGGGTTGTCGAAGGGTTGAGCGGAGGGTGCCTCGCCAAGGGCAGCACGCAGGTACGCACTGTGTCGGGCTTCGACGGTGAGGATGCTGCCGGCCGCAGTGAGGTATGTCTTGTCCATGATGCTGGCAGCGGCACCGAGGTAGGCGCTGACACCGACACCTAGAAGGATATTCAGTTAGATAACACTAGAGAAGAGAGTGAATATAAACTTACCCTCCAACACACTAGCAAGGCCAGCAAACGACTTCGCATCTGTAGCAGGGAAGGAGTAATTGCATCGGGCAACGGGGGACGCACCGGCGGCTAGATATTGGTAAGTAAATGCAGAAAGTTAGGTTATCACCCAGATTTATAGAACATACCCTTCAGGGCCGAGGTGAGGAATGCCTCGTGGGACTGCTCGTCCTTGCCAACCTCCTGCAAGTTGGCATAGAAGGGGTCCTTGAGCCCAGCGTTGACAAAGTCAGCCTGGGTGTAGTTCTTAAGACCCTCCTCGTAGAAAGCAGCCTCGAGGTGCTCGAGAGTCAACGCGTAGTTGAGGATGTCGGCTGGATTAGAATATTAGTCAATTGTCAATTTCTGCACCGCAAAGGAGGAGATGCAAGTGCCTTACCATCGGTGATGGCACGCTTGGTGACTGGGCCGGCTTGGGCAAGGCCAACAGCGGCACCAGCCAAAGCAATGTTGGTAAACTTCATCGTAGAAAGATTGTTGATTGAGCTTGAATCAGATGAAGAATTATAGCGCGACTAATCCAAGAAACAAATCCACGTTCATCAGACGCGAGAGGACCTCTTTATAGGAAAGAGAGGACTTGGTATTTGTAATGTTGTCCAGCCGGCCAAGCACGGAAAGGGGATAATTCAATTCCATTCCTTTACTCTAGATGGGTGTAAGTATGGTTGGAGAACCCAGAACGAGGATCGCTGAGTGATATACCATATCAGGCAAATTCATTGAATAATCTCCGATTACCGAGTACTGTTCTGCGTCATATTGGGCGTGCTAGCTTGTTCATCCATGTGGTTAGGCGCAGAATGCAATGCAAGGGCCCAGAAATGCGGAGAAGATGGGAGAGCTTGGACCCTGGCTCTGTGTTAATTCGCCGAGGTGAAGGAGCTTTGGCCAAAGCTACCAAGTTGGGGTATTATTCTTTGTCCGGATTGGGTTGGGATGGGGTTGAAGGACAAAGCGAAGGACGAATGAGAAGGGTAGCGAGAGCGGGAGCGGGAGGAACGAGACCGAGACCGAGAGCGATCTTCAAAATGAGAAATCAAGAATGAGAGCGAGAGCGAGAGCGAACTAGAACGAGCTCCGGTTCATCCGATAAACAAACTTGGCCAGCCAAATTTGAGTTCCTGGTTTAAATGGTCTGGGCAAGGGCACAGCCTCCAAACTATTGATCTTTCCGTAATTACTTTACTACATGCGGTTAAAGAAGAAAATGCACAGGTAGAATATACTACAGTATTCTTCATTTGAGATGAGGAGAATCCATTGCTAAAGATCTAATACTAGTATACTGGGGTGATCGGCAGGCAGACTGCCTCGCAAACATGGTCGTCGAGGAATTATTTTAGTTAGAGCGAATTTGAAACCGGCATTGCTGTTGGTATTAGCCAGTTCTGAGAGACGAACTGTTCTAGATTATCCAGCAAATCCCCTGTTGCCTCGGTCTTTGGCATCCATGGCCGAGGGAAATAGTCTTCCAATGCAAGCACAACCTCCGCCCACTCCATATGCAGATCAAATTCAGGTATCCGACTCCGCATCGCTGCAAACTCATCCGCTTCCGGCCATGTTGCTCTTACCCTCTCCGTCCAAAATCCTGTGTTCCAATCTCCCATCACAGAATCATAATGTGACTGGATAGCTGGTTTATGTTTTCTGATGTATTCCATGATAACAGGAAGAATGATCATTGGTCGATAGTCAGTCCACCCAACTAAAGAATACATTCCCATATGTAAATGCATTGGAGTCTGAGGCTCAATAGTATACACATTTTGCAGAATGTACCGAAGAACGGTTGAAGTCGCATGATTAGCTGCTGCACCAAATTTCTGCAACGCCAAGAGCTGCAGCATCTCCATTCCCAGGTACCGCGCAGCATGAAATATACTTAGGTGAAGACTGAGTAAGCGGAGGTGGTTCATGCAACTCCAGCACCCATTGGGATACTTCTTCTTGTCAATTGGAAAGTCTTCCACATCCATTGCTTCCACAGCGTACTCCCCGGTATAAAGGAACTGGTTAAGGTATGTTAAATGTACCGGGAGTACTGGCTCATCGACTGTAATATTATTCATTTTTTTTCGACCCTTTTTGTCATAAAAATATGATTAGTAGGTACTAGTATTTTAGCACGAAATGTATAATTGCCTGTCAATGGCATTGGGGGCCCGGTGTCACTAAAGAAAATGATAGAAAATTACCTGGCGCGATATAGCTTGTCTCAAAACCAGCGACTCACGAACGACATCGGACTTTCGCACGGAAGTATGGTATCCGGGATCATGCTTGCATCTGATTTGAAAATCCGGTCTTCGTTCGCGGAGAAAGCTGTGCAATAGTTAGTTATCAGCCCCACTAATTCAGGGGCAAGCGTCGGTTACATACCTCTCTTTTGCTAATAGAACCGCAGTTTGGTGCTCCAACCCCTCTCCTGGGCCAAGATACACATGTTCCAGGGTACGATCTGGGTCACAGCCACATACCACAGGCATTTCTTCTCACAGGCGTATATGAAACACCCCGAGCTTAGTACACATCAAACAAATCATGAATAGAGAGGGGTTATTTTCACTCCAGGGCTGTCGAATGCACTCGCACCCAACTCGCTTTCTCACGATAGAACTTGTAAATACAGAACTTGAAACTACCAAAAGCCCTGCAAACAAAATATTTATCTTTTAACAGATCTACTCGACGTTTCATTATTATATTAGTGATGGCAAGACTCGACATGTTGAATAAGAGTCAAAGGAAACAAAGAGCGTTGTCATGGGTCTTGTACGATACGGGAGAGGCTTACAGATATCGCCACTCGTACAATGGATCAGGTACAATGGATCCAAGCCACATCTGGTTCTAGTCCGAGCTCAAATTCCTCCAGAAGGAATTTGGCTTAGATGCCAAGTTTACTGAATTGGTGGAATTGCAAGCCAACTTCCCACCTCGGCAAGGAAAACAGCCCAATCAAAGAAAGACGTCACAAGAAATTTCATTTACTTCAAACCCAACTACTCAAGTTCAACTCAATGAATTTTCTGATTGGTCTCTGAAAGACTGGAAGAAGCGGCTAGCACTTTCCCTTGACAATCAGAACCGACACATCGTGGCTTGACAAAGACGCCGTATAGTGATTCTTTACACATCCCAAGTCCTTCCCGCTCCAAGCGTCAATGACTTGATATGAACCCCCATCTAACTCCGGAATCTCATTCCATACAGCTGTACGGGAGGCGGTGGCGTTTTCGGAGTTCAACATCAGCACCAACGTGCCTTCTAGGGTAGACGAGGGACCCGACCAGTATTCCGCGGGATGTTCAGCATCAAAGGTCCAGTCGGGATTATATCCCCACTTGTATGGATGGGCGGAACGCCCGATGACAGGATCCTGATGGAAATCCAGCAGATATTTATTCTTGAGGACAGCCAGATTGGCGTCGCTGATGTTGTTCAACTGAAAACAGCGTTAGTAAATTCAAGTTGGGGGACTGGCAACATTGGAACTTCAAAGAAAGGTCAAAGAATGGAACCTGAGGAGCGACACTTACGGCGGTACCGATGATCAAAGGAGATTTCATAACTGCCCAAAGGGCAAAGTGTGCCCGGTTTTCCGCCGCTGTGAGATTTCCATTGCCAATCTCCAGCATATCTGGATCGGGATGACCCCAAAAGCCAACATAGTTCATCTTGAAGCTGTTTTCATTGGCGATCTCCGAAATACGTGCCCAGTCGGCTTTTATCTGTATTAGCACGAGGCAAGAGTTTAGCAGGATAAGATGAAGGTGAAAGACCCACCAGTTATATCGCCCGACATGCGCCAGGAGTTTCCGGTTTCATTACCCCAGGTGTTAACATCTGCCTGGCCCCAGTCACATAGAGAGTAGAAGATGGTTCTGTTCGTGGCAAGGAGAGCATCGCGCATAGTAGTATAACGCGTGAAAGTTTTGGAGGTGGTCCAGTCGTAACCCTTTGGTGCTGGATTATCAAGATCAGGACAAGTCCCATTGGGGAAATTCCCACTTCCATCAGGGACACAGTCGGTATACTTGTCGGTCCAGTTGGAGGGGACGCCGCAGTTGTCGTATTTCAGGTCTGTGTGGTTAGAGTTGCCGGGATCAGGATAATTCAAAGTGTGTGTAGGATGGAGGCTTACAGTCAATGCCCCATTCTGCAAAGGCTTCTGCATCTACCTTCTCATAGCCCAAGCTGGCTGGGTATCCGGCACAAGTGGTTTCACCAGCACCTGAAGATACTTAGTATGTATCACAGGTGCTAAGGTTCATGAGATAAAATGGGAGGCTCACTGCTGTAGATACCTACTTTGAGGCCGAGATCATGGATTTGACTAGCTACCCCAGAGATACCGTCGGGGAACTTTGAGGGGTCTACAATAATGCGATGGGTGCTGGCATTGCGGGTGTTCTTAATGGACCAGCAATCGTCGACTAGCATAGGGTGTCAGCAAGAATTAGTCAATAAGACAGGAGCTTCAGATGAAAGGATCTCTCACTATTAACGTATTCGTATCCGAGATCCTTCAGTCCCAAGCTGATGATCTCATTGGCCGCTGTCATGATCTTCTCCGAATCAACGTCGCAGCCAAAAGCATTCCACGAATTCCACCCGAGGGCAGGCAATCGTCCCTAGTAGAGCAAGTCAATTGAATGGTTTTCAGTAACCCAACATAAGCGGAATAATTACCACGCCATCCTCTCTCACGAGTGCATTCGCCAATGGCAATAAGGCCAGAGAAGAGAGAGTCAAGGCCAGCATGCTAAATTGTTCCGAAATTCCACGGCACAAAATCCTCCTCGCAATGCCCCCTTGATTAGATATTTATAGAGGTCTAAGCTACTATCAGGTGCGGGGAATGAAACCCGAGCCGGATAAATAAGCACTGAATATACCCTAGTTATATGAGGGGAAATGGAAAACTCCCATGTCGATCAATGCAAGTGGCGCTCACAGGGTGGCATCGATGGCCGTACGCGCGTTTGGTCCAGGTAAACAAGCCAAGAAAGGACCATAGCAGTCTTCGTGAATAACCCTGTTCCGGGTAAAAGATGAACGCACATACCTGAGAACTATCTGTGTTCTACTACGTCCGCTAGCCAACCCTGGGGAGCCGGAGTATACTCAACCGAAATCCCCGGAGGTTAATAACGCAAGCGATGGAGATCGGCACTGCACTACATTACACTCAATACTACAGTAGCAGTCCCTGGGATGGAATATTTTCGCTCATGATACATGTCTATCGTGAAATCATTACTCGTATAATATACACCTCGCTGCTGCAAGAAAGAATGGGGTTCCAACGCTCAACTATGCAATATGCTCATTGACCCTTTAGGATTAGCGCACGGGCTTGGCGGGGATCGGTGCCGAGGACGGTGATGAGATATTCGATGCTAAATCCAGGTGTTAGTAAATTGGATCTTGCACAATCTAACTTAGCAATGTGCATGAAGTAGGCAACTTACCTAGCCTCGGAAGCCAACCGCCGCTTCTCATCCTGGAACTCCTGCTGGCAGGCCTCCCACGTAGCAGCTCGTTCCTGCGGCAAAACCGTTTTGACGCGAACCTTGAAGGTAGCACTGACAGGTCGGTGATCGGAGGCACGGACCTCGTGGCGTCGGTATTCGAGTTGCTTAACGCGGCCGACGCCGCGATACAAGACGCGGTCGCACCAGGCAGGGGAGCGCTTCTTCTCACTAGAATCGTATTGATCGGTACCGACATCGTATTTATAGGTCGGCGCAAAGGTGATCGGAGCTTCGATGAAACTGCGGAGTCGGAAGCCTGGGTTCTTTCTTCGAGACGCCAGAAGCTGGTCGCGTTCGAGTAGTTTAGTAAGGTTGTTTTGGCGGACGGCGTCAATGATCACGTTACGAGGGATCGCATCAATACGGTAGTTCAGATCACCGTTCAAGAAGCAGACCTCATGATCCATGATCATTGAGCCATCGCCGCCGCTTGCGAATTGATTAGTACGCGTGCTCAGGCTGTTTTCCGACTGTAAAGTTTCCGCCTCGAGGATCGCAGCAATATCGTTGTTACGGTGAGCGGTTTGTGTTTGTCCAGCTGCTAAATGGCAATTGACAAAGCACATCGAGCTATCGTCAAGGACGAAGCGGAAGACAAGAGCGCCCTAAAAGTACGATTAGCTTTTGCTGTATCCGCGCCTTCGAAAGCAAAGCCACCACAAACCTTGTTTCCATGCAACCCGCCCATTCCCCGCTTGATCTCCGAAGCATTGATGTTTTTGATATTATGGCGTTCTTTATGCTTGACAAATACGCAGGTGAATAGTCCAACCATGTTGGAACTGTGCAGAAGAACGTAGGATTCCTCAAGGGGCATACACTCGTGCAGAGTGCGGGTGAGGTGATCGATCCAGACCCGGTACTGCCGGCTCATGTGCTCTTTCTCCCCATTCTCCTTCTTCTTGCTTCCAAGGAGCAAGCTCTCTGTGAAATAGTCAGTAAAATGGCCACCAACTTAATTTTTAGAGCACCTACTAGCAGTGATCTTCTTATTTTCCAGATCAACCAGCTCTTGGAACCCAAAAACAACGATGTCTGGGGGATCTTCCGGATGGACAGCATCTCGAATGAAGTCTGAAGTGCGCACACTGCCTGGTGTGGAAGCGCCGGCGTTCCACGTAATGATGGCAGTTCGAATTTCTCGGAAATTGCAGAATTCGACATCCTTGGTTTGCATGCGAGCATCTAACGCGCGTTAGTAAAAGGGTTTATCCCATCGAGCGTCTACCACAACATGACTTACCCAGCCAGTCGTCCTCCAGCATACCATCCCAGAGACGGATGCAGTTGTCTGTGCCAAGGGATGTTACCTGTAGGCGGTTCAAAGTCCAGACACTACTAGTATCCAGGACGAACGCGGATACAGGGCTGTCATGAGCACGCCAGTCCTTCTTCACCGTCCATGGATTGGTCTTCACATCGTACACGTAAATCATGCCCGTTTTATAACCAGCCCACAGATAGTCTCCAACCATGGCAAGACAGTTAATCTTGTAGACACTGACATTGACCACAGCTAGACATGAGTAGTCGGATGAAGAATAAACAGTGACCTTGCCATCTGCGTGTCCCAGATACACGCGGCCACCATCCTTCGTAGTATATGTGCCAGAGGTAACATCGCCGGAGTGCTGAAGACCCAATGGCCGCTTGAAGAGCTTAAAAGAGGCGTCATCGCGTGCATTCGGGCGGTAAATATGGACATCCTTGCCAGTTGCAAGCCAAAGTGTATCGTCCACAACCATGGAGAATGTATGGCCACGAGCAACCCGCTCGTGGGGATCATGATAACTGTATTGCAGATTGGGCGTGCCAGTCTCATCAGCAGGCCAAATCAAGAGACGACCTTCGTCGTCGAGTGTCCACATCTCTTTCTTATGACGCAGAATCTTAATGACCTCCCGACGAGAGGGATAAGCACGGGTGGCCACAATGGATTCCGACGCGATATCTACTTCATGAATATCACCGGCGGATGTTCCAAGCCAAATGCGTTTGCCTTCTTCCTCAAGTGTTGCTCCAGGCTTGAACGCTAGAGAATGGGTCTTCACAGTTTCTCCGTGTGAGAGGCTCATAACCTGCTCGCCGGTCGTGAGGTCCCATATGCGCGTCAAATAGCCGGCTGTACATACATATTTGCCGCACACATCCATTAATCGAGTGTCGTATCGAGTGTGAATTTCTTTGGGCCCGGTCTTAAGGAATGGTGGCCTGCGGTTAGCCATCGAAGCATCAGGGTAATCGGTACGTGAAATTGGCGGTTCCTCCGTATTCAATTCATCCTCAGTGTCTGTGGGTACGGGACGACGCTCCTGATAACTAGACGAAAGATGGGATTCCCGAGGCAGGGTCTGTTGTGGTTGGAGGGGCCGGGGGTTCTGGGCATGGTTCAAATGGACATGAGACGGAGCAGATCGGGCAATAGGTGTCATCGGGCTAGAACTGATTATCGGCCGAGGGGGGTTCCCGAGCAGGTGAGAGCGCACTCTGTCGAGGGACCGAAGCAATTGGTCGAGGAGGAAGGCCTGGACGTTCATGGGGACTGTCGCTTGCTCGAAGCTTCTGTGTTGAAAGGGGCGGGGCGGTGGAAGCTTCTGGGTATACAGAAGACGTGGGTGGAATTTGCACCATCAATGGTTTAGTAGACCGACAAGGTTCGGGGACAGGACGAGTCCGAGAGAAACCCAGCTCTCTCGCATCATGTTTTGCCTGGAAACTTGGCGCAGGTGACCGGTCATCAAATGATCGCCTAGTTGGGGGTTCGGTTGTAGGACGCCCTGGGGGAAGCCTCGGGGGAAGCTTGCTAGCAGAAGTCGGCTTGGCTGGGGGCTTTTCTGGACTGCTGGGCGGAGTGTTGAAAGGTGAAACATGGTCATCAGATGATGCCAATTCGGATCTTGGAGCTAGTGTATTGGTATCTGGGTGGGAGAACTGAGCTGGTTTGGCTGGGATCTTCGGCTTCGACGCCCTGTTAGCGGGAGGAGGCAACGAAGCACTCTTGAGCTTCCGATCAGCTGGGCTTCCATTCCCATTCACCGCAAGAGAGCCGGGCGATAGTCGTTGGGCTGTATCTCCGAGGGGAAAGGACGACCCAAGCTGCGGCGTAATCGGCCTCGGAGGGGGTGGTGCGGGGGAAACTCCGGCAGAAACGGATGCCCTGGGAAGATGAATCGAGCTCCTAGCCATGCGATTATCATCGTGACGGGGCAGTGATTGCTCCCGCCTGAGCTCCCGCGGCGGCGATTGGGGTGAATCGACAGTTAAAGTGGGCGGCAGCTGTGGTGACGAGCGGTTCAAGCTCATCGAGATGGGTCGGCCATAACGACTGCCGGGGGATCCGCGAGCGCCTAACTGATTTCCATAGGGGCTCGTAGATGGATCAGCACGCCGACTCTGCCTTTCGTCCAGTGTCGCATTCCATGGGGAGTGTGGCCGAGGTAGATCCAGGGAGGCACGGGTCGAAGAGCGCGGCTCATCGCCAAGCTCGGGGGTTCTCAAGAAATGACTTGAGGATTCATGCGGTTTTGTGCCAGCCGAAGACAGAGTCTTGCGGTGTGAGAGGTTTTCGAAATGGGAGAGCAAAGAGGATACGGGTCTCTGTTGATGCCAGATAGGTTAGTGTCTCCGCAAGCCACACGGGGATAAGCTAGGGATATACATACAGAGGGAGGATCATTGTGGTCCGATTCCCTGCCATCTCCCTCCATGGCCATAATTGTATAATTTGTATCGCCGAGGCCAGCTGGGCAGATCGGTCATAAGCCCACCGGTGCCTGGAGAGGTCTCGTGGGCAATAATGTAGGAACGACGTAATGCGCTTGGGAGGACTGAGGAGGCCAGGGAAGAACGGGAAAATCCCTGGAGACGGAAGAAATGAACAGAGCGAGGGAGGCACAGAGGCCGGAGAAGTAAAATTGTAGTCAAAAGGACATGCGAAAGGGAAGTGAAATGAAGTGGCGGGGGAGGAAAGTGGAGGACTGACGACGATCACGGGAAGCGATCAACTGGTGACTGGTCTGCCGCCATACATCCGATTTACTAATTCAACACGCAAAACTTGAAGGATTAGGACCGTACTGGGAATACTACTATGTGAAAAATCCTTTTGGCTGTCTGAACATCCTATCCTATCTAGAAACGGTGCTGTATGTGTATTACCATGAGCTACAGTAGGAGGCCATGCTACTAATAATAACTCTAATACTTTCTCACCGCCGGGTATCTAACTGAGTGCCTACATATACTAGTATCTAGAGGAGCAGCCCTGGAGTGCTAACTATCTCAGTAAATTGAACTAATAAGATCCATAAGGCCTACTAGTAGGTACTACTACCTTAAGGTATAACCTTAAATCCAGAACATGTAGTTAGTAACTATTTGGTAGGTAGAGTACTAAAAACCTTTACAGAAAGCATTTGTATGAGACACGGTTTAGCAACTTGAATGTAGCAATTTTAATCTAAACGCAAAGGTAAGTTCTTTAGTTCCAACCCTTATATATAAATTTCGAATTAAGCCTAACAAAGAAGGTCCTCAACCGGCACTAGGAGCCACCTGTCCGGGTCCTGTCCACGATGTAGAAAATCAACGATCTACCTCAGATCCTGGCAGGCAAACTCGTAAATTTGAGAATTCAGCTCATCCCACATGTAATATTTCCCGCCAGATTCAATGGTTTGAGTCAGACTTTCTTCATCCTCTAAGATCGCTCGTCCGGGGCCAAGACCGAAAGCGCGTGCGACAACATGACCTCTGCTATCAGGACTATCCCATTCGTCTTCGAAAGGATGATCTGTCCACTCCGGAGGAACAGGATATTTCTAAGATAATGTTTGAGTTAGAAGACTTTTCATTGATAGGTTTATACTCCAGGAACATCATAATTTGAAGATTCAGTACTGGTTTTGTCGAGGGAACTTGAATTCGACTTTGCAGGTGATTTGGAAGGAGATTTAGTAGACGAGTTACTCATTGATCCCTTTTCTGTTGGCATAATGGAGGACTAACTAATAATAATTAGTAGCGTAATCTTATGGGAATGAATAGTCGGTAATACTTACTGGAGACATAGTGATGGTCGGCATCCCGATGATAACTGGAGTACTTGGCAAAATGGAAAACGGAAAAAGCCTGTGAAGATCTTGGATGAAATAATTCGTGGGATGGTAACAAGAGTATGGAGTTGGAAAATCGGTAGATGATCTGTAATGCTACATCTGCATTCCCTGGATCTATGGCGAGTAAGTCACGTGTTGGTGCATCTGCACTGCTGATGACGATCACGGGAAGCGATCAAATGGTTCCTGGCGCTCTTCCGCAATTCCAACTTCCCCTGTTCACGCGTTCCCACTTTCTCAATTTCTTGCATAGCCTCTCACCAGAAAAATGTGGTATGTTATTATCTGACCACTTGAATTTACCAGTGCTGTCTGAATCCACATGGTTATGGCCAAGCCGACAAGATCCCAGGCTAATGTTATCCCCCCGCCATGCAGTAAACACATTCTCAACGCTCAGGTGTCCATTCGTTCCGCCTGCTGTATGCCGTTCTCGAACTCAAATCTACGTGGAGTCAATTAACCAACTATTCCTCAGGCCGCAAGTGGTTCGATTGCGCCGAGTGCCATGGAGAACAAGAGAAGCACCCACTCACAAAGTCCGCCGAAATGGTATGCAGTTCCAGATTCCCGTTCAAAATCAAACATGACCCGGCAGGAAAAAGACTCGGAGTCTAACAGCTACAAAACCTAGATCTTCGCGTGCAAGAAGTGCAAGAAGTGCTTCCGCAAGGACGCTGGCGAGTTTGAAGAGAGGTCCGTATATACCCCGCGTTCGTGGAAACGAACTTCAGAACGTGGAACTGAGAGCTAGAGCTAACTTTTTTCTCTCATTTTCCTTTCAGTGACGAGTACTGCCCCCACTGTGACAACCATTTCGTCCTCGAGGCCGTGACACCACAAGCATCTCTCCAGGTGGAGGGTGACGACGCCCGCATGGATAACCGGTGTGTCCCCGAGAACCAATATACTCATATACCAAGCCGAACACGCCTAGCTGACCAATATTCCCCAGTATGCTCAAGGATGACCGTGTCCGTGGCGACAAAGACCGATCCCTCTTCAAATTCCGCGATGTCTCCGACCGCATGGGCTAGAGGGATGTCCTGCACATATTTCATGATGTTGACGATACGATGATTTTCTTGGGCTAGACCAAGATTCCTGGCATCAATACCCTGTTGTTTTTTGTTGTATATTATGGGAGCTTAGGAGCTTAAAATGGAGTGGAATGTCAAGTGATACGAGGCCTGGTTGGCGTGGTTTCGTGAAGTTCAACGAGAAGCAAAGTCCTACCTTTCAAAGTTCGTAGGCATGTCAAGACGGTATATTCAGCCTCGACCCCCGGAGCTCAAGTGCGAGATACTAGTGCTACTAGAACTACTATGTACAACTAGCAGTGATCTACACATTTCCGGTTTTCACCGCAAGGAGTTGGAGCATGATATAAGATATCGTGGTTTTGTCTTCATAAGGGACCAGCGCTACAGTAAATCGACAGTCAAACCCCCAGCATCTTAAGCCGGGACCAAATCAAATCCTCTATCTGCCATCCTACCCACGAAAGCCCCGCCTCTCAGAGAATCGTTATCTACTCAGCACCGGGCCGGGTCAGAATGGCCGCTGTGGTGGTAGCCGTCCGGCTAGTCTTCTTCTTGGCAGCTTCCTCCTGCTTCTCCGTCTCGATGCTCTTAACATACGCCTCGATCTGGTCATCTGGCAGCATCTCGACCCGCTTTCCGGGGGCCATGATTGCCACCTCGATGTTCTTTGCGCCGGTCTGCACAACCTCCAGCAATGACTTGATGGTCAGCTGGATTGTCTGCTCGCGGTCCATGCCGTCCTGGTGGTTGCGCTCGAGGAACTCGCGGACGGTCTTGCTAGATCGGCCAATGGCATTGGCTTTCCTGTGTGGTGAAAGATATCAAATTAGCATCCGAGTTCGCAGCAAGTTTGGAAGGGCTGGCCAGGTTATGAACTCACCAGGCAGAGTAAATTCCAGACGGCTCGGTCTGGTAGAGACGGGGGGTTCCATCGTTCTTGTCGAAGCCAACGACCAGCGTACTAATACCGAACGGACGAACACCACCACTCTGGGTATATCTCTGCTGCACACTGGCGATGTATTTGGTGATATATTCGATAGTGACAGGGTCCTCGACTGTGAGGCGGTGGGACTGGGCCTCTAACCGGGCCTTGTCGATCAGGATTCGGGCATCGGCATTCAGACCGGCGAACGCGAGGCAGACGTGGTCATCGACCATGGCGATTTTAGAGGGGGTAATGCGGGTATCTTGAAGTTTGAGGGCGGAGCGCTTCTCGCAGCCGAGGACAACGATGTCATCACCTTTCACACCGACGGCACAGGTACCTAGAAGGTGAGGATGTCTTAGTAATTTGTGCTTCAAAGCCCAGAGTCCATATGTCGACGCAGCTGGAGCTTGGAAAATGCTGTTGGGATGGGAGGGCTGGTCTTACCGCGCTTGACAGCCTCCATGGCATACTCGACCTGGAAAACGTGTCCATCGGGACTGGGCTAGGTTAGATTTCAGATAGCTAGAGCTTTGGGTCGCAGTCGCATACCTGAATACTAGGATGAGTTAGCATCTAATGGTTCTCATCGAGGGCTGGAGCAAAGGGAGCTTCCCGGGAGAGCTAGCTGGCTTACCTGAGAGAGCTCGGTCGTAACCGGACATTGTGGAGGAATATTAAGGAGGCGACAGAGATGCGGATTGAAAAGGAGGGATATTATCAGGCCGGAGGGATTGATGGGGTAGAAGGTGGGAAGCTGAGCAAAGACGATGAGATGCGGTAGAGGTAGCGGTAGTGGCAGTGGCAGCAATGACGGGGTTGCGGGCGGTGGACGCGACAGTGGACGGTTGCCTTGGCGCAGCCACGCGGATGACACTGGTGCTCTGGTAAACAATTAATGAGAATAAATTCAGAGAATTGGAAGTTGAGCAAAGATATTTAAAGAAGAGGGAATTATCTGAGTTCAGTTTAAATTCAAATTTACTTTGTTGATGTCATTCCATAGTCCTGAGGTTAATATACGAACTCTGCATAGCTCTACTACTCTGCTACTACTACCTATTAGTTAGTAGGAGCTGATTTTTATAGAACATCTTCAATTCACTGAAGACGCTAGGACTACAACTCGTACTACATCATTTACTAGTATCCTTATCAATACACTAACTTCAGGTTGAAGTATCCCATCCGTGTACCAATTGATTCGATACCTCTATGTTATACAGGCAAGGCTTTTCCCAAAGCTACCCGAGACAGATACAGGGAAGAGAAAAAGATACAAGACACATCAGGAAATATGGACAAACAATCTTTTTTAGTAGCATTCACAAGAGCCTGGCGGTATTCCCAACCGAGAACCTCGAGAACCTCGATCGAATGCCAGCGCAAGCGCAAAAGGAAATCCCCCAACACCCCCAACGGAGTCCGAGCCATTGTGTATCCCACCCGTGAGATCAAATACCGTGAATTCTCCGACGCTTGCCATGGACCCAACGCAGGAAAGAGATGACAAAAGATCTAAAATGCAAAGCAGGTTCAAAGAGTGCGATTGTTCAACTGAACTCAACTCTCCGTTCAACCCAGGCTCACAATGCGTTCGCGTCCGAAAAACCCACACCGACAACGGCTGATAGAGAAAAAAAGAACCCACGCCCCGGGATTCCCGCGGCCGCCATCCCTAAACAATGAAAATGGGACAAAAAGGAAAAGGAAAGAGGAAAGAAATAATCACAAAAATATGAGAAGGAAAAAAAAGAACCAAGAAAAAGCAGCAGACCAAAAGAACCAAAAGACCATGAAGAGCTGATGATGGAATCAAGGATATGTAAAAAAAAGCATCCCACAAATCACCGGCGAGGAGAGAAAACATCCAGAACCATCAAGACGCTACCCGCCTGCTCCTTCCAACCCGATGCACCCGGAACCGCAGAACCCTTATACAAATGCGTATCAACGAATATCAACCAACGCATAGACCTGCCACAATGCAGGGTTGCAATATGGACAACGTAAGTATGACCGCCCGGCTGGGCTTTGTTTTTTGTTTGGATTTATAGACAGTCTATTCGCTTTATGCGGGAGACTTGTTAGCACCAGCACCGTTGCGGCGCGAGTGAGGATCATCAGCAACGGTCAGACCACCGAGACCAGTCGAGAGGAAGGCAAAGGGGTCACTAGAGCTCTCGGCACCACCGTAGAATGCGCCGTTGGAAGTACTGGTCGACGGCACGCCGTGGTCTGCGCCAGTGAACGCGGCCTGGGTGGCCGGGTTGGCGAAGGATGCAGCAGAGTGAGAGGTGCTGGATGAACCGTAGCCGGAGTTGACCTGGCCCATGGGAGGGTAGGCACCCGGGGCGTTACCCAGCCCACCGGAGGGGAGGGCGTAGTTGTTGGGCGGGCCACCACCGAACTGCTGACCGAATCCACCGAAACCACCGGCGGTCGAGGCGAAAGGTCCCGGAGCCGGAGTGCTGGCCATGGAGTTAGGGCCCATATTGAACCCCGATGGAGGTTCCATGGGGGAAGGGAACGCCGAGTCGGCCACAACGGCAGCCCCTGAACGAGGCGCACCGCAGCGGAGACAGTTGATGTTCTTGGCAAAGTTGTGATAACCGCAACCCTCCGAACCACACTTCCAGTCACCGGCACGGAAAGGAACAACACCACCATTACCACCGCCCATGCCACGCGAGTGGCCACCCATTCCGTGGCCGTGGCCCATGTGAGGAGGCATCATGTTTGGGGGGTCCGTAGCCATATCCGTAGCCCATTGGGTCGGGCGCGGCGGCCATGGCGGGGAATGAGCAACGGAAGCAGGCAGTGCGACGCTGGAAGTTGGAGAAGCCGCAGGATGGGCAGGTCCAGTCACCAGGACGAGGACGGTTCTTGGAAGGAGGGAATGGAGTGAGGATTTCCGCAGCGCGGTCCAGAACACGGCTGGAAGACGGGGAGACCTCGATGGCCTTCTCGTTCAGAGCGCGGCCGTTCATGCACAGGCTCTCGGCGGCCTCTTCGTGGGAGGAGAATACGGCGAATCCGGTGCCGGTTGGCTTGTGCTGATCGGGGGTTCGGAGAGTCCAGAAAGCAATGGGCCGGCCACCGAACTGAGTGAACCAACTCTCCAGCTCGGACTGGGTGGTGTCGTGGGGCAAACCACTGAGATGGAGAACCTTGCTTCGCTCGGCCAGAAAAGCGCGCACATCGGCGTGGGCATCCATGGGGCGAGTGAGGATCTCTGGGTGTTCCTGGGCAGGTTGGGATTTGCGAATCAGACCGCGGAGGACCCGGGCGAGGGTGATCGACTCCTCCATGGCACGGCGCGGAGAGGCGGGAGCCAGTGCTTGCAGGTGGAAGGGCAGGTTGTGTTTGATGGGAGCCGAGGACTGAACGGGCTCGACTTCGAGGGCAGCACAGATGTTGGAGAGGGAGCTGGGTCCGAAAGGCAGAGACTCGGGGTGGTGGGTTTGCCAGCGCTGATATTCGGTGCGCAGGTCAAAAGTGCGGGAGTGCTGCAGGAATGGGGGCAGGACAACGGCCTTGTCACGGGCCTCGCGGGGCAACTGCACGCGCAGATCCCAAGAATCCAACGTCACAAAAGCAAACTCGAGTTGCTTGGTGGTAAGGTGCTCGCTGGCAAAAGTATCGAATCGGGTAATGGCATCACGGAAGGTACCTGCGGAGCGAACGTGCTCCCATGTGAGAGTGGTCAAACTTGCTATAGTTGCATATTAGTGCCTGACGTGATGTCTTTCTCTTGCTGGCGATAAGAAGAGATCGGAGTATAAGGTTGGGGGGAAAGATGAAGCGCTTACTGCAGAGTGGGGTTATGGGAGTGTTGACGGGCTTGACGAGGACGCTTTCACGGTGCAACTAAAGAATTGAAATGGTAAGCATTGATTCGTGAGTAGTTTCTCTGGGGATTTCCATTTCCGTCATTTCCCCCTTATTTTCTTTTCATCTTTGCCATTGAGATGGTCGAGTGTTGAGGGAAATTCGGGCGACGTGGAACGGTTGGGGCGGGAAATGTGTGTACCTCCTCACAGGTCTTGCTGTCCAACAAGATCCAACCCAATTCAATCACTTCGGCCGAGTCCTTGGTGACATATACGCCATGTTCGTCGCAAGTGGTTGCAACGTGGATGACAACATAGCGATCCAGCTTAGGGGTGGGTGCTGAAACGGCCGCCATCGCTGACTTGGTTGCCAACGGAGCGGCAGGGGGGAGAGGAACCCGGGGAGGGGGGGTAAAGAAGGGGGCGGGGGGGAGGGAGAATTGTCTCTTATAGAAGAGAGACAATTCGACACAAGTTAAAGTGTCGATAAAAAGAAGAAGAAAGAGGCCCGGGGGGAGAGAGAGAAGAGGGGAAAGGGAAAGGGGGGAGAGAAAAGCCAGAGGAAGCAGAGTGAGTGGTGGAGTTGAGAGAAAAGAAAAGAAAAGTTTCGGGTGACGGAGATTACATTACTTAGTATCTCAACTCTACTCTAGAGTATCTCTACTTTACAACACTGACACTTCTGACTTTACACTCACTTCCACTTCTACTTCACATACCTGAGACTAAACACTTCATGTCTGTTCCCCTGAGCTGCTTCTCGCAGCTATTCCTCTCTCATCCACCTCATCCACTCTCACTCGTGCAACCCCAAGCCGCGGGATCCCCTGTCCTCCCCACCCCGGAGGTCTCACTCCGGGCCTACTCAATTTATTTCTGGGGCTCCTGATCAGTCAACGGTCTACGGACTACAGACTACACATGGTCTGAAATCAGAGAGGGGTTTCCTACGTGATTTTCCCGAGCATACCGCGAGTGGATCCCTGTCCTGTCAGAATTCGCGCGAATTCCAATCCTAATGGGCCCATGCCCATGCCCATTTCCCATCTCCATCCTTCACAAATTGGCGAGACTCGTGGTTCTGTTTGGCGCAAATGATCGAGACAAGACCATTTCAAATCAGTAACACCCATTTTCACGGCCAACCGAGTCCATTCGGTGCAACGTGGTTCATTGGGGAGTTTGGTCAATGGGTGCCACCGCGATCACGTGGAACATGATAGGAGGAGCACAATCATGAATGATCATGAGATATAAAATGCCTGCTGGAACACTTAACAAGCCCTACAAGAATGTTGAAATTCCGGACGACATACTGACATGCTGACATACTGACTATGTACAGTACACTGCAAAGCATATGGTCTAGACTGCCCCACGAGCGCGGTGATGCCGATCACCAGCGGGGCACGCGTTCCAGTTGCCCGCCCTTGCCACACCTGCACCGTGCGGCCATCTAACTAATCAGTACTAGTACTAGTACTACCTTCTGGAGACCTGGAGGTATACCTACTAGTATAAGACGATTCGGTCCCTAGCCAGCGTGGAAGAGGTGGTGGATGTTGATGTTACTAGTAGTCACGGCGAACCCTTGAAGTGGCTATACTGTATCGCGCTCTCGTCCCTGTTTCAAATACCCCCATTACATGAACACCGCGCTACCAGGTTGCTTCTACATGCCGGAGACTTTCGGATGTTTGTAATTTATCCAACGGCCCTAGTCATGCACGTCTGACTTTGTACTAGCAGCGCTACGAGTCTTGACCACTGCCTTGGGTGTTTGATAATGTTGAGAGATTTACCATCCCATAGTTAACTACCAGGTGTGTCTATGGATTACTAATTACAAAAATGGAACTCCTATGCAACCGGAATGGTCGTCTTTTGATTGGGATTAGAAGAACATACCTTGCATTTACTAGCTTGATTCCATCTTCCCCGCCATATAGGTCCGCTTTGAGATGGTCAAAAATTACCCCATTAGAAAAAGCCGCAGTGATCCCCACATACCGCGTGAGCTTCAAAAGTAAATGCGGGGAAACTAGATAAACTGTGAGCCCTCCAAACTTTAGACTCTAAAGGAGGTATTGAACCTGAAGACCTGTGGAGCCGAAAATGTTCTGGTGTTTAATACTGGGAGCTATCGGCATGTCAAGTCGCAATTCGTGGCGTCGGTGGAGCCGAGTTAGACGAAATAGCTTATCATATTCGCGGGGATGATGATTTTAATTCTTGTGTCTATTCTGTTTAGCTAATTTTGTCTAGAATGTATGATATTAGTATATCCAAATTATGGCAGGTCATGGTCTTCGGGCTTGAGTAATACACTTGAGGCGAAATTATGCTTGGATGGACCCAATATGGATTTCTTTTTACTGCATTTTCATTGATTGGATTCATTATTCTAGTCCTTTAACTACCATTATTGAAAGAACATGAGGATTAATTGTATCATAGGCTATCCCACGTACGTACAAGTCTTCAACGAAGCCCCTCTTGTTCACCTCTCCCTGTGGCTTGGTCCACCGGTTCGATCCTATCAATTCACCATTATTTTATACGAATTATACGTCAGCTTTTTACTTTACAGCATTAAACTCGATTTTCAATCGGTTTCTTCACAGTCTAGCCTAAAATCTTTCCGTGGAGCCGACCTTACGTACCTCCTAACTGAAAGCATTATATTCTACTCACAAAACGCGATGTCTGGCGCCGTCGTCAACATAATGACGAAGCCTCTCGCTAGATAACTGGGGGCCACATTCCCGAAGAATAGTTACTACTGTCTATGTAGAATGGCATGGGGCAGTATAAAAACGACAGAATGGCACGTCATGATATAAATGGTCAGTGGAAAAAGCATTACACAACAGGTCACAGAGTGCCATATTCAGAAGTGACGTCTACTAATATGCTCCATTCACTCAAGAAATTACTCCCCCTTTTTGGGGCCCTCGGTGGTATTGTTACCGTAGAGGCTGCCCCCGCCGCAACTGATGCTACCACTGCCGCTACATCGACCAGCGATGCGCTTCCCACCACTGCGGCTTACTTTGTTAGTGGGTCGACAACCACCTTCTCCAGCACAACCTTGACGGCAACTGGAACCAACGAAGGCGTCATCATTGTGAAAGAAACCGGTGTTGCCTACTTTGATAATGTCACATTCATCAAAACCGGGAACTCAACTAGTGATGAAGACAGCTCATTCACGGATCTTAATGCTGCAATCGGCATCGAAACCAACGGCACCGTGTATATAACCACCAGCAACATCAAAACCTCGGGGGAAAGTGCCAATGCTCTACACACCTATGAAGACGGAGCCACTGCATACCTCACCGACGTGTCCATCCATGCCGAGGGTGATGGGTCCCATGGAATCTACACCGCAGGAGGCACGATTTACGGCCAGAATCTCAATGTTTACACCTACGACGGCCACAGCAGTGCTATTGCTACCGATAGAGGGGGAGGTCTCATTGTCGTTGATGACTCCGCTGCCTATACCTATGGTGCACTCTCGGCTTTGGTATACTCAACGGGCAACATCACCACTTCATCTCTCGTCGGCGTGGCAGATATTGCACCTATCGCCTGTATCGACGGGTCGAACTCATTTACTTTGATTAATCCGAGGGTCAGCTCTGGCACGCAGAATAACGGCGTGTTTCAGATCGTGAGCACAGTCGCAACCAACGGCACCACGGACACGGCCTATGCCTACGTGACTGGGGGGTCAGTAGCTGAAACCAACGGCACTTATGCATTGATTTTCGTCGCCAATATTCAGGCCTATGTTTATGTCACGAGTACTGATCTGATTATCAAATCTGGCATTCTAGCCAACATCACTTCCACAGATCAATGGGGGTCTTCGGGTGTCAATGGTGGAACGGCTTCCGTATTTTTGACTGACGTCCATGTTACTGGGGATATTCACGTTGACGATATCAGTTCTGTCAGTCTGTATCTGATCAATTCTCAGTGGACTGGATCTATCAACAGCGGTAATACCAGTGGTACCTCTTCTGTTTACGTTGATGCAGATAGCTCATGGACACTATCTGGAGACTCCAATATTGATAGTCTTGGCCTTGCAAGACGTCACAGCGACTCGAAGATCCATCGGAGCAGATACACTTTGAGCTATGGCAAGGAGGTAAGCAAATGGTAACCTTCAGCTACTCAGGCAGGCGACCATGAGTAAATAGCTTTTCGGCGACCGAATACTATGCATTCAAGTACGCTATTATCATTCCAGATTGAGGCGTTTGTGTTTAATTATATCAACTACCCGCCCGTGCGAGTGCTTCTATTTGTGATTTAAATTTACTTTCTGTCATTTGAATTGAATGAACCATCTTATGCTGCAAACTGACTACTCAATAGACTGTAAACATCGTAAGATGACTCGTTCTCCCCAAAAACTTCATATATCAAGTCATTGCTCATGGACATGATTTGATCGAACCCGGAATCTGTATCGGGTGCAATCTTCCTTTTCATGCCATCATTGTCGCTCGTAAATTCATGCACAGCAGCCATATGAGGGCCATTATTCCAAGTAGAAGAATTGAAGTCTCCGTTCCTATCATGAAGGTACGCTGATTGATTGATCGTGTTCGCATCATCATCACAGCATTCAAAGGGAGTCTGAAATTGCTGCTGAAGAGATGTGCTACTCTGGGGATAATTCTCCTGCTCCAGAAGTCTTGTTCTCATTTTCTCAAGGCCGGCTCCGATGTGATAAAGTAGATGTCGCTTGCTGGTTATTGTTGTTTTGAGAAGGTGTATGACTCGATCGAGCAAGTCCCACACAAATGCGGGATCAACGTTGAAACCAACTGCATTCCACTTTGTTGCCACTTTCATGAGGAAGACCGCAGAGAATGCAATCATCGTATGGACATATCTATAAACCTTGAGTTAGCGCTAACTAAAAACTTGGGCTGTGTGACAGTATCTTACAATGGTGTACCAACTAGAGCGCGGCGAAGATCTTCTTCTTCTAGAACAAATGTGAGCGAGCTTGCTGCAGCCGAGACTGCCATGTTCGCAAATTCTTTTCGTTCCGTGGATATTATTCCTTCGTAAATATTGATCCCTCGAACAGCGAAGGAATTGAGCTGGAATTTAGCAAAATATGCATAGAGAACAATTCCTTTTGGTGGAAATGATCCGATGTATTTATTTGCCACTGTAGATAAATCATCAGCGATCAGGAATTGCCAGTGAATTTGGCTTTCAAGGCTGCGCAAAGTCAGATCATACCTTGACGAGACTGCCACAAAATTCTCCATTTATCGATTTCCAGGTTAAAAGATCGCATTTGTGGGAAATTCTTCTCGGACAGCAAGGCCCGCGTGGTATCCTGATGTGGGAGTCTCCTTTCAGCGAAGCAATCATGTACGCGAGTCAATATTTGGAATAGAGATACTTGCGACAAGACGCGGAAGTCAATAGCATCTGCTAGTGGAAGATCGAGAAATATCTCGTGTTCTCTTATCTGAAGACTCTCGCCTATCATAGGAGGTCGTCCGTATGCGATGCTAAAGTGATGGTCACAAACATAGCTTGATACAACATCAGTAAAATGTAGCACGGTGTTGGAGAGTGATATAATAGATAGGGGACTTACAGCATATACCAAAGTCTCGCTCTCAAAAAGTGCTCAGGGTCACCCTCTAATGCTTTGAAAAAGGATTGGTGAATATTTAGCTCGGTCGCAATGCGTATAGCGTGCCCTGAAAGTTTCCAAGAGACTGCCAGTAGCATTAGTTCAAAGAAATCATTTCTTATCCGAGTACCATGTCCCTACCATCAGAAAGCCAGAAGGCGGCAATGCAGAGGGCCCGGACATCATCTACCGAGTGATATCGAGAAAACATGGAAGATGAAATGAGACTGAGGAACTCATTATAGCAATCATCGAATGTTTTAGCACTGGATGGTATATGAAGGGCTGTGACGGTCAGGATAGTCGCCGTGAGCAGTTGTGATGAGCGACGAACAGAGGCTAAGCTGTTGTGTATCTGCTCCAAACCAACCCAGAGATAGTGATTCAGCGATATATGAAAGCTGTTGCTTGTTAGAAAAGCCAATCAGTAAAGAACCGAAGATCTACTGACATCCGATAGAGATCTTCTGCTTCGTCCTCGCTGATTACCTGTTCATTGTTAGCCCATAATTTGTTCTCCATTCTCAGTGACCACATACCCCTCTAGAGATGAAATCGTCCATTTTCTCTTCTCTGCTCGGCCCCGAAATATCAAGCTTCGCTTGGTTGCTTCGAATATTGCGTAGTCTAGTCACTTCATATAGTCCACCCATTGGCTCTGTAACTAGTACCGAAGCAGCTCCGAGGTTGGCATCCTGTGCTGGCTCTGGTGAATTCTCTCTCGTCATCGCCATGCCATGATTCTCGGTCGCCTTGGCACAGGACGATAGGTTTGTTGGAGATTGCCCTGTTGATAAAGATGGGCTTTGACTTATACTTTGGATTGACCCGGAAGGTCCAGGTGGTGAGACTTGGGAATCCAAAACTGACCCTGGGATCTGAGGGTGAGGCTTTTCATAGTTCGAAACCAGAGAATGGATGGTCTTTTGGAGATTCTGAATTTCTCTCCGCATTGCATCAATTTGGTCCCTAGTATAACGTCAGTTGATGTAAAGCATTGCATATTCGGCTTTCTCATACTCATTAGACTCATATGAGAAACCAGGTAGCTTGGGCTTTCGAAAGGCCACGCAGTCAAGGTCTTTCTTGTGACATCTCTTACAACGAGACTGGTCTGAAGGAATTTCACATTTCATTTTGAGACGTCGACATGCAAAGCCTTGAGCTTTTATCAGGAACTCTATCGTCAGAATGAACAGCAGACATTGGAACACTTACAAGCACGCGGCTTTCTGCCCGGACCGCCAAGAGGTCTTAAGTGACCATTCTTAGGGCGGCCTTCTCGTGGGCTTCGATATTGGGTATTGTCTAAACCTCGAGGAACAGATTCTTCGTAGATAAGAACTTCTTCTCTGTCCATGCCGTTCATTTTGATGCAGTCGGTGTATGTTGCTCCGTGCCGCCCATGCGCCGTGACAAAGGAAAGAAGGCAACGACCGGGAAATCGGGAAATGAGGCTGGGGCCCCGCATTCCCCAGAAGTGCCAATCTTTCGGAATTATTCCTGCGAATACGGGGTACAACAGCCATAGAATAGCAGATTTTACCTAAGTGTTAATACGGGTCCATTCATGACAGCCTCTAGTCGACTATATCTGAGATGAAACTCAACTCTCATTAGATCTAGTCGCTATTCTTGTCACTTGAGTTCCACCAGTGTTCGTGCCAGTTTCGCCAGAGAAGGCTACTCTCCATAGCATGAACATATTCCAGGGGATGTGCGATCTTGGTTGAAGATTCAGGCGCACTCAAGTCCGGGTCGGCCCCTTGCAGAGGGGCCAAGCTGATCGAAAAGGGGTTCTCAATTTGAAAAGGCGGACCGAGGTTGCGAATTGATTCATCGTCTGATGTTGATGGCAGTGCCGAACAAATGTCGTAGAGTGAGTTGGTTAATAATGGACCTGCCGATGTGTTTGGAAATTTCCCTGGCTGTTGATTCCATTCACGGGTCTGATATTGCTGGTTATCACCATTTGCTGGTCTCCCGTACACATCAGGAAACCCCGAATAAGTAGATCTCTCGGGGGTCGTGTCTGGCGGTAGCCCACTCTGTCTATGAACAGGATTAGGAATCGAGCGGGCAGCACGGGATACATCATTCAGTGCACTCAAGGCTTCTGCGAGAGGCACAAAGTCCGATCGTATCGAAACCACCTTTGTCATATGATGAACAACTCTATCTAAAGTCTGAAGATCTTCTTCGTACTCGCCGGAATCCCTTGAAGAGAGAATATGATGATAGAGGGCGAAGAAAGCGCAGAAGGGATAAAAAGTGGCTAGCCTGAGTCATATTAGTTCACAAGATCAAACCGAATTTACAATAAGAGTCCGGGAGAGAGAAGCTTACTGCATATGTAAGCCTCCGAGCCATCTAGAATCACTTTGCTCCGACCATTCAATTGTGATGGCAAGAATATTTCGGGCCGCCCGCACGGCTTGTGGGTGAATGTTTTCGTCTCTGGCAGATGTTTTGCGTCGTATGTAAATTATACAACTGTAAAAGGCGACTATGGTGTCAACAAATAACCAGGATTTTAAGTCATTCAGCCGAGGAGATCTCGCGATAGATAGCTATCCCCAAAGTCAGCATGAGATAGACGATTAAGAGGCGCCCTACTGGGAAGATCTACTAGGTCCCAGTCAATGAGAAGGTCTTCCAGCTGATTGCAATAGCTGTTCACCTCCTCTTGGAAAGAAATCCCCGGGTCATGTTCTGTGGAGGCAGAAAGCTCGAAGAACTGCTCTAGAAGAAATAACATCCGCGCCCAGACTATAAATAGCACACAGCCTGTGAATTCCGGTTGTTTCGTGCGTGGCGATATCTCGACAGGAAGCTTTACTCGTGAGATCGGAGACTTGAGGGCGGAAGGTTTATCGTACCAAAGCCTATACAAGCAGTCCGTCATTACCAAGTGCCAATGCAGTCGGCGTTTGTCATTTTTCTCCGGATCATCTTCAGCCAAATCCGAGTTCGAAGTTTCAACGTCTTGGATACCTAAAATATCACTGAAGCGACATGCCTCGGAATGGAATTTCCAGGCGAGATGGTAGTCGAAATTGTCAATCGCAGTCCAAGACTGTAGAATCACGTTAGTATCCGTAATTTGTGTGCACATGATGGATCTAGCCCTACTGTTAGGGAAGCAGCCATAAGGTCCATCTGAGACCCCTGAGCCGAGCTCAGCCACGAAGGGACTGACTGCAGACATTTAATATAGGTACCTGCCGCTCTCTTGTATTCATCTGTACTGCCACATGTCTGACCGCGATAAATCGCGTTGTAGTAGATCATCCTCAAAGCCGGGTTGACTTGTGCGTGAGATGAGTCGATTATATAAGGCAATGCTCTCAAAAGCTCTGCATCTATCATGGTCTGGAATGGCATAACGTGAGTCAAACTGGAGAGGATCCGCAAGAAAACTGTTTGTATAATTCAGTAAAGAGTTCCAAATAGTCGGCGTTCACTGAAAGTGCTACCTTCTATGTAGTGCGTAGCGTCACTAGGGCTCATTTTATCATGAACAAGATGTTTTTCTGGGATAGGATTTGAAACAGCAAGTTGGTCCAAAGTTGTATCCAGGCATTTCATGGCATTGCTGATCGTCTCTTGGGTACGAGAATTTGATAAACCCAGGCTCAATTGGCCTTTTTGATTTTCGTTCTCAACGCTGTTCCTCGCCCCGCTCACCATACTGTATAACCATGCTGTCACGGTCAGTTAGCTCATCGCTTTGAATGGAAAGCCTTCTCGTCATACCCTTCGTCGGTCGCTCGGTCTCACCCGATGTACCCTCGCTCTGTGCTGGGGTGACATTCTTGAAATCCGGGGCACCTGAGGCATCGATAGGTTTCAAATGACTCGCCATCCGTTCTTCCAGGAACTCAAGGCGACGGCCAAATCTGTGGAGCTGGGCCTTTCGCCTGGATGTGTTTTGATATTAGAAGTGCACAAGGATTCTATCCCAGAGAGGAAAACATACAATGTTCTTGTAGATTTCTTTCTTTTCGGGATAAATACACCGTTCTCCAGAGTTCTGGCATCTTTCACAACTCGGGCTCTCTCGATCACACTTGAGCTAGAGAGAGTCAGTAAGCTTCTTGGAAACCGAAACCGCGCACCATGGAAAAATACCTTTCTAGACCGGCACCTCGAACACTAGCATCAAAATTAGTCACTACCAGCCCGAAATAGATATTAGCTAGCAATTTACCGATAGCTTCATTTCAAAGGAAATATGATTGTCCGCCAAAGAGTCCGAGTCGTTGCCTGGAATCTATAAAGTGCGGATGAACTTTTAGTTTGGGGTTCACGCGATGATTGATTCCCGGGGTCAGAATTTGTAAGTTGATATTTCCGAACACAGGTGGCGGACTTTTTATTTGAGATTTGATTGAATATGGCATTCCCTTTGGGCTCGGACTTTCGGACTCTTGGCCAAATCTCCACCATCTAGGCTTCAACGGCCAAGATCTTGGCGATATCACGATGAGCCTCGCGGGGCCCGCGGGCCCCGCGAGGTCCGGCTTTCAGATCTTCCATACGGCGCGGCTGACCCTCAGATATTGGGCATCTCGGACAATATTTCGGACAAAACACATTCAAAACACCTTTGAGCCAATTTTAATGATTGTCAGGTCATCCCGGGCACTTGAAAGCCAAGCCCGAGAGGGTCTAGGCATGTGTCCCGAACTTGAATTTGGTCCAGTGGCTGATTGCTTTAAGTTACTATATAGATAATTCCCTTCTTCCTGATCCTCATGGATATTTCACTGCCATCAAGTGACTTTAATCATTTGTTCGATTTCGTTCCATTTCTTCGTGTCCCCTCATTTTGTGAAGCGAGATAGATGGAAGACATTACTTCCAACAACCCTCCATATTCCGAAGGTGGAATTGATCTTGAGAGGATGTCTACCCCGAAAATCCACGCCTCAGAATCGAAATTGGAAATGGATTTGTCCGCGGACGGCGCAAGCGAAAACGATCGGAAAGTGGCTAACTTAGCCCGCCAACTCAGCGCTCAACCAAGCCACACTCAGCATCAAGTTCCCTTCATGTCAGGGCAAGACAGTTCACTTGATCCACAAAGTCCCGATTTCAACGCTAAAGCTTGGGCAAACGAGTTCTATAATGTCCGATATCAGAATGACCAAGATACTGGACCGCGTGTTGCCGGTGTAGCACTCAGGAATTTGAATGTTAGCGGGTACGGAAGCAGTGTTGATTATCAGGCGAGCGTCGGAAACGCGATCTTGAAGCTTGCCGCCATTTCCCAGCAGTGGCTTGGTAGCAGAAAACAGCGAGTCGACATTCTTCGCGATATTGACGGTTTAATTCTTCCTGGCGAGCAACTTTGTGTTCTGGGACCACCCGGGTCAGGATGCTCGACATTTCTCAAAACCATCGCACAAGAAACCCATGGACTTGAGATAGATCAAGCTTCGTACGTCAACTACCAAGGAATCACGGCGAAACAAATGGGGAAAGATTTCCGCGGAGAAGCCATTTACACTGCGGAAGTGGACGCACACTATCCACAACTCGGTGTCGGCGATACCTTGTACTTCGCCGCTCTTGCCCGTGCTCCTCGCGAAATTCCCGGTGGAATTACCCGCGAAGAATACGCTATTCTCCAAAGAGATGTGATCATGGCTACATTTGGAATCAGCCACACCGTCAACACACGGGTTGGCAACGACTTTGTCCGTGGCGTGAGTGGAGGTGAGAGAAAAACGAGTCACCATCGCAGAGGCCGCTTTGAGCTACGCCCCGCTGCAATGCTGGGATAACAGTACGCGTGGCTTAGACAGTGCCAATGCCGTGGAGTTTTGTCGTACCTTGCGCACCCAGGGAGATGTGTTCGGTGTGACATCGTGCGTCGCTATCTACCAAGCGCCTCAGGCAGCCTACGACGTAGGTGCAATCAACGCGTTTATATAATTGTTTAGACCCTCTAACAAATCATCTAGTTATTCGACAAAGTCACAGTCCTCTATGAAGGAAGACAGATATTCTTTGGTCCGGCTCAGGACGCCAAGAATTATTTCGTGCGACTCGGATTCGTTTGCCCTGACGCCCAAACAACTCCAGATTTCCTTACTTCGATGTGCAGTCCATCTGAGCGGATTGTGCATCCGGATTCAGAAAGTCATGTTCCCAGAACAGCAGACGAATTTGTTAATTGTTGGAAAGAAAGTTCAGAGTACAAAGCATTGATCCAGGATATCGATCATTACGCTCATGAGCATCCGTTCAACGCCACCGATCTTGGCCACTTCACCCTATCTCGCCAAGAGGAAAAGTCCAAAGTGCAGCGCTCAACTTCTCCCTATACTCTCTCTTATTGGGGTCAAGTAAGTCTCTGTCTTTGGAGAGATTTTCAACGATTGAAGAGCGATCCCAGTGTGTCACTTGCCATGTTGATCGGGAATTTCTTTGAGTCGTTGATTATTGCAAGCTTGTTCTACGATCTCTCGAATGAGACGAGCTCATTCTTCTCCCGTGGAGCGCTTTTGTTCATGATGGTTCTCCTCAATGCCTTCTCCAGCCTACTCGAAATCATAGTATTGTACGAGAAACGGTCAATTATCGAAAAGCACAGGCGATATGCACTCTATCACCCAAGTGCTGAAGCTATCTCGTCAATTCTTATGGACATGCCTTACAAGATTACGAACTCCATTTTGACAAATCTTGTCATGTATTTCATGTCAAATCTTCGACGAGAGCCGGGGGCATTTTTCTTCCTTTTACTCGTGTCTTTTTCCATGATGATGGGCATGTCAATGTTTTTCCGTTTCTTCGCCTCGCTTACCAAGTCAATCGAACAAGCTCTGGCACCTTCAGCAATTATCTTATTGGCATTGGTGCTCTATACGGGATTTACTATACCTGTCAAATACATGCGTGGCTGGGCATCCTGGATAAGATGGTTAAATCCAGTTGCATATGGCTTTGAAGCAGTAATGGTGAACGAGTTTCACGGTCGAGAATTCCAATGTTCTTCATTTGTGCCATCTGGACCGGGTTATGAGAATGTGTCGAGTCTGGAAAAGGTGTGCTCGGTGGTAGGAGCTGTTCCAGGCTCCGGTGTTGTCCAAGGTACAGAATACATACGCTCCTCTTTTGGTTATGAGAATTCCCACCGCTGGCGAAACTTCGGCATCATCGTCGCTCTGACAGTCTTTCTTGCATGCTGCCACTTGGTAACATCGGAGCTCGTTTCTTCTCGACGTTCCAAAGGTGAAGTTCTGGTTTTCCGTCGTGGAAAGGCTCTTTCCTCGCGGGGTGAAAAGAATATGACAGATGAGGAGAAGCAATCATCTACCATGGCTCAGAACAGTTTGACGCTCACTGATGAGCCTGGGACTATTTCTGGCGTCGAAAAGCAAGTTTCAATCTTCCACTGGCAGAATGTGACATATGACATCAAGATCAAAAAGGAACCGAGGAGGATTCTAGATCAAGTTGATGGATGGATTCGTCCAGGGACATTGACAGCACTCATGGTATGTCATCACCGTTTCCTGGCAAAGGGTTTCTCGATGAAGCAAACTGACAAATTCAATTCAGGGTGTCTCCGGTGCGGGAAAAACTACTCTTCTCGACGTTCTAGCAAGCCGTACGACAGTGGGCGTCGTCGGAGGTGAGATGCTCGTCGATGGTCGACCCCGAGACGAATCGTTTCAGCGGAAAACAGGCTACGTTCAACAGCAAGATATTCATCTCCATACCTCAACTGTGCGGGAAGCACTAGAGTTCAGTGCACTACTACGGCAACCCCCTGAGTACAGTCGTGCTCAAAAGCTCGCCTATGTGGACACGGTCATTGATCTCATGAACATGAGAGAATATGCAGATGCCATAGTGGGAGTACCGGGAGAAGGACTCAATGTGGAGCAACGCAAGCGTCTGACAATCGGCGTTGAAGTTGCGGCTCGCCCCAAGCTTCTACTGTTTCTCGATGAGCCTACTTCCGGTTTGGATAGTCAGACCTCCTGGTCTATCTGCAACCTTATGGATACTCTGACAAAGAACGGTCAAGCAATCCTGTGCACCATTCATCAACCGTCTGCCATGCTATTTGAACGTTTTGATAGGCTTCTTCTACTGGCCCGGGGAGGAAAAACAGTATATTTTGGGGAGGTTGGTCAAGGAGCAAAGACGCTAATGGAATACTTTGTGCGAAATGGCGGTGCCTCTTGTCCCTCGGGTGCCAACCCGGCCGAGCACATGCTCAATGTGATAGGAGCTGCACCCGGGGTACAAACAAACATTGACTGGCCTTCAGTGTGGAGGAAGAGTCCCGAATATCAAGCGGTTCAAATTGAGCTTGCTGGACTGAAAAACCTGACCGAAAAATCGGCTTCAGTGATTGATTCGAACCAAACCTCCAGCTATTCGGAGTTCGCAGCGCCATTGTACGATCAAATAATCCTGGTCGGACGCCGTGTGTTTCAACAATACTGGCGCACACCATCTTACATCTATTCCAAAGCATTACTTACCGTTGGAAGTGTGAGTATACTCCTGATGATTGAACCTTTCCAGTACCTAACACTATTTCTACAGTCTCTCTTCATCGGATTTTCGTTTTTCAAAGCAGACAACACGAAACAAGGTCTTCAAAACCAAATGTTCGGAGTATTTGTGTTCTTGTTCGTGATAGTCCAACTTGTGCTTCAGATAATACCAGCATTTGTCGCCCAGAGGATTATGTATGAATCGCGCGAACGGCAGTCCAAGACTTATGCTTGGCAAGCTTTCATTTTATCCAATATTGCAGTTGAATTCGCATGGAATTCAGTAAGTCCCATCTTCCTTGATCAATGTCATTTTGCCGCAGATCCAATCAACTGACCCACCTACGCCAGCTAATGGCAATCCTCTGTTTTATCGTTTGGTTTTACCCTGTCGGCTTTTACCAAAATGCTCAATATACTGACACTATGCATGCCCGAAGCACACATGCACTACTACTTATCTGGGCTTCTTTTCTCTTCACCAGTTCCTTCGGGCATATGCTGGTAGCTTTACTGGGAAGTGCGGAAATTGCATCCGCCCTCGCAAACATCATGTTCATCTTGATGTATGCATTCTGTGGCATTCTGGCTGGGCCTACCGCTCTTCCGAGATTTTGGATCTTCATGTACCGGGTCAATCCAATGACCTATCTGGTATCTTCTTTCCTATCCACCTCTCTTGGTGATGCCCCAATGCGCTGTGCCGACAACGAAGTCTTGTCCTTTTCGGCACCTGCCGGAAAAGCCTGCGCAGATTATATGAAGAACTATATCTCGGCAAACTCTGGATATTTGCTTAGTTCCGGCTCCCAGATGAATGACGACTGCAAGTTCTGTGCGATGGGAAATAGCAATGACTTTTTGTCGAGCCTTGGTATTTCATTTTCTAACCGTTGGCGAGATTTTGGTATCTTGTGCGTTTACATTGTGGTCAACACCGTTGGGGCGATTGTGTTCTACAAGCTCTTCCGCGTTCCGAGAAGCAAGACTGTTAAAAATTAGATACGAGATACCCATGAGTGGGTTTTTCATTTGCGCTTGGTCATGTTTACCTCTCTACTCAAATAATTTAGACATGTTGCCTCGGGCCGTTTTCTTGGGCGTTCGGACATTTATTCCTTTCCAAGGCCTTTTGGGATCATCTTCTCACAAAATGCATGCACCTGAGGCTCTTCGCATTCAAAAATCAATTCAAAGTCAAGTTAACTAATTATCAAGGCCGGAGAAAGGTCAAATATCGTAGCGTGCCACAATGCGCGAAACCCTTGCATCTTCCACACAGTCGGAAGAAGCCTTATTATCATCCCCCATGGCAATTTCATGTCCGTTATCAATGACTGGGTCTCTCTTGTTATCTCTCCGCAGGCATATGCTCAGAATCACTGTTGATAAAAGTAGAATTACTGCGAGTGCAAGATTGACTGACCAGGCTATTAAGAAAGATCCATGTGTCAGCAAATTTCCCGCAGTACATGGAGAAGATATTGGATATTTCAAGTCTTACCCATTAGATAGCGTGGTCTATCGCTACTGGGATATAGATAAGGCGTCCAAACAAGTGCGATATTTCCGAAGGAATTGTTCATGGCCAATGCGACCGCACGCTTCTTCCGTGGTCGGGCTCCGATATTTGCCATCCATGCATTGGATATTTGAAAGCAACCGTAGGTTCCTGCCAGCATAAGGAAAAGGGCAAAATAGCGAGCGCCAATGTCCAATGTCGCCATTGTCAAGACAATACCAACAATTGCAACTGCTGTTGGAAATATTATATGATTCGATCGATTCGAGGTTTTGTCTGAGTACCAGGTATTCCACAAGCAAAATGCGGCAGTGAACAAATATGGCTGGCAACGGTTAGAATTGAGCATTCAAATTTTTGAATGGTACGAAACAAACCGGGGCTGTCAAAAGTAGAGTGTGGATTGTATTGAAGCCAAAGCTTTCAACCAACGTGGGCAAAAAGTTTGTCAACGATGCGACTGCTTGAGCACAAAACTAATTTATTTCTTGATAAGCAGGGAGCATCTAACAGCAGAACGATATGAATGTCTTACCTGGCCAAGAATACAAAGCCAGACACGGTAATCTTTAGCTGCCATTTTAAAAGCAGTCATGGTTTTTATCTCGTCGTCTTCGTCTCCAGAATCTTCGTATAGTCGCACCATTCCCAACGCCCTTTCCTCTTCCGAAAGCCATTTGGTTGTGGAAGGCCAGTCCGGTATGACCAAGCCGGTTACTAAGGCAAAGAAGACGGTAGCGGCGCCTTCGATAATAAAAAGCCACCTGAATTATCATTAGCTTGGAACGGCTCGTTTTTTTTTTTTCAAAAGTCTTACCGCCAGCTTGATATCTTGTTATGTGCGAATGCAGCCGCAATTCCTGCTGAGAATAATCCACCAAAAGCTCCGGAGAGCATGGCACCACAGAAGAAGATACCCAATCGCATACCTAGTTCTTTGCGGGTGTACCACCCGGAGAACAAGAACGCAACTCCTGCGAAGAATGGTGCTCTAGATAGTTGTCAATTTCGCATGCCAAACGAAGGGCCAGATAGAATATCATACTCCGCAATTCCCAGAAAAAAACGACAAGCGGCAATTCCTAAATAATTTTGTTTCTTAGTGATGTTTCCTTTACGTCCACAAGCAACGAAACATACCCCCAAATTGTTGCACAGCTCCACTAGCAGCGGAGACTATACCCCATATAATCATGCATCCTGCAAGGTACCAGCTTGGACGCAGAATTCCCAGAAGCATGTTGCTCGGAACTTAAATATGTCGTTAGCTAATAGCTTCTAGTGGTTTCTTTTGTGCAGTAGTACCTTGCATCAGAATATATCCGATAAATGTCAGGCTTAAAACAATATTGTACTGCACCCCAACTAGGCCGATATCATTTTCCAGTCCTTGTACTCGTGCTTGGGGTAGGGCATTGCGGTCCTGGATCAACAAATATGTGAGTATGAGCAGAATCAGGGTGGTTTACTAGTATGTGAACTCGTACTATGTAATTCATAATATACATGATGAGCTAGAGTAGTAGTTAGCCTAGCTTCGTCACCTTGGAGAAGACCTGTACCCCCTACATACAAGAATGGGAAGCAAATGGAAATCAATTCGACGAACGAACCGCTTTTCCTTTGTGGCGCGCTCCTCAGGAGACCAAGATCCAACCAATTGCTTCCATCGCTGAACTGTCTCGGGATTTATTTTGTTTTGCTGCGTGAGCTGCATGTTGAGGTGGTCAAGGAATGTATCATATTTAATCAAGACAAGCACCAAGAGGTACCAGGCGGGACGGAATGAGCCTCGTCTTAAATAGCTCGCGCCAGGGGTACATTCACCGGAGTTCAGAATCAATTTCCATGACAAGGCTGGCCGAGTAACCGAGAGCAAAAATGTGGGGAAAAGCCGGGGTTGGAGATGGCCTGACTACACCACCGGGAAATCGGAAAATGGCACCGATATCCCGATGTCAGTCTATACGTGATAAAAGCTGGCTCTGATCCATTATATTCCACTTTCTGAAAGCCAGACGGTTAATTTGATTTCCTCAACTTCAACATCTCTTAATTCAATATGACTAACTTGTCAACAAAGCTACTCCAGCTGGAGGAATCCGGCAGGCCGATTCAAGTAGGGATCATCGGCGCAGGTAAATTTGGATCTATGTTGTAAGTGGAATATTCAAATTCCGATATACATACCCCGTTGCATCCATTTACTGATATGCATGAAGTATCTCACAATCGCACCGAACCACTGGCATTCGACTAGCCGGTATTGCAGACCTCTCTGCGCAGCGGGCATTAGATGCTTTGAAGAAGACAGGGTTCCCAGAAGAGAAATACGACATTTCTGCAACTCTGTCTATCGAGGATGGTATAAAGGCAAACAAAACAGTAATCACCACCGACTCGGCGCAGTTGATTGCGACTCCTGGGATTGATGTGATTCTGGAAGTAACAGGAAACCCCGCAGCAGGCGTACGGCATGCTCTGTTGGTAAGTTCAAGCCAAAAAGTGTCCGAAATATCTTTACTGATTCAATTAAAGTGCTGTGAGCACAAGAAACACATTGTAATGATCAATGTGGAAGCCGATGTTCTTGCCGGTCCGTTATTGGCTCGCAAGGCCAAAGAAGCAGGCATCATTTATTCGATGGCATACGGAGATCAACCGGCCCTGATTGCAGAGATGGTTGATTGGGCCAGAACAGCTGGGTTGTGAGTAATTCAGATCATGTCCACATAAACTTCACTAACTCAACAACAGCAATGTTGTTTGTGCCGGTAAAGGAACGAAACATCTACCTCAATACCACTATTCCACGCCCGACACCATCTGGACCCACTATGGCTTCACTGAAGAGCAGCTTGCTTCGGGTGATTTCAACCCACAGATGTTCAACTCATTTCTGGATGGAACAAAATCGGCACTTGAAATGTCCGCTGTTGCGAACGGATGCGACCTCAGTCCACCGACAAACGGGCTAGGATTCCCACCTTGCGGTACCCATGACTTACCAAACATTCTCAAACCCAAGTCAGAGGGGGGCCAGCTTGAAAAGTATGGCACTGTTGAGGTTGTGTCTTGCCTAGAAAAGGATGGGCGAGCCGTGTTCAACGATTTGAGGTGGGGAGTTTACGTTGTAATTGAAGGTAAGACAACATTTTCACTTCAAGAGAGCTACTCTGACGACTATAATAGCTCCGGGACCGTATCAACGTGACTGTTTCGCTCAATACGGTCTTAAGACTGACAGCACCGGGCGTTTTGCTGCTCAGTTTAAGCCCTATCACCTAATTGGCCTCGAATTGGGCATCTCTATCGCCACCATCATGTGCAGGGGAGAGCCTACGGGTCAGTGTAAGACTTTTGCATCAGACGTTGTGGCTACTGCGAAGCGGGATCTCAAGGTTGGCGAAACGCTAGATGGCGAGGGCGGATTTATGGTATATGGTAAATTGATGCCAGCTGAAGCCTCTCTTGCCATTGAAGGCCTGCCAATCGGCTTAGCTCATGGACTGGTACTGAAGCGAAATGTTCAGAAAGACCAAGGGTTGAGCTGGCAGGATGTGGAATTCACTGATAAATCACAAGCTGTGGCTGTGCGACGCGAAATGGAGGCGATCTACCGCGAGGAGTTCAGATTAAAGACAAAGGTTACCAATGGAGTGCACTGAGATTGTATTCAAAACATATTTCGAACTTGAAGTACTTCATAGCTCCAATTCAGTGGTTGTAGAGCAATAATCCTAGCATCTCCTACTATCCGAGTCCTATGTTTCAGGTCGAAGATTTTCCTTCTGCTTTACGACAAAGACTAGACATATGTGACCTCTTCCCGTTACGCTGGTGAAAGATCAAGATCGACGAACCATGGTGGCTGTATTCTGGAACCACTCGTTCCTTTAAAAGCGGCGTTGACGAAAAGTGTCTGGGCTCCCCGACTCAATGGAAGCAGGTCGGAAGAGGAGTGGCTGGTAGTACAGTACTTCCTTGAAATTCCAAGAGACCGCTCTTCCTTGATAGTCGATAGATCTTCAATCAAAAGCGACTTCTTCTTGATGATGTCAGTCAAATGAGATGGTTCCGTACTGATAGGCTGTCGCCAAGTAACCAGCTTTGCTCCCCAGCCCTCATGAATATGGCCGAAACAATGCATCAGAGGCCGGGCTCTAGCAGTAGCTTTGAAAAGGTATGGACAACCCCGCACGCCAGAATCCGTTTTATCCAATATGCCCTGTGGAGGTCCATGTGTCATGATAATGTCGATTTTTTGAGCAGATGATTCCTCAGTGCGAGTGCGAGCACTGGTGCATAAGAACTTGTGTACAAAATTTGGATGATATTGGAAGCCCCAACCGCGGTAACATGATGGCGTATATGGGCTGGCATAAATATTCAATGAAGCCCCGTTCTGGAGCTTAATTGAATGGTTGCCTTCATCTAGGAAAGTTATGCCAGCCTGCTTAAACAATCGTTTGACATCCCCGAAACTGCCGTAAATCTTTTTGACTAGTTTGTCGTCTAGCCGTGGCCGGGTCTCTGCAAGCCTTTTCGAAAACACCGGGCCATCTAGAGTGAAGTCATGATTCCCTGCTATGACGAGTTTGAGGGGGGCATTGAGGGCCTGGAGGAGGCGTATCGATGACTCGTATTCCTCAATTGTAGAGTCGTTGGTAAGATCCCCGCAATGAAGTACAACACCTGCATATCGATGCAACACTGTGCCTGGCAACTGTCTGTGGTCGAGTGCGTGTGTATCGGATAAAACTAGAAACCGGGTTTTGATTTTGCCTTCAGTTGGAGCGGAAGTTGATATTGACGCTGACATCGTGCCCAGGATGAGATGAATATGTCGCTTCAAAGTTTCTCGGGGGTGACTTTGATGGTTGTCGGAGAGTCCCGAGGTCGCTACTGAGGAGAAGCTAGATCTGGAGGAAGATGGATGGTGATGGGATGAGAGAACTTGAACTAAGGTAAGCCTATCTAGAAGAGGCAGGCGCCCTGGGATGCCTGAGGCAGTGGGTGCCTATGCACCTGCCCTCGGCAATGGTGAAGATCAATAAGTCTCCAAGTGGCAAGTGAGAATTGTTGACTGGAAGTGAATCACTACCTAGGTAAGCAGGCTATCTAGGTAGTAACTACTAGGAATAATTTGGAAGTAATAAAGGTCAACATGAGAGTGCATCCCGATTAGGCCAAATTTGGATATCCCAGTTACCTCAACCCAGTCACAAGTCCAAGAGAGAAGAATATTATCCTAGATATCTAGGACTCCGAAGGCTAGGATGTAGTAGACAAGACACTAGTATTTATGCAAAAACGCAGAATTGTAAGCATGGGATTCCATCCGATAAATGAGAGCCACAAAAATATAAGAACTTGGAAAATCATGTACAATTAAAGCCCAGCCCCCGTCGTCCCATCCGTATGAGTTGATCTCAATCAACAGGAATTCAAAAAAGAAAAGAAAAGAAACCATGGACCACTCCATCCGAACCCAAGACTAACCAACGCCGACCGACCACCTTTGCAAAGCCCATGTAAATAATCAATCATCACTCATCGCCAACTTCTTCTTTGATAACGGTGCCACGGCTCGTATCATGATCATCCTCTTCTTCGTCTTCCTCCATGATGCTGGGCTCGATGTTAACGACGGGCCTATTGGCGCCAGTGCCCTCGACAGAAGGTCGCACGCTGCCAGATCGAATACGGCTGTCCTCGTTCTCATCTTCCTCCATGATACTAGGTTCCACGGAGAAGTGACGGCGTCCAGCCGTGGGTTCGACAGAGCGGCGAACGCTAGCAGAGCGAACGCTGCCGATATCGCTCTCTTCAGTTCCTGCGCGAGGACGTACGCTGGCTGCGCGAGAATCTTGGGCAACAGCAAGGATCTTCAGAACAGAGTTCTTAGTCTTGACAAGTGCGTTTCGGCTTGAAGCATCGACAGCAAGACCCTCCTCGATAGTCTGATCAAGAAGCTCCTTAACTTCTTCGGCCAGCTGGGCGTTTTCGGGATCAATCTCAAGACCACCGGCAGTAGCACTACGAATGCTGCTGCGAAATTGGTCTTCTGTGCTTTCGGGGGCGCGTGAGCCCGCGCGGGAAGGAAGCGTCGGCGCGGCGAAATAAATCTTGCTTAGCAGGGTGAAAAGGAGCTTCCGCTCTTCCCGAGAGCAGCGGTTGGTGCTCTGCTGGACGCCTAGGATACGTTCAAGGATATCCTTCACCAGGGCAAGATGCACCCAGCCGCAGGCTGTTGAGCTAGCCGCTCCACCGGCAAGAATTCGTTCACCACCCATGCCAATGACTCTTCGCTCGTCTGTCCATTCGGCAAGCATTCCGATGACACCGGTCATCAGGGCCTTGATTTCGCGATCTCCAACACTCTCGTCGATCTCTCCATCACTATCCTCCTCTGCTTCGAGCGAGTAGTGTTCTTCGGCAGCATTGATGACTGCACGAACCACAGGAACCGCAATTCGGCGCATATGTTGGGTGTTGTCAATCCGCGAGTGACAGTAGACGGGGAAGAAGTATGCAAGCGATTGTCGAAGAGCCGGGTTCTCGCGGGTGCGTGGGTGGAAGAAGGACAAAACGAGAGACTGCAAGAGAACCTCTACGCTGTTCTGATTGAATTCATGGATGGCATGAGGAATATTCGGGCCAGAAGGCGTGAATGTGTTGGTCAACAGCAGCTTTGAAAGTGCCGTGGCAGCGCCAGACTGCACACTCGGTGGTGAGTTGGCCTTGAGGGCTCGCGTAAACACCTTGAACAAGGGTTTTTGCATGGGTGGGGGAACCACGGTCTCGCCGTCGGATTGGGTGACAGGGGCGAGCAGAGTAGGGTGGGTTGTAACCATATCACAGATAATCTGGATAGCGGTCACTTGCAAGCCCTCATGGCCCTTGCTGTAACAGTGAATGAAGAGAGTCATGTTCTCTTCCGCCAGGTTCTATTTGATGATTAGCATTTCGGTAGATGTCTTGTCATAGGGTTGATTTAGCTCACCTTGTCAAGCAGACAGCAGAGACCTAAGCAGAGAAGGCCACGCTCACGAATAGGAGCCTCGTGACTTCGCACGGCAGGAACAACTAGGTTGTTCAACATAGTCACCAAATTCATATTTTGCTGCAAGTGACCTTGAACATTTTGAAGCATGCATTGAGCGATGTGAAGACACTTCATGTTAACCACGATTTCCTTGATAATCTTGGCCTTGGCTTCTTCCTTGTTGAAGGGAACTTCTTCTCCGTCATCCCCAGGTGTCTCGGATCGATGGCGACTGCTTGCATCATCACTGATTTCAGACTTGGCAGATACAAAACTGTCGTCTGTGATGATAGTATCGTGGACCTCAGCAATGGCCTCGAGAACGACACTGCAGAATTCGCTCTCGCCGGCAGAGTCGGCACCGCAGGCGCACCGCAGTGTCTCCACAACAAGCTTGGTACACTCCTCTGGGAGCTCTGGAACAGCCAATGACTCTCTCAGAAGGGAGAACATCTTTCGTCGACCAACTTCATCGCTGTAGTCCAAAGTCATCGCGATATGCAGTAATTGCTCGACAATGAATTCTTGCTCCGCCGCGTCCTCATCGTTTGCCTCGCCGGACTCTTTGGATGTTTTCTTGCGCTGCAGGAGATCTTCGAGGTACTTTCCAAGGAAGAAAGCAAGAGCCGTGACTTCAGGCATCTTCTCCTCGACAAGATCCTCATATTTGCCCTCGTTCTGAACGCGGCAGAAGTCGTTGAATGATCGGATCAGGAATGCCGACTCGGCCGTGAGGGATTCCCAGAAAGTCTGGTCAAAGATCACTGCCTCCCGGTAATCAGACCGTCCCTCCCAGAAACTGCGCATCGCTTCGTGCGCAATGCCAGTCTCAACACCCGAGTTCACTACATCAATACGTTCCAAGAGCTCCAGAAGCGCATTGATATCAGCTGGCGAGCGCTGGACTGTAGCACCTTCGCTCTGGTCGTTATTTGTACCAGCACAATCCTCAACCCAGCGGTCGTAGAACAATTTTCCAGTCGCTTTTCGGACAGTCTCGTCACGATCTCGCAGACCCCAACGGAGGAGCTTTTCACGCATAGATAGTGACAGGTGGCGGAAATCACCTAGAGTAGGTAGCAGACGCGCATATAGCGTACGTCGTGTCGGAGCATCCAGATCGCGGGCACGTTCGAGTAGGTAGGGGAGAGTGACGGGGGCGAGCGGGAGGCTGGCGAGAAGGTTCTTTCGTACATCAGCACTGGTGTCGTTCTGCATGATCTCAATCAATTTTTCAAGGAGGGCTGTAGAATTGTCGTCATTCTCATCCTCTTCATCGTTACCGGCTAGGCGTGCGAGTCCTATCACAGCCTGCACCCGAACGGATGATTCTTTGTCGCGAATACGTTTCAGTAGACCACCTCGGATGGTATGATATAGCTCGTCGTCGATAGACTCAAGTGCATTAACAATGTGTGCGATAATCTGTGTGGCGCGGAATCGAATCATCTTATCCTTCGCGGAAAGCACAGGCACCATCAGAGAGACCAAGCTAGAAGTCAGACGCGAAGTTGGAGTCTCAGATGAAACTTGCATTTCATCTTCGCCTTGATTCGCGGCAGCGTAAATCTCATTATCCTTCTCGGCCGCGTGGGCAAGGAAGGTATCCAAGAAGCGCAAGACGCGATCACCCACTGGTTCGGACTTCTTAATGGGAAGAATCCGAAGCATGCAGCGGCCAACCTCCACATTAAACTCCTTCTCAGCGATCGTCTCTTCTTCAGGAATCACGACTGGCTCCGGCTCTTGATCTTTTCCTTTCTTCTTCTGCGCAATTCCGGCGCAGATCTCCTGCAATTTGCGCATGCGCACTACCAGCTTGCGGTGGCCGGTTGTGGAGCGCTGAGCATCGGCGAACAGAGCGCATACATCGCGGCGGAGATTCGGGGAGGATGAGGGCAATGCTGCTTCTTCGGGGATTGCGAATGACGGGGTCACGGAAGGAGCACGGCCTGTAGATGGCTGTGCCGAGGACCGACGTGTGGCGGCAGATGTCGAACGGGCGGCGACTCGGCCTGGCATGGTGGTGAATATCGAAGCGCAACTGATTAAGAGGCAAAGACCATCGCAGGCGCCGGATGAAATGGCAGAGTGAGGGGGGGGGGCGGCGGTAAACAAACAGCCCAAACGGGGTAGGGACGATAGCAGCCATTGACCGCCTTGGCGGAAACATAGGAACTTCAAGTCACGTGTTACGTAGCTGAGTCATCCCGTCATCGGAGGTCCTCGGCCGATCTCCGCCCGCGCGATGATGTGATCGCGGCTGGGGTTGAAGTGAGCTTGGCTCCAATTGTTTCTTTAGCAATTGCACTCGTGAATATATCACGATGTTCCGTCAAAGTATTCGGCGATTTGGTACTACCGCCCTTCGCGCTGCGGAGGGCTCAACTGCCTATGCCACGAAAGTGTCCACTGCCCAGGGCTATGTCAATGGCCTGACGGAAGGTATGTGTTCATGCTCCCAGCTCCATACTGGGTTCAGCTTTATACAGAAGCCTTTGCAACTAACGCTTTGTTTTCTTTTTGTCGCATAGCAATTGGCAACACTCCCCTCATTCGGCTGAAGCGTCTTTCTGAGGAAACTGGTTGCAACATTCTAGGCAAAGCGGAGTTCCAGAACCCCGGTGGTAGTGTCAAGGATCGGGCCGCTCTCTTCGTCGTCAAGGATGCCGAGGAGAAGGGACTCCTGAAGCCCGGCGGTACCGTTGTCGAAGGTACTGCCGGTAACACTGGTATTGGTCTTGCCCACGTCTGCAGGTCAAAGGGATATAAGCTGGTTATCTACATGCCCAACACCCAATCCCAGGGCAAGATTGATCTGCTCCGTCTGCTGGGTGCGGAGGTCTACCCGGTCCCCGCCGTCGCATTCGACAACCCTCAGAACTACAACCACCAGGCCAAGCGACATGCAGAGTCGCTGGACAATGCAGTCTGGACCAACCAATTCGACAACACTGCCAACCGCCAGGCACACATTGAGACCACCGGACCGGAGCTGTGGGCGCAAACTGGCGGCAAGATCGATGCCTTTACCTGTGCCACCGGTACTGGTGGTACCCTGGCTGGTATCACCCGCTACCTCAAGACTGCTAGCGATGGACGTGTGAAGTGTTTCCTCGCCGATCCCCCCGGCAGTGTCTTGCACAGCTACATCCAGAGCGGCGGTAAGCTGACTGATCGCTCTGGTGGCAGTATCACTGAGGGTATTGGTCAGGGTCGTGTGACCGACAACCTGCAGCCGGATATTGATCTGCTCGACGGCTCGGTGAATATTCCTGACGAGAAGTCCATCGAGATGGTCTACCGCTGTCTGGATGAGGAGGGTCTTTACCTGGGAGCTAGCTCCGCTCTGAACGTCGTGGCTGCGAAGGAGGTCGCCGAGAAGCTGGGCAAGGGCAACACGGTTGTCACTGTTCTTTGCGATGGTGCCTACCGCTATGCGGACCGTCTGTTCTCCGAGACTTGGCTCAAGAGCAAGGATCTTCGTGGTGCTATTCCCAAGCACCTCGAGAAGTACATTGTCCTTCCTTGAACAGTTCAATGTGAATAATCTGTGAATATAGTAAAATCAATATGGAATATTAGACAAGCATGCTTTGATAGCACCTGATATGCCCAATGTAGCAATTCAATACACTAATCATAGACATTGAAATTCCAGAAAAATATTATCATTTAATCCGATCTGGTATCAATATTGAGAGTGGGAATGTCTAAACATCTCTTGCCGCCTATGTGCACACAGGACATGCAATTATAATACAAGTGCAAAGCAGATCACAAATGCAGCATAAGAACCACACCACATAGCCCTGCGACCCAAACATCAAGAAAAAAGCAAACAAGAAGCAACCCAAACGCCTTTTATGCACCCGATCTATCCAAACATCGCCAAGCGCCACGGAAATATACAAGTCGAGAAGGCGCGAAGGGACAATATCAAAACAAGCCAGTCAAGGTGAGGGTGATCGAACGAGCAACAGCAATAGCAATAGCAGCAATAGCCGTACCAGCTCCCATCCGACCCACCCGACCGCAAAGAGTGAGGAGTTCCAGTTCACATATCCTTCGTTCTCCAGCCCAGCGCAGCCCATCTAATCAGTCTCAGGCATGCGCATATAAGCATCAATAGCGGCACTGAAAGCCGCAAAGCCTGCACAACCGAAAGCAGCCGCCTGCGGCCCAGCCTTAGCACCCAGGATACCTCCAGTGATACAACCCGCCGCAACACTGTTGGTGAGATCGTTCTTAGCGCGCAGACCCTCGATACAGCACTCAGTACCGGAGTAAAGAGCACCAACGATGCCGAAGTTCTTCGCAGAGGACCACGAGCGCGCGCCCATGTCCTTGAAGCCGCGGCGGACTTGCTCCCGCCAGGGGAGGTTTGAGATTGCTTGGCCTTGGGGTGTGAGGGAGGAGTCGTAGGACATCTGTGGCGGGGTTTGTTAGAGGGTTTTCGTTCGCATGGGTGAGAGGGGAGATCTTACACTGGCCATGAAGAGACCGAAAGCACCACCCAGACCGAAACCCATTGTACCGGCCATGACGGTCTTCACGGGACACGATTCCATTCCACTTTGCATCTATCGCGCGGGTAAGTAGGCGATCGCGATTTGATTTGACTTCACTAGGTAGGAAGAGTCTCACCATCTTGATCATCCATTGCTCATTCTCGTTCATTCCTTGCATCTGGTTGTTGGCACCCATGCCCGGCAACTGACCCGGAATACTCATTTTGTAGGGGGGATGTGAATCGACCCGAGAAGATAGGGAGTGTATTGATTATGTGGGCGTGGTTTGAAAATCGGGTATTAGACTCTGCGAGAAAAAGTGAATGTGGGTATCGGATCCCCTGGAGGGTTTGTAGATTCGGACAAACAGACTCTCTGCGCTGCGGAGGATCTCGCGGAGTGGCGAAATAAATTTGCGGATGTTGCACGTGACCCCGGGAAATTCCCGCCCGAAGTATGAGGAACAGAAGTACTTTGGAACACCCAGGGATTCTTAATATTGTATTTACGCAGAATTCCTGAAATATCAAATTATTGTCTCTTTTTTATTTATTGAATCTTCTGTAGGGTTGAAAGGTATATGCGAGACCGGTATATGTGGCCAAGTCAAAATCAAAAAAGAAATCAAAACAGATGCTCCCAAAGTTATACGTATGGAAAATATAAGGAGAAAAACAACGCTCTCGTGGGATTGAACAATCGTAGCCTTGCATGAGTCCGTGGTGTATTCGTGCCAATTCGCCCAACGGGAGGCCCTCGCTGACGGGGCCGAAGAATGAAATGGGGGTAATATTTACAAAGAAGATAAAAAGGTAGTAGAAGTAGAGCTGATTCGATAATCAGTCCTTTTTGCTACTCTTCGGAGGAGAAACGGTGCCTTGACGCTCCGGAGATGGCGAAAGACTACGCTCCCACTCAGCCATGAGATTGGAGGCAGTTCGCTGAAGCGTGGACGGTGCCAGTTTCGTAATGGTGGGCCAAGGAATGCCTTCAGTGACACTAGGGTCTGGCACGGCGAGGGTCGGGTTCCAATCGCCAAAGCTGGGGACGGCGTCAGCGCATAACGAGGTTGTCATAAATGAAATCAGGAAAAGTTGAAATGTACCTAGCACTCGTGCGGGGGCTACTGCCCTGGGTTGTAGGGGACCTGTCGTGCTTCGAATCCACCGTGGATCTGCTCGAAGAGGGCGTATGCTTCGTTTTGGAGGCGGGTAGTGGCGTATCCCACAGATCCCAGTTGTCCATGGTATCATCCTCCGTTTCGACTGGACTGCTGGAGCGGTGACCGGGATTCTCGGGTTCGTTCTCGCCCCGAGGGGTCGTGGCGTCGGCGTTGTTGCTGTCGTTTTGGGGGTTCGAGGAGCTGCGCCGAGCGGCGGGCGACATCTGCGCTGGTGAATCAACGCCAAATTCGTGCCAGAATGACTTGGAGATGTCTGGCGGCGCGGTGTCTTTACCAGATGTACTCTCGACCGCTTGGGGCCTACCCCGCGACGACGATGACGATGACGATCGTGACAATTTATCCCCCGAGGCTGATAGACGCTCTCGACTCCTTGACTTGGCTGAAAGAGATTCTCGTTTCCGTGAGTTTGGTGGTGCTAATGAGTTTGAGGGCGACATGGTCCGCGATTCCGTTGCGCTGATGCCTTCTTCGCCCACCGTTGCCTGTCGAATATCCTCAAAGAATGTCCACAGTCCTTCCCGAAGATCCGAGGCCATTTGCTTGCCAGTACGTACGAGAGCTTCCCGCGATGGTGGGGGCATGGGCATAGTCTTGCGCCACTGGTCAAGCACCTGGTCCGGAACTTCGGTTTCATCAGTCGGCATTCCAATGCTGGCAACAGAGTTTCGCTCAACAGATGGGAGCGTTGCCGATCGCGGGGTACGTCCCACGCGATCCAGTTCAGCAGGTCCAGGTCCGCCAATGGAGGAGCTGGGTGCTGTGACGGGAGAGAGAAGGGAGAGCGTTCGAGCATGGGAGCCCTGGAATACGCGCCGACCATTAGCAGAGATCAACGTGCCCTTGGGTGCGACAGCAGCACGAAGACTGCTGCGCCGGTCCAACTCTCGGCTTATCCGCTCCTGTGACACCGAGGAGCTCCCAACCGAGCTTATGCTTTGTTCACGGCGATGGGAAGACAGGCTCGACCCCTCTGGAGCACCCAACTCGGGTGAGCGAAGTGGCAGCATCGGTTCGGCATGGAGGTTGATCTCGGTGCGTTTCTTGGACTTTTCGGACAGCGCCCATTGCTTCTTGATGGTGGACAGTTCGGACTCTGCGCGATGCAGCTCCTCCCGTAGCTCCATCACCCTCCGCTCCTGAGAGGCGATGGCGCGGAGGAAGTCGTAGCCATCGTCTTCGGTATCAAAAAGGGAGAGGAGTCCCAGCAGGTACTGCTGGGGAAGGACGTGTTGACGATTGGGTAACGGGGGTCATGGGTCCTGGTGAGGCGACCGAGTCGGAAGCTGAGCTCGGTTGATCCAGCGGAATGTTGATGGGGAAGTTCAATGTCAGGCGTTTGGTATGGCGAGCTCCGGGGTGGGCTCGTGGGGGGAGTGATGAGCGTTTCTGCCGAAGAGAGGAAGAGCGAGAGATAGGTTGCTTGTCAGAGACAAGCTCCGTTGAAGTGGCTGTCGAGGTTGAAGGCGAAGGCAGGTGGGACGCATCCGGCAGAGGACCATGGCTATGGCTGAGGGCCTCGCCCGTTCCCGGGGAACTCTCCATCTCCATATGGTGGACCAGCCAGCAGGGAGAGGAGATGGACCAAATAAGTACAAAATTGATGGAGAGCGAGTGAAAGTGAACGAGGGTGTCGAAGAGTAAAGAGATAAAGGAGAGAGAGAAAAAAGAGAGACTCGGAGAGTCTGGCCGTTCTCCTGAGAGGAAAGCGGGTCAACAACCACGAGCGAGTGTTTCAGGGGCCGTGGGGGAGGCTGTCACTCCACTCACTAACCCTCCATTCGGCCCGTTGGTACTCGTGGCCCATTCAAGCTGCTGGAAATAGCAATACCTTCATTTCCTACTCTCTTGGTGGTGATATGGGTCTAGAATCATTTACCTTGGTACTGAATATATAATTGCACAATTTGGTGTTGAAATTGAAGTGGATATTAGAGATGGGACGGATCGGCACGCCTCATCTTGCCCTAGGTGCATCACACAAAAGGGGGTGAGGCAGGTCGATATATAACTACCTAGATATTTTGCATGTCGAATTACAAGTTGAATGGATGCAGTAAAACTAATCCATGGATACTGCTTATAATAGTACTTAGGTAGTAGGTAGTCATCTAGTATGCTAATAGTTCAAGTTACGGAGTAGGTACAATAAGGTTGGACCTCGGGGTATGTTGATACTATTCATGGATCCACGTGCCAGCCCTTGTACAGCTTAAAGGCGATGATCTCAGAGAATATACTGGTAGTACTAGGTCGGTAGGTAGTGACCTTGGGAAGTTCTAGGCAATTCAACGCAATCGAATTTCCAGTTGAATAGTATGATACTAATATGGTATTGTATTTTAATTTATGGAATAGAACAACCCCCTCACATCCGGATATTGCACACCAAACACCGCTAAACGCCTATGCCATCACAAGGCAAATGCCAATATTGAGGAAAACAAAACCATCACCCATAACGCATCCATGGGATATCTAGTTCAACATATCAGATTCGTCACGTATGAGAGATTAAGCCTGGTTGCGGTAGATCTGGGAGCCACCAGAGCGGATCTGCACCGTCTCGCGCCGTTGTAGAACATTGATCGCTCGGTTGAGCGCTTGTTCACTGCGGCCCTTGCCGTCCACAAACTCGCGTCGCAGGGTCGCCAAGCTAGTACTCCAGCCAACGGGCAAGCGGCGCTTGAGCTCGTCCTCGATCTGGCTGGCCTCCTCCATGATCTCCTTGCTGCCTTGCTGGCCCTCACCCTGGGTGATGGCATCCATCGTCGACGCCAAGAAGAGCCGAATGGCCTCATCAACGTGGGTTTCGGTGGCGATAGGTGACAGGGATAGCTTGGCGAGAGATTCGGTGATACGGACAATAGCCTCGAGCTGACGCACAGTGATAGGGATGGAGGAACGGGTGTTGGATTCGACCTCGGTTCGGTGCACCTGCTTGCGGATGGAGACGAAGTGAGAGGACAGCTTCTCAGCAGCCTCGGGAGAAAGACGAGGTGCACATCGACTGAAAGAGATTTTAGTTCCTGAAATTGGTAAAATCTGAATACGGTGGCAGCCAAAACTTACCTGCGGCAGTAGCTGACGTAGCGCTTCATCTGCTCCACGGGAATCTCAGCCTCAACCTGCTCCTCTACACCACGCCCGCCCATGTGCACGCCCATGACGTGGCGGGCAATACGCTCATCACGGCCACGCTCATGGTCGTCGCGAACAATGAAAATCATATCGAAACGAGAAAGAATGGTGGTCTGGAAGTCGATATTCTCGCCAGGGGTCTTGAGGTCATCGTAACGACCAAAGATCGGGTTGGCGGCGGCCAGAACAGAGGTTCGCGAGTTTAGAATGGTCGTGATACCGGCCTTGGCAATAGAAATGGTCTGCTGCTCCATGGCTTCGTGGATAGCCACTCGATCCTCGTCACGCATCTTATCGAACTCATCAATACACACAACACCTCCATCAGCCAAAACCATGGCACCACCTTCCAGGTAGAACTCGCGGGTAGCAGGGTCACGTTGTACAGATGCTGTCAAACCGGCAGCCGAAGAACCCTTTCCGGAGGTGTAGATGGCGATAGGAGCGGCTTTCTCGACGAACTTCAATAGCTGGGACTTGGCGGTACCGGGGTCACCCAACATGAGAACGTTGATATCACCACGTAGCTTCATACCATCGGGAAGAATCTTCTTCGAGCCACCCATCAGGAGACAGACGATGGCCTTCTTCATATCCAGATTACCGTAAATGGAAGGGGCAATGCTACGGGCGAGAGCATCGTACAGATCAGGGCGACGACTGATTTCTAGGAACTCCTGCTCCTCCTCCTCAGTAAAGATGGAGTTACCCTTGGCGGTCTGATCCACGTCTGTGTTGAGGCCGACGGCACGCAGGTAGGGGTTGCGGATGGCCACTGCGGCCTCCTTTTTGACACCCTTCGCTTGGTAGATAGAGAAAATACCCATTACCGTGCAACGAGATCCAGGAACAACACGGTTGGCCAAGTAACGATCGGCAGAGATCAAAACATGGCGCGGCAGCTCACCAACGGGAACTTGATCGGGGGCCTCCTGAAGCTTGAGGACTTGCTGATCCACAAATTCGCACTTTTCATGGTGTACAACATATGGGTCCAGCGGACATTGCTCGCCGGGCTGGTCGCCAGGCTCTTTGCTGCGGCCGCATCGCCGTGGGAGCGAAAGGCCAGAGAAGCCACCGTCAACAGTGATATTTTCACTATGGTCGCAATTCTTGCAGCGAATGTGGACGGTAGTCGCTTTCGATGAGATAGTCGAGGCACCAATCACAATACCCGGGATTCGGACAAGGTGAGAGATATTGGTGGCATTGAGGTCACGGATGGAAATGTGCGATGCCGAGGAGTGGAGGAGAAGTTGGTGGGAGGGGAGTTCGATACCACGCTGACCGGGGTAGACGATTCGTCGGGTGCAGTCCAGAAGAGCGTTCTCAAACTGAATCAAAGTTAGCTGCAGTCTTGTAGGGCAGACGTTTGTCTGATGATGGTGCACGCACTAGAGGAATGATATCGGCGGGCTCGGTGGTGAGTTTGTGGGCCAGCTCTTCATTGTAAGAAATTAGATGGGCGATGTCAATATCGCAGTAGTATTGCTTCACAAGAACATTCTGTCGTAATTGGTCACTGTGAGATGGGTGGTTGCGATTAGTATTATTATTTCTTTTGACGACCACCTCCTGGGAAGGATGCAAGTGGGATGTACCGGTAGATGAATGCATTGTCCAGCTGAAATTCGAGGACAAAATCTCTTAATTTATTTTGAATTTGTGAGCGGGACTCATCAGCGCCATTGGTGCTAGGAGCGAGAACGCTCAGGGTATAGGGAGTGCGTCGGTCCATGGTGTGGTGATGAAGATGTGGTGGGAGGTCCAACTTTCGCTAGGAAGGGAGAACGACAGAGAACTTTTGGTTGAGAGGCGGGAAGTCGCGAACGCGTCGCGTCGTCCTGTTTCACGCGTTAAGTGGTTTCGGCCTAACCACTAAGGCTCCAAGGCAGTCAAGGGCGGTAAGGCAGATACGGCAGAATTTCACCAAGGCGGCAGCTTCCCGATTGGGCGGCGTTGCGCATGGCGCTGGAAACAAAGCCACCTTGACAACTACATCAGCCCAGCTCCACCGTGAACTCCCGTTGACGCGGTTGTCTATAGGTTATTGACTGGCTAGGACCTCAAAGCTCACCTTCAACTGTGGTGGTCCGGAAGCTATTCCTTCAAGGGGCCAATCTGTCATGATCAGATAACTCCGAGCTTCCCCAACGATCGACTCCCGGTGGTTGTCGCATCCGCCTTGCGGTTGTGTACACTGTACAAGATGTCGTCAACCAGCCCCCGCAAGTCAATTGATAGCCTGGCATCCGGCGCATCGACCCCTGTTCTTTCCCACTACTCGACACCCCAGCTGGAGTCTCCGCGGGTTCCCCCACAACGGTACCCCCTGAGGAGGGGATCTACGGCAAGCTCGATTGTGAGCATCGGAGGAATCTTGGATACTTCTCAATATCATACCTCAATCTCCGAGTCGGGTCAGAATGGTATGTTTCCCAACCCAGTGCACTATAGTCAATTGAATATTGATCGGCTTATCTCTCCGCAGCCATTTCGTCTCTTCTCCAGGCGCCCATAGTCCGCACCGGTTTGACCCCTCATACTGCCGTTTCGTCTACCGGATATAAGCCCCCGTCCTCTCGTGACATCCCGCCAGTTACCTTGACAAATATCGCTCATGTGGACTCCAAGGCGTTCCAGCCGTATCTGGCGCAAGTGGGATCCCTATACGAAGTCTTTCACCAATCGAGAGAAGCTTCTGGCGAAGATAATCAGCAACCGTCGGGTATCAAGTCCCCCCCAATTCGAAGATACAGACTCTTTAAAACCATGGAGTCCCGAACGGAGATCTTCAGTGATGTCGACTAGCTCTCGCCCCACCTCACCTTATAGTCCACGCGGCCGACGTTCTTCGAGTGGGCGTGGGCGTGGTCCTGCCGTGACGCCACTATCGACCATTCCACAGGTTTACTTTGACGAAGACTTTCATCTTGAAAACCCCCGCACTTTCGATGTGATCTCAGAGAAATCAGAGGTGGTTAGACCCCCGCGGCCCCCAGTCAAGGACGATGGAAATGCCAACGGCGGTGCCCCTGAGCCGGCACAAACAGGGAGAAAGGCGCTGGCCACGAATGCTATTCTTCAAGAAAAGCTTTCTTGGTACATGGATACAGTCGAGATACATCTCATCTCGTCAATTTCTACTGCATCAAAATCCTTCTTCACGGCCCTTGGCTCCTTGCGAGAATTGCACGCGGAAGCGGCTGACTCTGTGCAACGCATCCAGTTATTGCGACGGGACCTGCAAAAAATTGACAAGGAAATGGCTCTTGGTGGTATGAAAATTGTGAATCTGAGAAGACGGAGGGAGAATGTGCGTATGCTGGCTGCTGCGGTAGCTCAGCTTCGTGATGTAGTCGGGTCAGTTTCTCGCTGCGAGGAATTGATGGAGCAAGGTGATATCGAAGTTGCTGCCGATGAACTCGAGGAAGTGGAGAAGTTGATGGCCGGCGAGAAGGTATCAAGTCACCCTGTGGACGGGGATGACCAAAACCTCCCACGCCAAGCTATTGATCTCAGAAGACTTAGGGCGCTTGAAGGTGCATCGGATGATCTTTCTCAGTTGAGGCAGCGAATTGGAATGGGATATGAAACTCGATTTTTGAATGATTTGCTTGGAGACTTGCGAAAGCATGTGGAGAATGTATCTTCAGATATTACTCTGCAACGCTGGGGTGCCTCCTTCCAGCGCCAACGCGGTGGTCAGCGCCCTGTGTCAATGGTATCTCCGGCATATATGAACATTGACAGTGAACTGCGATCCCAGTTGAACACGCAACTCACTGGGCTTGCTCGGGCTCGCTACACGACTCCTGCAGCTACTTCATTCAAAAGTGCCGTTCTACGCGAGATGAAAGGACTTATACGGAAACACTTACCTAGCTCCAGTGACGACGATAACGAATCAATGGTTTCGATATCGACACACAGTGACCGCCAACGGAGTCAGCAGGAGAAATCATCTACTCTCGCACGCAATCTCCGTGCTCTTGACTCGGAAGATGCCTATACCATGTTGGTTGGAATCTACACGGGAATCAGCGAGTCTTTGCGTCGACTGAGTGTCCAAGTGAAGATTCTTTTGGACATTGCTAGTGGACTCGGAAGTTCCCCAGTGACTGGTGTGAGATCTCCACCTCGGAGCCCCAATCCACAGAGTCTCGACCAGATCACGAGTGGGTCATCGGTTTCTGCCATGGCACAAGATGAGATCCTGCAGGTCTTGGATATGTCTAGTCTTCTTGGCCAGGCGGTCGACATAGCCCAATCCCAGATCACCAAGGTACTCAAAGTTCGCTCAGAACAGACTGCGCAACTCTCCAAAGAAGATTTCTTAAGATACTTTACCCTCAATCGCCTTTTTGCCGACGAGTGCGAAGCTATTTCTGGACGAGGCGGAACCGCACTTAAAACAATTGTCGGCAACCAAATCCACGATTTCATCAACCGCTTCGGCGATTCGCAGCGCCATCATATTGTTAAGCTTATGGATGCAGATCGATGGGATGCCAGTGACTTTGGAGAAGGTGAAAATATCATTCTTAATCGTATTTTGGATGCAAGCACCAAGGATATCGAGGCATGGGTGGAAGTTTCCAAGATCTGGATTCCGCAGAATGAACAGTCACAGGCCAAATCACCGGACGCCAGTGCACCCGCGAACGGGAATAGCAAGGATAAAGTGCGTACTGCAGTCATTGATGACCAAAAGCACATTCTGCCTGAGTCGGCAATGGCCATGATGCGCAGCATGGAGGAATTTGAATTCCTCATGGCGAACATCCCAAGCATGATCCAAGATATTGCCCCGCAGCTTCTAGAAATCTTGAAGCAATTCAACTCTCGATCTGCTCAGCTTATTCTGGGCGCGGGTGCTACGCGGAGTGCCGGATTAAAGAACATTACGACCAAACACCTTGCTCTTTCTTCCCAAGCATTGAGTTTCGTCATCGCCCTGATGCCGTATGTTCGGGAGTTTGTCAGGCGTCACGGACAGTCGAACCAGGTTATGGCCGAGTTTGATAAGGTCAAGCGGCTTTGCCAAGAGCATCAGAACCAAATCCATGAAAAGCTCGTGGATATAATGAGCTCTCGTTCATCGCTCCATGTCAATGCTATGAGAAAGGTCGACTGGGATGCAGAGGGAGATTCACCGGATGTCCATCCATTTATTGAAACTCTTGCCAAGGAGACCGGCACTCTTCATCGCGTTCTCAGCAAACATCTTCCTGACATGACCGTCGATATGATCATGATACCAGTGTTCAACAGCTATCGCGACCATTGGGTGAGGGCGTTTGAAGAAGCCGACGTCAATACAGAGCGTGGCAAGAAAAAGTGAGTTCAATTATAGATAATCATCTTCGGGTGGCTAATACTAACAACTTCTCTAGAATGCAAAATGATATCGAACACTTGCAAATCAAATTAAGCAAAATAGAAGGTTCAAAAGAGCTGACCGCTAAGCTGCTTGAGATTGTCAACTCGAAGTCCATTGCCACAACTACGACAGAGCCGGAGAAGGCTGAGAGCGGAAGCGACAAATCAGACCAAGAGAAAGGATCTGATGCAGCAGCAGCATGATCGACCTGCTAGCAAGCTTTTGCCTTCATTTTGACCGGCAACCCGATTACCATACATAATTTTGTCATACACCATTCTACAGTCCCTGCATTGGGTTTCTAGAAGCTGTACAGGAGCGTTGTTATTTTTTCTGTGATTCAGCAAACCACATAACCCATTCCACGAAATGCATTTATAGATAGCCTGGCGTTACCAATATGAATACCACTTGAATAATCCCCAGGAATATCTGTACCCTATATAGTATCTAGTCTTCTTAAGGCCCTTGGAAGTCATATTTTGAACATTGATTACGTGCAAGCTTTACAAGTATAACAACGAGATACTTGTTGTCCTTTATCCGTGAGGTTTGGCGAATTCTGCTGGCTGTGCTGCTGCTAATAGCAGGGCGCGCCATGACGGCCAATCACTTGAATAGACATATGCAGTCGGTCATGCTGGCACGCCATTGGGGATCTTATTCATGTCGGGTTGGCCAATCACTCCCCAAATTCTCCAGTATGGCGGCTAGGTACTGCGCCTCTTCGATTGGGCCGCCGAGCATTTACTCAAGGCTCTGACTCGGAAATTCTCACTTCCTTTCTACAACCACCATTTTGCAAAGCCAGACAAAACAAATCCTCTTCTGCGCGTCATCCATGAACACTGAACACAATCATCCGCCTCATACCTTCGTCGGCACGGTTCAGTAACCGTTCATCCTGGAATGTCGATGAAGCTGAGCCGCAATTCATATAGGGTGGGATGGATCTGCCCACTGGAGGTGGAACAGGTCGCAGCCCTGGAGATGCTGGATGAACATCATCAATCTCTTCCACTACCAAGCGGAGACACAAATATCTACAACCTCGGAAGCATCAACGATCATAACGTTGTCATCGCCGGGCTTCCCCTCGCTGGGAATTGCCCCGCGGCTACAGTTGCGACGCAAATGAGAATGACATTCCCAAACCTCAAATATTGCTTACTCGTAGGCATCGGCGGAGGTGTGCCAATCAAGACAGACCACGGAATCATTCGCCTAGGACACGTTGTTGTGAGTGAGCCGACCGGAGTTCACTCTGGGGCTATCTAATATGACCATGGGAAAGCACGAGCAGGCCATTTTGAACGAAAAGGCTTTCTGTCCTCTCCACCAACTACTCTGCTTAACGCTGCACGACAAATCGCTGTTCAGCGTCAACGCATGACTCATGATCCAGTTTGGATGAATACCCAGAGGATCGATTCTTCTCGCAGGACCCTTTCTCATTTCAAATTTCCCGGGGCTGCTAATGATTATTTATACCCATCGGATTATGAACATCAACAAAAGGGAGAGTCCTGTGAGAACAGCGGATGTGACTCAGAAGTGCGAATTGACCGACCGACAGAAGAAGATTCCTTCATCGTCGTACACAGAGGAACAATCGCGTCCGGAGAATTAGTGATCAAGGATGCCAACAAGAGAGACGAGCTAGCCGGAGAGCAAGGGGTATTATGCTTTGAGATGGAGGCTGCAGGTGTCCTTACTGATTTCCCATGTATGGTGATCCGGGGGATCTCTGACTACTGTGACACCCACAAGAACGATATTTGGCATGGATATGCGGCAGCGGTTGCAGCCGCCTATGCAAGGCAGTTGTTCTTCCATATACCTATCGAGGAGCAGGAGTAAGTTAAATCACATCTAGCTAAGAGCGACTTCTACATAAAATTTGATTCTGATCTCGGGTCCCTGCATCACTAGGAACTCAAATCCGACCCCTCCTGCTTTTGATCTCCCATTAAAACTATCCCAAATCTCTGAAGTGACCCGGTTTGTCGCAAGGGATAAGGAGCTCATAGAACTACATGAGATTCTTGGGAGCACTTCTGAGCGACGAGTTGCCATCTTGCGTGGTTTAGGTGGTATTGGCAAGACACAGTTGGCAACTGCATACCTGAAGCAACATTGTGCAGACTACTCGGCGACAATCTGGCTGAATGCGAGAGATGAAGCAACGCTGAAACAGAGCTTTGCCCACACAGCAGAGTGGATCCTTCGTCACCATCCATCTCTCACATATATTGAAGGTGCCCTGAATAGCCAGAGCCTTGACCAGGCAGTAAGGGCAGTGAAATTCTGGCTAGACGAGCCACGCAATGATCGCTGGTTAGTTGTTTTTGACAATTACGACAATCCGCTGTTGGAAAACCGAAGAGGCAAAATTGCGGAACCTGTCTCCTGCCAGAGTGAAGAAAGTGGTGATATCTCAAAGTCCTTTGATCTTCGCTTATTCCTGCCTGATACAAACCATGGCGCCATCATTGTCACGACGCGATCCTCCATGGTGAAATTGGGCCAGGTCATCCAATTGACCAAGCTACTGGATATAAAGGATAGTCTTGAGATCCTGGCATCGGTTTCCGGCCGTGATGGCTTGGGGGAAGGTGAGCATTCTGGAGATGACAAATGATAAAACTCTACTAAGATTTAGCAGATCCAGATGCAAAGAAACTTGCAAAGGAGCTTGATGGACTTCCACTGGCCCTTGCAACTGCAGGTGCATACCTGGAGCAAGTTGCAATGAGCTATGCGGAGTACTTGCAGCTATACCGTGAATCATGGCAAGAATTGCACGAAGAGACACCCCAACTTGCATCATACGATCAAACCTTATACTCAACGTGGAACATGTCATACAAATACATCCAGTCTCAGAATCCACTTGCAGCGATGCTTTTGCGACAATGGGCCTACTTTGCCAGCGAGGACTTATGGCATGAGCTGCTGGCAGAAGATCATGGTGGGGAACCAAAAAAGCCGGAATGGTTGATAAAGCTCACGAAAAATAAGCTCAGTTTCCATGGAAGCCTGAGAATTTTGTGCAGCCATGGACTTGTGGAGCCTCAGCCTACCGTGGCATCGCGATGTGCAGAATCACAAGGCTATACTGTGCACGGATGTGTCCATTCATGGATGGTTCATGTGTTGAACCAAGGGATTGATAGAAAAATGGCCTACGCAGCAATTCGATGTGTGGTACAACATATACCTCTTTCAACCCATCCTCAATCCTGGCTCATACAGCGGCGACTTGCCGCACATGCAGACAGGTGCATAGAGCTGATAAAGGATATAGAAGTATGCGGGGGAACTGCACATTCTCGTTATATAATAGGCAACTTCTACGCAAATCAGGGTCAGCCTGGACAGGCGGAGTCAATACTAAAGGAAGCAATTAGAGATCTCGAAAGTTTACGAGGACGAGAACATCCGCTCACACTTCGTGCCCTGAATGATCTTGGTTGTCTCTATTTGAATGATAGCCTTGGAGAGCGAAACCGAGAAGCAGAGTTGATATACACGCGTGTTATAGAAGGCTTCGAGACATCATTTGGACGGAAGGACAGTCTGACACTATGCGCCATTTCTAACCTTGCCATTGTTTACCAGAATCAAGGACGACTTATCGAGGCGGAGGAATTATATAAGGAAGCAGTCGAAGGGCTCGAAAAGGCGTGGGGAAAGAAGCATCCAGTGCAATTGACTATCCTGCGTGGATTTGGTGATCTCTACGCTGCTCAAGAACGATTTCAAGAGGCAGAGATAATATTGAAGCAGGCTCTAGAAGGATTTGAGGAGATGCTAGGACGAGAACACCCAGAAACACTAAAAACTGTCCATGCGCTTGGCGGAGCATACGCAGATGAAGGGAGGCATAAAGAGGCAGAGACCCATTACAAGCGAGCTCTAGAAGGCCAAAAAAAGGTATTGGGAGAAGGCCATAGTTCAACATTATTTACCGTCAAATGCATCGGCCGATTGTATTGGATACAAGGGCGGCCGCAAGAGGCCGAGATTATGTGGCAGCAAGCCCTCAAAGGCTACGAGAAAGCCTTGGGACGGGAACACCCATGGGCCCTCGAACTAGTTTTCAGGATCGCTTTGTCTTACGACAGGAAAGGACAGCTTTGGGAGGCAAAGAAAATGTTTGAGCAAGTCTTGAAAGGATACGATAAGGCTTTGGGGCCAAAGAGTGCTTCAACACACCCCCTTTTCTTGGACACACTCGAATACCTCAGCTACATATGCTTCGATCATTGGGAAACTGAGAAGGCAAGGATCTATCGCCAAAGAGCACGTAATGGTCGTTTGGGGGCGAAATAGCCAAAGCTATCAAGATCCTTCTGACGTGTTAAGCATTCACAATTTGGTTGAGTAAGCCTTGCGAGGTCTTTGGGCTAAAAGAATCTGTTCAGATGGACAAAGAAAGACAGGAGAACAAAAATAGAAAAAAATGAAAGCTAAGATAATATCAGTCATTTTTCGAGCTCCGACTCGGAGTAGTTGATGTACAAGTTAAGAACTCTTGTATTTCTCTGATTGAATCTCTCCATAGGCAGAACCTTGGAAACAATGAAATGGGCGGAAACCAATTCAATCATATCCGATGATACCTAGGTACTCTACAAAGGAACTCTTACTGCAAAATATCTTGACTCATTCAAGCAATTTCTTCATTCATATCTGGATAACCAGGCTAAAGAGTGATTGATGCCTGGCGGAACACTAGAATACTAGGAGCAAAACCCAGTATCAAACATTCAACTAAAAAAACCTTAAGCCGAAGCCGAAACCTCAAGACGCTTAAAACCACCCTTATCAGCAACCTCCTCCTGCAGCGCAGCCATGCGCTTCTGATCACCAGTGGGATCAGTGGAGTCCGCATCCAGGGTCCAGGAAAGGAATTTGTTGGTGTAGTTGGACTCGAAACCATCCTCCAGAATCCCCAAGCGTTTACCATAGTTGGTAACCTTGGTCCAGTCACGCTGAACATTCTTCAAATCACGGCTGAAGTAAGCGTACGAGCGCTCGAAGATCTTACGGTTCACGGGCGTCGCCATGATAGGCTTGATATCGACGTATTCCTCGTAAGTCTTGGCTGGGTCAGCGAGGACGTCGTCCGTAGCACGCTTGACAGCCCGCATGAACGCCGAGACCTTCTCCGGGTTCGCGGCGATGAAGGCGTCGTTGGCGATGTACAGGATCGAGCAGAAGCAGCAGCAGCCTAGTTCGGCGAGCTGGTCGATGCGGAGCATCTGGACGTCGGAGCGGGGACGGCCTTGGTCGGCGAGCCACTCGGCCAACTCGACCATCTGCACGTTCTCGAGACCGATGCCGGCGTCGATATCGCCGCGGATGATCGCCTTGGTGACGTTCATGCCGCAGCGGACGGCGGTGTAGTCGTCGGTTGTCATGCCGTAGTACTTGGTAAGCTCGTCGATCTGGATCTTGCCGAATTCGCCGACGTAGCCGATGCGCTTGCCCTTTAGCGAGCGGAAGTCTTCGGTGATACCGCTGGACTTCAGGTAGACGACACCGGTGAAGGGCTCATCCAGCAGAGATCCGATGGAGGTCACTGGGAAGTTGCGAGCCTTGGCCTGGATTATGTATTAGCATTGGGTTTTGCGTTGTATAGATAGTCGAGGGGTGGACGAACCGCCAGGGTGTGGATCATGGCCTTGAAGCCCATGTCGACCTTGCCGCTACCGATGATCTCAGTCACATCAGAAGGGTCATTGGGCTCCAGGAGAGCGACCTTGAGGCCTTCATCCTTGAAGTAGCCGCGGGACTGGGCGAGATAGAGGGGGGCGTGGTACGGGGTGGCGTGCCTGGAAACATTCAGCCAGTACTCTTATAAAGAATGAAGTATAAGGGCTATAAGCTAGTGTTAGCATACCAGTTGGTCAGGAAAGTGATCTTGTCGGTAGCCATTTTGACAGAACAAGAACTGTGTATACTTGGAGATGGTCAGCATCCCTGAGACAAGGCATTGCCGTCTGCATCAGCTGGATGGGATTAGTCGAGGCATCAAGACCATCAAGATATCAAGATCACCTCAATGATCTCAATAATCTCAACTAATCCATTCAGCAATACAACCAGCAATGCAAAACACAAAGGGGAAACAATCAAGTCACGCATGTCCTTTCGCTAGTATTATCTAGATCAAGTTTTGACAGTATAATCTCAGAACGAGCGTCTGCCCCAGGAATTGACAATTCCCAGAACAGACACGTCGAACACCTGTCATGCGTGCGCTGACTGTTATACCATGAACAAATACCTTGATCCACGATGATGATCGTAGCGAGGAGGACCTCTGATCCGATAGTCTGCCCTACCCGGCGATCTGATGATCTCCGGGTAGTTAACGGCCGAGACTAGGACGTGCGCGACTCCATTTGGAGAGCCCTACCAAAGGTAGATATTGAGGTCGAGAAGTGAGTAAAATGGAATGAAGAAAGAAAGTTATGGGAAAAGAAGGAAAGGAAGGAGAACAGAGCAGTGCATGGAGGGGTAGAAATAGTTCGGAGTGGGGTGCTCCTGTGGAGGTTGTTTTCATCATGACTGCACACCACAAAAAGGGCTCACCGAACGGGATTCGTTGAAAATGATCTCCCTCTCCTCATTGGGTTTACGGGTAACTTTATTAGCTGCTGTTTATCCACTGTTGCTCCGAAGCCAACCGGCGATCGGCTATTCCATGGCGTAGATGTTTCACTGACTTGGTTAAGCAGGCTACCAGCTACCGGCTACCTAGGTGATAACTATATTACATGCCATACTTTGGACAAGCTCAGCTATCAATTACGAGAAAAAAAAACAAATCATAACCCATAATAAACATTTCTCAAATTCGGTTAAAACATGGCTCCAAATGCATGGGAGTGAATAGAGACAATTACAACAGTATGGACGGGATGCGTCCGAGTACTCGGGATGATTGAGGGGAAAGGAAATGGAAATGAGAATGGAGGACAGGAAAGAAATGAAAAGAAGGAAACAAAAATACGCGACTCCAAATGCAGAGAAGAGCAGATATTAGATAAGACCTCCAACGTGGCCCACACGTTGAATTCCGAAGCGCAGGGTCCAGTTCCGACCTAGGCCTTGGCCGGGGGACTGCCCTCCGCTTCGTGGCCCCCATTGATCGAGATGCTGTCCAGTGGGGACTGGGGGCGATCGGCGGCCTTCCGAGTCCGGAGGGTAAGCGGGAAAAAGTGGTGGTCATCAGGTTCCTCCTCCTCACTAATTGGTGTTAGCTAAGAGAAATTGCAGTAGATAGGAGATGGAATTTGGTACTCACGGAAGCTTCCAGGCGATGTAGTCTTCAGTATTGAGACCCTCATGACCTTCTTGGAGAGATGCGAAATCCCCAGGAGTCATCATGCCAGACCGGTCCCGGGGAGAACCAGGAACCGATAACGGACGGGAGATCTTCTGATCCGTACCACCAATGATGTCGAAGTAGTCCTCCGCCCCTTCGAACGAAGAGGGATAAGCTATATCATCTGGGTCAGCGGGTTGCCTTCGGGGACAAAATGAGGGGAAGCGGGGAAATAGGGAAAACCGTACCTCTTCGCAGAGCCAACTGGCGCGCCTTGACGTATTCCAATCCCATTCGCTTCCAGTCCAGCAGGTCGCTCAGTCGTTCCGTGCGGTTACGTTGGTTGATTCGTTGACGGCGGCTCTTCAAGGTAAAGTTATACATAAAGTCGGTGAGTTGGTTGACAGAGTCATCCACACCCTTCGAACGGCGATCGACAATGTAAATGCCGTAGTCTGAGGAGTTTTCGATGAGCTCTTCCATGTAGCATCCGAAACCGGAAAGGTTGGTGGTGATACTAGGAACTCCCATCACAGTGCACTCTGCCGGGGTATAGCCCCAAGGCTCGTAGTACGAGGGGAAAACTCCCAGGTGAGTACCGCGAACAAAGTCGTCGTAGTCCAGGGGCAGGACTGGGTTAGACGAGTTCAAGAATTCGGGGTGGAACACGATCTTGACCCGATCGGATTCATTGTTGAACATCTCCACGCGGCGGATTTGGTTCAAGATCGGGTCCTCGCTGTCGTTGACCATGTTGTGAGTGACAATCGGGGGTAGGCCATGGCGCTTCATGGCAAACAAGCGACGACGGAGCAGCACGCGATCTTGACTAGTGATCAGGTCCTTCTCGTCGGGCATATTGTCGCCCTCTTTCCAGGAAAGACAACGCTCATACATGCGTTTACCAATTCCCTTCTCGATATTCTCAATGGTATCGCGGAGTGACTTGACCACAGCCTGGCCCTTGAGAGATTCAACCGTAAGCGACGATGTCTGCGCTGGCATAATGATGAAAGCAACAACTGTGGTGTCCGAGCCGCTGGTCTTCAAGCGGTGGTTCAGACGGGCCAGACCCTCGATGAACATGTCGACACCCTTATTGCGGAACTCATACCGACCAGCGGTGAAGAGATATAGGGTCTTGTCCAGATCAAAGTTGTTGTGTCCGTAGAAATGACCGCGCACGAAGTCGTTGATCTTTTCCTTGGCCTGCGAATGCAAGTTCTGGAACTCGTGCATAGCGGAGAACTTCTTGACATTGAGACCGTTGGGCAGAACACCGTCGGGTTTCCGCTTGAGCAGATGCTCACTCTCGAATGCCGTGATGTGAGAGACGGTAGTGAAGACATCGGAACTATGGGCAGCAGCCCGCTCAATGCAGTAGCGATGGTAGATGCCGCGCTTTCCGGCCTCGGCGTCTACATCAAAGTGTTGCAGATTGTTGTAGAAATCGACGGAGCCGGCACAGAGGTAGCGACCAAGGAGAGTAGCATGGGTGGTGAAGATGGTGGTCAAGTCCATGTGACGCTTCTTGGTCAAGGGGAGGGCTACACCAGCTAGCCATTCATGAAAGTGGGCGACAACGGCGCGTTTACGCTCGTGGGCAATGTACTAGGGACGGTCAGTTAAGTTTTTTTTAGGCCACCAATTGGCAGCGAGTGTGAGATCTGCTGCTGCAAGGGGTTACATACCTCGCCGAGGAACCATGCGACCATGTAGCCAAAGACGATGGCTTCATTGGTCTCGTGATCGGCATCTGGGGACGGGATGCCGGAGTTATTCCAGAGATCGCCCTTCCACTCGTCGAGCCATCGGTATCCCGTGCCGGTGTTGATGAGAAGCACTCGGGGAGCACCTTCGATCAGCCAGCGACCGTAGACAATCTCAATTCCGCGTGACTCCATGGACTTGATGGTCTCGCGCATGGCAGGACTGGAGGGAGTGAGCTCCTCGACCTCGACGGCGGCCGAGGCCTTGTTCAGAGGGCCAATCAAGGTGTAGCGCTCACCATATTCGGCAGTTGTGACGGGTGCTTTTGACTTGAGGACGGAATAAATGCCTCCGACACGGTTGGCGACCTCAGTGGCGATTTCAAATAGCATGTGGTTGCGCACATCGCGCTTGATGGGCTCGCCGCCGTTCTCGTCCGCCATGATAGATTGGATCAATGGATCAATCAGATCTTAGGCTTGTGCGAGTGCAAGTGCAAAAGCAAGCACAAATTACTCTCAAGACGAGATATTTCAAAAGATGGAGGGTTGAGGAAGAAAGAAAAAAAAGAGAGGAGGGGGAGGGAGAGAGAGGGGGAGAGCTTGGGGGGGGAACCGGTCTGTGCGGGGGAGAGATCTGGCTGAGAGACTGTTGCTGTGGTGCTGGCTGGGTACTTCCCCTAGCCTCCACAATCCCCCAACGCTTTAGGAAAATTTCAAATTGAATTGACACGGCCTAGAAGTCAAAAAGGGCGAAAAATAGACCCAAAAAGACCAAAAACCAGGAAGATGGGAGAAATCACGAAGCTAGCGGCCAGAAAACGGTCTAGCGTCGCATTCAAACCGGGCGGACCTGGCAGCGGCTGTCCGGAAACATGGTACTCCCTCTCTCTCTCTCTTCATCTTCATCCTCTATCCTACCTACTTCTCTATCCTCCCTTCTACTCTCCTCTCCTCTCTGCTGTCTACTCTCCTTTCTGCTCTAATATGCCTATCTCCTCTCCACACTCACACTGAACCACACTGAACTGCACTCGACCCTGCACCTCCACTACAGCCCGTGCCATCACACTACTGCACTCCAGCGATCAAAGCTCCTCGGCCCGACCTCGTCGATCATTGTACTCCATACCATTGCCCCCATCTCAGATCCCTTCTCAAGCCATTGATTCTCTGGTACATTGTCCTCGTGCAGACGCCATGGTGTGCCACTCACTATACGCGGGCAACAAACTCCGGGGAAAGCTGGCTCGATGACATCATACATGGATCTAAAAAGGTTCTCCACTGCGGGCGCGAATTCCCACTCGCCGCTGCACCTCTCAATGAGCTTGCGCCGCTGTCTCTTGACTGGTGCCCCCGGACAAGCCCCCCCCGAATCACGGCCTTCCTCCGGTTGGTCACCTGGACCTGTCTGTCGCACAGAAAATGCAAGACTGCTGAGAACTAGCTCACCCGCATTTACCCAAACTCAAAGCACTCGTTAGCAAACATCTCCGACTATGCACGGAACACTCTGTACCTTGTTCTCATAAAGGGCTGCCTTTCGCCCTTTGATCACATCATTAGATCAAGAGACGACTTGATCCGAGAGTCCCAATCTCGGCCTCTCCTCCCTTCTCGATCACTTTTCGAACAATGCCAATCGTCAGTACTCGGCAACTTCCGTGTCCCGGTTGTCCCTGCAATGCATTGTTGGTAAGAAATGACCAGAATGAGCCTCTTTATCACGCTCTCCTCTGCTTGTCCATAAATACCTGGTCGATCCTCACTTCTCCTCCGCCTTCTCATCTTCCCTTTCCCAATTCACTATGCCTGAAAATGCACAGGCTGAAACCTCGGGGTCGCTCTGGATTCATGTTATCTAATCATCACCACCCGGAAAACACTATATTTGGATTCCTTAAGAGGCTCGCTCGTCGTGTTCGTCGCCGTTTCTGCCATTTCTCTTGCTCAGAAAGCGAAGGCGAAGAAGAAAGGACCGTCAGATCATACCAACCATTTGTGTCAGAATGGGAAGAGTGGAATCGCCACGATCCTAGTTTCGTGGTTCGATCGGCTAGGCATATACCAGGGGTAAAGTATGAGGATATTGAAGACACTGATAAGAATGGACTTGAACTTCCTCAACTCCCACTCTCATGCCCTTCACATTGGGAAGAAAATCAGAGCTTGCCGGAAAGTTCTGCAGCAGTAAGTCTTGTTTCCATGCCAATCATCCTACCAGAGCCACCAGAACTTCCAGGGCTACTCTTTGAGAGATTCACGCTACGCGGTCTTGTTCGAGAAATGCCGTTTGAATTTATTGATGACTGGATACCCTTATTCCAAACCCAATCGAATAGGACATCGCAGATAATTGAAGGTATGGGAAGCCAGCGATCGTCGATCCTAGGTCTAGGAGGTTTATTCCACGGTCTTTCTAGATCTGTCTCGCCTAAATTGCATAGTAATGGGGTATTCTCATTTACAGAGAGTCCACTGCATGAACATTCAATAATCCGCCCACTTGCAGAGATTGACGAACCTTTTCTGCGTGCGATTCCCCCTCCGCTTAATCACGCCGGGGCAACCATTGGCTCGGACTCAAATCCCCACCAACAGGAGTATCCTCCAGATTTTGATTGGTTTCTCCAGTGTCTCTTTCGAGAAAGTCGCGTTCCTCGCCCTTCTAAATTCACACAAATTGACAGAACATAGTAGCACTAATTAATTACTGAATTCTTCTGCGCTTGATTTTTACAGCCCGTTTTCAGGCGGGAGTAGTGCGTTCATGGTTTGGTTGACAATTCTGGTCAGAAAGAATGACAACCTTTCACACAGACTAGCCGTTCATCTTTAAATGATCTTTCATTTTTATTTTTCCTCTTGTAGGGTATGGCTTTCCCTACTTGTTTCATAGTTCGTGTATTATCGTGAGAGTCAAATTTCAGCCCTGGGCCGGTCCCAATGGTTCTTTCTCAAATACTACATAATGCAAACTCAGTTACACGCTAAGCCGTCAGAATAGTAGAACCACGAATGGTAACAGTTTGATCGGATTTAAAATTCTCGTATCACTGAAGAATATATGCTAGTTGGTATACTCAAGCCAACTTGCAGATTGGTTGTGCTGCTGCAGGAGTGGCCAACCAAGCTTGGCAGCGCAGTGACACCATCCAAATTTGAAACCCGCACATCATTCTCTCGAAACAACCATTTCTTCTAGAACATACTTCTGATTCAATGCGTAATCGATCCATTCCAACTCATTTGAACCACTCTGCCAAGTTCAAAAAAGTTGATACTTCCCATCGACCAACAGTCGGTGCGCATTCGGCGATGAAGTCATTGTGGAGACATGACTTCATGATGGTGTCAAGTTTCACGGTCTCGACGGTCAGGTATTAATATGCTGCGAAGAAGTCATCTCTATTAACTTTTTTACTATCTTCAACTCTTCTCAATTCTCTCCAAAGGTTCGAATTTGCAATACCTCCACTCGTCGGGAATAGATCAACTCTAACATCCGACCAGCATCTATCTTTCACATCTCCATCTATACTCTTTAGTCGACATTCACAATGGTTCGAGGCGCAGAATACGACAACGGCATCCCTCAGAGCGACAACCCTATTGAGAACGGTCCCAACAAGGCCCACGGCGTTGGTGCCACTGTATGTTCTTATTCCCACCATCAACACTTCATACTTGACACTTCATAAGACCAATTCTAATATGACCCCACAGGATGCCCCCGTCAACCGTGCCTCCAAGGTCGCCCCCATGCCCGCCGAGACTGGCTCTGAGCGCGACGTCTTCCCCGGTCTGAGCCACGCTGGCCCTGGCAACTCCGGCAGTGGAAAGGGCGGCCACGAGCCCAAGTCCCTCGGCGAGAACAAGGGCACCGGTGCCCAGGGTGTTTAAAATGGCTGGGATTTCATCACAATTATTTCAGCGACAATCGTCGTTCAGGATATACACCCCTTCTGATAGGGTGTATGCTTTGCAAGAGCAAAGCGGTACGAGCTACGCATCATGAACCTTGAGGAGTTAGTGGATATTTTTCGGGCTTGTTAGTTGATATAGCATGGCTTTGAATATCAGAATACTGTATTATATTGAACTCTGTCGGAATGACACCCATAGCTCTTGCTGTGGTAATGCAGTACCTACCAAAGTCTTAAAGTGCCTACTAGTAGGTAGGTATTTGTTAATAATAGTACTTGTGTCCACTAGCTCTTATTACTAGGCAGTCTAATTCATACATCATAATTCCGCAAAAGCTGCAGGTTTGTTATTACTTGGGCTTTCAAGTTGCTGATTGATTCCTTATCCCTGCAAGTATATCAATAGTTTATCTGATGGAGACTTTTTCCATTCAAAACACTAAACGCTATCGTAGATCATTTTATCTCCATCTAGCCGCACTTTGAATCCCAGCTTTGATGCTATTTCGAGATGACGCTTTTTATGGTGAGTGGGCAGGTACGCCCATATCATTATCACACATTCACACTAGGGAACTTCTCACATCTCACACCTCACCTCAGAACTCTGACTTCTAATCGCTGACCAGAATCAATCCAAATACCACCGTCACGATGGCCGATCAGGAAGCACAGGAAGCACAGGGAGCACAGGGAGCACAGGAAGCGCAAGAAAGCCAAGCCATACCCAATCCACGCCCACAGCCAATAACTCAGGACCGGCATCGTACTAGTACGATTCAGCGTCGGATGGATTACGTTTATCGGTTTGCCTCTGGCTCTTATCCGCTACACGGTGTTCGTATTCGGAGACCTTTCATATCTGCTCTTGTTCTTCGGGGAGAAAATCGTCAATTTTCACAGGCATATGCTCAGAGAACATACCCTACACGAGAGGATCCTCTCTATCACCCATTTCCTTCACTGCAAGTTGCCCAACAAGCTACGCAGCAGCAACCCCTCCGTAGCAACGTTCCCGGCAACGAATTGTCCAGTGGCAACGTCCACGGCTGCGACGTCTCGAGCTGCAGCGCCTCCAGCGGCAACTTGCCTAGCAGCAGCTAGTTCGAGAACATATCTCTCATCCTCAATTTCCCCTAATACAACCTCCTCAGCTACAATATCCCCGACGGCCAATAACTGGAGCGCAAAACTCTCAGCAATATGTCTCTCGGCTTTCTTGTCCAGAGTGGCCTTACTTGGTATGGGCTGAACCTCAGAAATTCCCCTAAAAATAACCTGGACAAAGTCGCCCTGGGGATGAACCACAATCCCAGAAAGACCACCCATTCACATGGGAGCATATTTTATGGACAGGCAGGGGCTGGATTTTCCTTCATGGTCGGATCTCAGTAGCTCCAACGTACCTGGTTGGAGAGCGGAAGTGGAAAACGCCCATTAACGGATGGATCTTTATTGATGGCGCCCAGTTCCCCAGTACTGGACCCTGGCAAATGCCTCCGCGGGTGCCTCCGGACTTCTTTGAAGCTTGTTTTCTACGAGCTTTACTTCTCATTTTATGACATGCAAAACACCCACTGTCCATACAAACCGATCCAAGAGAAGGAAAGGAAAGTTGAAATTGGAATCAAGAGCCTGAGAGCTTTATATTATTACATCGCCGTCGATCCTTTTGCTTTTATAGCAGCATTCTCTTTGGCTTAGTTCTCACCGTCCCCTCTCTCGTAGTCTTTCTTTTTCTCTTTGGCCCCGATAATTTCCGGGAAGTACCCTGGCCCTCTTCAGTCTTTTAGAAAGTACAAACACGGCCCGTTCCTAAGATTGATCCAAAGTCCATGCTTCCATTCGTAGCATCGAATCACTTGCCTCGATGAGCTATTAACTCTCAGCGGCAGTGGTTCGAGATGGATTGGATGATGAGAAAAAGAAATGGGTACCTAGGTAAGTCGAGCAGAGGTGAAGCACTACCTCTATCATTATAGTTCAGGAATGGAGTATCAACGTATGGCTGCCTTTACTCTGTCACCGTCTACGCCCGTATTCACGGGCAAAGCTTGTAATAGGACATAGCCCCCCTAGTAGCAGGACTGCTGATGGGACCTTCTCTAAATGAGAGCAAGGACCTCTCCCTTGGAAGTCTTTACAGGTCAAGAGTGCTACTAGCCTGGTAATGCTAAGTACTGATGCTTTGTATCGGTCTAGAAATGGAATCATTCATGTGTTGAGCACTAGAACTTATAGGAATGATGGAGTACTAGTATAAATGTGTATTGACTATCACTTTAAGTGTTAATCTATGCCTGGAAGATCAAGGTCCCGTTGTCATTGCCAATCCGCTCTGAAAGGTTCACGTTCGCTTCTACCTGTTCGCCCTCAACATTCCCCAACAGAGCTCGAAGAATAGGGAGCTCATCGTCCCCTTCGCGGTGGAGCTCGACATCCTCAGCGCTGTCGTGGAAGTTCTCGCCACCCCAATCGAATGAGCCTGAGAGGTCTTATTAGATCATAATAGCATGGAGTATAAGTGTATCAGTGAAGGTGAGGGGCAGCTTACCATCATTATTGCCGATATATGCGTTCAGGTCTAGCTCAGACTCTTGCTCCTCGCCATCCGAATCATGGAGTACAGCCTTGAGGATATGGCCATCTTCTAGCTCAAAGCTAACAGCAGAAAGGTGGAAACTCATGATTTCTGAAGTATTATGTGATGAGTGGTATTTGGATGGTTGATATGCCCATTAAGCCGGGAGGCGTAAGGCCCTTTTATAGACTCCAGTTTCACGCTCTGGCCATGGACAAGTGATTCCACTGCAGCCCAAGTTCTTGTCCAACACATGTCCCCAATTCATTTGTTACCGAATGCCCATGTCGATATGGGCTGGGTGGATGCAGCTGGTACAAGCGGGGCAAGAGGATCCTGGATGCACAGGAGGACAAGCCCCAAGACTGTACTAAACAACCACTCCACTCTTTGTAAGCAATGGCTGGCTTTTCATTTCGAACCAGAATAATCTCATCTTTAAGTGTCAAGCACATTTGATATGAAATATGAAGTTTCTGGCTATGATCTCGTAGAGCCCGCCTATACGATCGGTGAGTGTTCTATACTCTAAGGTAATCTCCGAAAGCCATCATGGTGGCGCAGGATGGAGCCCCAGTCGTGGTCTCCAGCCACAGACGCAAACAAGGCGTGATGTTGCACTGTGTCTGTATGCCAAGGATTTCAATCCTAGCAGTTTGCTCGGAAGACACAGAAATGCTGGTGCCTGGAGGGAATACATACCCTGGGTACAGCTCATCATATGGGGGCCTTTATGCAGCCCTGTCTGTCTGGCGTCTTGGCATTTTTCCTTTCGTGGCGCAATCGCCACAAACATCAATATTTACGGGCTCGCTGTTGTTTAATGTCTCACTTTAATGGATATCTTCACAATTCTTGTATACCTAAAAGCATAACATAAAATTCTGTAGAGTATAGGCCCCCAAAAATCATGAAATGCCCCACCTCAGAATTCAACTTGATCTCTCCTCTTCTACGACCTCGGGATTGACAATATTCGCTGCCAGTGCTTGGTTTAATTTGTCCCTAGCAAACATTTTATGCCATAACCAACTACCTACATACTAGGTAAACTTGAATATCATCAGACCAGTGCATCTTATAATCGACGAGCCCTTATGGGCACTTACATTTCACCTTGTCCTCTGATATTTCTAGTAGTATGACTTTTACTAGTACATACTGTCATTTGACCCGAATTTGAAGTTATACCTTACTAGGTACTCTGAAATGCAATATGTACAGCTACGATTGTTGCCGCATTGAAATGCGTCTGTATGTGGCTGGAGGAGGTGAAGGATTTAAATTGCTCCGAGTAAAATCAATGGCGAAGCGCCCACGATGACACTGGAGTATAACCCAGCGTCTCTTAAGTCTATGATTGGAAATATAGTATGTACTTCCGAAATATACTCATGGAAAAAGGTGGAGAGAAGAGGAGCTTTTGCTGCAAGATATCATATTAGAAGCTTCTTGTATACTTCCAATTTCACGACTAGTAGTTAATACCCCAACCTTGGAAGAAACCAATAAAATCTGTCTGAGTTATTGCATCTCAATGCCTTCAACCTACAATTAGAACAAGCTACTTGCAGTGCGTTGGTTGCGAGACTTTCACGTCGCAGCTTTCTGTTTCTGTGCTTCCGGCTTCGTTTACGGCTCCGTTTCGATCTTTTTTCTAGTCCAACCGAAGGATGTACCTCTTCCAGTGGCTCACAAAGGAAGTCCTCGTCGAAGACGTCAGGGTCACAGAATAGAGTCTCGCAAAGGAGCGTCTGATTCGGGAAAATAGAGAGATAATGTTGGAAGGATCATATTCTAAGCAAAATACGTGGTATGGAATGCAGATGGATGGGGAGGAAAAGTCGTTGCGGCTGAGCAAGATCCTTGTTATGTTTTAGTTCTCTCGGAATACACACGTCTTTCTACAAATCTCGAGACCTTTCCAGAATACCTAGGTATGTTCAGATCCATGGTCCCTTTCGAGTTCATTCTCGTGTCCCGTACCGAACGATTACTTGTTTAGTCCGCGGTGCGGAAAGTCTGCTACGGCACCGCCCTTCGAACCTGGCTCCCAAGATGATACTACTAGTATACCTATCTGTGACTCAGTGACAGGCGTGCAACACACTTTTGAGGGCCATTCAGAAGACTGAAAATTGCCTTCTCCATGTGAAGCAAGATACCGATGTTATCACTGCTTACATTGCGAAGTTCGAATGTATTCTTTACGAAGCTCGTGGCCAAGCGGACCAGATATCACCAAGATAGTATCTACTTTTTGTAGAAGTTTCATAACTAACATTTCACAACGCCTCAATCAATGCCAAGTGCTGAATAAAGCTCTCATCATACTGCGTCTCTTACAATTGGTCATGAGTATCTGCGATTGCGCTTGAGTTCACGTTTCACTCCACGACGAAGACGCTCGTGTTTGAACTCTTCAGCCTCCTTACGCTTCTCATTCGCTTCTTTCCACTCTCCATACGCACCCTTGATACCCAGAGCAGCAAGACCGATACTCGCCGCATCAATCGTGTTGGCTTTAATGCGCTCCTTGCGCGCCTCATCGGCCGTGATCTCGCCATCTTCCAGCTGAGCCATGCGTTGCTTGCGCTTATTAATTGAACCGTAGACTTTGTGAGCTGCGTGGACGGTTGCCGCAGTGGCGAGGCCGGAGGTTAACAGCATATCACGCTTCATTTTCTTTTCTTTTTTCTTTTCATCTGAGCTATCCCCCAAATCGGAATCATACTCGGAGCTCGACCAGTCCCGACGTGAGTAGTTATCAGAGTACCTGTTCAAGGAACGTGATCGGGCCGGATTTCGAGAGGTTTGTTGTCGTCCGTAATAATCTTCGTGGTAGTTGTTTTCCATATCCGAGTCCGAATACCCATCAGAGCTATAATCCCCATTTCTGGAGTCGTGGTCGCGAGTAGAATAGTTTCCCCAATAGTTGGACTGACTATCCCTGTCATTGTACCGAGTGCTTCTCCGATCATCGTATTCTTCATGGTCCGGAGACTTCACTCCACGGTGCCAATCATCCGAGACACTCTGACTGGGCTTGCTCGACCTGTAACGGTCATCGCTGTAGTCTCGTCCCAGAGATCGCGAGCGGCCATATCGATCATAGAGCTCCTTTCCCGCAAAGGCCACTGCACCTGCAACAGCAACTTTTTTAAGATTGCTCGATGTATTGCTTGCGCCAACCCGACGCTGAAGCGCAACTCTCTCTTCACGGGTAGGGCCACCGTCATGTAAGCCCCGAAGTGTAGTCTCCATGATATGGTGTTTCTGAGGCTTGCTTGGATCCTTATTTACCAATCCGTTGGTGACAGCTGCCGTCAGAACATGCTTGCCTTTGTCGCCTTTCCATTCTCCGGGTTCCTTGCGCGCCCGCAAGGCCTCTGCAGCACCGGCGGCTACGAGTGGAAGCGCAGCATGCATTAAAAGCTGCCCACCCGTGCCGCTTAAGAAGCTGTGGCCTTGGTCACGGTTACTGTCGTCGGCGCCTTGATCACGGCTACGATGCTGGTCTTGGTCGCCATTTGCTCTCGAGACCTCGCTCGTGGATTGGCGACGATTTTGACGGCGGGATGAGCGGCTGGGCCTTTCAGACTCTACAGGTCTTCCTGTCAGCAGAGCATTCCAGGAAAATTCAAGCCGAGCGACGCATAATAACCTTTGTATGGGCGAGATGAGTTTCGTTGGGAACGACTTTCTAGATGATAGGAAGGCTCCGCACCAACTGACGATGCCCGACGTCGAAATTCGTGTCGTGGACGGCGTGCCTGTCGTGAGCTATAGTCCGAGTCGCGTCGTGCATCGTATCGCCGGTTATCGGGGTGTTCATCATAATAATCTGCAGCATCTCCACGGTTGTAATCATGGGCTTCGCCATAGCGGCGATCATCGTGGTACGACATTCAGGTTATGTTTGGACGGAGGTGGGGGAGTTGATATCATTAAAACAGGGATCCACAGGAGGCAAAAGTGCCGAGCGCAGACTAAGGAGATGATTAATTTATATCAGCCATAGAGACTGAAGATGACGTCGTGCTAGCCCAAATCGTGTGCCATGGTGGAGAGGTTGACATGTCGTGAGTTGCTTAGCCCTATTGCTTATGGTGCACGAACCTGTCATTTTCACAAACAACGTCATCCCGCATTGAAAAGTTCAAGGAAACACGACTATTCCCCAGCCTCCGTCATATCTGCCTTATGTCATATCACAGTTATACTTAATACACTGACTAAATCTGCCCTTCAAATTTCAATATCAGTGTGTGATGAGCTGGCCATCAGCTGAAGTGGGAGTTCCGAGTCACTTTCGGGCGTTCTTCTAGATATTTACAGTACCACACTCCAGGGCTACCTGGATAGCACTAGCACCGGCAGATATCAGCTAGTAGTAGTGATGGTAATTGGTTTTAGGGTATATCTGTTTATTTCATCCTGAATATATGTAGTGTCCTGTAGTATCCTTTAGACAACATTTGGTACCCAGCAGGCGGTTATTGGTAAAGTATATTAGACTTTAGCGAAGACAGCCACCTATAAGAACCTTCGAATCAGACAGCGACCGGCCCCCTTTGAACCGTGGAAACGGGGCAGACAGACCCACCTAGTCTATCTAGAACTTTAACTACTACCAGTAGCGAGTTGGAGAAACGACTTGAATAGTTGCCATACATCCATGGATGGCTTTTAAACTAGGATCCTCACAATGTCTGTTCGATGAATGAACTTGAAGTCTCAGGTTAGATGGATACACCAACCATCTGCCACTGTGACAATGATTAGTACTTACTACAAACAACTTGAACGTGAAGCAAATAAATAGAGGGAATATTTCCATTTCACTCTGAAAATCCAGGAACATATTGCACAGCTCCACCCTCCCTTACATACGATGCAAGGAAGCAAGCAGGAGGGTTAGAAAAAGAAAAGTGCAGCTAAATGACAATAACACCCATGAAGTTATCTATCAAGAAAGAAAAAGAGGCAAAATCGGGGCCGGGTCCGACCGAACTGTCGTCAGGACCTCCCATGAAACATACACGGTAAGCTGTCGTAGCTCCCAGAGACATGCAGAGAAGGAAAACATAAACAGCATAAAGTATTCCAGGAAACAAGATTATTACTCCAGATCAAAACTCCAGGTCTCGGTTCCTCCAGGAAGAAAATCACAAGTCGTTAGGGGAATAAAGAACGGACACCAAGGATGCAAGGCAGTATCGGGAAAGAGCGCAAGGGGGGTTATACAAAAGTCAAAACGCCGGAAGTGGTTGCTCTATACAGCGAGTGTAAACAAGGCGTGGGAAGGTAGAAGTGGTAAGAAGTCTAGTCACAGACAAGATCTTGAAGAAGGCGAAAGCATTTAAAAGCCCCATCGGTTGCGAAGCCCCTCAGCCCATCGCTGGTAGAGCACATCGGAGAGCTGTTTCGTGTGCTCCATGCCGGGAACTTGCTGGCCAGGAAGATTGGACAAGGGTGATTGTGGCGGAGGTTCAGTTGTCGACTGGCGACGACGATGGCTCTTAAGATGAGGGTTGTTTTGTGCGAGAACAAGGCGCGGGCGGCCAGGAGAGTCTGGCTGTGGCGATGATGGGACTAGGCCGGAGAGACGATGGTCTGCTTGGAATTTCTCGTTCATGATCCGGACGATGTGATAAAGACCCTCGGGGTCGACCATTTCCAGGTCGCTCCAGGCCTCGGCCAGTCGAGAAATAGCATCGCGTTTCTCACCATCACCTGTTGTTGAGAGGACCTCCTGGCAGGAGTGACCAATCGCTTTAGCATAAGCACGTCGCCCGAGCTGGGCTTCTTTGCTCGGGCTATCGCCAGAGACTACCTTTGGGCTGGTGTTCTCGTCAAAGACGCTCGAGTTCTTTTGAGGTGAAACTTCAGCAGAAGAAACACGGTCTGATACACGGCGGAACTGGCGCACAGTCGATGGGCTATTGCCAAAGCTCAAATCCAATCCCAATGGTTGTTTTACACCGCTGGAACGTCGCTTAGTATTGGCTCGTCGAATAGAGGGAGATCTCTCGTAACCGGGTGTGCGTCGAACGGTGGAGTTCGCTTGGTGCTTCGGTGGCTGCGGTGGCTGAGGCGAGGGAGAAATGTGCAAGTCCTCCATCAGCTGAGCCGGGTCGGGGTCACTCTCTTCTTCGTCGAGAGTGGTCCAGTCGGTGCCAGCGGGTACCCACATGCTGGGGTTCTTGCTTGGGGTTCGCATCGTTGGGGCTTTGACGGTGTCGAAAACCCAGTCATCTTCATCTTGCATGGGGCCCCGGTTGAGGGTGGTGAGGGTCTCGGCGTAGTACTTGACATCTTTGGTAAGACCTCGACCACCATCCCACTCCTGCTTGCGTTGGATTAACTCCTGCAAAGCTTCAGTCTTACCAGCATTACGAATGAACTTGTGTTTCAACAGTTCTTTCGCGCTAGGTCGGCGATCCGGATCCTTTGTCAGGCACTGTGCGATGAAATCTTTGAAAGTGCTGCTATATTCTGGTCCCTCAAGTCGTGGAGCCGGGTTCTTTGGGATGAGGAACAGCACTTTCATCGGGTGCGTGCTAGCATGCGGGGGTTCGCCATTAATCATCTCGATAGCAGTAATACCCAGCGACCAGATATCCGCCTTGAAGTCGTAACCAGCCTGCTGGATGACTTCCGGCGCCATCCAGAATGGTGTACCGACGAAGGTGTTGCGTTGGGATTTGATGTTGACTAGCTGTGCAGCGACACCGAAATCGGCTAGCTTCACTTTTCCGGTGTTCGAGAGGAGAACGTTCGCGGCCTTGACATCACGGTGGATCTTGCCCTCGGTGTGTAGGTAGTCGAGACCTTGTAGCAGTTGTTGACAGACGATCGATACATGCGCTTCGTTGAAAACTCCAGGTTTCAACTATCGGGTGTTGTTAGCTAGGGAGACCCGCGGCCATCCGGCAGGGATCAAGGATATTCGACGTACCAGGTCAAGACACGATCCTCCACCCAGATATTCCATGACAATCCATAGCTTGTGACCTTTCAAGAAACTGGCTTTGTATTGTGTAACAAATGCGCTGGCGCAGGTGGCCAGAACGGAAATCTCTTGCTGAATCTCCGCGATGTCGTCTTCGCTGGACTCGAGGTCGATCTGGAGGGAAAACCGGGTCAATTGAATTTGCGGAAGGACATTTGAGACGGGAGGATGCATACATGTTTGATTGCGACGATTTCTCCGTTGGCCTTGTCAATTGCTTTGTAGACAACGCCAAAGCTACCACCTGGTAAACAATGAAAACATCGCGTCAGCACATCCCACGCACATGCAGGGTTTGACAGTCGAAGATTTGACTTGGGTACTCACTTCCCAACTCCTCCATCACCTGGTAACGGCTCGCCATATCGTCCGCCATGGTTGCGCAACGATCGGACTCGCGACTCCGGTCGGACAGGTCTGCAACGGAGTTTTTGACGGGCTCACCCAAAGGGGAGGGAGAGGAATCCGAGGAACTAAATGACAGAACGCCGAGGAAGAAAGCTCTGGAATTCGCGATTTGCAGTTGTCAAAAAAGAAGAGGAATCCAGGCAGATTAAAGGGGTGGAGCATTGAATGGCCGTTCCCAAAACAAGCTTGGAGCTTCTCGTCTCGCATGGCAACGGAAGGCCCGATCGATCAGGCAGAAAGTGGAGTGACACTAGTCCCGATATGGATTAGCCCAGTTACATTTCAAGTTGCAGCGCAAGGGTTACAATTACAATGCTGGGGTAGGAATCCAAGGAGAAATATATTTCTTTTGATTAATCCATAGACGATACTATGGTGAATATACAGCCATAAATACTGGTGTGGAAGCAAGTTGGAAGGTGGAATCCTTGTTGTTGACTTTTATACTGCTATATTATACCCTTGGCTGAAGCAACCATCTAGATGTACTTGTAAGGGTTCATGATGCCGTTCTAGAATCAAGTTAGTTTTCACTTTCACTGTAGTCTTTGGGGGTTATATCAGTTTTCACTCACCGGGTCATACAGGTTCTTCAGCTGCTTCATCAGTTTCACCATGGTATCATTCTGGCTGTAGCCAATGAATTCCCGCTTAGCAATTCCCAAACCGTGCTCAGCACTGATACTGCCCTGGCGCTTCTGAATCCACTCATACACCCAAGGCTCAATGGCCTTCTCAACCTCCTTGTCGTACCGACGCACAGCGACGTTCAAGTGCAGGTTAGCATCACCCATGTGTCCGTAGCCAACAACGGCACGGACGGGGAAGGAGTCATCATCACCAACGAATCCCTTCTCCGTCAAGCGTTGCTTGCAGTCCTCAACCAGCTGGTACAGCTCGGACAAGGGGATAGAGACATCATACTTGTAGGTACCGCCCAGGTGGCTCAGGGACTCCGTAATCCCCTCGCGCCAGCTCCAGAGAGCCTGGAACTGGGTCTCGTCTTGGGCCAGTACACCATCTGCGACGATACCCTCACTCATGACGTTCTCAAGGAAAGCCTCGAGCTTCTCCATGTCGTGCTCGGCGTTAGATCCGCTAGTCTCGATCAAGCAGTAGAAGGGGTACTCGCCTTCCACGGGCTGCTTTTTGCCAGTCACCTCCTGGACGAGACGTTGACTACGGCCATCCATAAGCTCGAAAGCAGAAAGAATCTCAGAGAGTTGACCCTTGGCCTGGAGGAAAGCCTGTTGCACCTGGTCGAAGCTTTCCAGACCAAAGTAGGCGACGTTGACAGCCTTGGGACGCGGGGGGGCATTGGATTGAAACAGCGGTGATGAGACCGATGGTGCCCTCCGATCCAATGAACAGCTGCTTCAGATCGTATCCGGTGTTGTTCTTGCGCGAGGTGGAGAGGGCATCGACGATTGTCCCGTCCGGCAGGACAGCCTCGAGGCCCAGCACGCTACCGTGCAGACTGCCGTAGCGCAGCAGACGGAGACCACCGGCATTGGTAGACACGTTACCTCCAATGTGGCAGGATCCCTTGGCTCCCAGGTCCAAGGGGAAGAGGTGATCGCGCTCGGCGAGGTATTGGTCGGCCACCTCCAGAATGACACCAGCATCGGCAACAAGGACACCGGAGGCCTGGTCGAAGGAGCGGATGTTGTTCATGCGCGAGGTGTTGAGCACGATCTCATCGAAGACGGGGACGGAGCCACCAACGAGACCGGTGTTTCCACCTTGGGGCACAACCGCGAGCTTGTTCTCATTACAGTATTTCAAGACCTTGCTCACCTCCTCAGTGCTCTGGGGCTTCAGGACCAAGCGGGCGTGGCCACGGTACTTGCGCATCCAATCGCTGTTGAAGGGTTCAATATCGTCGGAGGCATCGGTGGACACGCCGTCGATGACAGCAGACTGGGAGCCGAGAAGCTCTTTGAAGTATGTAACGTGGTCGGGGGTGAGCTCGGCGAAGTTGGGATTGCGCTTGACGTTGGGGTAGGCATCGCTCGTGAACTTGATCTCCTTGGTGGCTTGTACGGTGGAGCTAACGGTGAAGCTGCGGGCAGCGGTGGTCGGCAGTGGTGTTTGGGAGGATGTAGGACGGAGGGCAATGCGAGGGCGAGGTACTCGAGCCCGTCGCAGGGCAGCAGAGAGGTTCCGGGCACCAGACATAGTGGGCAGGTGAGTGGAGAGGGTTGACAAGGCGAGGCAAAGAAACCTTGGAAGACAAGAGCAGAGAGGGAAGATAAATTTTGGGGTGGAGCGTCAATTGTAGAGTGGAGAACCCGCTCCGATCGGCCATCGCGCCATTCAAAAGTTGGAAAGTTCGGATATGTTTCCACTCGGCGTTTTTCGGGAGTTCTGATTGCAGTACCAAAGTAGAGTAATTAAAGCGAATCTAGTACCTAATTCTTGAACTTGAATTGGTTATTGCGGTATATGAATAGAATGACCCTGAGACCTATACTTTACTATATATCATCACCATGAATACTATATCACCGGACAGTGTACATAGTGCCCAGGTGTAACCAGATCGGGCAAACCTTTAGCCGTTGGAATGAGCCTGATTGCTTTCGAGTTAGAGCTGGGGTTATTAATTCGTATTCACCTACCTTGTATAGTACTACTAGTAATAGTACCTCGAGTACACCTCATCTTCACCATGAACAAAAATTTCCAAAGGAATTTGTCCACCAAAAGTCCAATATAGTGTTAAACTAAGGTACCTGGGTATGTACCATACTAGATTGCCGGTAGTGCACCAGACATTACTAATACTAGTAGCAGCTAGAAATATGGAGGCCGTGAGCTACTACCTTAAGGTGTTGGTAATAACCTAACTAGGTAGGTTATCAGTAGTATTCAGTCTACTAGTACCATAAATTTACTCTGCTCTATACTAGGTTGTAGTATGTATGTACCTGGGAAGCCCCCGACGGAAGCTCCAACTCTAAATGAGGTTAATTGAGTCACTGTACACTTACTAGTACCACTAGTATCTACTATGCAGACATCGATTGAGTCTACTGCGGTGCCCACATTGAGGTCATTTGCAGAAAGATCCATTGAAGCAGTAAGTATACCGAGGTAATTTGTTTATAAGTTCACCTTGTTAAGTAGGTTAAAGTAACCAGTTGAACGGAGAGTCAGTTACGTCATGTTACTGCCCCGCAACAATCTGAGAGTTTTGGAACTTACGGAGCTTTTTCTCCTCTCCTCTCAACCCCCAAATATCCATCACCATGACTTCCAACGTTCTGGTCACCGGTGCCACTGGTCTGCTCGGCCGTCAGGTCTTTAGCACCTTTCAACATTCCGGCGTGTTGGTGGTCGGTCAAGGTTTCACCCGTGCAGCCCCGCCAACCGTCCTCAAGGCCGATTTGGAAAAGGAAGCAGACATTAAGAATCTCCTCACCGAAGTCAAGTCCGTAAATTCTCTGCTCGCCGAAGCTAGACCCCCTCACTGACCATTGAATTCTTCCCAGACCTCAAATTGTCATCCATTGTAAGCTTTAGCCCCAGCAGAGGATTGTGATGGCAATGGCAATGAGAATGGGACCACCCCAGAGCTGACGTGGGATGTATATTCTAGGTGCCGCGAATAAATCTCCGGATTTGGTCGACAAGAACCCCGATCAAGCACGCCGCGTCAATGTCGAGGCAACCCGCATCCTCGCCCGCGAATGCCAGGCTCGTGGAGCCCTACTCATCTACATCTCCACCGACTACGTGTTCCCCGGAGTGAAGGGCGAGGCTCCTTATGAGGTCGATGCCGAGACTCGACCTCCGAACCTATACGGCGAGTTGAAGCGGGATGGGGAGCAGGCCGTCCTCGAGGAGACCAAGGACTCAGGACTTGGAGTCGTCCTCCGTGTCCCAGTGCTATACGGAATTGCTCGGGATAATTCCGAGAGCGCTGTCAACACTTTGGTAGACGCCGTGATTAAAGCGCAGGATGCGAATGCGGGTGTTAAGATGGACGATTGGGCCCAACGATACCCCACTAACACGGAGGACGTGGCGCGAGTGTCGCGCGACATTGTCATCAAGTACCTGAAGGAAAAGCCACGGATCAAGGAGCTCCCCCATATTCTGCAATTCTCGTCAGAGGATCGTATGACCAAATATGAGATCTGTGAGAAGATCGCCGAGGTGATGGGAGTCTCGCTTCCGGGAATGATTCGCAACAAACAAGGCAATGATCCCAATGCCGGTGTGCAGCGACCGTACGACACGCATCTATCGACCAAAGCACTGGTTGATCTGGGGATCGACGTACGGACTACTGATTTCACAGCGTGGTGGTAAGTGGACCCAGCTGAATCCTCCCTAATTGAGGGTCATGGATCTTTTGTCAAGTCACACTCACACTCACATCTTTTGCAGGCGGAGAGAATTGACTGCTCACCGGAAATAGTGGAGATGTGGGGATGGAATGGGGGGGGTTGGGAATGGAATGGAATGGAGATAGGATGGAGATGGGGACTGGGATGCCTCAAGTTGACTGGATTCATAGACGAGAGTACTCTGTACTCACTCTATACTCTATACTCAGCTAAAGATAAAAGATAAAAGATCAATCAACAATGTCTACTCTGTATGGATTATGGAGTACTCTAAATACTTTGTACCTGCAGTGCTGATCTGCGATCGATCACGGTGGAACCTGCAGGGTCAATTGGAGAGGTGCAGTAGTCGACAGTAGCGAAACAATAGCGTCCCAGTGAAACAAAGTAAAATCAAGGCAAACACGAGAAGACTCTCGTAAACAAGGTTCTGGCGATATTTCAGTAGAGTAGGCTACTCTGTAGTGTGTACTTCGTACTCCGTACTCTGTGTAGAGAGAATGCCGGAAACGTCTTCCCAGCCACAGACCAAGTAATTTCCCCTTCTCCTTTCCCTTCCCATCACCACTCGCGCATCACCCACTATTCTTTTCCTGTTAGCAAATTATTCTCGCTTACTTCACGTGGGTTTTCACAGGGTTTGCAGATCTATCGCCAATCTGACTGTTTGACAGGCTCAGGCTCAGAGCCAGGGCTAGAGCCAGGACCAGCGCGAGCAACCAGGATTAGAGCCGTCGCATTCGACTCCAGCCTCATACCTTAGCGTCTTTCGACGCCTCCTGTTGCTTTTTTTGGGCTGTCGTCCCACCCGCCTGACTTTCTTGGATCGAGCCCTCCTGATATCTGTGCGTTCGACCTTGTTTTTTCCTTTTCTTCTCGCCTCGCCTCGCCTCTTTTTCTACTCCAGTACTCTATTTTATCTTGACCCACTGACCCTCCCCCAGGTAGATCTCGCCGCAGAATGCCACTTCGACTGTCGCGCGACCCATCCACACAAAGGAATTTCTGAAACTTGACCTTGATTTGATCCTGATCCTTCCCACGGGGCTTCCCGAGACCCAAAGCCCTTTCTTTGTCCACCATGGCGAGACACCGCGTCAGCGCCCCGGCGCAGCAGCCAGTCCTCAAGGGAACTTTTTATGATCCGGTGCCGATTGAATACGCCGTGGGAAATCAGTGTCACAAAACTGAGCCAACTGGGCATTCAGACATGGCGAGCGACGGCAAGACAAACGAGCAGAATCCGTCAATCGCAAGGAGCATGTCTCGGTACCGTCGCAACCGGCGCCCTACCACCAGTGGCGGTTCCTCGACGCCAACACCCGCAGTCCCAGATCACCATCACAACCAGCCTGTTCCACCGGTCCCTGATATGAGCTCGCAAACACCGACGGCGGAAGATATTGCGAGGGAACAGCATAGGCTAGACGCGATGGCGCAGTTGACTGGCGGAGATCAACTACCACGTCCAACCACCTCGCGATATGGAAAACAGGAAAAGCAACTGCAGCCAAGGACCAAAGCGCAACAGGTGCCAACGCACCAACAGACTAGCCGAGTCGACACCCGCAGTCACCACGATGCACGTCCCACAAGCGGCGACCACCGCAAGTCCTTGCTACAGAAGATGAAATTGTCCAAGAGCAGCAAGACACCCCTCACAAATGAGCCTGTGCCAAGATACATCGGAGTGGGTGGAGGGGGGGATTGTTCCTGGGACTGACGCTCCAGTCTCGGCTGTCAACGCCGGAGAGCGCCAAGTGCTTGTTCAGTATAGTGACGTTTCGAACCATCTAGTGGTGACACCATCTACACGGGTCACTGATCTTCTCCAGACCGCTGTTCGCGAGCTCTCTCGCGATATCGACCCTGAGAAATTCATCTGCATGGAGTCCTTTCATCAAGTTGGATTGGAACGATCTTTGCGTCGGTATGAGCGTGTGCGGGATATCATGAACTCATGGGCTCATGATGCTGACAATCGGCTTGTGATTGTCCCCCCTTCAAGCATGGAAGCTCTCGCCCAACTCGAGTCCCACCAAGTCCCTGCCGAAAAGCCTGCCGAAACGACTGTATACCTCTACCATTCCCAGCGCCCCGGCAAATGGGATAAGCGTTATGTGACGTTACGACCCGATGGCCAAGTGGTCATCGCCAAAAAGGAAAACTCGAAAGACTCCACCAGCATCTGTCATTTGTCCGACTTTGACATCTACTGTCCCAGTGCACGCGCGATGGCCAAAGAGATCAAGCCGCCTAAGAAGATCTGCTTCGCGATCAAAAGCCAACAGAAATCTTCAATGTTCCTTTCAACTGAGAAGTTTCTGCATTTCTTCAGCAGCAATGATCGCGCTACTGCCGACAAGTGGTTTAAAGTTGTCCAGCGTTGGCGAAGTTGGTACTTAGTGAATCAGCTAGGTGCCGCGGAACAGACCGAAAGCGAGGCACCTTTGCCAAAGCGATCCCTTACTCAGAAAGGATCCCAAAGGCACCGAAAGGCGGCTAATGATGTGCCGGTACCATTGTTAGATCTCACTGACCCCGAGCCAACAAGGCTCGCCGGAAACTCCATCGATCGCCCCCGGCCATCGATCTCGAAGGACGTCGTCTCTCGCAAGAAAACGGTGCGCGAGCAGGCACCACCGCCACCGCAATTCCCCCAGACGCTATCACTCGATACTGGTGTCGCTGGACAAGAAGACGACGGCCCACTTGTGCAGGGAGTACGACCTGACGAAGTGGAAGCAGCCACTTTCTCGCCCACTGGCTTGTTAGGTCGCTCGTATACCCAGCGGAAACAAGCGATGAATGAGCGTGATGAACGCGAAAAGCGAGCGAATCAAGAGCTATTTGCGGCCCAATCCTTTATAACCGAAAACTACAACTACCCTCCCCCGGATACGACTCATCAGCAGAGCGGCCGTACTGCCACAATGACAAGCACGGCACCACCAGGCCTCAGCCGAAACAAGTCTGTCAACCAGAAACAACAACAGAAACCTTTAATCGACTTGACCCCAGTCTTCCAAGAGCCCCCGCAACACACACGGAAGGGTCGCGGCGTCAAGGTGGGCGCAGGCACACAATTGATCGACGCTGCCACGGGCCCCGAATTGGCCGTAGGCACCGTGAATATCCCACCTGCAACAGCCTGGCGTCGTCCCACGAACGACGTACCCACACAAAGCCGATACCGCTCGAACACTGCCCGCAGTATCCGCCACGCCACTGAGCCAAAACCATCTAGTTCCGGCTCCGGACACGCCAGTCCAGCCTCACCAAGCAGCCCATTCGTATCGAATACCTTGCTCGCTAATTCCGTCTCTCGTCAAGCGAGCAATCCCCACACAAAACCTTATACTGGCCACGGTGTTGCAACCGGAGACCGAAACGCCACTCGCCCAATGCTCGACATGTCACCAAAAAACCCCTTCGCGGAGGGCAGTCTCCTGCGTCAGCTTTGAGCGTACCTTGGGGCCGCATAGCTGCCGCAGGTGAAATTTAACGATAACGATAACGTGCTAGGATTGATGGGATGGGGCGTTTACTTTCGGGCTCTGCTTATTTTACGATTTGATTTGCCATGGCTATCTATCTGAGTGAGATGCTTTTCGAGATATTTGATATATCTAGCCTCGGGCCTGAATAGTTGGTATTTTTATGTTAGATACCCATAGCGATGGAATAGAAGCGCTGGATACTGCGCTCATGAATTGTTTGTACTCGTAGAGACCTTGAAAACAGAGCTCTGCCAGTGTTCATCTTGCCCATATTCTTGAAATACTGGTAGCACCAGTAGTCCGCGAAGTAACTCCCAGTAGTAGCTACCATCTAACAGTCCTTACTAACTTCAGATAGCAACGAAGAGTATCTACCTAGGTAGAGGGCCAAGATACCTTGGAAGATACCTACTACTAGTAGGTACGCATCCAAAGAAATACTAGTATCCGAAAGGAATTTGAAGAGCCAGGAGTATGTTGAGCATATGGATATTTCATTACTGACCCATTGAACAAAAAATAGCCAAACCAACCTTGGAAGCCAAGCAGCAAGAACTCCTTCTAGATACAAAATACAAAGCGTAATATCGTACAAGCCGCACCCAAGCTAAACATGTATACCAATAAGGCCGGAACCCCAAACCCAGCCATCTACCCACCCATCCAAGCAGATTAAATAGCCTGATAAACCTTGAACTCAGCAAACTCCCAATAAGCATCCTCAAAGGCCGACGGACTATTAACAACCAGCTCCTCACAGGTCCCGGGACACTTATACAGCTTCTGATAATACTGGTCCTGGGCAGCGAGTTGGCCGCAAAGATCGATGTTGGCAACGATGCTCTGATTGCGGAAGTGGGAGGCGATATCACACTCCGTACCGGGGAAGTCGGCCAGCGCTGTGCCCCAGGTTGAAGGGTCTGGAATGGCGGTAGGGTCGCTTAGATCGTGTGGGATAGCGCGACGGGGGAAGTACCATGCTCTTATCCCGGCGTCTCGGAGTTCAAGAGCGTAGACCTGGAGGGGGTGTTAGATGTACGTGAAATATAAATGGCAGAGAGATTCTACTTACTCCACCCCCACCCTCATTCATAGCTTCCCCGTATGTAGATGGATCTCCCACAACACCACAACCAGAGTTGCTATGCGTGGAGCTATCACAAGTGCTGTAAACAGCCGAGCCGGTCTGCTTCCGCTTGACATCCATATTACACCCCTTGGTCGTGTGGAGAGTGACTTCATTACCATTCGAGCCCATATTAGTCGTCTCCAGGATATCAATTTCGCCATTATTCGGCCAGTTATACCCATCCACCAACCACAGCGCAGGCCAGGTCGCACAGCCGTAGGGCGTGTGGATGATGTCGAAGACAAACAGACCGGTATCATAGCTCCTTTTAGACTCGATTCGAACCGAGTTACGGCCGGCTATAGCCTTCGGTGTGAATGAGTCCACGCGTAGAATGGCAGATTCATCGGTTGCGTAGGTTAGATTTAGATCCCGGGCAGCGGTTTCGCCGACGTAGACGACATGGCCATCTGTAGGATCTTCTTCGGTGAAGTAGTTGAATTGATCGAAGAATGTGGTACCCGAGTATGTGTCGACTATTCTGTAGTCCAGGGGTGTGTACTTGGGATAGCGACTGAGTTTGACTCCATAGTATGGAGCGAGGATGGCCACGATGATGAAAACGATGGCTCCCAGTCCGACGAGGACCTTCTTTAGTAATGACCAGCCTCGTGGATTGTACCAGGAGAAGATAGGAGCGCGATCGTCTCCGTTCTCGTTCTCATCGAATGGCTTGCGCTCTGGGGATTCGGCGGCACCCGTCACCTCGGGGATCACTGGGATCTTAGGAGGCCGTGCCATTCTGGGAGGAGTGGTATTTCCCAGTCGGGGCACACGAGAAGTCTCGCTACTATATCTGTTGCCGAACTCGGGTGGAAGTAGTCTGTCATCCATGTTGAACGAGTGCTTTTGAATGAGTGTAGATGGTAGTAGCCCAGTAGGTACTAGTAGACAGAGACAGAGATAAAATGAAGTGGGTCCTTGGATGTAGAATCGAAAAAATGTCCAGCCGAATTGTTTTTAAAAAGGTACGACTGTTGATGATGCCGTCATGCCAACCCCTGCGCCCGGACAGGTCTAGTGCTGATCTTTCCTGGTGCGGCCCGTTTGCGATGAGCCATATATTGAAGCTACACCCCGGTATTCCCACGGTCGACGGAACTATATTTGATCTGGCCCCGAGAAGGAGCAACTCCCTTCCTGTGTTGACTTTTATTATCAGACAAGCTGTATCATACGATTTGAACTCGTCAATTACACATAGGGGTCATTGTTGATGTCTGAGGTTGATTACCGCTTTCGGACTGGAATGCGGCGAGCCCTAGAGATCCGCACGCGGGGAACTTCACGTCATGGCCATGGCCAGTGCCCACTGGCAGGTTGGGCATTACTACTACCTACCTAGATAGGTACTGCGTGATCAATTGTTATAGATTTTCACATTCTGATACTTTCAAGCAGGTACCTAGGTATGGTATGACCTGACGTAGATGAAGGACCTTTCAAGGTTCAAAGGTTGTTTCGTGATGCAATAATTAACAAGCAGTTTATACCATTATGTTCAAATCTCAAATATCCATGTCAAAACCGCCACATTCGACATATATACCCCAATATAACACCAATACAACGCCAACCTCTATCAATGTACATAAGACCTGTAGTGTATTTACATGGGCCGCCAAGTTTGGCAACTTCACTCCCTAACGAGCTGATCGGACTGTTGACGATCGATGGACGAAGCCGTCTCCATTCGCAGGCTGCGCGTGGGTTTGCCAGTCGTAAGATTCCATACCCGACGAAACTCCAGTGTCTCCCTGGACATGCGACACGCTGCGAGAAGGCTGTCGACCAAGAGACCCGGCTCCGCTGAGATTCGAGTTCCGGCGGCGCATACGGCGCTCAGACATAGCAGTCTCATGTCTATTGAGCGCGTCTGAGGGTAGGAGAACGGCACGATCAAGTGCGTATGGCAGACCACGGTGACGACCGCGAATCTGCATAGCGATAATCACCAGTTTGGAGACCACGCCGAACTGGCCGGAGAAGGAGGTGTTGGCAGTTGGATATCCGAAGGAAAGGCCAACAGTACCATAAGCCGAGACAACCTCAAACAAGACGGTGAATAGCTGGAAGTTGTAGTCGGCTTGGCTTGCCAAGCGACCGCCCTCGGCAATCGCAATGATGAACAGGCCCAAAAAGACGTACCAGAGGTCGAAACTCAGCTGGCGCCGCAAGTGAGTTCCAATATAGCTGGGTGCTGTCTGAGCGTCGTCGTCGTCTTCGTCCTCCTCGAAGCCGTATACACCCAAGCTCTTCTCCTCGTACACATTGGTGCGACGCATGGAAATAGCAATGGGAAACACGGAGATATACATCATGATCAAGTAGGAAACCTGGATGGCTGGGTGGAGAGATGACAAGTTCACTACGCCGAAACCTGCAGTCCGGGTAGCAGAAGCTTGGAAAAAACCATCCAAAACCCGGATACCAGGCGGCAGAGCCGTGACGGCCGCGTCATTCAGCTAGAAGAGTGTCATTAGCCGGACATGATAATAGAAAAGCGCGCGCAAGTACTTACATCCAAGATAATGAAGAAGATCACATCAATGCCGTTCAACAGGACAAGAATGGCAAACAGCCACCAAGTGGCATTTCGAGGGAACAGAAGGGTGAAGCATCGACGCGGGTGATCCAGGAGAAACCGTAGCTCCTCCCAAAGAGCAGTGCCCTGTCGAGCAAATTTGGAAAGAACCCAAATCATGAACCGAAGCATGCACGGGAACGCAGTATTACCAATGATGATCAAGAATGCCAAGCACAGCAAGGGAAACACCGCTTCCTGGAAGGAGTTCATAGAGTCCGGAGTCAGGGTGAAACCCAGATCATTAAAGGCGGATGCAGCTGTAAAGATACCCCACCACGGCCGTCCAACGCCATCGGCTCTGACGACATCACCCCATCTAGGTGTAGTCATAATCCAACCAACCATGGAGATCAAACCGAAGAGGTGGAAACCAACATAATACGAGATCAGCACGACCGCCAACGTTTTTAGGGCTCGATATTCAATTCCACCAAGCTCGTCACGTTGCTCCTCGGTCAAGTCCACAAAGTTGGAGTTTCGCGCCACTGTCGCATTCCAACTGAGATACGGCTGAGTGTTGCGCTCTCGCTCCTGTGTCATGGATCTGAATATACCTCGAACGGTGTTCCTGGTCGTCACATGGTCCAATTCCGTCGTTTCGTTGACCTCTTTGGTGTCTCGTACCGTTGGTCTGGTATCCAGGCGAGGGAAGGTATTGCCTCGAGTTCGGGTGCGTGTGATCTCCGGCTCATTGATGGTGATATGCGGCCCTTCCAGAGGACCAACCTGGTCATCGTGCTCCGAATGATGCTCATCCTCATTCTCATCCTCATTCTCATCCTCCTCAGAACTGTGCCGGCGATCAAATTGCGGACCGATAGGTTGGAATTGAGTCTGCGGCTCCTCTCCATCGTCCAATGTCTCTGGAACACCACCGTTATCGTACTCGCGAGGACTCGGAATACGCAGAGCACCTTTGTTCTTCCGTTGATTTTCCACAAAGGCAATGTGATGTTCCGGACTCAGCTGCGTAGGCACTCTCAAGCTGCCCAATCCGAATCGTTTCTCGAGGACAACGTTGGTATCGTTGGAACTGGATTGTCCACTAGTACTCTGATCTGGCGTATCCAGTTCCTTTACGGTCCCCGCATTCACCTCATCGACCGCACCGGTCGGGTCGGGAAGTTTGCTGCCGCGCGCATCGCCTGAGTTGTTGCGCAACACCACAATTGATCTCCCACTCACGCCAAGCTCTGCGCGATTGATCTCCGCACTATCCTTGTCCTGGCTGACTGTGTCCATACGTGACCGGGTGGCACGCAGCGCCCGCGCATCACGGACCACATGTTGAAAGCGCTTCTCGAACCAGTATAGACGGATGAAAACGAGGGCGCTGTGAATGAAAATCGGGGTGCACATGATAGTGATGAAGTATAAGACGATCTGCTGGTAGAGGGACAGCTGGTTGAGGTCGACGGTATTCAGCCCACTTTGGGTGGCGGAGCCGGCCGCCTGAAAGAGAGCATCGATGTAGGCGATATTACCCTGGGGATATAGAATGATGGAACCAATGATCGCCCAGGCGATAATATAAGTGTAATGCAGGAGGATAAAATTCAGATGCAGTTCGTTGAGGAAAGGGACGCGGTCCTTCAGGGCGTTCAGCCGACGGATAAAGGCCGAGAACATGGTCAAGAGCGATGGCGCGTGGCGAGGACGTTTTGGAGGTCGTCTTGCCCCGACGAAGACCTCGGAGGGAGGTGATGCCGGTACAGAGTGGTCTTCAAAGGAGGGGAACTTGTCAAGCCTGTGCAATGCATGAAGTGCGTCAGCCACGAGGTTGAACTTTGTCTGCAAACCTTGCAACTTTTCGAAGCTGCGGAACTATTCTTGTCGTCCAATACATACATGTGGGATTACCGCCGATCGCTCACGGGATGGGGAATCGTGCAGGAGGAAAGGCTCGGGCGCAAGGCCGCTGTTAGCCGCGAGGGATCGAACCACGCAAAGGCATGAGAGGTTGAGAGAGAGTTAAAAGAGGAAGTAATTGGAAAAAGGAGGGAAGAAAAAGAAGGTGGAGATGTGACGAAAGGCAGACAACTTTCAGAAAAGGCGCAAACGGAAGCGGGTCGTGAAATTTGCATACGGGTAAAGTACCAAAATTACGGCAGCAGATGGGCGAAAATGGCTGTCGCCTGCCAAAAACGTGTAAACCTGTCGATCGCCGGAAATTAGCACCGCCACTCCCACAAAGCACTGTTTGTATACGGAGTAGAAAAATAGAAATATTCATGAGGAACCCCTATTATATTATAATTCATGATTCTATATCAATATAGTTGCCTAGAACCAATAGTATCAATCATACTCCATATCTACAACTAGTAACTCCATACAACACCGCCAAGCTTTGGCTGTTGCTGGGATCGCCTTGGCACCTTCACGAGACTCCGCCCATTCCTCTTTCTTTCTTCCTTTCATCTGCTCTCTCCCATGATTGATTGAGATCGCGACCACTTTCCTGCGCCAAGTAGCGGCTGAGATGCATCCTGCAGGCGTCTGCATCTGGAATGTGCATGTGAAATTCACCAATTTGACACCCCTCAGCTCTGCGATCAGTGCTGCTCAAGTGTTCCAACCCTACTCTCCGGTGGGTTTTCGACAGGGGATACCCGATCTCAAGGCCCACTTTTCATTCCGCACCATGTCGTGGCCCGTCCCTAGGCAAGCCCCAGTGAGCTTACCTACCTTCGTGCTGCTCTATCGAGTACCGAATCTCATCCATATCCATCATACCTATTGGCCCTAGACCCTGCTTCCATACCAGTGGAATTCTCAATCGATCACGCCCTACAGGGCTGGCATGTTGAGATTCAATCCGGGTGTCTTGGAAGGGGCAATCATGGCCCACCGAGTCTAGAACTGACATTCTTGCCAATGAAATTGCGCCCTTGGGCCGACCATGCATAACAATGTTAGCTATCGTCCGGGTTGATACTGTCGGGTCGGCCCAAAACCCCCGTTCGGCATCCTCTGATACGGGAGACGGCATGGGAACGGTGAAGACCTTGACCGACTCGCGACATTCTTAACCAGCGAGGCCGCCCGGTATTCCCCATGCACGATGCACCTCCTGTCCGAGGGATGTTCTGTACGCCATCTGGAAAGCGAGACCGCGTACGAGGTGTACGAGTAGTTATACGACAAGTACAATCAGGCATCCCGGCAGACCACTCCACCTCCACCTGCCCGGACCCCAATCGGATCCTCACCATTCCATTCAATTCTAAAATATGTGACCAATAGCCAACGCCGATATAACCATCTCCCATTTTCCGCTCTCTCATAAGCTCACTGCTGACTGCTGACCGCCATCTCTCAGTTATTGGACCGGGGTGAGCTGATCGAATTGTTACTAGCGTTAACCGTAGTGGTAAAAGCCATGTTGAATTGCTCGTCTTGCGAGTTTATTACCACCATACATAATATGGGCGCTTGCGAATAGAGATACCACATGCGTCTCGATTGCCAGTGCCGGAGATGAAGATCTATTTGATCCAGTCTCATATTCTTTGCTAACCTCAATCTTCATTCCCCTCAGCTGTGTGTTCCACCTGGGCAGCTTTTGAACCTTGGAACCTATTCCAGTTTAACGCCACTCTTGAATGCACAGTATTAGTGGCCAACCAGCCTGGGGTCATCACAACCATGAGAATGCTGGTCACTACTAGTTACCAGTAGTAAAGCGCCGCGAAAATTTAATTACAAAACCCAACCTATTAACTATAGTTAGAGCATCGCGATGCTCACTCTAGCTACCCTCGAGCTTTTCTAAGAACACTATCCCCTAGGTAGTAGTACTACTCCATGTCATATGGAAAGCAAGACAGCCAACTCGGCTTCAGTCGATCATTGCTCGGTCGACAAGTACGAATATTGGGTAGAAAGCTGTGCCTTACTAGGAACTAATAGTGGAGTCCCTGGGCCTTTTGGGCTAAAGTACTATCCTCATCCATATTAGTAGTACCTTTACTAGGAGATCTTTCGTTCTTCCACCTTCCTTGTCTCTGGACATTTCGCGTGTATAAATTGTATAGCTACTAAGAAGCAGTTTCCTTTTCCTTGATTCGCAAATAATCCGCAGTGACGAATCGCAGATTTGTACAGTTGTTGCCAAAGCTTTCCAGCTACGCCTTAGACACTCGAGCATATCTGTTCCTTCTCGATTACTCTCGTCCTTGCTTCTTGCCTCTTTCCCCATGCTTAGTATTCTCGCTAATGACAATTGCCCGGTTTTCGTGTTTGTTTTCTCTCTCTTTTTTTTCGGTATTGATCTCGGACCTCGGGACACATCGGAGAGCTGGGATGTTACCTAAGTATATGTTTCGTCTCTACGACCTCAGGCTTTGATTCGAACAACTGCGAAGTCTATTTATGACCTCCTTTCAATTATCACCCGAACACTAAGATGGTACTAGTACTAGTACTAGTAGTATGCGATCGTCTCCATTTCTGAAAATATCAAGTTACTGGTTACACGAGTTACTAGTAGTTATATGGAGTATCGATGGAAGAATGTCACCAGCAAAGTAATCGCCGATGCCCTCAAGTAGGCATCGTCACCTTTCAATCCCTTCTCGCCGACTCTGGTCGCTCCCTGGGGCACCCTCGCAAGAGCCAAAGAAAGATATTATCGGGAAAGGGGGCCATTTTGATGATTTAACGTGTCGAATGGAGACTCGCGCTTTGTATAATAATATGATACACAGTGAATGCCTGATTGTCTCGGGCTGGTTCGATCTAGAAAGATGCCGTGGCTATCGGTAATGGAAGATGGGAAGGCGAGCCACCACCGGCTCCCTTATCCATATGCCCAAGATAATGACACCAATTTAAACTAAACAGAGTTGCAGCCACGTAGTCATTTTGGGGTTTAACGTAGGCTTATTGTACTATCTGGAACTTGGATGGAAATCCCTTGCAGCTCCGTCACAGCCGCCAAGGAATCTGATGCTTATTTCGTTTAGGTTTAAATGGAACAGTTTGCAGCAGCATGATAAGTTTAATTTCCGCCGCCAGTTGCAGGAATTAAAATGAGGAAAACTCTTGTTTTTCACTTTATTCTAATTAGCGCGAGATCCAGCTTTCAGGGGTCTAATGGCGTATTTCCGCCCCCGGGGCGGGGCTAGAGATTCGGCCCTGGGTCTGCTTTAAATGATTTTAATTAAACAGGGAGCTCAGACGGATCATGCACATTGATTTTTTTACTAATTGTGTTTTCTTTCTCAGGCTCTGGGATCGCGAGTAACCTAGAGACTACGACATCAGGATTCGGGCCCCGTATGTTTCATCCCACCTGAGTGTTCCTTAGTAGGATCAAAGGAGAAAGACATACGAAAGCACAAGTGATGCATTCTCACTCTAAAAAACGGGGGTTTTCTCTGCAAATATCATCAATTCTCAATACACTATTTGTGATAACACTAGGTCCTTCATAACAGCCTCACCTATCCGACTCTTTCAGAATTCTCTATAACTTAGTGCTCCAACACTCCAACGCCTATACCAGTCTGGATTCTAACATCGAATTAGATAAAGCCATCATCGAGATTTAATCTAGAAAGTTGGACAAATATCTAGAATCATCTCTCCAATTGAAAGATCACTATTGCTTACTAGTATGTATGATATGACCTTGGTGCTCAGATGCCCAACCGATCATATACCACCATGGAATGCATTTGAACTATCAGAATGAATGAGGTTTCAACTCAATGCATTCCAGCGTTGACATTTCTTTATTTGAATAACTCCATAAATAAGAAAATCCAGGTACTTAGGTACTAATAGTAGCCAAAATTCAACTAACGGATTATAAACTCATCTTTCATCACTGCCCAATATTTCCAGCAGGGAAAATGACAAAAGACAGGGATATTCCTCTACTGCTGGCGCTGGTCGCAAGAGTACTCCGCACTTGGTATTTATCTCCGACACACTGACATGTCACGGAACTCTACGGCGATTAATAGCAAGCCACTGAGATCACCTCATTCAGAAAGTCTTGGCTCGAAATTTCGCTTGGCGGAAATATTGTATCGTCATCCCTTGCTAGGCCTCGACTAGATGCCGATCGTGATTTGGGTCACTTGGTAGTACGGAGTACTCGTTCGGTCTTGGGCCGGGCCCCGTTTCTATCAAAAGCTTTCATGCTAGTAATATGCAACCGAGAGGGCCGGATCCGCATTTCTATCAATCCGACCACCAAAATGTGGGCGTGTGGATCCAGACCATTGTGTATGTATAAAACCCCGTGAATAAATTATTTTGAACAAGTCGGAAAACCCCCGCGCATGACAGGATATTCAGAAACGCCTAGAATGCCGATATCTGGGCATCGTGGGACTTATGTAGCTACATTGTCGCAGATCGGTTAGAGAAAGGAGCGGGTTGCCGGTGTTGGTAAGGAATTCGGGGCAAGCCGAAGGAGTCGAGAGCCGAGAATCTTGGACGCCAAGGCGCTAATGCGAGTTGCTGACCCTGACTAGCCATTCATCGTTTGGCGAGTTTCACAAGCTGGTTCCTTTATCTATCACCCCACGCATCCGGGGGCCGGGGTCGGAGGGGGGTGGCCCCCAGGTGGTTTTGCTTGTGGATGGAGATGTGGATCTGGTGTTTTGCTTGGTAGAAATTTCGAAAGTCGATCCAACTTGTTTGTTGGGGGATATCATTGAATGCTAAGTGGGAATAATGCTAAAAGATAGAATACACATGGAAGGTATGATAAACAGTCGTCGGTGCGACCCTTGGGGATGCGCCCCGGGTTTCATCGGTGTTTGAAGTGAAGGATGGCTTTGATGACGGCGATGGCGGTCGCGCCAAGGATACACAGCTTGAGCAGTGGCCAAGAGTTGACGTAGGATAATGACCACTCGGCGCTGCAAGGAGTCAATGACTCGCTCATGTGGATATGAATGTGGCCGGGCTCGCTCACCTCGACACTTCATCATCTAGCTCTCGAATCATGCCAGCTTCTCGCAGCGCCTGCATTTGTTCAGAGGTGACGTGCGCGGGGTCGATGCCAAAGTCCGAGAGGCCATAGGGATCACCATTGCGAATGGGGTTCTTGTGGTCCGATTCGGGTGATTGGGATGGTACTGAGGTGATGTCGATTGTTGAGCTGGGCGCGGAAAGTTGTGATTGGTCGACGGCGATGGCCTTTTGCTCCGAGAGCATATCGCTAACATGCAGTGGAATGGCAGTGGCTAGAACACCGATGGTCCAGAGAGGTAGGAGAAGAAGAAATGATTGAAGGAGGAGCATCTTGGAAGTACCTCGAGGTGGGTGTGATCAAGGGAGATAAGGATTCCGGAATGCGATAGGATGTGAAGTCGACGCCAGGTACCAGGAGAGATCTTTTTAAAGGAGAGAAGTAGCTACAGTAGAAGGAGGGATCATCGCAAGCTTTAATAAGTTAAAAGTTGATAGCATTTGAAGTCCGGCTCTGGCCCCCCTCCCTTGGCACCATTCGACGCCGGGCCAGGATGCACGGGCAAAGACCATAGGAACGTAGATAACGACCAGTGGGGATCCACCCGAGGATGCATGATGAATTCAGTGGGTTGCGAGGATCCATAGGGTAGGGTTTCCACCGGGGGCTAGTGGACTGGCCATTCAGCGGCCCCATCTTGCCCAGCATGCCCAGTGCGATCGCCCCAATGGCTGAGCGATCTTGGCGCTGACCGCCGGATTTAGGTCCTCATTCACCGAGGGCTGATATAACCTTTGGCTTTAAGATTGCATTACTATCCCATTTTCGTGCAGTTATCAGTACCCACTGGCCTCTCTTATTAGATGTAAGGGTCCAAAAACGAAGTTCGGGTTCAATTTCGAGTTCAAGTTTAGAAGGGTAGGTATACGCACTCCACAACGTAGCCCTACCACGCAGCCCCATCAGCCCCCCCCTATCACGTAGTCCCATCACGTAGCCCCATCAGCCCCCATAACGTATGCCGAACACGTCAGCCCAAATTGCGTGAACGTCTACTTCAATTTCAACATCACCACAATTTTTACAATTCATTCCTTTCATCTTCAAGTTATTATTTTTTAACTTGATGCCCCGGGAAGAAAAAGGTTTTAGGTGACATGACCACTTGTGGTAAATGCTGATCTAGGAGAATACTACGGTCTACGAAACCAATGGCCGCGTTTGGTGTAAGTAGATACTACCCAAACATAATCCATGGATTTATGTCCTAATTCAGTCTGAAAATAAATTGAAAAAATCAAATTGTGAATCAAACTATACTGCAAAAACTCCAAATTGAAATCGCGACGCCCGAACATCATCAAAACTTGAATATATTCTATGGAAGCTGCCAGTGCGTCTTCGACAACTGAAGCTGGACGTCGAAAGGGCCTGGTGGATTGACCCTCTCCAGGTCCAGATTCTCAGAAGCAAGAAGAGCCGCCTCAGAATTGATCCCAATTCGCTCAAACAAACGATCAAGTTCCACAAATTTCTTGATAGCGTGACCAACGTATCCCAGATCTAGATGTGAATGAAGGGTTTTAAGCTTATGATTATAGTTCTCCTCCAGATATCGGAGATCGCTACTATCGTGGAATCTTCCACGGGTCGCGACCAAACGAACCTTGTCCTTGAACAGGAAGAATGAATCGAGAAAGAATGAAGATCCCCTCTCGTACTTCTTACCGTAAATAATGTGAGTGGTGACTGCAATGTTACTGCCCCCTATGTCATCTTCTATATAATGCGTTAGTTAAAATAACCAATAATTGAGGGAGTTGGGGGGGAACCCACCAAAAAGAGTCTCGCAGAACATCTCAACCATTATAGGATTACTTCGGTTAGCTAATACGGTCCAGAGGAAGATAGCATGGTCCTCACGAGCTTGAGGAAGAGTGATAAACCCATTCTGTCCATCTAGAAACTCCAAGAGCTTATCCTTGGACGTAGAGACAATGCAGTTAATACTATCAGCTCCTCGTGCCCGCTCGCTCTTGACAACTACGCTGACCGCATAGTCACCAAAGAGCCCGAATTTAACATCGTGCTCCTCGTATAGGACCTTGAAAAGGAGTATAGCAATATCGGCCAGGCGTTCTTGAAGCATAGCTGCGGAAGGTAAAATGAGATTGGTATACAAGACGATTGCAAGCAGTGTTGTGGATGGTGGATTCTTGCCGTGCGTTCGCCGTGGCTTTATATCCATGGATCTACTCGAGATCAAATTTACGATATTTAGATAGAAAAGAATCCTTGGTTTTAACGTTAAAGAGATTATTCGTCAACAAAGGTGCGGGGCTCCGCGATATTTTCTTTAGCCCCATATCCTTTTTGCTTTGATTTAGATCAAATGTTACAAATTCTAGCTTCTTGATCGAGTGTTTGAGGTGTGGAGTCTTGTAACCCTCAAACCGTCTCGAGGTCTCTTCAAGAAGTCATACAATGGCCTTGAACAAGTTGTCATTGTCCAATCACCCCTCGACAACACGTGGAAACATAAAGAATCCATGTTCTTGGCTAATAGACAAAGACCTTTGAAAATTGGTGAGCATACTGGCTATTCAACCAATCAACTGCCAAAAGATTACCAAGAGCAAATCCGAATGAGGCCCCTCAAATTCATATCCAGCTGGGTGTTTTGTCCCGTTATCATTTGGGCTGTGACTCTGACCAACTAGATCAGAAGGATGAACACGTTGCGAGAAAGTACATAACACGGTTAAGGCAATCGACCCAGCGCATGTCTGGAGTGTCTCAAAATTACCAAGGGTCTGCCACGCCCTCAGCGAAACTATTTTACTTCTAAAAGCTATATTTGACACTGATAAATCTGAGCATTGGGAATTTAGCTCGATAGAATAGTGGGTAGGATACCAAATAGTATAATGTCTGTATCTCTCGTACTAGTACTTCGTGGTCCCGGCTGTGACTCTGTCCATAGATAGTCTGTGTCTAAAATTGTATACAGCTTCAAAGTTTTGGAGATTCTGCCATCCTGACAGAAATACAGGTTCGATTGCCGCTAGAGAGCGCTGTACGCCACTGAACTATTTCTTGGCATCCATTGTTTACCTTCAAGGAAGGTGGCCATTCTCACCCCAATTTTCCACCATATACCCTAGGGTAACATCAATCGAGAAGTGAAGATAAGCAAAAGCCTTGGAAGTTGATAGAAATACTGGGGTAGATTGAAGCCTGACTAACACAACATAGAAACTAAAAGATTGATGGGTTGCCCTAACGCACCCATGGACACCTCGTAATGCCGCATCATTGGTCAACGCCCAGCAAGCATTTCTTCCCACACCGGCTCAGCCGGAAGAATCATCATCATGAATGTGTAATCGGGTATGCAGAAAGTGTGCCATCTTATCTTTTCATCTATCTCATTGTCTTGAATTGGCGAGTCGACCCGGACTAGTCTCGACCAGTGTCTGTACCCACCATGTTTCCCATCGTGGTGTTGACGATCAACTGGATCCGCAGGAATCGAAGGGCTCTCATTGTACTGGCCACCAGTGTGCTAGTCATGCTTCACCTAGCTATGGGGAGAATGAGACAATATGAAACGGATTCCAACCCGGCAATCTACGCAAATGTTGATTCTAACCATGTCAAGACCCAGAACGCGTTCATGAGCCCAGGTCTGGCCGCTGGTTGGAGCCTTGACCGAGAACCAGTTCCATCAAAATCTATCGAGATTCCTACTCGCCCTGTACTGGAGTCTATGGGCTCTGTATACACGGGGCCAACTCGATTCGACCCCGCTCAGCCAATATCTGGAGATGCGAAGACGACCCCGTTGAACTTCACCCCGCCATTTCGCACAAAGGGACGCCATATCATCGATGCGACTGGAACTCCCATCAGACTTGCCAGTATCAACTGGTATGGAGCAAGCGATATCGACTTTGTTCCGGGTGGGTTGGACGTTCGACACAGAGATGAAATCGCGCAATTGATCCGCCGATTAGGGTTCAACAGTGTGCGGCTTCCCTACGCCGACGAAATGGTGAGAGCAAATCCGGTGGTGAACGACAGGGTGATATCGAAGAACCTAGATCTGTATGATGGTCAACGAGTAGTTCCAGTCCGAGCCTTGGATGTATTCCACGCCGTGGTGGACAGTCTCACTGCGGCTGGTCTCTTGGTTATCGTCAACAACCACATCACACAAGCAACATGGTGCTGTGGTGCGAACCTTTGCGACGCCGGGTGGTCCAACGACTGGCTCTTTGGTAAACTCCTCTGTCGTATCTCGCAGAGTGAAGACGAGTGGATTGAGAATTGGGAGACGGTAATGCGGCCGTTGGTATCGAATCCGTTGGTCTTGGGGGCAGACCTTCGCAACGAGGTGCGTGGGCTTTGGGGAACAATGCACTGGGAAGACTGGGTCAAGGCAGCTGAGCGAGCTAGTGAACGGCTCTTAGCATGGAACCCTGAGTGGCTGATGATCGTCGAGGGAATCTCCTCGGCGAATGACCTGACCGGGGTACGGAGAAGACCCGTGCAGCTCAGCGTACCGGACCGGGTGGTCTACTCCGCACATGTGTATCAATGGTCAGGCTGGGGCCAGTTATATCCTTATTCGCGCAGGACATATGAGGAATTTGCGGCGGCGATGCGAGAGAACTGGGGGTACTTGATCGAGGAGGATGTAGCGCCAGTGTGGGTGGGGGAGGTGGGCACACCCGACGAACCCACGGACGGTGATGTGAACTATTGGAGACATTTAGTAGAATATTTGGAAGAGGTAGGAGCGAGTTGGGGGTATTGGGCATTGAATGCGCGCAAGGCCACGGGGGAGAAGGAGAGTTATGGTTTGGTGGATGAGCAATGGGACTGGCCCTCGGTTCGCTGGGTCCATCCCGCGTGGGCGTTGGTTAGGAGCAGATACGGAGTATCCTAGGATAGGTATGGAGATTACTGAATCCTGAGTACTGAGTACTTCCGATCTGACCCTTAATGTAGTCCCCTAATTGCAATGCCTAATTGCAGGAAGTGCTCACAACCAATGGTGCCACCACGGTGTGCCAAGCTTTGACTCCACTATGTAGATCGAGGCAGTACGGTTATTACCTTACTAGACTACCTACATTGGTACGAGAATACTAAATACTGAATAATAAATATGAATACTTCTATAACATCTCACTCATGCAGGGTCTACCTATCGTTTCTCTCCAAATTCTCTGTGCTCAGGGTCTGCTGCCTGATTCGTTTCACCATCTCCCATCAATTTTGACCATCTTCATGTGTTGTAGATCTTCGCTCTCTCCTGACCCGCCTTACCTTCTCTCCCCCTCTGACATGCTCCCTTCCTAAGTTCATGCTCACGATAATTCGTGACTTTTGGCTTTTTTTCCCCTTTCTATTTATCACCTTGAGGGTCCGTTATTTACATTTTCTGTCTCTCTGTTGTTTTCTTTCCCCTTCTCTATTCACAATGCTGGGGTGGGTGACTCGATGTCTGCCAGGCTTCAGCCTAATCGGCTTGGCTCTATTGCTGCTCTGCGCCTTTACCGACATTTTGGAGCATCCTATACTGAAGGGTTTCCTACCAGCTCCTTCCATAAACCCCCCTACACAGAATGGCCCATGGAGTGGGTTGGCGTTGGCCCAAAAGATCTTCATCATCTACACAATCTTGATCCACGTCCATACCTTTGGTTTCACTCTTCGTCTCGCCTGGTCAATCTCTAGAACCCTCCAAACCACAAAGGATATCTTCCAGAGACGCCTCGAAACCTCTCCCTTCTCCTCCCCGAAGCCTAAACGCCCAGAAGATCGACCAAGTTCGGACGCCCCTCCATCTCCAGTTTCTCTACCAGATTCGACATATTCCTCTTTTGATAAGAAGGAATTTATTACTGTCCATCAATTGACCGAGAAAGAGCTCATCCATGCGATCATCCTGCCCAATTACTGCGAAGACCTTCATACCCTAGAAACAACCCTGAAAGTGCTGGCAAGTCACCCGCGAGCTAAATCGCAGTATGAGGTATGTGCCAACAGTCAATGAGGAAATTCCAAGACAAAGCTAAAGTTTTCTCCTAGATTTATCTGGCCATGGAGCAGAAAGAGGCTATCGCCGCCGACAAAGCCGGGCATCTTGTGTCCACCTTCGAACACTGCTTCCTTGACATTCACACAACCTTTCATCCTGCTGGTATAAAGGGCGAGATTGCGGGAAAGAGTTCAAATGTGGCTTGTGCCGCCCGGAGAATCATGGAAGTTCATCGCACCGAGCTCAAGATGGATTGCTGTAATGTGATGGTGACGGTTATGGACGGTATGAATCTACACACCAGCCAATACCAATTCATATTTCTAACATTGGAAATAGCGGACACACACCTCTCTCGTGATTATTTCACTGAAATTCTTCGCCTTCATTACTTGCACCTCGATGAGGCAGACCGCTCCATTTACTGCTGCCCTATTCTATTCGATCGCAATTCTCATGAAGTACCAGCACTAGTGCGATGTGCCGATCTGATGTGGGGCTTCGCTGGACTTTCAACGATGTACCCCGGAACATGGATCTCCATTCCTACATCAGTATACTCTTTACCTCTCTCTCTGGCCGAGAAAGTGGGTGGATGGGACAGTGATCCCACGGCTATCGGTGAAGACATGCATATGCTGTTGAAATGCTACTTCGAAACGGCGGGCAACATTATATCTCGCGTGGTTCATTCCCCTGCCAGCCAGTGCAATGTTTCCAGTGACAGCCGACATGGCTGGCGACGCACAGTCGATACTTGCGCTGCACGATATCGCCAGGCGTTGCGACACATGTGGGGTGCTTTAGATACCGGCTTTGCGGCACGACGTACATTGGGATATCTTCGCTTCCACCACCGATGTTCGTTCCTGCATCCCCGCCACTTCGCTCTCCTCTCGCTCCTCTGGGAGGCGCATTTCCTTCCGGCTCACCTCACGATCGTGATGATCTTTTCCGTGTTATATAAACTTCTAACCCCGGTGACCAAAATACACCCAACTTTAGCCTGGGCTTTTATGGTGACTGAGATCTTACGAGCATTTTCTTTTATCGGGATGAATGGTTGTCTATTTTTATACGAGCGGTGGCATAAACTGCATCTCGATTCTCGCATGGAGGACATGAACGAGGCCAATATTGGCGATACTGGATGTGCCCGCCGTGTCTGGCATCGACCACAATTCCTCATCGACCGGATCTGTTTTCCCATTGCGGGTACGATATTCGGCGCTGTGCCTACTCTTCATGCTGTTCTCTCTCACTTCTGGACTGATCGGCTTGTCTACCGCGTCAGTAAGAAACCGACATTCTCACTAGAGGCAGTAGGGTTGGCCTGAAGATCATCTTACCATTCTGGAGGGCTACCATATCGGCGTTTCCCTTTCTTTTTTATAATTCTTTAGATTACATACGACATATCGAATAATCATAATGTAACAATGCCATTAATGCCAGTGCTATTTCATTACCCAGAGAGAGCTACCGCCCCGCCATTACCGCCATTACTTGCAGAAACACTGGGACTTTCAGCGGGGATGGGGCTTGGAGTGCTGTGATTTGTGTTTGCCCCCGCGACCCACCGTCTCCAAATTTTTGGGGTCGGGGTATCATCGTGCACACTCCAACTTTATAAGCCCTTCTCGACAACATCTTGAACTTTTATCCTCCAGACAGCTACAGATTGACAAGATGGCATCAACTCGACGGGTTGCCGTGATCCAATGGCATATCAAGGTAGATCAAACCACTACCCCCCCAACCACCCCGGAGCAGCACTGCCCAGCTATCTATGACGCAGTGGATCCAATCAGTAACTGATCAACTCTGCAGGACGTGCAAGCAGAAGAGAATCATGCCACTGCATGCAGCTATATTCGGCAGGCTGCATCAGAAGGTGCAGAGCTAGCTGTTTTGCCTGAGTATGCAAATCCTATGTCTATTCATGGCGTTACCGCCAGGTGCGAACGAATTGGCAAACCGAACCTATGATTAACAATCCGCTCAGATATCACCTCAGTGGAATGGTTCCCAATGATCCTCGCTGGGTCGTCCAGGCAGGTGATTCTGCAAAGTACCTTGCCAACTACCAGGCCCTCGCAAAGGAATTGAAGATCTGCATCGTCCCTGGAACAATCATCGAGAAGCAGGAGGGACCGAATGGAACCCCAATCTTCTACAACACCGCCTACTTTATATCCAATGATGGGTCGATTCTTGGCTCCTATGTCAAGAAGAATATCTGGCACCCCGAGCGCCCGCATCTCACTTCTTCCGGCTTGGACCGCCATGTCGCCATCGACACACCGATCGGTCGTGTGGGCATGCTGATCTGCTGGGATCTGGCGTTCCCCGAGGCGTTCCGCGAGCTAATTGCGGACGGAGCGGATATTGTGATCATCCCTACATACTGTGAGCAATAAGCCCATACCTCAGCTCGAGCTTATAGTTCCCAGTGCTAATGGACCCAGGGACTCCACACGACGCCTCGGCAGATTGTATCAAGTACAACCCCAACACAGAAGCCCTTTTCCTCGAAACAACGCTCACTGCCCGTGCTTTTGAGAATACCTGCGGTATCATCTTTTGTAATGCGGCCGGCCCATCTGAGGATTTCCTCGGCTTGTCGCAAATCACCCTTCCTCTTGTGGGACCGGTTGCGAAAATGGGCGCCGAGGAGGGAATTTGCGTCGCTGATTTAGACCTTAAGGTGTTGGAAGTTGCTGAACAAAATTATAAGGTGAGGCAGGATATCAAGAAGGATGATTGGCATTATGTCTATAGACATAGTTCGAAGTAGACTTGGCGATGATCCTGCAAGCCTGTTAGGTGTCGGAAATCAATCAATGATTGCCAAGAAAAGATGCAAACATCCAATATCTTCTGCCTTCAAATTTACATCTCTCTAAAATATTCAAAATATCTTCAACTCTCCATGATGAAGATACTCCAAGTTTACTCTTTGTTGGCCGTGGCGCCCTTGTGGGCCTACGGAGGCACCTTTTTCCGCGCCCCAAAAGTGTAGCCGGTCTGCCTTTCTTGAATACAATTACATGATGAAATACACCTGAACATGATCGATGGTCGACAAGAAATATGGCCTCGGATGACCCTTCGAATTCAGGTAGAGAGCTGACTCCACATCGGCTCCCCACTCGAGTGAGAACCGCCTGCGAACGCTGTCGGCTTCACAAATCTCGGGTAGAGTCATCCCGCTCCTCCTGCATGCATATCGGCCCGTTACTAAACCAAAAATTCATGGCAGTGTGATAACGAACGACCATGTTTGCTCTGTGCACGAGCCGGTGTCGATTGCCAACAGCTGCCCTCAAACCGGACTCCTACAAGCAGGGTTCGAAAAGCCTCTGCCCGAAAGTAAGTTCCGTCATGTTTCTTGGGAAGAACTATTCACTCACTGCGAGATAAAGAGAATTAGCAAGAGCACAAAAGACACCTACTCATGGTGATCAGCGCCGTATCTCACGCCAGAATGGTAATTCCAATACTGGAAGTGGCCGAGCCCCCGCTCGCAATTCATCTGATGGGCCTCGGTTTGAAGATTCCCCTGCCAGGATAGACCAACCCGCCGTTTCTTCAAATACGGGAATCCTTTCTCCGCCCTCGCATTGCGATGAAGCCCAATCCGCCCTGGGAATTGCTCAACGAATTTTCGAACTTTCTAGTCAGCACATTGACGAAAGCACTACATCTGCCATTCCTGGTTATCGCGCCGGTGCCAATACTAATTACAGCATCTCTGCGTCCGCCGCTGCTGAAGATTATCAACGATTGCCTATCTCATCAATTCTAGGCAAACCATTTCCTCCGATGGACTTGGTTCATAGTCTTCTCGAGGAATATTTTGATGCCATACATTGGTTCTCATTGGCTATCTACGAGCCAAAGTTCCGCAAGATATTGGATTCTATCACAGATGGGTCTGCCAATCCTTCCGATAAGCCTTGGCTGTTACTTCTGTCAGTCATGCTAGCAATGGCAACCTGGTATCGATCTCAGCGGACTGGCACAGATTTGACCGATACTGGAGAAGAATGGCGAACATTGAGTGCAGGCCTACTGAAAATTGCCGAATCGAATCTCGTTGAGATAATGGATCGACCATCTATCACAGCAATCCAAACTTGTGTTCTTCTTGGGTCTCATCATGTCTACCACGGCCGCCCAAATCTCTCCTTCTCGCTGTTAGGGTCCACCATTAAAATGGCCCAATCACTGGGTCTGCATCGAGATTCCACCAGAGGGACCCCCGAGGATATAGAGGAAAGAAAAAGGATCTGGTGGACCATTTACACATGGGACCGATTCGCCTCGATCACATACGGTCGGCCATTGGGGATCAGCGATAAGGATTGCAATGTTGGGATGCCGGCTGATACTCTAGAAAATCCCAATTTCGTCACACCGACGGCTGGCCCGAGCAGCTTCATAACATACTCTCCTTATCAGCGGGAACTCAATAAGCTATACTTGATAGCATCCCCGGCCCTTGAGATTGTCTTCGGCTCCCGGACAACTGGCTCTGATCATCTGACAGGAGATGCTTATTACGAGCTAGCGAAAGAAGCAACACAAAATCTTCAGAGGTGGTCGAGTCAACTACCGAGTCATCTTTCCCTGGACTTGGGGCAGGACTTATCTCCTCATGGAGACCTCAAATCCAGATCCCATGCACTACAGTCCTTGGCATTACAATTGACCTACGATAATGTGCTTATTGTTCTGCATCGACCACTTCTCAACCGACAGGTTGACTATTTGTCTAACCAAACCCAGGGAGGCCCAGCCTTCCAAGGCGACAGCCCTATCGATCATTCCAGCGCAGGCCCTTCAATAAACCAACCTAATTGGCATTTCGACGATATGAACCCCAAATTCCAGGATGACAGCTCTCGACTGTGGATGAATGCAGCAGTGAGAACATCTCGGGTGACAGAACTACCTGTTCTCGCCCAGCTTGCTACCGACAGCCATCTAGTTGCATTTCTCGCCATCAATCTTTTCAATGCAGCAATCGTTCTTGCTGTGATGGCTCTTTCAGAACCACTCTCCGACATGGCACAGGATATCAAACGAACAATTACCCGAATTTTGCGTCTGCAGGATTTACTTGGGAAACGCTCTGCGCTGTCCAAGCAAAGCACCCTAGTCTTGAGGAATGTCGTCATTTTACTTCTGCGCCGAGAATCGGCAACAATATTTGCGCCTATTTCGAGTGCGAATAAACACCCTCACGCTCAGTCTCAACAGGACTCAATATACAATGAATCGATGTCTGTTGAGGACACACTTCGCCTGCCTCTTAACCCAACCCTGGACTCTCGACACCAACACCTTGGAGATCAAACATGGATGCCTCCGAGTAGAGCTGATCGGCTTAATGAAAGCTTAACATCGGTACAATATGGTATGTCTAATGCTTTTATCACCTCACGGGGAAATCGTGGGATTATGCGGCATGGAAGCTAACATGAGTATACAGTATTTGGTAATAACGAAATCGCTTCGAATTTGGTCTTGGGCACAGAAACTCCTGTACAAGGAACATTCGCTGATGAAGGTGACCAACTAAGAGGTAATTGGAACCCATCCGCGGGTTACGAATGGAATGCCTCAGGTATTGTTGAAGATAATTTGCGGCAGAGTACTTATGACGCTATCGACGGCGGGCTGTGCTGGCTGTGGGACACAACATGGAATGGATTTGAACGACAATGATCGATGCTTATGTAGATCTACTTACTACGGGAATTTTGAATTTCTCCCTCAAGTAAATACATCGCTTAGATCGAAAATATCATATGATATCCCGTTTTATTCCCTAGAGTAAGGTTTCTCCAGAGCAGTACCACAGGTAAGCATGATATATGAATTGAATTTTGATATTTGATCTTTGCTAATTGATACACTTATTCGCCTCATTCTCGTCAACATCAGGTCCATAAATAACGCTTTTGATTCCGGCCCGGCCAACAACATTCTTAAACGCGTCCTCCGCCTGTTCAAATGAAAATTCATGAGTGACGAGCCCGTCAAGCTTGACTCGGCGCGAGTTCAACAGATCAATCGCCAATTTGAAGTCTCCAGGTCCATATCGAAAGCTCCCTTTGAATACAGCCTCTTTGTCACAAATTTGACCGACTGGCAGAGAAGGATTCGGGTTACCCAGCCCAACTTGTACGAAAGTACCCCCTCGAGTAAGAGCATGGATACCACAGGACAGACAAGGCTCGGCACCAGTTGCATCGAGAACAACATCAAATCCATACTTCAGTCCAATCGAGTCCAGTAACTCCTTCGCATTGCTTTCTGGAGACTCGGCGTTCATTTTGTATGCATTTGTAGCCCCATGCTTCAACGCAGAAGCAAGCCGGCTATCAACAACATCAATAGCAACCACAGTCGAAGCCCCAAATGCGCGCGCAACAGCAGAACAAAGCAATCCCACTGGCCCAGCTCCAAAAACCGCAACCGACTTTTCCTGCAGTGACCCCGCAAGTCGACAGCTGTGCACTGCGACACTCAAAGGCTCAATCATAGAGCCATCGCGCAGAGAGATATGGGGTGGGAGTTTGTAGCAGCATTCGCTAGGGGCACGGTAGTATTTGGCGAGAGTTCCGTCGTAGGGAGGCGTCGCGGCAAAGCGCATCGATTCGCATAAATTGTACCGACCACCGCGGCAATAGTGGCAGATGTTGCAGGCAAATCCAGGCTCGAGCATGACGCGATCGCCAACTGCGAGGTCGGTGACTTGTTCACCGCACTTTACGACAATGCCGGAGGACTCGTGGCCTAGGATGATTGGTTTCTCCACGATATACTGTCCAATTCGTCCATGTTGCCAGTAATGAACCTGTGGTAATATCCGAATTAAATTTTGTTGTGCAGGAGCGTCAGTGTGGGATTTGTCTACTCACATCAGAACCACAGAGGCCAGTCGCAACAATCCGGACTATCACATCGCGATCGGTCTCGAGATCGGGAACGGCGCGCTGTTCATACGTGAACTTGCCCCCGGGATGGAGCACAAAGGCTGGGTTCGCTGTCTAGAATCGATCAGTCGATGCAAGAGATACCATCGCTTACTTCATAAAAACACCTACCGGAGAAGATTTTTGCATATCGCTGGTACTTGCCGTGGTCTTGGAAAAGAAAAAAAGATTCTACTCTGGGATCTAACTAACATGCAGAGAGTTATAATTCGTTACTTGGCGATAATTACGGTTCCGAAGCTACCACGCCTTCCATCTACTTGCCCCACGCCGAAGCGAGAGCTCGGTTCACTGAGTGAATTAAAACAATATCCCTCATCATCTCAATTCATGCTAAAGTTATTTCATCGGCACGAGTCACTCAAGCCGTTCGGGATCGGCCTTGTTCATTGTCTTCCGGCGGGCCGGCAACAACATCCCGGAACCGAGTGACCACTCATAAATCAATTGGGCCGCCGGGTGACAATGACCTGCAACCAATGGTATCCACCTCCATCTCGGCTCCTGTTAGCTCTCCTGGGGAGTTACCCAATCACCAGCCATCGGACAAGTGAAGTTGGGGTCGAAATGAGGCCTTTTACTCCCGGGATAGTTTTTGCGGATACTACCCAGAGAAATCATGTCCATCACTCCTCTGCAAAGAATTTGCGGGTAAGACAACATACCCCAGGGCCTGCGGAGACCGGTACGACAAGGATCTGGGATGTGGGCATCACTGTCGAACTCCACTCCCCCATGCTCCCGCATTATCCCGGCCTGGAGTCGGAAGATATTCTGGTTCCCCGTGGAGGAAAACCGCGGGGTAGAAATATAAGGGTTCTGCCCAATATCAGAAAAGGAAGGGAAATTCAAGAGGAATATTTAATTCGATTCAATTCCTCGCCATCGAAATCATTTCACTCCATTGTCATCTTTCTTCTGTCATCATGGAGAGCAAAGGAATTCCCGGTGATGAGGGGATTACACTGACTCCGGAAGACCGCTCGCAAGCTATTTCTGCTCTAGTCGAAGAACAGCAAAGCTGGCTAGAGAAAAAGCTGAAGCCGAAGACCATCAATGCCCGCTATCCATTCACGGGAAAGCCCTTGCTTTGGGCAACATGCGGATTTGGCAGCTTGGGTGATGCCCTATTTGGCTTAAATTCAGGTATAGTAAATTGAAAAAAGAAATCAAGAACTATATGTTGACTCTGTACTGTAGGCATTATGTCCGGTCTACTGGTGAATTCGGTCTTTATATCCCGCTTTTTCAAAGACTATGGGGGTGCCAATGGTAGCACGGATGGTGTCAACCCTTCGATCACTGGTATATCTGTCGCATGTCTGCAGGCTTCTGCAGCGGTAGGGTCACTACTGGCAGGTCGATTGGGAGATATAATCGGCCGCAAGAAGTGTGTTCGCATTGGTGCCTTCATATACTTCTTCAGCGCTTTCATCCAAATGTTTGCTCCAGGGTTTGGTACCTTCGTGGCCGGCCGCACGATTCAAGGGCTGGGGGTTGGATTTTTATCAATGACAGTGCCTATCATTCAAACCGAGATTGCCGCACCCCATCGACGAGGACTGATGGTGGGCATTGAGTACACATTCCAAATTGGTGGCTACATGCTGTCTTGCTGGATTGACTATGGGTTTTTCTTCGCTTTACCTAGTAATATGTCTTGGCAAGGCCCGTTCATTCCTCAGATTGTCCTCTCTTTTATTCTTCTTGCCATGTCCTTCTTTCTCCCGGAAACCCCTCGTTGGCTTGCTATGAATGGTTTTAGCCGGGAGAGTCTGCAGACCATTGCTGATCTACACTCTGATGGAGATACACAGGCGGAACATGTGCAAAAGGTCTATTTGGAGATTCAAGAAGCGGTCATCTACGAGGCTCGTCAAGGAAAATCAAGCTGGAAGGTATATTGCCAATTTTTTCTGCTCGTGTATGTTCGAACCACTTACTCATGAATCTTGAACAGGAAATGTTTACACGCTACCGTAAGCGGACGATCGTGGGAATCACAGCTCAGATGTATGCCCAGATCAACGGCATCAACATCATTTCATTTTATCTTCCGAGCACACTGGCTTCTGCCGGGTATAATGAGAAGAAGTCGCTGCTTCTCACGGCCGCAAATTCACTTCCTTATACTGCTGCCACTGTTGCGACTTGGTGGCTAGCAGACCGGTGGGGTCGAAAGCCACTGCTTCTTGTAGGAGGTAAGTAACTAATCCCATGCGAATATCGACGACAAAATATTAATTTTAGAAACAAAAAGGTCTTGGCATGGCTGTCCTCTTATCTATTGTCTGTGTGTTTACCGAAGCTCCCTTCAGCATTGAAACCAAGGCAAACGGGCAGTATGCCTTCGTCATGCTGTATAATGTTCTGTACGGATTCACCTGGGGGGCCAATGCCTTGGCTCATCCCCGCAGAGATATTCCCACTTCGTGGACGCAGTAAAGGAATGGCCCTTGCGACAACAAGCAACTGGGTTTTCAATTTTATCATTGGCATGGTATCACCCGATGCATTTGCCGGTATCCATGGGTATTTCTACCTCATCATCGCATTCTTCTGTCTGTCCTCGGCGGTAGTGTCGCATTTCTATTATGTCGAGACGGCCGATCATACTCTTGAGGAAATTGCTGTTGCCTTCGGTGAGAAAGCGTTTGCAAGTCCCGATAATGAGGTGATGGAGATTGCCCATGATGATTCCAAGTGTGATAAAGAGCAACATCTAGCCTGATGGGCCCATCTCAAGGGTCTCATCCCCCATTCAACATCACTACTTAGACTCATGTAGGGCTGAATGACGTTATAAATACAAGCTGGAGGCTCCGAAAAAAGCGTTCAATTCTTTCAAATTAATCAGATTCGGTAAAATTCTTTTTGATTCCAAAACACAATGAAGGTTGTATGTATATCGGTTCAAGTCGTAGGCGGTATAAAGTTGACACCACAACTACCCCCCAAAGCTCACAACTTGAGAGTGCTGGATTAATCATGCCGAGGGGAATGCTAATCTCTGCCTAGTAGGTACCTAGGTATATACCATCATCCGGATTCAATATCCAGAATCTTAGATAATGACACAAGTCTCTTGAGCTGCAACCGAGAGATCTTGATCGAAGAACTGTGATACCCGCGCCCAGGGTTCTTATTGGATGAGGCGATTTCAATGATACTAGTTTCGGCGCTCCATAGCGGCAATCTAGTAGATATCACAGAATCAGTCGTTGAATAATCGAGACGCATATCGATGATCCTGGGAAACTGGTCGATAAGTGATCCCGTTCGGGAAAATGACAGGCTACCTCAAGGTAAGGACAGCAACTGCTCCCAAAGATTCTCCCGCAATTCACTCACCTTCCTCGCCTCCTCAACCCTCAACATTCAACATGTGCTGGCACAAATGGATACCAGTCACCCCGCAAGGGTGCAAGGCTTTGAATCCTCATATCATGATGCACAAAGAAACGATCTACTGCAATACTGTGATTGACACCGCTATCAAACTATCCCAGCCGAACTACTTTCTAGACGAAGACGAGAGGGAACAGCGGCGTGACAACACCCGTTTCAGACTCCAAGCGTGTCCTCATGAAGATTCCAAGATTGTCGACTCGTTTAACCGCAGAATCGAGGTCAAGCCGCTCCAGGTGGTCAATCCCCGCTGCCCGTGCTGTACGGGTGAAATGTCGATGGTCGATGCGTTGATGGTATGTAGTGGAGTCCCCAGGATCGCGAAGTATGGGAAAGGAAGTTAGAGACGAGAAGAGAAGCTCACCTATCACTCACCATCCATGATTAGACGGATTCCAACTTCCAATCCTCCTATGCCGTCCTCCCCAATGGTCGAGAGCTTCACATCCCCAGCGTCACGGAGGAACTTGACAATCACCTATGCGAGCCTCTGAATCAGTCACTTCTCGAGCTCAAAATCAGCAAGAAAAAGATACACCAGGCCGAGAATGGCCTCTTCGACACCGATTCAGTCGAAGACGAGCATAGCAGCGAAACGTGCCTCCAGTGCCGGTACCCCTTGAGGTATCCTTTCACGTATCCCCTGCCTTGCTTACCGCCGCCGCCGCCGCTCTTCTCCAGAGATCTGTTGGACACCGAAGTCAGTATTCCTATGTTTCGCGGAATGATCGAAGCGCAGTCATGCCTTCCCAAGATCTGGCAGATGACTCCACAGGGAATAGTTTCCGGCATGATCACTCCTGCTATCGAGGGGGTCGATGACTCGGAGGACGAGTATGAAGTTGCCGACCTCGGATGTGTTGGGCTGGGGTTTCCAGTTTCCAGGACTGCAAGTCCTCCGTTCGTGAATCCTCTTCACGGACTGATCCAGAGAACGGATGATGAGTGGCCGGACAACTACCAGGGGGCCTAAGATCTCTGTTATCAAGTTTCTGGGTTCTGACTTCGAAATTATCCCAATCTTTTCTCAGATGATTTCACATTTAGATAAAAGTAGGATATCAGCCCAGCCAAATGGAAATTAAATTTCATAAATGTTAAACAAATGGGGTCTCATGTAGTAAAGTATGTAGTATGTACAGTCGGAAAGAAAGGTCGTAGTAAAAAGGAGAGTATTGGCGACAGCCTCACATAAGCCATCTTCAAAGAATGTGAAAAAAGAGGTAAAATGTCGTGGAAATTTACTGATATGCCGGTTCGTGAGTCACTGTGATCGTTGTGTGCTGATACACATGGTCGACGTTGGCAAGCTCAACATCGCGACCTGGCACAATTGCATCGGTGGAATCATTGCCAGAATGGGCAGCACAGACCGTCGATATGGGTCCTTTATCGTTCGTCTTCTGCGAGTATCCCGTCGCGGTTCCAAAGCGTGATTTCTTGTGGCTTGAAAGATCGTGGTATCCATCATCTCGTTTCGATTCGATCTCCGATTCCAGGACGATACTCTTGCGGGTAAGGGTGTATTGGAGAGTGTCGCAGAATCCCGATAGTGTCATCAGAGCACCAGCCACACAGAAATAGGCCACACTCGGTGAGTGGCCACTAACGGATGCCATGCGCCCGGCGGACAACGGCAGTGTCAAGGCGATATATGCAATCGGGTACAGAACCATGTATGAGACGACTCGGTTCAGGCGCTTGAGACTCTCCGTGTAGCTGCTTCCCAAGATCTTGGATTTAGAGATCTTGCGTCGGAGTTGAACGAACATGATGGCGTAAAGAACGAGATTCAGGAATTGAGCGGTGAAAATCCAGAAATAATGAGTCCAAAGACGGAGTACCGGGTGCTGTGTGGTCATCCAACACTGCGAGCAAAGAAATATCAGTAACGGTGCCTTGAGATTACTAGTCCAGGAGCGAGGGGGAAACATACCCATCCCACAGATGGCATCCATACGTGGGATCCGTGTGCGGCAATCGGAATGATAACCAAGATTACTCCAAAAATCCACAACCCGACCACGATGGAAACAAAGACGCGGTGGCTAACCTGCCGACCGAAGCTAACCTGCAAGAAGGTGTGCAAGGCGATCGCGAGCACGAAAACTCCACTCATAGGGTCACCGATTTGAAGCCAAATTCCCTGCAGGAAACATCCCGGGTCGTCGGCATGGATGGAGTTCTGGTCGATCCATCGCAGACTGACAATGAATCCCAATCCTTGGATGAAATCAGCGAGTGCGAGGTTGTACATGAGAACGACATATTGATTGTATCCAATGTAGCGTTTGTAGTACTTTTTCCAGAAGATGAAACGATAGGTGAAAAAACACAAGAGACTGAATGTGGAAACGAGAGAAACCATCGCCAAAGAGGCAATGGCGATGAGACCGCCTCTCTGCAGTGAGGGCAATGGATCGATGATCCATGAACCAGCTGCAGAGTTGGCAGAGTTGGCGTCCACGGTGCTTGCCGAGTCATACTCGCGGCGATTGAGCGGGCTCATGGGAGGAGCATTCCGCGTCATCAACCATTGTACGATTAAGCTCGACATGACGGCTGGGAATGAGTGGTTGAAAGGATCGACCCGGAAGAAAGCATATCTTCATCCAGGGAATCGGTCCGAAAAGACCCTCGGATCTTTATATATGGAACGCTTCATGTTTGGGGTGTGGTCTCGATCAGCCCCTGAGGGTGTTGGTCTGTTCATTTGCCCCACGTCGAAGTATGGGAAATCAGGCAAACTCTTTCGAACTAGAGTTTGACACGGGAGAAGTCGAAGCTGGATTTCTTGCTGTTTGGATCACTTTATGGTGGCAAACCTTGATGTACCCACGCTAAGCTCCGCGGCCCCTCTTATAGTGGAGTTTCTGGGACTCTAGAAGGCAATTAGTGTCGCTAGTTTATGAAGTTGAGGATTGCCCCTCTAAAACCCAGCCTATTGCACGCATAACATTCACCCAGCGTAACATCCAAGAGATCTGCGAGGGATTTCCACACGGCGCCGATCGAGGAAGCCAGTCACAATCAAGCAAGACCCATTACTCCCAGGCTTTGCTAACAGTGGGTTTCCAGAAGTCGACCATGTGTTGATGTACGGAGTACCTTAACCCATTTTTCGGGACGCGATTATCGCGCTAGAGCTTCCGATCGACCTGATCAGGCCAATGACTTCCTCATTCAAATAAGGTAAAGTCCGGTTCAGTGGACACTGTCCTTGACTTAAGTCGTCAGAACCTGGAGGACGGCAGGGCTTTGTGGGTGAGTTCGCGATGCAACGTGCACTTGGTTCGAGCGGACCCAAGGCAGTGGGACCGCTTTGTTTGTCTCAACTTTGGGGAGGCTGGAGAGTTTGAGTTGTCGCGTGCTTTGAAATTGTAAATCCCAATTACCAGAGAAGTCTGTGCCGTTCAAGTTCTGTGATGTGTATTTGGAATCGATGGAGTTGGACATAGGAGATAGCTCAGTCGCCGTGCACTGCCGCTTTGTGGGGAATGCAGCCCAACATTGTTCGATGTCTGTTTCTGGGGCTGCCCACAGCTTTAGATTCGAAAAAGGATGGTGCAATTTCGATCCACAGGCTCAGCCTGGCATGGTGGTAGTCGAATAGGGCTGTTGGAAATGGGGGATGACGATACTGGTATTGTGGTGGCATCAGCCTGCAATTGGATCAGAACCAGACTATGATGCTCGTCGGTTGAGCTCTTCGCTTTGACCGGCCATCGCTGGTGACAGACCTTGGATGCTGATTTTTGAGGTTGAGCAAAGTGGAAGTGGAAGTGGAAGTGGAAGTGGAAGTATGTTTTCCACGATCTGCAGTTGTTTACTAGGTAGGTGTGAACCATGGTAAGCAGCTACCAAATGGGTAAATGCGTAATTTTCCCAGATACTCTGCATTACTTAGTACCTTAAGGTACTACTAGTAGCCATAAACAATCATGATGCTATCTCGTACATTGGAATAAAAATACGTAAACAGGAAGAGTGGATTTCTAGACAATATCATAGTAGAGACAAGATCGTTCATCGATTCCGTCAAGGTTCATGGAAGAGGGGAGGAAAGACAGCAAATAAGGGAGGAAACGGTATAAAGCTCTCAAATTCGGAAAAAAAGGAAAACAAACCCACGCGAACGAATCCAGATTCCCAGCATGGTGAACATGAACTCCTTCCGCCAAAGGTAGCAGCAAGCAAGCAGCAGCAGGTTCGGAGAAAGAAGCCCCCGCTAGGCCACACACAAGATCTAAAATAATCCACACTCGAGCAAAATCATGGAATGAAAGCTCCTCTTGCTCCCCACTCGACTAGACTCAGAGGAGAAATGATAAAAGGCAAGATGTCGATGCGAAAGTGCGAAAGTCTCCATTTCGTTGCAAACAAAAAAGATGCGGTCGATTCCCAACTCCACCAACGCGATCAATCCAATCATACATTCGGCTCGTCATCGGGTCCAACAAAGAGATCCGGTCCCCTTTTTACTGCACCTGGCTGACGATCTCACTAGCGCGACCCAAGCTCTCCACCATTTGCTGGCACTCCTTTCGTCGGCGGATCGTGTAATCACTCTCCTTAAGCAGGTCATCCAACTCGTTGTTGCGGTACATGTTCTCCAACAGCTCGCGTTGCATCTCGTCCTTGGTGAACCTGGATGGTGGTTAAATTGGATGACGTTAGGGTACTGAAAGAAGAATACTCACTGCACCAGTGTATACATAACAGCCTTGGGAACCATGTCGATCATTGTGCGCTTCACGATGTTGAAGTAAGAGGTGATGAGCAGCTCTGTCAAAGATGGTTAGTCAACTGATAGCTGACATTATTACTCAAAATAAACTTACTGATAACCTCAACCTCGGTAGCCTCGCGCTCCGACAGACTGGCAGAGGCCTTAAGGGTAGGCGGGGGAGCCTCCATGGCGGCCATCTTCTTCTTGTTCTTCGAGGCCCAGAAGCTGCCAAAGAATCCACTTTCCTTGGCCTCGCCAGTGGTATCCAAAGATGGGCTTTGGGCGCGAGCGGGTAGAGGCTTGCCGGTCTTGGGGTCAACTTGTGTGGGCTTGGCGGCTGACTGGCGCTCGTTGACAAGGGTCATAGCCTATGCAAGTCAGTAAAGCTGTCAAGCTACAAGGTTCATCCAAATATACTTACGCGGTGTCCATTGAGGAAGTCGGGGTGGCCAGTGTTAATGTAGGTGGCCTCCATGTTGATCAAGTCCCTGACCAGCTTGTTGGTAGGATCCATGCACTTCTTGAAGAAGGAAATAACCACGGCGTGGACCTTCTCCTTCAGCATCGGGTAGCGACGGAACAGTTGCTTGTTGAGAAGTTGACCCAGGATGCGCACCAGCTCATCGTATACCAGGGAGATACACTTCGTGCTGGGGTCCTCCAGGCGCTTGATCTGCTGCTTCACAATCAATTCGAAGGCGGTAGTACCGACAAACAGCGCAGGGGAAGAACCTGAGGAGTTGTAGAGGATTGTACGAATATCAATATCCTTGACAATATCGAAGGGGTCCACGGCCTTGACACCGTTAGAGTAGAGCTCGTGGAACACAAAGCTGATACGAGCACCACCAGACAGCTCAATGCTGGATAGTTCCTGGTTGTTTCCTTCCAATACAGTGCGGTATTCATTGCTGAACTCGGTGATGATGTTGAGGATGATGTTGGCGCTGTTGCCCAGCATCGAATCGCCGAGCTGAGAAAGTTCCGTTGTGTATTTCTGGAGGGAGGAAGAGATGCGAGCCTTGATATCGGGAAGGGTTTGCTTAATGTGCATCATCAAGATCTAGAGCGAGGTCCTGTTAGTCTGTGATTGCGGCCATCCTCTGGCATCATGACCAAAACATACCAGGTTCAATTTCCGGGCCAAGTACGGGGTACCGCAGTATGAAGCCTTATTCCTGTAGGCCTTGTGGTTCTCAAAGAAATTCTTCTCGTTCTCCAGGGCGTAGGCAATCGGCTTCTTGTTCTCAATATCACGCTGACCACGGTTGACGACTGGAACGTAGCCCAGACGCAGGGGAATAATCCGTCCAGCGAGAATATCCACAACGTCAGTTCCATCGTCCATCAGATCGACCTTACTCAAGACACCAATGGTGCGCTGTCCCTCGGGGTCCACTTCGCGTGCCAGCTTGAGACCATCGGAGTTGGCCAGATCCTGGTTGGCCGAGGTGACGGCGAGAATGATGGCATTGGGCTTGCTGATGTACTTGAGAACCATGTCCTTAATTTGCTTCTCAATGTCCTTAGGCTGGTCACCGACGGGAACCTTGGTCAGACCGGGCAAATCGACGAGGGTCAGGGTGAGGACATTGGGCGAGTAGATGCGCAAGTTGATCGGAATGGGCGAGATGCCGGCGTTCTTGCCAACTTTGGTCTCGGTTTCGCGGACGATCTCATCGCGGATCTTGTTGAAATCGAAGAACTTCTCCCCGGGCAAGTGCAGGAATTCACCGTACTCGTCGACGTTGGCCTCGCTATCAGATGTGTCTAGCTTCTTTTCGCCGTTCGCTTGTGTGCTGGGGGGGCTTGTTGATGAGTTGCAGAATAAGAGGTCTCCGGGTCACAATTCCAGAACCACGGGGCAGGCTAAAGAAGGCAGAAGCGTCGAGGTTAGCATTGACTGGCATGACAACAATGTTTGGGGGTCCCCGCCACCGTTGCGGAGAGCTAGCGGCGCAAGGCCCTAGGAGGTTTGGTTGAGGGGGGGCGCATACAAATCCCGGCCGACAATGTTCTCTAGTACCGAACTCTTTCCGCTGGACTGCGATCCAACGACAGCGATTTGTGGCAGGTCGATGGGATTGTGAACCTAAATGAAAGCGGCGGTGTCAGTTGTTGGGTACGAAGAGACCACGAATGCCGCATAACATGTGTGCGGCGAGGGCGCATCGACTTACGCCAACTGTAGAGAAGACATCTTGGAGCTTGTTAACCAGCGAGATCAAGCTGGGATCATTAACGTTTATGCTGCGCCCGAATTAGCTGGGGCCTTATCGGAGATGGTGGGTGACAGGGGGGGAGGGGGTGGCTGCGCACGAGTGGCCAGTTGGGCTTGCCATGGCTGGCGATTATGTGAAGTATTCCGGGGCGTAGAGAGGGAGAAAGGTGAAATTAAAACGAAGGAGAAGTAAAAGGAGGAACTTGGGGGGGGGTAGCTCGAGGAATGGAAAGCGGCAGACTGTTTGTTGGCGAAGTAAAGGCGGTGATGGCGGTGATGACGGTGGCGGGCCGCGCAGCACACAGCACGAGTAGGCATCCACGGGGGAAGGTCTCGTGGTGGTTTATACTTGGTGCCTAGTGTCTCGTAGCACGCATTGCGATTGATTTATACCTACAGATCCAAAAGGTCTTCAAATCTAACCTCCCCAAAGAAGAAATCTTATTGAACATAACTACAGGGTAATGTGTGCTGGTAACAAAAAGCCGGAAATAAAGTGTGGAAATGCAAAAAGCGATGGAATCATGTCCAGATGCCAATCTACTCATCCGAGACCGAAGCAAATCGCTCCGTCATGGACTGCAGAATCTTCTCGTACTTGGCCGACACCTCCTGCTCGTCGTCGGGGACCTCGAACTTCATGCTCCGTAGCGAACTCTGCAGGTCGGTAGTGGCATCACGGACCTTGTTCCAGCTCTGGCCCTGGGCGATGGCCTTTTGGGCCTCGTCGTGGTAGCCCATGAAGGCCTTCATCATATACTCAGTCTTCCACAGCGGGCAGAACTGATCGTAGTCACTGTATCCGTTTTGCTGGAGGAAGTCCTCCTTGAGCATAGCGGCCAAATCCAACGTAATCTTATCCGAGTCACCCAGTGCCGCCTTACCGATCAACTGAACGACCTGGTCCAGATCCTCGGACTTGGAGAGCAGTTCACGGATCTGATCACGCAGGCGAGGGAAGTCGGGGTTGTGCTTCTCGTAGTACTTGTCCAGGACGGCGTTGTACTTGCTGTAGGACATGGAAGTATTGACCGAAGGGAAGTGCTTCCGCTGGGCCAGCTTCTTATCGAGACCCCAGAAGACTTGCACAATACCCAGGGTACTGCTAGTGACAGGGTCGGAGAAATCACCACCAGGAGGGCTGACAGCACCGACGATACTGACACTTCCTATGCGCTCAGGGCTACCCAGAGCATTGGTCTTACCGGCACGCTCGTAGAAAGAGGCCAGCTTGGCACCCAGGTAGGCCGGGAAACCCTGATCAGCAGGCATTTCTCCCAGACGACCCGAAAGCTCACGCAGAGCCTCGGCCCAGCGAGAACTGGAGTCAGCCATCATGGCGACGTTCTTTCCCTGGTCACGGAAGTATTCGGCAATGGTGATACCAGTGTAGATAGAGGCCTCACGGGCAGCGACGGGCATGTTCGAGGTGTTGGCGATCAGGCAGGTACGTTTCATGATGGGCTCCTTGCGGCCATCAACGTTGATGGAAAGCTATGGTACAATGTATGGTTAGCGCATCATTCGGTGACTCATTCGATGATCTTTAAATGCAGACATAGGAACATACCTCGGGGAAATCCATCAAAACCTCAGCCATCTCGTTGCCACGCTCACCGCAACCAACGTAGACGATGATATCACTGTTCGAGAACTTGGACACAGACTGGGAAATGACAGTCTTACCGCATCCGAAAGCACCGGGAATACACACGGTGCCACCCTGGACACTAGGGAACAGAGCGTCCAGCACTCGTTGACCGACAATGAAGGGCGCATCGGCGGACAGCTTGTCGCTAGTGGGACGAGGCACACGGACGGGCCAGGTCTGCATCAGACCAAACTCGGTCTTCTTGCCCTCAAACTCGACCTCCAGAAGCTTCTCCTCAACAGTATGGCTGCCTGCGGGGGCAATGCGGGTAATGGTACCGCGAGCGCGGGGGGGGGCAGGAGGATTTTGTGGTCGTTCACCAGACTGTTCTCAAATACGGTACCCCAGATATCACCACCGGTGATGTGGTCACCGACCTTGAAGCCAGCGGGCTTGTAGTCCCATTTCTTCGAGCGGTCCAGCGCATTGACGGAGATACCACGGGGAATATAGATGCCCTCCGACTTCTCGGCGATGGCACGGAGGGGTCGTTGAATACCATCGTAGATCGTCTCCATCAAACCAGGGCCGAGTTCGACGGAGAGGGGCTTGCCGGTCCGTGTAACAGGGTCGCCGACTGTCAGACCAGCTGTAGCAGAAAAACGGGAGCCATTAGCATTGGGTTCGAGAAGTGGTTGATCGGTGGCATACGTGGCCCAGGGAAGGGGGAGCTATACCGGTTTCTTCGTAGACCTGAATGGTGGCCTTGTCCTGATCGATTCGAATAATCTCACCGGACAGCAGATCATGTCCGACTTGACACTATAGCGAGCGGGGGGTCAGTATCTCGGTACGGTCAGACATTCCGGGGCAATCTGTCGGGGGGGAGCTCCTCGAAGTCTTACCAGCTCGTACATGGCACAGCCGATCATATTCTCGGCCACCACGACAGGGCCGGAAATGGAGAAGATGGAGCCATGCTCCTGAGTATCCTTAGCAGCCATCGTGGAGGTGATCTGTGGGGTGGGCAAGGAGATGGATGTGGTCGAGCTGGATGGAGCGGGCGAGTCTGGAAGCGGTGGCAGCTCGGGCGGTGGAGACGTCGGAGTCAATGGTAGCTCGGATGATGGTAACTTGAATAACGGCACTGGCGACACTTGACTCTCGGGTCTGTCAATCAGAGCAAGCAGAGACGGCCGTGCTTTCAATCGAGGCCTTCCCAATCCTAGCATTCAAGTGGTGGGCCCGGCGTTGAAATCGAAGGGTAGGTGTATCATGCACGGAGTAGTGGGCATTTGTTAGGACAAGAGTGCGCCGACTAATACTCGTGGAGTCTCCCCCCCTAAGCTGACATCCAATCGATAGATGCCTGCTGCCGGGGGATTGGCGCCCGCGATCGGCCATATTTTTGGGAAAATACAGGGGCCGAAGATGCTATTGGTCAGTTGAAAGACGAAATTGATGGCTTAGTTTCCAAGGTTATAGTTACCTACTCTACAAACTATGGAGTACATTCCCAGCAGTTGGTAGCAGTAGCAGTGTCGGGCATCCATAGATGGCCAGTGAGAAACAAGGGGAATTAAGTTCATTTCTATAACTAGTATATTGCTTCATTAGTTTTATGTACATGCTAAATAATTTCTCACACAACACGTCTGCAGCGACCAAATTTATTCCTGCAGGTACCCGCGGCCTCCAGAGTTGGAATCGACTCTGGCGGTATGATATCTAGGGCCGCTATAATTCAAATAATTCGATTTGAAATCCGATATGCTTGAAAGCTAGAAAGACCACAGAACCTCGAAAGAAGAAAACCAGCATAAAACGTAAACCCAGACCACACGTGATGCTTTCCCTAGCACCTCAATAAGGTATCCACGACGTTCGCCTTGTGACAGCTCCTCGTGGGAGCAGTCGACCAATCATCAAGGATACGCATACATCTAGATCCCAAAATACATCAGATTACAGAACGTGCAGCCAAACAGATGCAGCACAGCGGGGAGTATCTAGTATCGATCTGCGGGTTCACATGCCCTGCCCTAACCCCCGCTCGCTTTACCCCGGACCACGGACCACGGTTGACACGAGTTGACAGCTTGCCACAATGCCAGTGGTCATCAGCAACGCTCGTAGCTTCAAGTTTTATTATATATCTGAAAGAAAAATGCCCAACGGAAGAAGAAATGCATCTCGCATATCCTGTCTCTTGAAATCGTGCATTATACTATCACAACTTGAATCAGGATGGCCTTGAAAAGCCCCCAACATGGAAACAGTACTGAGTGTCACTACTGGGGCTACTCCTTTCACTGGACCGACCTCCATCGCTCAGAGGACGAGCTACGACCCCTTGTCCACACTTTTGATTCACTTGCCGATGAGTGTGTGCAGCGCTTGAATGATATCCCAACCGAAGGGGACTCGGATAAACCTTTCAGAAAGGATCTATACGCTCTACTCAAAGACCACGCTGCAGATGATCCCAAGCTACAGGAACTATGGACCCAAGTCAATACCGTCCCTGAATGGGTTGACTGGCAGCAAATACAGCGAGGCCAGGATGTATTCTTTCGATACGGGCTTCCGATCTTGAACGTGGTGAGTTGGAACTATACAATAGTCCCTCCACATGCAAACCAGCACTGACAATCCACTCGCCCTACTAGCTCAGTTTCGAAAGTCTTCTCGGCGGCATGTGCGTACAAAAATTATAGCTGCCCATATACATCCTCATTCTAATTTGTATCCAGGGGCGCAATCAGAGTCGTCGAGACCCTAGCTCGAACCGGTGGTTTCGGAGCCAAAGTCGTCCGCCGCCGCCTTCTAGAAACCCTCCAACATATCCTGCAAGTGAACAGCTCAGCAGAAGGAATGAAACCAGGAGGCGAGGGGCATATCTCATCCGTCCGCGTCCGACTCCTCCATTCCTCCGTCCGCCTGAAGATAATGGGTCTGGTGGAACAAAAGTCCGACTACTACGATGTCGACAAGTACGGTATCCCAGTCAACGACCTGGACTGCATCGGCACCATAAATACATTTTGCAGTTCAGTGGTCTACATGGGACTACCACGTCAGGGTATATTTCCCAGCACACAGGAGATCGAGGACTACATTGCTCTCTGGCGATTAGTTGCCTATTACATGGGCACGCCGACAGAGCCTTTTGAAGATCCGGCTCGCGCACGCGCTACGATGGAGTCTCTCCTAATCTCGGAGATCAACCCTACTGAGATTGGAAAGGTACTGGCTAAAAACATTATAATTGGCCTGGAAAATACGGCCCCGGCTTATGCCTCCAAGGAATTTATGGAGGCACTGAGTCGGCTGCTGAATGGCGATCTACTCTCGGACGAACTCGAGATCCCCAAATCGAGTCTTTACTACCGTTTGATGGTATGGGGCTACTGTTTCTGGGTCTCCGGGATAGCATACGTTATTCCAAAGATCTATTTCCTTGACCAGCTGGCAATTTCGGTAAATACTTTCTTTCCCTTTGTTTTACCTCAATTACCTGCAACTTACTTCACGCCCTGGTGTTAAAGAAACGTATCGCTGATATTGTGAACTAGCTCCGGCGGAAACTCTTCTATAAAATGCTACTCGATGAGAAAATGGGATTGGGAGGAGAATCTCGTTTTGAATTCAAGTATGTGCCTACTTTGACCCGCACCACTCGACTGGGTCAAAGACGGAGCACCAAGTTTGAGAGGCCAGGCGTAGAAAGTGTGGCGAGGCTAGGCTTGCTTGCTGCGCTCACTGGGATTGTTACACTTCTCCTGAGTCTTCTCTTTGCAGTAAGAGTGTTTTCTGTGAACCAGCTCTTTCAGATTGTTGGGGTATAGAGCGCATGTTTGTGGAGGTGTTAATTTAGTGGAACATAAACCGTTAATTAACCAAGAAAGAGAATTTGACCTTTTTATTGGACTTTATGAAGACTATGATGCCTTTGATGGGATACTCAATCTTGTTAAGAAGGTTGTATAGTTTTGATCAAAATATCATAACAATTCATCTCGAATACAGTCGCAAGTGCTTGTGGTCAAGCTAGAAAGGCACCAAGCTAGGGACAGTGTTGAAATATGATCCACTTGTCATCGTCCCTCTTCTTGGTATCGTTTTGCCGAAGGCCAAGAATGCCTGATAAATGCTCGGCGGCCCAGTGCATCGCTGGCGTCATCGCATTGGCCCATTCAAATTTTAGTAGGGAAGCTGGTAGTTTAAACTGAGTGACCATTTATCATCTGAACCTGCTGTATGCTGTTCAATGCCTTGTTGGGTTTGTTCATCCGAGATGCGGACGGTTGATACCATCTTCTATTTGTGGCTGGCGACCGATACCCAAAACATCGTGGTGCACTTCTTTTCACAAAGACATGTTGGTTGTTTCGCTTATGTCTTCGAAATTTCGAAAAAGGAGCCGAGAAAAAGAGTAGAAGATAGTGTAGAAAGTGGAGCCAGGCCGGGTTTGGTTTGGGCAGCATTTCGGTTAAGGTCATAACGGCGATCTTTTGATCCCGTTGTGAGTGTGACCGATGGTAAAAATTACGCTAGTCTGTGGTAATTGTCAACAGTATGAGTTTTCCACAGTCATCTTGTACTGTGGTGAAGGAGTTTCTCCTGGTGTCCAGATCGATTGGGTAGCTTTGATAATGTTAGGACAGCCGGAATTGGCGCAGACGAACGAGGTCAAGTTGGTGATAGCAAAGAAACCGAGGAGTATATCAAGGCCTCGATTTTAATTTAGTCAGGCATGGCTAGAGCCGAATCATGTATGTGCTGTCACTTTGTAAACTTTGCGATTCACCATGTGAGGTGGTGCGCAACAGTCGATCGGGCCATGCATGACGTCTACACTAGACTGGAGACGCGAGGGGAAATCTTGCCTCGAGAATTTCTCCCCTCGAGTCAAACTGGCTCTTGGTCATTGGAGTAATTCAAGTTTTAACATTTTGAATATTTTAAACTAAGGGTAAAACAGAAACAAGACCAGTTGAGATAGAGACAGGTAGGACAGCATCGGATCTCGTGGGACAGCTGATGGGACAATCGGCCCAAATCTTAGGTGATAGACTTTGGCGCGTAATCAGTGGCTTGGAAAGCTCTTCGTCCGGATGTTTTACTTCTAGAAATAGCAGACACTTTTGTCAGCTCGACGAGTTGGTTCTCTCGTAGAGAGGTCACATACTCCGCATCCCTTGCAGGAACAGGTGTTGTCGCAAGTACAGCCCTGGGCACCGGTACAGGTGCAAGTCGCTCCACAACCACAGCCCATGATGGAAGATTGGTAGATTGAAAGAGGTTGAGGGTGGGAATAAAGTTGATAGTAGGGGATCCTTGATTGCGTGATAAAGGCGATGGATGAGGAAAGCAAAGTGCAGCGAAATGGGAGTTTTTCTTTATATCGATGCACCGGGTAGGACGGACATCATGATGGCGTCAGTGGGGGAGAGCGGACAAGAGGAACTTGAAACTTTGGGAAACCTTAAAGGAGGGAACTTCCAAAGGTTGGCCATGGATTTACCAATCTATAAGAGAGAGAGAGAGAGAGAAAAATGGTAGCAGAGATACTACCATGCTAGTAAAGGAGAGAGGGGAAGAGAGGAATGGGATGGTGGTTTTATAGATCAAGTATTCCTCTACATACCTCAAGGTTCTTTCCTCCACGTCAAGGACTACTAGCAAAGAATGGAAGATAATATGAACAAGGATAGCTATTACCTAGGGAAAGCTTGCCTACCGAATCGACCTCCTCAAAGTCCCTTGACGAAACTACTACTGAATCTTCCATCAAAGAGTCTGGTATCCCTCCAGTAAGATACTCCTTCGCCTTAGGCTTGACTCAAAATAGCTGCACACAACACAAGGACTGTAATTAGTGGACATAGCTACTAGTATTAGATTTAGGTTAAAATTCAAGTTGCTACATTGCTGAATCGTTTCATACCACTACCTTCTACCAGATACCTATTCTGGCTTGAAGGTATGGATATTATTAATTACTGAGATACTAGTAGTTCCAAGCACTGATATATACTCAGTAGTGCCCCTAAGTATGGTCCTGGTCCTTCTGGAATACTAGTAAGCGTAACAGGAAATTTAGAGGCTGTTGCCTTTGAATACCTAGGTATATGGCGGCAGGAGAACTTGGCCAGTGACCAGTGACCAGTCCCAAGGAGTCACACTCGCACTTACTACTCTCTCACATACACACAGCTTCTAGCAATCAACTGAGACTGTATCTGCCCTACTAGTATATTATTTAGGAGGGCAATGATCAGTGATTTACCATCTATAGGACATCTTGTGACGCCCTTGAACCCACTCTTGACCATCCAAACCAATCAACCTTGCCTAGGACCCTCAGAGTCTCCATCACCGATAAGCACATCCCATCTCCGCCCGAGCAGTCACACTCACACTTACTACTCTCTCACTCTACATCACTCCACCCTACAACACGAGAAGACGGAACTTACTCCTGAACACGTCGCCTAATCTACTATTATCTTCCTCCACTTTCACCCCCACCCCCTCATCTCCATCCCTATCGACAGTGCTAGAGACCTAGAGCTCCTCCGCTTCTCCCTGCAGCTTTGAAATCCCCGCGGTAGGTCTGCTCACCTGGTTCTCCCAAAAAGAGCCAGGGAACTGGGCAGATCGCATCTATCGACCTGGCCAACAATCCCCCTTCCCAACCTCTCGCCTCCGACCCCCCCTGACCTTCTTTTCCCATTCGATATCGATCCCACCTCCTCCGCCGGTCCCGAACGGTCCTCCAACTCCCCATCTGCCTCCTCTCCGTCCTCCTCTCGTACTCCTGCTCCAGCTCCAGCTCCAGCTCGCCCAGCAAACCCTCGGCGTCGTCGGCTTCCCTCGAGTAGCCCTGAAATCCCCGCTTCCGAAGTCGTGAGAACGAGATCCAGTACAAGAACCACTGGGGCAGCTGCGCCCCAGTCCGACTCTATTCACACTTCGGGCCGTGAACAAGAAGGCCACTTTCCCTCCCGCAAACGCAGGCGTTTGGCAGTCATGCGTGCTGATACTCTCTCCTCCACAAATGGCTTTTCACAAGCCTCGAATGGCTCAACTCCCAGGAAGGCCAGTTTGAATGGACAGTCCAGCAATGGCGACTCACATACGAACGGCACCTCCAAGTCTGTAGCTACTGGCTCGTCGTACTACGGTCATGATCGGGAGGAGGTGACGCGGATTTTGATACAGAGCCTCTACGAGTTGGGTTACGACGGAGCAGCTTCGACGTTGAGTTCGGAGAGTGGTCATCAGCTGGAGACACAGGGCGTTGCCACATTCAGAAGTGCCGTCCTGGGTGGTCGGTGGTCCGAAGCAGAGAAGATTCTCATACAATCATTCCACTGGGATGGCTCCCAAAATGGTCAAAATTCCTCGCCGCAGCAACCATTATTGTTAAATGAAGCGGCGGAACGGAACGAAATGCTATTCCATCTTCGTCAACAGAAGTTTCTAGAGCTCCTCGAATCTCGCAATCTTGGTTCAGCGCTGGGTGTCTTGAGGCAGGAACTAACACCGTTAAACTACGATATCGATCGCCTCCATGCTCTATCTAGCCTTTTGATGTGCCCCACCGAGTTGCTCCATGAGCAAGCTGGCTGGGAGCGCCCCATTACTGCATCCCGAGAACGGCTTCTCAACGAATTATCCAGTAAGAGACCCTTCCATTACCTTATGCCTCTGAACCCCTTACTCACTGATAATAGAATCCATTTCCCCCTCCGTTATGATACCCCAGCACCGGCTCGCCACCCTTTTAGATTTTGTGAAGAAGACGCAAATCAGCAACTGTTCGTATCATAATACTGTCGATTCGCCTTCACTCTACTCAGATCACATGTGCGACAAAAATGACTTCCCACGCGGTGTAGGTCTTGAACTCACCCATCATTCGGATGAAGTCTGGTGCTGCGAATTCTCGCATGACGGTACCAAGCTGGTCACTGCAGGCAAGGACCGCATGGTATTCATCTACGATACGACAAACTTCTCAGTGATCTCAAAATTGGCCGAAAATCACACCGACGGAGTGGCTTTTGCAAGCTGGAGCTCAGATGACACAAAACTAATTACATGCTCACAAGACAAGCAAGCCCGAGTATGGAATGTCGAGGTGAGTGTTTTCAAGATTGGTAATCCTATTGTGAAAATCTCGAGATTACTGACATCGAGCACAGACTGGGCGTTGCCTTCTCACAATTGATCACCACAATGAGCCAGTAACGTCAGCCGGCTGGGCTCCGGATGGAGAGTCCTTTGTGACTGGGTCACTTGATGCAAATTCACAGCTCTGCCTTTGGAGCATTCGCGGTCCATCTATACACAGATGGAAAGGTTCGTTCCGCGTACAGGATTGCGCGATCAGTCCCGATGGAAAGCGGCTGGTTGCGGCAGATACGGACTTCAAGATTCACGTGTTTGACCTTGACTCTCGCGAAGAAGATTATTGTCTCTCGCTTTCAAGTAAACCTACGTCGGTCACGATCAGTCGGGACTCGAAACATCTGATTGTGAACCTCGCAGAGGGCGAGATTCAATTGATCGATCTGGACACTACCGACGTAGTACAAAGGTTCAGGGGTCACAAGCAAGGCGAGTACGTTATTCGCAGTACTTTTGGAGGAGCAGGGGAGAACTTTGTCGTAAGCGGCAGCGAAGGTAAGTATCGTTGTGCCCAGATGGGGACTATTTTTGGCTGATTCCCCCGACCAGACTCGAAGGTCTACATTTGGAACAAGGACGATGGCCACCTTGTGGAATCTCTGGAGGGACACACCCGCGGATGTGTCAATTCAATATCATGGAACCCAACGAATCCGAGGATGTTCGCCTCGGCAGGTGATGATCGTGTTGTGCGAGTGTACGATATACAGCCTTCTTCCCCCTTCCTCTTCACGACAGCATACTGACTAGCCACAATCAACAGCTGGACTCCCGAAAATGATCGCCCTATCCCAACACGGGGCTCTGCTCAGCGAAGAGGAGTATCATCAAATGGGTTTCCCCGGACAAGTGCGTTACGAACGACGAGTGCTTTTTGAGACTGCTAAGCCAAACACCACTCATTTCTATCTCATATTTTCTCTGCATCTGTCGGTATGGCGGGCATGGGTATCGATTTTTGTTTCTGAGTTGAAAGACCAACGATAAACCAGTGTTCTGTTCATCACTTTTCCTCTCTCTTCTATCTGCTTGGTTGCCTATTTCCCCCCTTCTCGCTCCAGCATATACACCTATACGTCCATCACTTTGCACCTAGTCAGCTAGCAGACTAAGTATCAAATGAATATTGGAAAGGCCCTTTGAGTAATAGCCACGGGATGAGTGTTGGGCCCGTATAGACTAAACGTGCCCAAGTTCCTACGCTTTACCCCTAAGCACAGACGCGCTGCTGGTACTAGTATCATCATTTTAGCCTGGGTTGAGGTCATATCAAATACAGCCCTGGAGGGCAGGCCCATCTAGTCAACCCTTCGAGTTTGGAGCTGCTTACTTCCACCAGCCAATGGCAAACAATTACTGTCCTCCCCTCCCCATTTCAGTTTTCAAAAAGGTCGGGTTAGGGTTGATTTGGCCCCCGCTGAGCCGTAATTGGGGACACCCTTGTCCACTGAAGACATCTACCTGGGTGATTGCAGATTGACTTTCCTGAAGATGTTACACCCCAATAGCACTTTACTACATTAGGTGAAGAGGTACACAAGGTTTCAAGTTATTAAATGGCAAAATTTTTCAATTGAAAGCTGGCAACTCCGTCATTCGTAACTCCTAAACCAACGCAAAATAAGAGTCTGGGGGAAACAAAGTCCAACAAGGGAGTGGCGGGTTGTGAGTTACTGTACTGTCCCCAGAACAATTCAATAATAGATGTCGTAAGTGCCATCCTTTAGAGGAATGTACACGCTGTTTGGCAATTTTGAACTGGACTCGATGTGTGTCAGTTGCCATGGAGCTATTGAGCAGGTAGAAGGAGGGTTCATTCTCACTGAATCATATGATCTTCCCCTTTCCTCCACACTAGACTTGGCCCCTTATTTCACCCGGGCTAACTGTAGACCTGGGGCCAGTTGATCCTGGCTCTGTGCAGATAGAAAAAGCAATCCAAACCGATCGCATCGCGTTGCATTTTAGCCTCGTAAAGCAGATAATAGATTGAATACGGCTTGTGGCGATTATGAAAGGAGATCCGCAACTAAAGACATAATCGTTAGTAAAAAGGTATGCAAGAGAGAAAAGGAAAGTGAGCCTACCGTTCATGGGCATCTCGTCGATCTGGGTTGAGTAGTACAACTCAATGTCACGCAGGATGCGGACGTCATCACTGGTAACGAAGTTGATAGCCACACCCTTGCGGCCGAATCGACCACTACGACCGATACGATGAATGTAGTTCTCACGGTTGGTCGGGAGATCGTAGTTGATAACCAACGAAACTTGCTGAACATCGATACCACGAGCCCACACATCAGTAGAGATCAGGACACGCGAGTTACCCTGGCGGAAATCTTGCATAATACTGTCACGCTCCTTCTGAGGCATCTCGCCGTGCATGCTGGAGACGGTGAAGTTGGCTTCGCGCATCTTATCAGTCAGCCAGTCGACCTTACGCCTAGTGTTGCAGAAGATAACGGCCTGGGTAATGGTCAATGTGTCGTAGAGATCGCACAGGGTATCAAATTTCCATTCCTCCTTTTCGACAGCAATGAAGTACTGCTTAATACCCTCAAGGGTCAGCTCGTCACGCTTAACCAGAACGCGTACGGGATCGGTCATAAACTTGGTGGTCATGTCCAGCACGTCGTAAGGGAGAGTAGCAGAGACGACGACGACCTGCGTCGCCGGGGGCAAGTAACGGTAAACATCGTAAATCTGCTCACGGAAACCACGGTTGAGAAGTTCATCGGCCTCATCGAGGACAAGCATCTTAATGTGACGGGTGCGCAGGTGTCGGCGGCGGATCATATCTGCGACACGGCCGGGAGTACCCGAGACAACGTGCTGGCCGTAATCGAGTTTGCGAATGTCTTCGCCGACGTTGGTACCACCGATGCAAGCGTGGCATTGAACGTTCATGTAGTCGCCGAGAGCCATAACGACGGATTGAATCTGGGTTGCGAGTTCACGAGTGGGGGACAGGACCAAAGCTATTCAACAGAGCTTAAGTTAGCATCCTCGACCATAAATCTCAGGGAGCCCTCCTGCCTTTACATACCCTGGGTCTCGCGCACGACAGTATCGATCACCTGCAAAGTACTGATTGAGAAAGTCGCAGTTTTACCAGTACCGGACTGGGCTTGGGCGATGGTGTCGCGACCTTTGCAGATCTGGACAATGGCACGCGACTGGACGGCTGAGGGGGACTCGTAACCGTAGGCATAAATTCCACGGAGAAGGCTCTCCTTCAACTGCATATCCTCGAAGGTCGGCGCCACCGTGACCTCCTTGGAGGTGTTGAACTCCATGCGGTCTGCGCAACTGTTAGAACACACCACTTGAACCAAAACTCGAGGTGCTTACCATCCGCGCGTCTGTCGATTCCGTCCGCCATGATGAAGAGATTGAGATTTCCTCGGGAGACAGGAAGTGAAACTGAGAAGACCCAAGAAAGTTGAGGTTAACCCGACCGTTGGAATGACTTTTTGCGATTGGAGTGGTACGGGCACGTGATCTGTCCGCAAAGCTGCAGCTTCCACCGCGATGGCCGCCGCTTTGCACCGACATTCACTAGAATCACCAACCAACTCACTTTGTGCGCACCGGACATAACCGACGAGGTCCGATCGCGCTTTCAATATGCTTCTTGAGGACCAGCGATTCATTCACGAGGATCTGGAGAGGTTGGAGCAGGCTGTGGCTGAACGAGTGGCCGAAGAGCCGCGAACTGTAAGTCTTGCACTGCACATTCCAGACGACTCTACGATGATGTAGCTTTACTAACCAGAGCGCACTAGGCCCGCGATCGCCTTACTCGCGACCATGTCGTATCAACATTCATAGATCAAATCGAGAGACAATCCAGGACCCTCTTGGAGATCTACACAGACGCCGATGGACAGCGCGAAAGAGAAGTCCAGTCAATCTCCACGGGCGACCAATTCGAGGAGTTCTACAAACAGCTAGATGAAATCAAGGATTTCCACAAGAAAATACCCCGGCGGGGCTGTTGAGGACCTCGAGCAGGCGTACAAGAGCGAGAGAACTCTCATGGACATTGACAACATGTTCACTGGGGAGGAGCGATTCGGCCAATTCCTCGATCTGACTAGCATTCACGAAGATTATCTAAACTTGCCTGGAGTAAAGCGCCTTTCCTACATCCAATATCTCGATGTTTTCGAACAACTTGTGCAGCCATATTTGCCCCTCAAGCGCAAGGACAAGCTTTCCGACAAGTACTTCCGTTATGTTGCCGAACTTTCTAGCTACCTCGAAGGCTTCATCAAGCGCGTGCGACCACTACAGGATTTGGATAAGCTTTTCGCAGCCTTCGATGAGGAATTCGACAAGCAGTGGTCCGCGAAGGAGGTTCCCGGCTGGACAGAGAACGCCACCGAAAATGGCACGTCAGGGCCTAAGACAGAAGGGACCGGCGAAGGCACCTGGTGCCCGGCTTGTGAGAAAGAATTTAAGAATGAGAATGTCTATCGAAACCACTTGACAGGCAAAAAGCATATTAAGGCCGCAGAGGCTAAGAAAGCCGCTGGCGAGTCGGGTGAAAGCTCGGCACCTGTCAAGTCTGGCACTTCTGCATTTAGCTTGAAGGAACGCGCCATTGCTGAGCGTGAGCATCGTGTACGTTGCCTTACTAAGGAACTTCAGCCTGAACGACAGGCTACCCGGATCAACGTGGAGCGCAGACAAGGTATGACGGAAAGGGAGCGTCAAATGGAACTGGAGACCTTGATGGCCGAGCCTGAAACCTTTGGCGACGGTCATGGTGGGGATCAATCCGACGACGACAATGACGATCAAGTCTACAACCCCTTGAAGCTGCCGCTAGCATGGGATGGTAAGCCTATCCCATTCTGGCTTTACAAGCTGCACGGTCTCGGAGTCGAATACACATGCGAGGTTTGCGGAAATTTCGTTTACAAAGGTCGCCGAGCATTCGACAAACACTTCTCTGAAGGTCGACACGTTCACGGCTTGAACTGCTTGGGCATCACATCAAACACCAACCTTTTCCGAGAGATCGTTAGCATCGCTGATGCTATGGCACTCTGGGAGAAGCTTGAAGGGGAACGCAAGAAGGAGCGGGATTCTCGTGAAAACGTCGTGCAGATGGAAGATGCTGAGGGCAACGTCATGCCGGAGAGAATTTACCTGGATCTTCAAAAGCAGGGCATTCTTTAGTCGATACGGTTCTTGTCAATCGTCCAATGGATCGGGGGCTGGGGTCGGTGTATGAACATTATTCAAAAGCTACGGAGTTTGGCGAATGTGATGGGTTGGTTTCATGTTTTTGCATTGCCATGGTAGGCTGAATACTCAAAGTAACTGGAAACTGGAATACCTCTAGAAATATCATCATCATCTGCTTATATTCCCTCCAACCCGTCAAAGTATAGGGGTGTAGCGTATATCAATTAAAGTCACGTGTTTTCGTGATCCATGGGTGACGATCCGTCGCGTTTTTTCCGCCAATTCGCGTCAGTTCGATTTGAAAATGAGAGTCAGATCAAAATGAAGCTGCTCGTGAAGATGTGATCTTCAAATCTTCATCCATGGGTTTCAATTTCACATTCCTCTGCGACTTGCTGCAGAGGCTGGAGGACGACCGGACCACAAAAACAGCGTGGGGAACAGACATTCCTGACTTCCGGACAATTCGACAGTGGTTTAAGAAACATGATGGTCACATTAATCATGATGGCACGGACAGGCTAGCCTTACTGTCATGCATGTTTCCAGAAAAACGGACCGATCGTGTGTTTTGGTTACAAGAAACCACCTTGGCCAGGGTCATCGGTCGCTGCTTGGGTTTAGGATCCTCACGACTGTCAGAATTAGACCAATGGCGAAAGCCAGGGGGTCCAGATCTTGGGAGATGTGTTGAGACTGTGATGGGTCAAGCAGAGAATCATGTACCCCAAGGTCGAGAAGTCACCACTAAGGAGATTGACCTGGCCCTGGGGATGATCGCATCACGGTGTCGGTTCTCTGGGCCCGATGTACGCCGACAGCAGACCGCTGTCGGCGTCCAGAGTGTTCTCACTCCTTTATACCGCCGCTTGAGTAGCCGTGATGCTAAGTGGCTCACTCGTATGATTCTGAAGAGCTACGCCCCAGTCATAATCCCGCCCAAGCATGCCTTGGAACAATTCCATTTTTTGCTCCCGCATCTCCTCCAATTTCAAAACACTTTTGAAGGAGCCTTACGAATGCTAGACCAACAGCCCATGAAATATTTCCCACCTCACCCGAATCCAAAAATGGCTGCTAGCCTATGTGCAATGGCTCTGGAGTATCTTCAACCGCAGATGGGTATCAAGATTGGACGGCCTGAATACTTCAAGGCTCGCGGTATCAAACATTGCCTTAGTATGACCAACATGCGTCGAATGAGTGTTGAACGGAAATACGATGGAGAGTATTGTCAGATACATGTGGATCTTACAAACCAACGCACGCCATTTCGTATCTTCTCCAAGAGTGGAAAAGAGTCAACGGAAGACCGGTCCGGTATTTTCCCCAGTTTAGAGAAGTCGCTGCGGATTGGATCAAAAGATTGCAAGTTTTCGCATCGCTGCATCCTCGAGGGCGAGCTAGTTGTATGGAGTGACGTGCGTGGGGAGATTGTAGGTTTTCACAAACTTCGAAAGTTTCTTTCTCGCTCTGGGATCATGATTGGCATTGATAACGACTCGCCGTATGTTTTAACCTCTTACTATATGGGTGAATATTTACTAAAAACTAGCAGACCCCAACCCTATGAACATTTGATGATCATCTTCTTTGACATACTGGTCTTAGATGATGATATCTGCTTGAGGAAGCCTCATCGGCAAAGAAGACTGCTACTAAAGGATGTGGTGAGCCCTATTGACGGTCGAGCCGACCTCGCTCACCAGGAAGTACTTGATTTTGCTCATCTCGAAAGTCGAGAGCGACTTGAAGTAAGTTTTGCACGAGCCATTTCCCAACGTTGGGAAGGTTACGTGCTTAAAGCTTCTGATGATCCATATTTTCCTATATACGCTGCTGGTACAAACGCCTCGTTCGGACGATGGATCAAGTTGAAGAAAGATTATATCCAGGGTCTTGGGGATACACTTGACATTGCATTGGTTGGGGCCTACTATGAGGTCAGAGACGCCGCCGCTCTCTCGTCAGTGAAAGGACTCAAATGGACGCATTTTTTGGTCGGCTGTCTGCAGAATAAGGAAGCTGTTCTGGAACTTGGTGAAACTCCCCATTTCCAAATAATTGACGCTCTTCATCGGCATTCCATGCATAAAGACAACATGCAAGCTCTGAATCAACATGGCGAGTTTTCTGCATGTGATCCAGACGAATGTCCTGCATTTTCAGTTGAATACGGGTATAGGGAACTATCCAGGGCTTGCGTACTTTTCAAAAAGCCCTTTGTCGTGGAACTGAATGGCAGTGGGTTTGATAAGCCATCCGGTGCTAGGTACTACGCCCTTCGTCACCCGCGCATTCTGAAGATTCACACAGATCGAACGTTTGAGGATGCCGCATCCTTCCAGGAGTTACAGCTTCTAGCTGAAGCTGCCCGCTCTGTACCAACAGAGGAGCTGGCTGATGAGATAGGGCATTGGCGCAAGCGATTAAAGGTTAGCAACGGACTCAATCAGTACATCGTTCCAAGATCGCGCAGTCTATCGTCAACATGCAGCTCAGACTCCGAATCTGAAGGGGATTCAAAATCAAAGACCTCCCACGCCACGTCATACGACAGCGAAAAGGAGCAAATCTCAGAACCGAGAACACATCAAAGCCAAAGTCAGGATTTGGAGAAGCCTACTCGCATTCAGAGAGAAGATAATACGTCAGGAACTCCTGTTATATACCTTGACGACACGGATTCAAGCTCGTCTTCAAGCAGCCCTCGCCTCAACGAGAACATCTTGATTGAAAATGAGAATCTATCATCGCGACAACATACCAGCCAAACAAAACATGGCAACACGCACGAGACAGGAGATGATAAGAACCCTCTTGAAAACTACGAGTCGCCGGTGAAGACGGAGATCCCATTCTCAAGTCCGCAAGGTGTTTGGCACATCTCCCCGGTCAGCGAAAAAAGCACCCAACCTGGAAAATATTATGTTCAAGCACCCGACAATTCCGGATCGATGTCGCAGGAGAGTGCCCTACAATCACCATTAATGACAATTCCAGTATACATGTCTGGGCCCTCGTACATGCATCATGAAACTGATACGTCGGGTCATGCTGGACTTCATGAGTTCATACAGGCACTCAACTCCCAATCTTCAATTGATTCTCTTGAAAAGTCAAACCCTAAGGCTGTCTGCCAAGGCATGGCTTTTGGAATCGTCCTGGTCAACCCAAGTGAACACCCACTCGGCAAAGAAATCCACCTCGCAGCAAATGCTATATCTGAAATATTTCGGTGCAAAAGATCTTGCCTTCCCACCCGGTGCAAGATTTTCTTCTTGGACTCGGCTATTTTGCAACAGGATATTAAACCTGAAGATCCTATATTTTGCGTACAAGAAACTTGGTCAGAGCTTGGTCATCAGTACTACTACGCCTGTCTTCAGTGGGGCTTGGATGAAAACTCCAAAGGTGGCACTATGGTAGATACATCTGGTTCTTTCATGATCGAGAATCACTGTGACAACCCAAACAGTCATACTTCGCTTGCACTTTCGGTGACTTTTGACGAGAGTGAGATCCTAGCACTAGGCGAGACCACCACCAAAAAACCAGCAATCCAATAGAGTTGAGCGAAAACCAATACCATAATTGAAATCAGCCAAAGTTTCCACCTTAATTAGACTCAAGAAACAAAATTGCAAAAACTTTCGAAAAAAAGTAGTGGGTTTGGGGGTTCGAACGCGCAGCCTCGTCGTCGCAACATTTCGTGACAACTTCACTCCCTTCCTAATCGGGAAGCCCATTCCCAAGACTTGGGATAGATTCACATCTAAATCTTCCAAAAAGTAGACAAATATATAAATAATCAACAAAAAAAAAAGTTCATTATACCTCGACAGCCCTTTGGGAATGCTTTTATGACCACCCGCCCACCTGGATCCTCCCCCGTCACTCAGCGCCAGGCCGCAACGCTGAGGGCGGCTCCCCAGTTTTGGACCTGAGGAGCTTCGGTGGTGAGTGGCTTTGCCACTGGACCACCTGAGGTGAGGACGTTGACGGTACTTCGGATCTTGAAATCGTGTAGTATCTTTTTGACGTCATCTCCCCAGTGTTTGTTATTACATAGATCGGCTGCTCTTTCCTGCGCAGCTTTGTTTAGACCAGTTTGAATAGTCCATCAAGACCTTAGGAAATACAAGTCAGGTATCATTAGCAAAAATGAGTTGGCTGTTGTCATGCACAGGTGAGGTTTTCGAGAAATGGCTAACTGGGGAGGCAATATTGATATACACTCTGAAGCTCACGCGCACCCATGTTGGTGTTCAATTGTCTATATTATCAATATTTAGTACACCAGATGCTAAGATCTTTCTGGGTGAATGGTTTCTCGCTCAGCTGACTGCCCGGGGGTTTTGTGTACCCACATATTCAGATGCTAACTTTCTATCATGACAGGAGGCCCCTGGCTCGCTGGACTACCCTGCCTCCTCTCTCCGCGCACGAACATCTCGCATGATCGCCTTCGCTTCTTCCACCTCCATACCATCCTGACATAACTCGCTCGCCAGCTGATCTGCCCGTTCCAACTCCTCGTGTCGCAAGGCATACTGAGCCAGCCAGAGACGCGCTTTCGACGTAGTGGCTGTGGGCTGATGCCACGCCTCTCCCGCATTGGAGTCGTCGTTTTGCATCGCGAAGGATGATGTACGGGGCTTTTGTCGACGACGAGAGCGAGGCATATTGTCGGCATCATCGTCGCCAGAATGTTCCCCGTCACTCTGAGCAGCATTCTCCGAAGCAGACGAATACTCATCCTCATCCGAGTTCTCCTCTTGGACAGGCGCGCCGCCTGTTTCTTGTTGGAGGGTCAGTTCCATATACGCAGCCGCTTCCTCTTCATCGCCGAGACGCTCATAGAGGGTTGCGATCTGGTGCAGGGTTTCGGGGTCGAGCACTTTGCGAGCGCTCGCGCCAGGGCTTGCGCTTGGCGCCGTGTCGTCTGTATAGTAAGACCCGGCCACAAGTGCACGTTTAAGTGCCTGGATACTTTGCTCGACTCGGCCCATCTTCGCATAACATGAGCCGACGGCTTGCCACATCTTCGGGTCGTAGGGGCGCAGGGCGGCGGCACGCTGGTAGTAAAAGAGGGCGTAGAAAGACATGTCAAGCACCTCATAAGCTTGGCCCAAACCATACCAGGCACGATAATCTTTTCGGTTAACGTCGACGGCCCGACGATACGATTCGATAGCGGTATGGGTATTTTTCATCTCGATGTACTCATGGCCCATGAGAGTCCAGGCCGAGAGGAAGTTTCGATCCAATGTTAAAGCACGACGGAAGTACATAACTGCCTTTTCATGTTCCGATTTGAGAGAGTAGTAGTTGCCCACAACGCAGCATGTTTCCGGGCGAAATTTGTCTGTTGCGGTGGCGATTTGCGCGACAAAGGCCAGGCGTGGCCGCTCATTCATGACATACAAAATGTTAGAGTAGTGGTCGAGACTATCCAAGCGGTGGGGTGATGTGGCTAGGATATCAGTGAAAATAGCTGACGCTTCCTCAAAATCTATAAATTGTTAGTGTGAGGCATCTATTGGCGGCCGCAACAACAACAACAACAACAACAACAACAACAACATACCTTTGGAGTGATAATAAAGGAGTGCCCTTTGAGTCTTCAAGAATGCACTAGTGGGGAAAATTGATTCCAGCTCTGAAAGTGCCTGGTATGTATCTTCCGTAGCCTGGTATAGTTCCTGGCTGCAGTAAACGTGGAATATGAGTGTCATGATGTTTTGAGGCAGGTGGTCCACGATTTGTTTCAGCTGTTGCGGGATGTCAGTATCACGTATTAAAGGGTTATGGGAATTGGAAGATCCTACATCCTCGGTGCTTGCCAAAAGATCGTTAAGCTCTTGCCATGCTCCCCAGTGGAATGGGTTCTGATGCACACTTCGAAGCAACCACTTCTTGGCCAACTCTTCATTCCGCCCTTTCAGCAGAACGACCGCGTAGAGATATTCCAACCAGCCCTGACCTTTATCATCCAGGCCTTTTGAACTGCGCTCCACCAGCCATCCTTCTAAGCCTCGGGCAAGATCCGGGAGTTCTCTGTTGACCGCCATCCCACCATCCGCTGGACCTAGTACCATCTCGGTCTCTTCATTCTTGCGCTTTTCACCGGCTAGATATTTGGCATAAAGCGCAAGAAACAATGACTTCTGACTGAGTCTTGGGTATGGGTTTCGCGCGACAGGGCCCTTGGAGCCAAGGAATGGGGATGCCTTGTCCTTGCCTTTTAGCGAATGTCGCGATTGTTTTGGTTTTGAGCTGGGGGAGGTCATGGAGAGCGGAACCGGAGGGGTATTTGGTGGTAAGAATACGGCTGCGCAGCGGTCATATTCGCGAGTGTCAAAATAGGATTTCGCGAGGAGGTACTTGTGAGCTTCTTGATTTTCGAGGGCGACCTCGGTAGGGTCTTGGGTTCGTAGGTATGGGTTGATAGGAGGGGGAATTGGATCTGTGATCTCCATTGGGGATTCGGGGTCTGTCTCTTCGTGATCGATTGGTGAAAGAGAATCAAGCATTTCTGCTGCCCTATTTGCGCATCTGTTGTTAGTCCCATCTTCTTTTAGAGATGCGGAGAGGGAAGCGCATACCACTTCGACGATTGGTAGAGACATCGCTCTGAGCACTTGATTGTAGCATCCTCCAGCCGGTACTTCAGCTCTTGTAGGTTGTCGTTTGTGACGTCCATGGCTACGAGCGCCAGTGGGACGTACGCAAATATTGGAAGATAGGCGGCGTGCGACACTCATGCACGTATGCACGTATGGAGATCCAGATGCAAGTAAAAGTGGAAGATGCAGTGCCTCTTCACGACCGGGATTATACCACCCAGATAATTGACAGGAGAGATTGTCTCGTAATCAACGCAATTCAGAGTCGGAACGAATAGCTATGTCGGCTCGGGGCTCGGCGCGTTGTTGACGCGGCGGATGAACTGCAAGCGATCGGCGGGGTAGACCACGCGGGGGCAAAGGAGAATTTCAGTACAGGCTTCGAATACCGAATCAGGTCATTGAAGCCGAAGATCAAGGTTTGGAGCTGGCGTATGTAGATGTAAAGAGAGTAGTAAGTTGAAGCTCAGTTGAAACCACTGGCAGTCATTAGGGTGTTCCTGCCTCAGGCATCACGAAATACAAAAAGGGACAAACAAAATGGACCCCTCCGCGGGGAAAGAACGGGTTGGTCTATTTGCTAGTTCAATTAACTCAACTCTTTTCCTCCCCCACTCCCTTCACCTCTCATCATCTCACTATGGCTTCCACTACCAAGCGTGCCGATTTTGAGGCTATCTTCCCTTCGCTGGCCCAGGATATCCTGGCTCATGCGAAGCGGTACAACCTCCCCGCCAATGCCCTGGAATGGTTCGAAAAGGTACTGTAGGACAATCATTATGCCCCCTTACTGTCTCTGACCGCCACTTCATATTCAATCGAAACATGGAGACTAATTTGATCCTTCTCTAGTCCCTGAATGTCAATGTCCCCGGTGGCAAGCTCAACCGCGGTCTTTCCGTGCCCGACACCGGCCTCGCCCTCCTGAAGAAGCCCCTGACCAACGAGCAATTCGAGCACCTGAGCATCCTGGGCTGGCTCACCGAGCTCCTCCAGGCCTTCTTCCTGGTCAGCGATGATTTGATGGATAGCTCCATCACCCGTCGTGGTCAGCCCTGCTGGTACCGCCACGAGGGTGTCAACCTGATCGCCATCAACGACGCCTTTATGCTCGAGTCCGCCATCTACCTTGTTCTGAAGCAGCGCTTCCGCTCCCACCCCGCCTACATCGACATCGTCGAGCTCTTCCACGAGACCACATGGCAAACTGAGCTGGGCCAGCTGTGCGATCTGATCACCGCTCCCGAGGACAATGTCAACCTGGACAACTTCTCCATGGAGAAGTACATGTTCATCGTCACCTACAAGACCGCCTACTACAGCTTCTACCTGCCCGTCGCTCTGGCCATGATCTACCTCCAAACCGCCACTCCAGAGAACCTCAAGCAGGCTCACGACATCCTGATCCCTCTGGGCCAATACTTCCAGATTCAGGACGACTACCTTGACAACTTCGGTGACCCCGCTGTCATTGGCAAGATCGGTACTGATATCCAGGACAACAAGTGCTCCTGGTTGGTCAACCAGGCCATCCCTCGCTGCACCCCCGAGCAGCGCAAGATCCTGGATGACAACTACGGCCGCAAGAACTCCGAGCAGGAGGCTAAGGTCAAGAAGGTCTTCGAGGAGCTCCAGCTGGAGACCCTCTACAAGGAGTACGAGGAGAAGGTTGTCGGAGAGCTCCGCAGCAAGATCGCGGCTGTTGACGAATCCTCAGGCCTGCAGAAGGAGGTCTTCGAGGCCTTCCTGGGCAAAATCTATAAGCGAACCAAATAGACGACTAGATGGCGGAGCTTGGGAGCCACAAAAGTGATACCAAACGTCCTACTTTGATTTAATGTGCGATATCAGCATTCCAATTGATAATGAACTTGCCAGTGGGTTTTTAGGAATCACGGGTCTACTAACTAACTATTAAATTTTCCAATTTGTTTCAAAATTTCCATTAATTTTCTCTAGCCTCGATTGACCTTGAGCCGATTCGATTTGAAGCTTTGTCTAAGGTTATGAGTGCACTCGACACATAAAGTCTACGGAGTGGAAGTGAATAATGAATCATACTACTAATATGCAATGCCAGACAGTAAGTTCTTTTAATTATGGGGCGGAATCTCATAAAGCTATTGCTGTATACATCGTAAAGCAGACATCAGACGTAGGCACTTCTCATTATTAAAGGTGGTGAAGACAAAATGATACGCTGTAAAAGATAACAAGATCGCGAAACACCAAGTCGAGCGCGACAAAACAGGACAAAATCAGAAAGGGTATTCCATGAGTAGTCGAAATAATAGAGGAACAACTCCGTTGCTAGCAAGACAAACATGTAAAGATCAAGGCCGAGCCAGGGCCATAAACGCCGAGACCAAAATGCAAATGCAGTTCAATTTTGGGAGGGATGGGATCGAGAGGATGAGGGAAGGAAGAGATTAGGGTGATGCTGCTCATGATGATGCGTTCGTTTCGGATGACTGAGTATCACCAGCCGCGCTTGATGCTTCACAGATATCGATGACATCAGAGTCTCTGGATGTTTCAGTCGTGCCAACGGTGGGGCTGGACATGGCGGTTGCCAGCAGAGAATCGATAGAAGCAGTGATGGCCGGAGGCATGAAAGCAGCTTGGCTCGGCGGGGCGGAGAAGGCCTTTTTAGATGCCGAGACATTCTCGTCCTCATCGTCATGGACAACGACAAAGGAGAAGGCGTTGCAATCTTCGGGATAGTAGTCGGAAGCAGTCAGCTCACCCAGCGGGGCACGGTCTTCTTCCATCTTGTCCTTGCGTGCAGCTGATGAGGCAGCGAGGGGAGTGGCCTGCTGGGAGCGGGGAAGATCGAGACCCAGTTCGCTAGGGGGGAACGTTTTCCTTGCCGCGGGCATCTGTGATAACAGCCTTGCCCTCATCGTCGCTGATATCGAGGACGCCAGTGGAGTGTTCCATCAGGTTGGTCATTTCCTCTTGCTCCGAGTCGACGTGGATGTCGAAGAACCAAGAGGCCGGGGCCTTGGGTTGAGGCTTGGGAGTGGATGGTGTCTTGGTCTTACCCTGCGAGAGGGCCGCTGCAAGGGAGAAAGGGCGAGCGACGCCGCGTTTGGTGGGCTCCGGACGGACCTTGGCGATCGACCGGCGACCGGGTGTCTTGAAGGATTTGGGAGGCGGAGACCGACCAGCGGGTTTGAAGATAGGTGCGGATTTGGGGGGTTGAGGTGGAAGGGCCATTCTTGAATGGGGTTGATAGTCGAGGGGTGAGATGGTCGCGGGTGGTGAGTGTTAGGCGGGAGGTCTTGAGCGGTTTGGGGGAACCCTTCGAGACATCATCCTCATCGTCCCAGGACCTCTTGCGTTTGGAGGAGAGGCTGAGTGTAGTCGGGTCAATGTTCTCGGCATCGTCGACGAAGATGGAACTCTTTGCGGAGAGGGCGGCTCCTGAGATGGATGTTAGATACCGGAAATGGAAGGATATCAACATTGAGCAAATGGAGATTGGGGTTGGACCTACCACTCAATTGATTCTGACGGTTCAGCTTGGATCGCATCATTGGACGCATTCTGGGCGAGTCCAAGCTAGCAAAGGGCTGGCGAGAGGGAGTCATGGTGAGTGCAGCCATGATGGATGACAAGCGCGAGGCGTCTCGGTATCGCTTTGTTTTGGCGTTGCGCTAAGTGGGGGAAGCTCGGGCTACTCAGTGAACCTTCAAGCTGGCGAATAACCTTTAGGAAGTGTTGTGTGCAGCAATATTATCTGAGATCGAAAGAGATAGAGAGGAGGCTGAAATCAATCAAACGATGATAACAGGTCGGATGATTTGGGTGAAGCCTGTGCAGAGCTGCGCATGGAAGGAGAGTGCTACACAGGAGGATGGCTGATAGGATGGCTTCACTGGATGGGATATCTCCGGATAGATGGATATAGTTGGGACGAGAGCGAGTAATTATATCTGGATGGTTCGTATGTGTTCACACGCTTATCCACACTCTCTTTCTAGTTTCATGAGGGAGGGGAGCAAGGAGAGGGTTGAGGGGCGAGGGGGAAGTATTTCAAGGCCGGTGGTTCAGCGCGATGTATGCAGCGCGCGTCTGGTCGCGTTCGAATGCAAGGCGCCAGACAAGTGGATTGGACCATGCCAGGCCGTGGGTGGCGTTCGTGCAGAGGTAGACAATCCAATTATGATGGCTATTACCAATGGTCCCTCGCGTGGAATGTGATCCACTTGTATGAGGGTACTAATTATACTATCCATCACTCTTCCTATTATACTGTAGGGTGGGAATAGATTATTCTCCTATGCAAGTTAATAGTAGTCAAATAATTGCTACTCCATGCTAGTACTAGTACTACCAGTATTAATTAATCTAGCCTCGCAAGATCGTGGTAGATCATCAGCGTGGTTGCGACGCGTCGTACTATAGGATACGGTTAGGGTTACCCTTTACATACAATCATACCGAGTTCACGCGATGATACTCAACTTTCCTAGTCCGTACACCCATAGAGTATGGAGTACGGAGTACACGAGCCCACGAGGAACGCCCCGCCGTGAGAGAGTACCGAATACTTTTGAACGCGCGACACGCTGCACGCATATCTGCACGTCTTCAACCTGACCATCGCGTCCAACCCCTCCCTTCTGGACGCGCTCACCTCATCCCCTGAAACCTGCCAGCACATCCCGCCCCCATCTCCAATCTCCCAGGTGGTTTGGGGTTTTAGATGATGAGAGGTTTGATGAAACTGCAGATGAACGTGCATTTTGGTTCCAGGTTCTCCATCGTGAGCGCATCGATGCGCGCATCATAAGAATCCTATGGCTGGAGATGAGACTGTCTTCCAGCATCCAAGCGCTGAACATGTAGGTCGTATTTGCCACGGGCTGTCGAAGCCTGTCCTTTAGGACGATCCGATGATCTTGTGGGCTCTGCATTCGCGCTCATGTTCGCGCTCGTGCTCGTAAGTTGGGGCTTGGACTTTGTTGCATTCCGACCCTGCAAGAGGGCGAGTCTGCTTCAGCTGTCCTCCACGCCGTGGGTGGATAAGCATGAGACCCCCTTTTCACTTTCATAATTTGTATTTTTAGATTCATGTTCAGTCACAAGATCCTCTCGAAGTTGTGCAGATTGGGGTCTGGAAGTTCAGTTCTTCTGCTCGGTACGTACCTAGATACTCCATATGTAGCAGAGATCTAAGACTAACTACTAGTAGTATCTCGTTAGTTACCATCTACTATTATCTGGCATGGAACACCCTTTTCCTTTCCGACCTATTTTGAATTCAACAATCTCTTCGAATTATTCACGTGTCGGACTATCAATTAGTATGTCGCCACGAAGAGTTATAGCCAATATGGAGGTAATAATTGCTCATAATGGCTTTTGATCAACCCCTTGATACATACCTCAGCCACCGGACCCAAGATAATCTATTCAATCCCCTAAACGCAAAACCACTCCAGGGTTGATTTTCTCGCCGGATAATAGAAAAGAGACATTCTCCTGCCACGCAAAGCCTTAATCTTTTTTAATATCGTGAAGGGTTGTCTGCTCCTCTTCGCCTTTTCTCCCTGGGCGGTAGGGATGGAAGTCACCTGCATTCTCCACGAGAAAGGACCAAGATTCACCCTGTGACTGGGGGATACACTTCAAATCCTTAATCTATTTCAGGGGCGTAAAAGCAAGTAATAACGGATCACTAAGCACCAGTCTCATTTCAGAGGCTACCGCACTCTATCCCAATAAGATAATGTTGTACATAACGCCATAGTCTATCACTCACAAGCTCCTCAAACCTCATTCTCAAATGGAATGCTATCCATTGCTCCCTGACGCTCAACCGCACGCGCCGACGCACGTGCTGCAAGCCGCATCGCCTCGTCCATGAATTCCTTATACCGATGCGGCTTCTCAGCATCCGTGACGTCTTGACCCGCCTTGCTCTCAACACGACGCTGTTCCCGCCACCGCGCCACCTTCACCGCATATGCTCCGACAAATGTGTCACCCGCCGCCGTCGTATCGAGAACCTGAGACACCGGGGCCGCAGGGAGCTCATTGGTGAAGCGTCGCACGCCGTCGCTGGGACCGGTCGACCCGCCATCCATAGAACTATACCAGACTCCCTTGGAACCGAGCGTAATGAGAAGATAAGTGACACCCAGCTTGTGGAAGTACCGCGCAACCTGCTCCTTGCCATCCAGACTCTCCGCATCAGGAACAACGCGCAACAATTGATCCATCGGCGGAGTCATGAGCTCAGCCTCTGTCTCGTTCAGAATCAAGTGATCCACTGCTGCGTAGACGTCCTCAGGTAGACCGCCTGGTGGTGCCGGCGCAGGATTAAGCATGACGTCGGGACCACACTCAATGCCGCGCTTGCCAGCAGCTCGACTCTTGGATTTGTATTCGGCGATCTCGCGTAGGATCCCAATTACCGTCTGGACGGGGATCTCGCCCTGCATGACAATCACATCGGGCACGGGTGCCGACAGAGCAGTTCCCAGCACTTCTGGAATCGGCTGCATGCCGTCGTAGTTTGCGCCGGGGGAGAAGAGGATTCTGTTCTCGCCGCCGGCCGATGAGTCGACGATGATGACTGCTACGCCGGTGTATGCGTTCTCAATGACTCGTACGCGTGACGGGTCGACGCCAGATTTCTCCAGCGTTGGTTTCAGGAGCGCCGAGAAGTGGCCGTCTAGTGCCCCGACGGCCCCGACCATTTCGACGAGGACATCGCTTTTGGTATTCAGGCCCTTGGAGGAAGGTTGGGATCGTGACATTCGCCCGCATGCGACGGCTTGATTGGCGCCTTTTCCGCCGGCGCTGGTGAAGTACGAGGAGGAGGTGATCGTCTCGCCTGGGTCGGGGAATCGGGAAGTGACAGATACCATGTCGGCATTGAGGGAGCCAATGACGCGAATGAGAGGAGCCATGGCTGGGGTAAGAGATGTCTGGATCTGGCTTTGAAGCTGTGTTAAGTCGGGAAGCCGGGGGTTTGTGGTGTGGTTGTGGAGAGAAGTAGTCAATTGGTGCTCTCCGTGGACGTGGATAACATGTATTCAGCTCGAGAGAAAGAAACCGCAATTCCCAGAAAGCCAAATTCAGTCGCCTTGGTGATTTTTGCGCTGTTGGCTATTTTCAAGGACGAGAAGGGGAGTGTTAAGTGACGTCGAGAGCGCGGGGCAAAACTGCAATTTAGCCGGATGTGGAGCGGGAGATCCACACGATCCCATTAGCCTCCCAGGGTTTCTGTCAGTACTAAGTAGCGTTGAGAGCTAGGGTTGGAGATATGAACGTTATCGTACTAGTAATACTCTGTAAGCTATCGGTTAGTTACTCAGTGCCCTGAATATTCAGCCTCAAGTTACCTTATCAGAAGCTTAAACACTGGGTCGATTGCGGCTATAGAGCGTCGCAACTGAACAATGCAAACGAAGCCCTAATACTACTGCTTCTCGTTTCAACACAGAATCATCGAGCTGCACGCCAAATTCGGCGCAATGATTGGAAAGAATTTCAAGTTATAGCCTAGCATTTCACAGGCAGCTCCACCGTAGTATGTATTCAACTATGAGTAATATTTGGCCTTAATTGGCCTCATCCTCGTCTTCCTCCTCTTCAGCTTCATCATCTTCACCCTCCGCTTCATCCCTCGCAGCAATAGCAGCAGCAACCTCCTCCTCCAACATCTCCACTCGCTCCATCTCTTCCTCTTCACCTTCACTCTGCTCTTCATCCTGTTGAATCTCCGCCTCCACCTCCACCTCCTTCCCTTTCCCCTTCTTCTTCCTCCCATCCCGCTTCTCCTTCTCCAGTCTCTCCCTCCACACCGGCGCACCCTTAATAGCAGCCCGAATCTCCGTCGCTAACATATCATCCCTCTTGGTCGAAGTAGCAGAATCAAACATGAAATGCACAAGATCGGCTTCCGTCTCCGCATGGTCCGGAAACTCCAAAATCCGCTCAAACTCACCCTCCTCCGGCAATTGATTCGCAATCAACGAACCAATCTTCGCCCGCATGATAGTCTTCGCCTTACCCAGCGTCCCATTCCCATACCACCCATCACTCATAATATCACAAGTCTCCCGCAGAAAGGGCACCCCATCCGTCGTCGCAGAGCCGCCTTCTTCTTCATCCTTGTACAAAACGGACCTAATCAACGGATCTTCAATATCCCTAACCATCCAGATCTTTCCATCAAGCGGCAGAGGCAACTTTCCCGTAAAGATATGCGAATTCGGATCCTCGTCCAAATCAGTCCGACTGATATTATGTCTCCTGCCCCCATCACGCGCCGTATCAGGTTCACGCGGAAGAAGCCGAAACATGAAGGTCTGATAGTGGCGGAAGTCGGGTGATGTGCGCGGATCAACGCCCAATTTCATGATAGCGTCTCGCCACGGTCCCGAGCGGAAAATGTATCCAACATACGGCACTGCCCAGCGGAGATTTGTGCGGTGTTCGTCGGTTGCGAGGCGGTTTCGTAGAGCGCGGCGGGTCCAGGCTGGTTGTTCTTCGAAGAGGAGTTTGATTGCTTCGACGGTATTGCGGAGCGATGGGTCGAGTTTTTGGAGGGGAGTTAGGCTTTCTTGGGGTTCTGAGGGGACGATGGCGA